CGCTTTGCTGGCAGTCCTCTGCTCGATGATTCTGCCGCGGCGCTAACCCGATTAGGAGGCGGCAAGTCACGTGATTTTATTCTTTCGTCAGGAATCATTCCTTACCGAAAAAATCCTTAAATTTCAACTTTCCGTAATTACCGTCAGCCATTTTGTCCATCCCTAGGGCTGACTAGCGGACTTGCCCGACTCGGGCGGAATGTGTTTGTCGGATGTAACGTTGAGGCCTTTTTATCGCTGGATCTCGCGTGTTATTATGGCATCCCATGTGTCCGTTGTTCTTTGGGCATCTGTGTTGATTTTCAACCGCCTAATGAACCGGATGACTTTCTTAGCGCGACCGAGTGAATCGGATGACTTTTTGACAAAAATGGCCTAAAGGAGTTTAGCGCCGCGTTTTGGCTAGTAATCGTAGACCCACAAAAAAGCTCGTTGGCCAATAGAACGCCGCCACGGCCAACGTCACCTCCTTCACCACCAAGGCCTTTACCCCTGAGATCTCTCAACATTCACAAAGACCGCTACAATCTCCGCTCTGAATAGCTTCAATTTGGCCGTGTTAGGAAGGAACTGGCAGGCGTACGAGGCCTCTGCGGGCGCGCGGCGCGCGCGCAAAGTTATTCGTTTTAGATAATTACCCCTTTTTGAATTAACCAATGAGATTCCTGCATTCTATTGACGTAAATATAACTTTTAGACGATTGGAATAGCTTTAGGATGCTCAGTTTAGTTAGGATTATGAAGAATCGATTTTGTTAAACAAGGGTACTATTCTGTTTGGCCGAGGTTGAGCCTCGGAGAACAATTTTACTAGTAAATTACTAGGCAAGTTGTGTGACGGGGCCGAAACAGGGCTCTGTCAGAAAGTCATCTCGTTCACTCGGTCGCGCTAAGAAAGTCATCCGGTTCATTAGGCGGATTTTCAACGATCTGGGTCAACGTGGACCTTGCGCCACAGGGGAAAGGAAACAAAGGTACAGCGCCACCGAGTCTAGGTCATGTCTTGGTCCCTTGGTATGGCTACTTAGGATGCTTATATCGCTAGTCCTCTTGGCTCGTCATGCATCACTAAGCTGACGCCTTCGGTCGCAGAAACGAGATCATGCCGAGGTACTACTATGATGGCACTAACACAATTGACGACATACTCCGCGGGTTCCGCATTGGCTAATTGAGATCAATTAATATGTATCCCGTCCCATCCGTTGGAGTAATCAGTCCCAGAGTCGCTCTACGACTCTACGTCGCTTAGGCCCGCCCGCGCATATAGTGCCTGCGTCAGATATCCCGGCTCCGGCTCAAAGACCCCTGCACAATCTGGATTCGGGCATCTCGCCTGCCGAAGACTGCCAGTGAAGTTGGCGATGGGCGCTTTGCGCTGGCAGAGCGGACAGGACATTTCCAGCTCCAGGATCGTTGGATGCCGGCCTGCATGCTCCTGCAACAATCTATCCACCTCGTCACTGTATGCTCGCTTCTCCGTCTCCGTCAGGTCCTTTAGCTGCCAGTATACATCGTAGAAGCGGAGTTTTGCCACGCCAGTTGGGTCGTCCAGCTCCAAGACGGTGTGATCCTCAACGCTGAAGCTCCCGTTGTCGCCCCATTCCCCCCCCCCCAGGAGTTCAGGAAGGTTAAGGAGTTAGGGCCACAGCGAATCAAGAGGACTGCATGGCCGCCGCTGTCAGGTACCGCGTGGTGGGATGCCATGTCAGCTCTCGTAAGTATTGTCGTGCGCGTGGCCGCTTCACGATTGAAATGGCGGGAGAAGGCGTCCCAGCCTGACTGTGACAGACGAAAGGTTGCTAGGACCGGTCGACGACTAAGAACCGCCTGTCGCGCACCTTCTACATCTACCTCGTGAAATTGCAGTGGTCGATATCGGTCACCGGCAAGCATCGCAGTCAGCACCGTCTTGGTGTTCTGTCCAAGGCTCCCACGGAAATTCGGTTAGAATGTCTTTCCTTATGTCTTCGATTTTCGGGTAGCCGTGCTCACGGCCGCGGATACGCTGGAGCGCCATGTGGAGGGCCGCCGCGATAGCATGCGCATAGCAGGAACCCTCTTCACCTTGATTGGATGGCTGCCTGCGCACGCCCCCGTGTGCTTCCTTGATGTATTTATCAAGGCGTACGCGGCCTACCACATCCAAGAGCGCATCTGCCGAGCCAAAGCGCGCGGATAGCAGAAGCTCGCAGAATTGGTTAAGCACCGTTGCGCTGCACACCTGGACGTAAAGCGCGCACTCGCCAGAGAGGGGCGTTGTCCACCGCATCGAAGCAAGGACTGGAATGGGGTGCGTGTCAACAGCGACCCTCGTAGCCATTTCGAACAGGTTGCGTTGGCCTCTGCTCCAATCCTCAATAGGTCTATCATAGAGACGATGGGTTTCAACACCAGGGTCATCGGTGAGATATATGGTTGCTATCGTCACCTTGCTCTCTTTCAGGTCGTGCGCAACAGGCACGGGGTCTCCATCGGTCGAAAGGCCATCGGACATCAAGAGAAGAATTCGCTGTTTGGCGCTGGTGTGCTTTTGAAATACTGCCTTTGCCCGGCGCAAGGCGTCTTTCATTGGTGTCCTTCCATACAAATATGGACGTAGCGTGTCAAGGATGGAGCCGGTGTCTGTCCTGGTGCCATCCACCGGGGGCTGTTGCAATTGTTCGAGCAGGCGCACAACTTGAGCTACTGGACGTGGCACGACGTCAGTAAACCCGAGAAGCCATTCATTGCAAATACGGCGTGCAAGGCGCAAAGCATCCGAATTATCAACCGCATAGTCCTCAGCCTGGTTTGCAACATGGTCTCCAGCTAGACCACCCACAAGAGTCCCAGCAGCTAAACCAGCACCTGCAAGCCCGCCAAATGGGCTTAGCAATAAGGCTGTTGCAACTCCAGCACCGGCACCACCGAGACTTCCGCCCGCTTGGAACCAACTGCGAGTTTTCTTGAACTGCTCTTCAGACGGTATTGCATCGACAAACTCCCTGATCCGCTCCGGCTGTCGCTGCAAGTGCACGTGGAGGATCCGCGCTTGATGATCAGTGAGTTTTGTACGGATGTACTGTGCTACATGGGCGCGATTCTCCTGGTTGGCAAGCGCAATGAGCCGGTCGTGTCCGCTCCGATCGTCGCCGTCGTCGTAATTCGAGAGCAGCTCATCGACGACAGCGCAAAGATCAACTGAATGCGGACCGCCGTTCTCAGTACAGTTCAAGCCGAACACCCCGATGAACATGCTGGTGTGTGGATCATGTCGATACTCAGTCCGAGCTAGTCGGAGTGCGGTATCAAGGACGGCACGGAAGCGCTCTGTGGCGCGGCCATCTCCCTCCTCCGAGTCCAGGGCGTTGCGCATGGAGCCCGAGACATCGAGAAGGCACCCGATTAGCTTGGTCGGTGAGTCTTTTGGCATTTCCTCTGTTCGATAGCTGCTGATGGATGGCAAGGCAGGCTGGAAAAGTGAGATCAAGGGACTCCATCTGACCAGTTCGCCGGTCGTTTGCGGGGGATGGCGGGGTTGGGTCTTGGGCATACACGCATCCTTGCAATAGTGACTTGTGCTATAGCCCAGACTGGAAACCTTTCACTAAGGTTCAGCCCTCTGCTCAGCATTGTCAAATGTTGTAATGCCATGGTTTCCGTGTACACTTCTCGAAACTTCGTGATGATTTGCGTTAATCACTATCGCGGTGGAGAGAGGGTGAAGACAGCATGCCGAAGGCGAAAGGAAGGAATACTCTTGTCTGAGTAGCACATCATGGGATGCCTCGATCGCTCCTGCCCTGGGTGTACCGATGACGTACCAGCTACACTTGCCTACGTTTCCAAGGTTGGCCAGACTGGAACCTACATTCGGTGGAGGCCCTCGTGCATGTCTGATGCACTTTGTCCAGTGCTGCTCTACCTAGGCAAGAACGCAAGGCATGGGCCCATTGATGTTCAGGGTTGAGGTCCATAGCTCGATTGGGAGTAACATCTACCTATCCCCCTGCATGAATGGATCGCGGCTCTCATCTTAATACACATAGATGAAATCCTCGTTCTTCAGATCCGTTGTGTCCTGGAAACCCTTGTCAACGACCCTCTCCTCCCCCTTCGCGCCATCTTCCACTTCACCAGCCTTGGTTTCCTGCAGTTTGTTCTTCCCCATCATGCTCTCATCAACAACTCGTGCATTTTTACCAAGCGCTTCGCGTCGTTTAGCGTGTCGTTTGTTGAGCCAGTAGAGGTATAAGTCGGCAATCCTACAACGGGGTTTATCGTTAGCTACAAAACTTGATGAGGAAGAAAGACATACACAGCAATAATGGCAACAAGGATGAACATGACTAGATTGGAGATCAATCCGGGTCGGTACTCGGGGGCTTGCTCGAGGGAGTAGAGCTGGGGGCCGATGACCTGGACAGCATCGTCAGCAACCTGGACCCTCCCAAGCAAGAAGGTAAGTAGAAGAGCATACGTTGCCGGTGCACATCCCAACCAGCACAACGGCCGAAGTACACTTCCTCTTCGTGTCACCCGCGGTATTCTGCGCTTCCCATGCGTAGACAAGGGGCGTTATGCCGGCGAGACAGGATACCTGAACAAACCGTCAGCTCATCGATACTACATCATGGAAGTGAATAGGACAAGAAGACGCACCAAGTAGTACCCGAACAGCAACACGCCCTTCTGCTCCCTCGAAACCGTGAGCATGATGATCGTCCCAACAGCCGCAATCATGGCGATCCCGGCAATAACAAGTCCCTTGGTGCGGAACTTCGTCGCCAGCCAGCCACCCAGCAGAATAATCACGAACTGGATAGCCCCGAACGGAAGGTTAAACAGAATGGCCGTGAAGTTCGTATACCCGAAGGACGTAATGATCAACGAGCCGAACGTACTGATTCCACCGCTGGGAATCCTACACCCGCATGTATCAGCTCCAGTCAACCAACCCTGTCTTACATATCGTTCACCATCGGAGGAGAGGACATGGGGTTAAACGTACGAAATCGCAACAATAAGCAGAAACCAAACCCAAGTCTTGACATCGACCATCGTCTCCAAAACATGATCCCACCTCCACTCTCTTGAAATAACGCCCATCTGGTTCGCGCGCAGTCGCTCAACGGCAATGACCTTCTCGCGCTCGCCCAGGAACTTCGCTTCCATGGGCGAGTCCGGCATGAAGATCAGCACGACGAACGAGTACGCGACCGTCAGTAGTCCGCACAGGATGAAGATGATTTGGTAGGAGAAGAGCGTGTCGCTGTGGATGTGGCCGAGGCCGTACGTGAACAGGGACCCGACGATTGCGGTTACCCCGTTCATGGCGTTCCAGAGGGCTGCTCTCCTGTACACACATAGAGTGAGTAAGGGTGGTGCTGGATAGAGGGGTTGAAGGGCTACATACCACGTCTGCTCGCCGCGGCGCCACCACATCTGCGTTACGGCAATGCATGAGGGTGCTATCAATACACATCCATGGATTAGCCCTCACCCTCACATCAGCCCATACCATAAAAGGGGAGATACCAATCATGGACTCAAAAGCCCCCAAACAAAACCTTAGTCCCAGCAAACTCGGAAAATCCGTGCAAGCCGCCATAATGGTCAGAGAACTCCCCCACAGAAAGATCGCCGCCGCAATGACCTTGCCCGTGGGCAACTTGACCAGCACCAGCGCCGCCAGCGGCTGCATGACCAGCTGGGCCAGGTACAGGATCGACCCGAGCCATGAGTACTGCTGGCCCACGAGCTTTGCGTCCTCGACGAGCCCGAAGATCGAGACGTACGACAGGCTGGATTTGTCGAGTTGTTGGAAGAAGTATGCGCCCAGGAGGAGGGGGAGGACGCGCAGGTCGATGCGTCGGAGGACGGCCTTTTCTTCTTCTGGCGTGAAGGTGCGGTCGACTGTTGTGGAGGCCAGGAATTGCGCGGCTTTTTCGGCGGTTGGCGTTGGTTTGGGGGTGTCGCTGTCTGCTGTGTCGGTGGCTGGGGTGATGGTGTCTGCGGACTCGATCTGTTCTGGGGAGGGGGGTTTGCTTGCCATCTTGCTGCTGGTGTCAAACGTAGGGCACGCAACCTGCAGCACGAGGTAATCCTACATGGCGCACCCCTCTCTATATACCCGGTCGGTGTCATCTTACCCGGCCAGCTGTGCACTCTTGACGGACAAGCTCCTCCTCCCGACTTGCCTCGCTTGACTCTGAGAGCAGGGTATGCATTGGACGCCCATATCTCGCAGGATTCGCCAAGATAGCCCTTCTCCAATCTACCCCGGACTGTCTGCCCCAGAATGCGGGGGTTGCATGGCCCTGCACGTTGATTGACGGAAAATAGACGACGATCTCCCGACTTCCATTCAGCCTATTTGACACCAGCAGTGGTTATCGCACTGGTCGTAGCACATGCTCCTCGTGCGCGGGGTATCTCGGCCCCCTTCACCCCGACCGTCTTCCTTCTTATATCCCAACCCAGCAACCGCCCCAGCTTCCCAAGCCACTGCCCAACCCAACACCAACAAAATGGTCAAAAAATACGCCCTGGTCGGCACCGGCGGCCGCGCCATCTTCTTCTACACAGCCATCGCCCGCGACTTCCGCGAAACCGCCTGCCTCGTCGCCTTCTGCGACACCAACCAAACGCGCCTGGCCTACGCAAACACCCGCCTCGAAGCCCTCGGCCACCCCAAGATCCCAACATACCTGGCCCACGACTTCGACGCCATGATCGCCGACACAGAGCCCGACGAGGTCATCGTGACCACCATCGACCGCACGCACAACATCTACATCGTGCGCGCGCTGGACCTAGGCTGCAACGTGATCACCGAGAAACCGATGACGATCGACGCCCCACGGTGCCGCGAGATCTTCGACGCGGTCGAAAGGACGGGAAAGAGCGTGAGAGTCACCTTCAACTACCGGTACGCGCCGCACAACACGAAGATCCACGAGCTGCTGGTGTCCGGCGCAATCGGGGCCATCCACTCCGTGCACTTCGAGTGGCTGCTCAACACGCAGCACGGCGCAGACTACTACCGGCGCTGGCACCGCGACAAGCGGAACAGCGGGGGCCTATTGGTGCACAAGTCGACGCACCATTTCGACCTTGTGAATTTCTGGCTGCGCAGTAGGCCCGAGAGCGTGGTGGCCATGGGCGACCTGCGGTTCTACGGGCGTGAGAACGCAGAGCGCCGCGGGGAAACGAAGTTCTATTCCCGGGCACACGGGAGCAAGAATGCAGAGGATGACCACTTCGCGCTGCATCTCGACCGCAATCCCCAGCTGAAGGCGATGTATCTCGATGCGGAGGGTGAAGACGCGTACCACCGCGACCAGTCCGTGTTCAGCGACGGGATCAGCATCGAGGATACGATGGGCGTGATGGTGCGGTATCGCTCTGGCGCGGTGCTAATGTACAGCCTGACCTCGTATGCGCCGTGGGAGGGGTTCCGGGTGATGTTCAATGGGAGCGGGGGGCGGCTGGAGGTGGAGGTAGTCGAGCAGAGCTATGTGAATTCCGGCGGGGAGCAGGCGCTTGAGGGGGCGCTGGAGGCGCGGTCGGTTGTGCTGCGGCCGTTGTTTGGGAAGCCGGTCGAGATTGAGATTCCGGTTGGCGAGGGGGGGCATGGAGGGGGGGATCCGCAGCTGTTGAGGGATCTTTTTGGGGAGAAGAGTGAGGATCCGGCTGGACGGGCGGCGTCGCATGTGGATGGGGCGTTGTCGATTCTCACGGGGATTTGTGCGAATCTGTCGATGAGGACGGGGCAGGTGGTTAGGGTTGATGATGTGTTGAAGGTGTAGGTACTCGTAATGGTATAGACAGGTCTAGATGGTCGCAGGTCAGATACTACCGGTGTCATCGAACATTGAAGCATCTCTTAGTAACCAGGTAATCTTCAATGCCCCTTGTTTGAAGAAGTCGAGTCTCCATCCAGCTCCCAAAGCTGTCCCTACTGGTAGGGTCCATTGGGGGTAGCAAGGTCTAGCAAAGGGACCCTACACGACAAGCTCGCTTACCCCCGACAAGTCTGAATGAGACTTGTGAACAACCAGCCTTTGTTTGCTGGCAGAACAATGACATGAGCAAGTTCCTGTTACTTGTTCAAGAGACGGTAGTTCATTGCCAATTTGCTTTGTCGAACAATGCCACCTACAAAGCCCAGGGTATAAAGGAGACAGTCTTCCTGGTATAAAGTCATGGTCTACCTCTGTCGATACGAAACCATATGCGATCCTAGGTAGTGTATACCAACCGTTCATTCATGAATCCCAACTCAAAAATGGCCGGCCCAACTCTCCTCGACCTCCCCGATGAGCTCCTCCTCCAGATATGCGAGCACCTGTCACGGTCACCAAAGAGCCTCGCCGCTCTCTCCAGGACATCGCGAGATCTCTACCGAGTGGCCGATCCAGTGCTATACTCACCGTCCAGGCGTGACCACGATCGCCGGCTCCAATACATCCTTGATTGGGCAGGTCGCAAGGGACAGGAAAATACCATGGCCTACGCTCTGCACTGGCTCTACCGCGCTATGCCACACAACCCAAGCCTGGGCTCTGACGCACTGGTATCAGCTTCTGCCGCCGGTTTCACGAACATCGTGCAGAAGCTGCTGGCAGATGGGGTGCCTCCAGGTGGCTGCGAGCAAGGCCTGACCAGGCACTCCAGTCACAGGTGGCCGAAAGCCCGGACACCCCTGCTGGCAGCTATGCTTGGGGGTCAGTTTGAAACCGTCGTTATCCTCTTAAACGCGGGAGCAAGGTTCAGCGGTTGCGACTTCGTTACAACGTTTCGCCTTGTCTGCACGGCACACGGCCAGCTCATCTGGCCGCGGCTTCTCCAGAGCGGGCTGAAGGTCAACATCACCAATAATCTGGGCAGCACCCTCCTGCACTTTGCTTGCCGTGCCGGCTCCATAGCCATTGTGCAATTGCTGATAGGCAGTGGTCATGACCCCAACCGTCCCGACGGTCACCACGAGGCCCCCATAAGCCTTGCAATCCGGTCGAGCAGGCCCGGCAGCTGCGGCTGCGTTGATATAATCCGATACTTGCTCGACCACGGAGCGCACGCTGACCGGGTCTGCACTTTCCAGGGCTGGTATCCTCTGCACGTTGCATCCAGCATTGGCCATCCTGAAGCCGTCCAGCTTCTCCTCCAGTACAAGGCCGACGTGGATGCCCTGCGGGGAGACGGTCTTACGGCGCTAGGCGCCCTAGGAGCCAGTGGCTCATTTCGACAGGCACGCTCTGCAAAGCACGACAAGCGGGAGTACGAGGTTGTCAAGCTCCTCCTAGAAGCAGGCGCATCGGTACGGACGAACGAGGCTCAGACGATGGCGTTGTTACGCAGCGTTGCTGCCAGCGGCAACGGTCCGTACTGCGAGATGCTGCTGCACGCCTGGGAGGAGCAAGCACCGCGGGTTCTCCCTCTGGAGCTCGTGGCCCTTGCCATAGCCGCAACCGGAGATGCCCAGGAGCTGCACCACGCCCTGATGCAGCGCGGTATACCCTGTTATATACCTGGGGCCATACGCAGACGGCTCACCGGCCCACTGCACCTCGTCACCCCGCTGATGGCCGCAGTAAAGACACGCAACGAAGACGCAATCGACGTGGCAATCTACCACGAGCGGCTCTTCGTCGCACTCGGCCCAAACGGCCGCACGGTCCTGCACCAAGCCCTCGCCGACCCAACCCTGCCCGAGGAAACCATCCGCCTCCTCCTCGACAGAACAACCAACATCACACGCCCAGACGCCATGGGCGACACCCCGCTCGTCACAGCGACAAAGCACCAGCCAGCCCCCGTAGTCTCAATGGTCCTAAACCGCCTCCACGCAGACACCATCAAAGCCCGACCCCTCCGCCGCCCCGTAAGACGCGGAATCGACCTCCCCAATCTCCTCTACGACCGGCTCCTCTCAAGCGTCGCCAGCGCACTCGAGGTCGCAGCACGCGAGAACAAGGTAATATCCGCCCTCACCCTCCTGCACTACCTCACCAAGCACGGCCTCAAATGCAACACCACCTGCCAACCTCTACACATCGCCCTCACCCTGAACAACAACCTACTCGCCCTCCTAATCATCCGCAGCAGACAAGCCCTCACCAGCACAGACACCCGCGGCTTCACACCTCTCATCAAAGCCGCCAACCTCGGGCAAGCAAGCATAGTCAAGGCCCTGATCGACGCAAAGGTCGACCTAAAAGCCAAGTCAGCGAAAGGCCACACGGCGCTCGACGTCGCCGCGGCAAAGGGGCACAAGGTCTGCGTTGAGTTCCTGCTCAAGGCGGACCCTGACTCGCGGCGCTGCAAGGCAAGCAAGAAGATCCCCCTCCTCCGCGTCGCGGCTGCGCACGGGTGCGTGGGTCTTCTTGACGAGTGGCTGGCTGAGCTGAAGAATGCGTGCAGCCCGGCTGGGTACGCGGATGTCCTGGGTGAGCTTTTGGGCCTTGCGGCTGCGCATGACGAGGTAGAGGCGTGCCATTGGCTGCTGTACCATGGGGCGGATGTTGATTATGTTGATGCGCGAGGGCGCACGGCGCTCTCGCATGCTGCGTATCGCAATGCGGCGCGGTCGGCGGGGGTTCTTGTGGCTAGGGGGTGTGATATCCATCTGTCGGATCATGCGGGTAAGAGTCCGTTGCAGCGGACGTCGAGTGATGAGGTGGTGAGGATTCTGTATGAGGCGATGAGGTGAGTACACCACCCTACCTGCAGGTGTATGATCTTCACTTTCCACGGATGTGTGTCCTTCTTTCCTCGCACCGACCTATGTGTCTTTTAATCGTGCCTTTTGATTTCTATTTTCGAAGAGCTTATGCTGCTAATCTGCCAACTTAGTATTATAGCGAGAGATAGGGTTCCCTCCAGGGCTGGGTGGTCCATGCCACCCGCTCATTCATTCTAGGAATAAATCAGTCTGTCTTAACCGAGTTCTTTCCGTTTCATTCGTAGTGAGCACCCTGCCAGTAGATACACCATCAACATCTAGTACCATTGTAAGCAAAAGCATTGGGTTTTCGACGCTGTTAGATAGATTTTAGCGATATAGACCGCTACTACAAAACGCCTTTCATCCAATCACCGGCCGGCTGGCCCAATTGGCAAGGCGTCTGACTACGAATCAGGAGATTGCAGGTTCGAGCCCTGCGTCGGTCATCTTTTTTGCTTGCTGCACTTGTTTTTTGTGAAGGGATCAGAATTTTTGGTCCGGTGGGGGCGCTCCACCAGCCGTTGACCAGATCATAGAGTACATAAGATCCTGACTGGCAGCATCATAGGGTTTCAAGGACGCCAGGAACAACGTTCTTGATTCCAGACGTAAGGTTTCCATTCTTGGCAGATGATACTCCATTACAAGTGGTGTATCCCTCTGGAGGATCAGCTTGCTCTCATCAAAATCCTTCTAAAAAATCAGCTCCGCCTATCAACAGATATATAAAACCCCGAAATCCTTTGAAGCATCATATGAATATTAAACAACAACCGACTCGCCCACTCATTCCCAATTCTCTCGCCCAACAAAATACTTCGCATTGGTCACCCACCCCGTGTACGCCTGATACCCACCGGCCATCACATACACCTTCTGCGCCGTCGCCTCATCCCTCCCGCCCTGCTTCCTCATGAACTGCCAATACCCCCGCGCAATAGCCGGAGTCCTGTTCCTGCTCTGATAGCAATGGAACACAACGTGTTTGACATTGGGGTCCGCAGCAACCTGATACACAACCGAGTTGTGGTCATTGTAGAGCGCCTGCCAGTTGTTCTGCACATCCACTTCCTTCTGTCTCGATACGGTCGTCTTCGCGCTTTCCTGCATGTCGAAGTTCGTGTACCAGTTGTCCCGCTCGGCGCTCGAGTCAACGAGCGGCCAGTTCTTTGCGCCGCGGACCCGTCCGGTCGTTTCGTCCGTTGCGCTGTCCTCTGGGCAATCAACCGTTAGCTAACGTAGATAATCGTCAGTAGGGACGACATACCCTTCCGCCGGAGATCAATGATGACAATCTCCTCCCGCTTAATCTTGGCCGAGTTCCCGCTGGTGTAGAACGCGGCTTCGGCGGGCGTGATCACCTTGACCTTGTGCATGAGAGAGAACGGCCCCGTGCCCTTGCGCCCAGTCGCATGCATCCCGTCGACAGAAGGCCAGAAGCCGTTGGCGGTGATATCCACTCCGAGCTCGCCGTCTTTGATGTTCAGCTCGAGGGCCTTGAGACTGGCGTTTGTTGGGAACGGCCTGACTTCGTACGATAGGGATCTCTCGGCTGTGCCGACGTCGTCTTCGGGGTCTGAGGTTTATCAGCATGATATTGATATGCTGAGTAGAGGTCAAGGGCGTACCTAGGAAGCCCTCTGCGAGCTTTTCCACATCGGACTTTGCTTGAGGGTCACCTGTAGGGACCTCGACTTTGCCGCCCGTGGAGGTCTCGACGTGGGGATGAGGCTGGGACTCTTTTCCCTCGTCGTGGAATTCTTTGCCGAATTCGACTGCTTTACCCTCGCGACCTGACATTTTGGGATTGTAGATGAGGAGTGCGATGGTGGTAGATGCATGGTTTTCTCTGGATCGTGGGAATGGGGATATTTATATGCTGCCAGGCGCCCGCGACCCAGGACATGATGCCATCGATTTCTGATGCTTCCTTATGACCCGGCTGTTCTTCCCCATTGTGATGAAGATAACGAATGTTTGTTGCCCAAGAATGTGTTCAGCTGTGATGTTGCAAGGGAAACTTGTTTGATCGGTGTCTAGACTTCGGTGAACATGTCACGGGTACATGCTTTCAGCTGTATCATGCACAGCTGAGCCACGAACCCGTTACTTACAGCTAGCCCAACCGACAACAGGGGCTCGAGTGGTTTGCCTTTCGGATAAACTAACGAGTTCTTCAGGGACGTGTGGGGACGTGCAGGTGGCGAGCTGAAGATAACGATCTGACCGTCGGAGAGGGCAAACATAGCCGAGTACCTGACATGGATCAGGATTCTTCCAACATCACATTTTACAATGCAAGGGCAAGCGAACAGGATATAAATTGGTTGAATTTCCCATCTTCAGACCTACATCCGCGTTCTGCAAAGACCAAGCACTGCCATCCTTCCCCTGCTCCCAGAAAAGACCAGAGCCATCATGTCTTCCTACCCCGTCTCCCAAGAGGAGAAGGACAAAGACCGTTCTTCCAAATGGCAGATCATCAATGTACGTACGCCCTATCTTTTGTTTAAGTGGGCCATCCCTCACGCAACCACAGGAAGAATACGAGTTCTATCCCAGCAACACGTCCAACAACGACATCTACATGGGCCAGCTGGGCGACCACATCGTGAGCGCCTTCTCCACCATGGCGTTTGCCCTGCCAGGGCCGATCGGCGCCCTGGCTTCGGCGGGCATCTCGCTTGGCTGGTGGCTCGTTCGCACAGACACACAGTCGCACCTCCAGGACACGACATACAAGCTTCTGGCCGATAATATCAAGAAGCAAGGTCTCGCACAGGAGGTCATGGACATGAACCTGACGCTGAAGGAGACCATCTCGTGGCTGAAGGATCGTGAGGCCGATTTCAAGACCCCGCGGCCGGAGTTGAAGGATCTGATGCAGGTAAGCTCTTCCCCTCACATTGTTACCTGGGTTGGCCCGGTTTAGGGAGCAGACTGACAGCCCTAGACCGACTACCTAGCCTGGCTAGTCAAGCAGTCCCAGCCAGACGGAGTCCTCGTCAGCATCCTAGACAAACTCCTCTCCCGCTGGACCGGCTGGTACGACCACGACATCGAAACAACCATCAGCCTCGCAATCACCTGCTTCTTCCTATGCTTCAACCGCCGATGCTGGATCTACGCCAACTTCGCGCGGCAAGCCCACACCGAGATCGCCGAAGCGACCGTCGTAACCCCGGAGCTGATCGCCCAATACAACCGGCACATCGCCGAGCTCCGCGCAACAGCACACATGATGCGCCTCGAAATCGACCGCCGCACCAAAGAAATCAGCGACAAAATCACCACCATGAAAGCCGCGCGCAAAACCTCCATCGGCCCCCTGCACCAGGTAAGCGGCGAGACACAAACGGTGGGCTACTTCATCGACGAGCTGGACTTCGAGCCGTCGGCGCTGAGCATGGTGGAGCCCGTGTTCACGCGGCACTGGTGCGTGCGCGACAACACGGCGCAGAAGACGGTGAAGTTCGTGGAGGAGGCGCGCCTGCCCACGGGGCAGTTCCTGCTGTGGTCGACGAACTATGCGTGGCAGGATAAGCGCGGACGGGGGGAGCAGCTGCATCGCGAGTACCTGGACCGCCTGCAGCGGCATGTCGATCGGCATTTCGTCCAGGCGCCGAAGATCCTGGCGGTTTGTGCGAGGTATCTTGCTGATGCGGAGAAGTTGATGAAGCCTGCGGAGGATCTGGGCGCGCCGCGCATTTTGGTGCGTTATGTTGTCTTGCCCTGAGCAGTGATAGATCCATGCTGATACTACCCTATATAGAATCTCGCTCCATCGACTACGACTCCGTCCAACACGCAGGTTGCGTATCGCGTGGTCATCGAGCAGCAGGAGGGAGGCCAAGCCATGGTTAAGACACCCTGGACCGAATGGACCGATACCGCTGGCTTCGACGGGCAGCCGAAATTGCTCATTGGCAATGGGGCTGCGCCTGCGGACGCAAGATGCCACGTCTACCGGTTGGAGAGGAAGACGGGCGATGATAGTGTCCGGCTTGCGGACGAGATTGCCGGGGAGCTCGTCGAGACGGTGCAGTGTTTGGGGCTGCGGATTTGGTCGGATAAGAAGGCGCCGTTGGCTAAATTGTAGGAGGGGTTGTGTATAGATTAGGGCGTTCGTTCTGTCGGTTTTGCTTCTTATTTCTATACTCTTACTTCGTGTTGTTCTGCTTTCTGCCCTTCTCACTTCATCGTGTTCTCCATTGTCGACCATACGTATTGCCGTGGCAGATCTAGCAGGAGCTGGCCCTGACGTAGTTTCCTTTTCCTCCAGGCCCTTGCTAATCAAAGTGATTGTGAATTTAGGAAGGGAGTCAAAGTCTCTGACGATGGCTCAACCAAACATGTACAGGATTAAGGGCGTTAGTCCTCAAGGCACATCTGCACTGGTCTCATATGTCAGATTCAAATCAAGAGCGATACAATTAGAAAAACAGCGCATCAAGGCGCGACTCGTCCAGTTTGTTGACCCAGTCGAGAGAATCATCAATGGATATCTTACCTAGCCGCCATTGCCGCCATCACCAACCTTGATTGACTGTCCGGTCCATTTCCATCGGATTACCCAGGCTGTCACGAGAGAGATGATCACGACTCAGAGCCCTTATCGCTGCTTCTGCCACATGAGCCGCAGGACCCAAGCAGCGTTGGGGGCGTTGATGCGCCAGGCGCGGCCCAAGAATCAAGTAGGTAGGGCTGCTGGCGCACGTGACCCGTCATCTGTTTCAAGAGCCCCAGCGAATGGGAAAAGCAATGAGATGGATGTATGCTTGGTCGTTAGTATAGATCCTTGGTACCTTTGTTTCAGGGCTGCCATTTTTCTGGGTTGCCTCTGAGCAAGTCGTTATACAATGAACTGAAACATAGCAGACGGTGTTCTTTGTGCCCATTATAGCAATATATCAAGCGTTCAAATGTTTCGAACCAACAAACCCAGTTCAACAATGCAATCGCCTGAAAGAACTCAAACCTTTGTGCCAGCCTAGTGAGAAAATATTTATATACCCAAGACAGAAGCACAACAGAGCGAGAAATTTACCTCTTCTCATTTCCACGTCCATCCCAGGCCTGATAATCATCCACCACTCCCAAATCCAAAATGCCAACCCCCTTTCCAAAAATGTCCTTCAACGACTTCAACACCTCCGCCGACGAGCTCATCTACGCCGCAGAAACCGGCGACGTCGACGCCCTAACAACCCTCCTGAACAGCGGCGTCAGCCCCCGCATCGGTTTCCGCCAGCCACTGATGGCCGCCATCCTAAACAACCACACATCAGCCGTGAAGCTCCTCCTCACCCGCGGGGCGCTGGACGAGTGTCTTGCTGTGACGTCCTCCGAGCACTACTCGTTCCCGGAGAGCGGTGATATCACGTGTAGTCTGCATTTCGCGGCCCTTCATGGCAAGGTCGATGTTGTGAAGATGCTACTGGGGCTGGGGATCTCTGTGGATTGTGTTGATGGAGTGGGCCGTACTGCGTTGGGGTTTGCGGCGCGCGCGGGGAGGATTGAGGTTGTTAGGTTGCTTGTCCAGTGTGGTGCGGATTTGGGGAAGGTTGATAGGGAGGGTCTCACGGCGCTGGACCATGCGGCTGCGGCTGTAGAAGTGGGCGTTATTGAGTTCCTTAGGGGGGAGATGAAGAGGCAGGCTAAGATCAAGGCGAAGGTGTAAGTTGTGCGAATGGGGATGTTCGGGATGTTAAAGCGACCGTTTCTTGCGATCTTAGCGGTATTATTCCCTTTTGTTTGTTTTATTTGATGTCTATAGATTTGTATCCAGTTGGATTATATTCATTTGCTCTTTCCGCAAGACAGGATACTGTACCTCGGGTTACTTGTTTGACAGTCCATTTGAGAAGACAAGAAGGATAGGCAATTCCCTATGGTAGCTAAAGAAATTAATGCCACTACCCCGGCAATAATAATGCTCTATCAGATACCTCAGAACCCCGTGGTCTTCGTTCTGGCACGGCCGCTCTTTGGTTGAATGTAGGCTTTGTTTTGCATACCAACAAAAGATTGTAAATAACTATGAAACAAACGATTGATTCACAGAATGCAAAGGAAACCACTATCAAAGGCCTGCCATTTCCCGTGATCTGATCTCGAACTTTCCCTCTGTCAGTCGAGTTACTAGCTACGCACTCTCCTAGCCCTCCTGGAACGGTGGTTTACGCTGCAATTAGATTCCAGTTTTCAGAGTGCTAGCTGTCATACTCAGAGAGATAGCAACCAAGCACAGGACGACTTGGGAAGAATACGCTCCCCAGGTCCCAGAGTAGGTAGCAGCGGAATTGTCTATGGCTGTCTGCAAGTCTGCCTTGCCGTGAGCTTAGGAAACCGCTGAAGGAGATATACCTAAGTGATATCACCTGCACAAACCAAACTCCGCACTGTGGACGTCTACCTAGGTAGGCTTGACATCATTCGCACTCATGGCCCTTCAAATGATACATTCTATATATAACACTTGGGCTGGACTCTTGTCACAAATGATAAAACATGTTATCTAGTCCAAGAAACATAGCAGGAGATAGACATATAACTCTCAGTGCAAAAATCTGGTTCTCTTAAAAAACAATAATAGAATCTTTGTTCTCCAGTTCCTCAAACGAGCATTGAATACAATAACCTTGGCTCTTTGTCCGGCTTTTCCCTATAAACATAGAGTATAGACCATGAATCCCATGATTATGGTCTATAATTCTTCCACACTGCGTGAAATTACGACTGGAAGCAAGATAACACTACATCCTATATTGCAGCATACCTAAACCACCAACATGCCTTCCCTCCTCACCCTCCCCGAGGAGCTTATCCTCATAATCTGCGAGAACATGACCCGGCCTTCGTTAGCAACATTCCTCCGTACCAACACCAAAGCCCACCGAATCGGGCAATACGTCCTCTACAAGCTGCCACCAACCGAGAAACTCCGCGTCTTCACCTGGGCCCTCACCAACGCCCGCCACACATCAACAGCATACCTCCTCCCATCAATCGTGGCCCTCAGCACCACCGACACCACAATAGGCGCAACAGCCCTAGCATCCGCCTGCGCCGCAACCCACGTCGTCGCCGTAACCGCCCTCCTAGACGGCGGCGTCAGCGCAAACGCCTCCTTCCCAAACGGCACCCGCACAGCCCTCATCGCAGCGGCCGAAGGCACGAACTACAACGACGCCGCGCAGTGCGTGCGCCTCCTCCTCTCCCACGGCGCGAACCCGGACGCCACCGACAGCACAAACCGAACAGCGCTGCACTTCGCGGCGTCGCGGGGAAACCTCCCCGTCATCAACGACCTGCTTGGCGCTGGCGCAGACGTCCACGCCAGGAATAACCTCAACCAGACACCCATTCTACTCGCCGCATCACGGGACCAGTATCTCGCCGTCCAACGACTCCTCGGGAACGGCGCGAACATCAACGACTCAGATACCCGTGGCCGAACCGTCTTGATCATCGCTGCGGACCGCGGGATGCTGAATATCGTGCGGCTGGCGGTGCAGAGCGGGGCAGATGTGAACGCTGTCAATGGATTCGGGCGTACGGCTGTTTCTTGGGCCGCCGAGCATGGGAATGAGAATGTTGTTGAGGTGCTGGTTGGTGCGGGGTGTGATGTTAATTTGCGGGATCGGATGGAGACCTCGCCGTTGGATTATTGTGTGCTGAGCACGCCCGCTGGGAGGAGGGTTAGGGCCTTGTTGGTTAAGGCTGGGGCGGAGGAGAGGGGTGCTTGATCTGTTTCTTGTCGCTTTTCTTGCCTTCTTGGTGTCTTTTTGGCGTTGCTCAACTGTGTGTTCTGGGTTCTGTATATGGCTTCGATGTGTCATTAGCATGGATAGGTTGATCTGGAAGCCAATCTGGGGTTGGAAATATACGCCACAAAGATGGAAACGTACACCATAAGGATTGATACGAAGGGGATAATTAGGATTGTAGGGTAGATCTACTTGCTATCAGCTCAGGATACTGCAATAAAACCTTCCATAACCACTACTCCGATAAATCTTTCCTGACGACCGTATCGACTCGTGCGCAATGCTGGAGCAGGGGACCCTTTCCCATATCAAGTTCCTCTTCGATGTATTTCATTCAGAATATCCAAGCAGGCTTTGATCTGATGGAATACAAGTCGTCCTGTGTACGCACCGACAGGCAAATCCATCCACACCTCCAGGGCTGGAGGTTGCGAGGAATCTGCAAGCATGAAACCTTCTATCTAAGTTGCTTTCCTGTCCTCGCTTTCTATCTTCTAGATATGCTCTGTCAACCCCGAGTCGGTACCCCCGGCTCTGTTATATTGACGACTCTGGCCATCTAGATAGCGTCAACTCTCAAGCCTACCTAAGTCTACCTCTCTCGTGCAAGGCCAACTACCCCCGTAGCCAACAGAGCTCTCTCCTGACGCCAAGTCAACTGTGAATAGAAGCTCCAGAACTGCTACTGCCAGCCCCTCTCTTGCTGCCTGAGACTGAATCTCGTCACCCCAGCCCTGAGTCAGTTAACAGTTTGGGTCAGTCGCCACCCCCTTCCCATCAGCCAATGGGCGTCTGTGTTGTTTATACTTCTGCAGTCGAGGTGAATCGAGACGAAAAGACGAAGAGTGAAGCAAAAGAGAAGACAGGGAGTGATGGGAGAGCTCAGACGAACTGGACTTCTCCGGCTCAACTATATATTCTCCCTCCAACCCACTCTTCCTCATCCTTTCCTCCATCCTCAACCCATCCATCTTTCCATCTATCCTCTACAGAGATCCAATCCAGAAACCAAAAACAAAACCGCCATCATGGCACACAACCCTCCCACTCTGCTCTCCCTCCCCGAGGAGCTGATGGCAAACATCTGCAACCACCTCTCGACCCAGAGCCTCGGAAAGTTCTGCCAAGTCTCTCGCAAAGCAAACCGCATCGCAAGCGAGGTCCTTTACACATTCAGAGGACAGCCAAATGGCTCGCCCGAGTACCTGGCCCGCTCGCTTGACGACACCCTCGAGAGAGCCGCCCCTGCCGGAGAAGCAGTGATGCTCCGCCTCCTCGAACGAAGCATGAACACCCTGCGTCTCAGCGAGCGCCGCACCCTCGCTGCCCTCCTCTACTCGGCTGAACACGGCTATCCAAATGCAGTCCAGGCTCTTCTGGATGCAGGTGTCTCGCCCGATGCTGATGTTTATGTTGAACGTGAGGAAACCAGAACCGTGACCGCGGTCAAGACTGCTTGGGAAGGACAGCACGACAACATCGTTAACATGTTGGTCCGTCATGGAGCCAATATGTCCTCCTATGACTTCCAGTGGACGCACAACTTGCTCTCCCGCACGACTCCTCAAGAGGCCGCGGAAATGATCGATGCCGGTCTGGGAATCGCCCAGGTTGACCAGGACGGCAACACCCTGCTCCATTTGATGAACTCCTCTGTTCCAATGCTTCAACTGCTGGTTTCTAAGGGTCTGGACGTCAATGTCACCAACTATGATGTGGAGACGCCGATTTACAAAGCTATTCATCCCCTTCCTTTCAGCGCTGTCGGCCAGGAATGGGCTCTGGACGACGACGACGAAATCCCTGCTCCCCGGCAGTCGGAGCTCGATGCCATTCGCTTCTTTCTGGGCAACGGCGCCAATGTCAATGCCCCGTGCGATGGTAACTTATTTCCCATCCACGTGGCCTGCCTGCATGGCTCACCCGAAGTCATGCGGCTGCTGCTGGAGTCTGGAGCAAACGTGAACTCTGTGGGCACCGTCACTGGTGAGACGGTCATGTTCCAGCTTTCCATTCGTGACGACGAGAGCCCCGATATCCTGCGCATGCTTCTCGATGCCGGCCTTGACTTCTGTATTCATGAGCCCTCCACCGAGGCGTTCCTCACTAGGGCCATCGAGGAGAAGTGGACCGCGTCCCTGACGATGCTGTTTTACGACCATACGGAGCAGATCGAGAAGCTGACGTGCGACGAGACTCTCTTCCAGGCCGCCGCCGTCCTTGGAGACATTTCCATCATGCGGAACATGGTCCTCGGCGGCGTCATTAACCCCAACGCTGACTCTTTCTTTGCGTCCATCGTCCACGCCTGCCACCGCGGGAACTTGGAAGCCGTCAAGTTCCTCGTCAATGAGGCAGGCCTCTTCTACCGCGATGTCCCGGACGCCGACGGCTTCACGCCCATCCACGCCGCCATCGTAGTCGGGGAAAACTCCACAGAGATTGTCCACTTCCTCCTCGAACGCATTCCGTTCAACAACCTTTCCCGTGAGGGTACGTTGGGCGTTGTCACCGCGCTCGACGACGCAGTTCTGTTCCAGGATCTATCTCTCGTGCGTCTCCTCATCCAGCGACTCGAGGAGGTCCCGCGCACCCGAGTCCGGCTGCAAGACGACCTGTCCAGTGCCCTGACCTGCGCCGTGAGGAGCCAACAGGCCGAGAAAGTCGAGTTCCTCGTGTCCGAAATGCAACGGCTTGCCATAACAGTCACCACGCGCCACGCACCCCTGTTCTGGGCGATCACAGGGACCGACTGTAATCTGGACATCGCACAGACGCTGCTCGACGCGAACATGAGCATCGACCACGCCCCGGAAAACGAGACCATCACGCCGCTGATCATGGCCCTCGATGAAGAATACGTCGACATCGCATCGCAGCTGATCTCCGAGAAGAACGCCAGCCTCGACGCCACAACCTCCGACGGCAGAACGGCCCTCATGTTCGCCGCCGATAAAGGCTACGCAGACCTCGTCTGCCAGATGCTATCCCGCCCCGTCGACGTCAACGCAACCAATCCCGACAACAGCAACCTCACGGCCCTCGACTACGCCGTCGAAGCCGGGCACACCTACATCGCAGCCCTGCTCCTCGAAGCCGGCGCAACATTCCACCCCCTCCTCCTCCAAATCGCCGCGGCCCAAGACGACCCGGAGATCCTCGCGCTCTTCTTCCAGCCCGAGAACGCCAACGCCAACTCCCTCACCAAACAAGCCCTCCAATCCGCCCTGTACGCCGCGGCCCGCGCCGGCAACGCCGCCAACGTGCGTCTCCTCCTCGACCACGGCGCAAGCACAACAACCCTCTACGCCCACCACCCAGACGAGCGCGTTGACATCCCGCTCCACGGCGCCGTGCAGAGCGGCGACATCCCAACCGTCCAGGCTCTCCTCTCCACCGGCGGGGCCCGGGGATTCCTCAACGAAGTCAGCAACGGGCAGACCCCGCTCATGCTGGCGGCGTCGCAGCCCAACGGAGCTGGCATGGTCGAGTTCCTGATCTCGCGTGGCGTCGATGTGAACGTTAGCGTTGGGCTGGGGTGGACTGCGCTCTGGCACGCGGTTGAGCATTCGGTGCCTGACAGCGCGCGGGTTCTGGTACGGCATGGCGCGCGGATGGATTGGGTTGGTCGTGGGGACGGGGACGGGGACGGGGACGAGGAGAACATCGTGGTGTGGGATCCGTTGCTTCATGAGGCGGTGCGAAAGGGCGATGCGGAGGTTGTGGGGGTCCTTGTTGCTGGCGGCGCTGATGTCTTGCAGCGGAATGGGGATGGGATCACGGCGCTTGAGCTGTGTGAGGGGGTGCTGGAGCGTGATGAAGTCATTGCGGCGCTTTACTCGCGTCATCTGGCTTCTTGTTCTTGATTGTAATCTCCTTTGGTACATTTCCTTTTGTTTTCATTTAGTCTGTTACACAGTTTCCTTTCTTTTTAATTTCCTTTGTTACTTCGTTGGGCATTGAGGAATAGATGGTGCGAATTGGTTGCGATTTCACGATTGCAGACTAATCTACCTATCTATCTCTTTGGATGTGTCATTGTTGTACCTTGCGATGATGATGCGATGACCTGTATGACTGGACGACGTGCAGACTTACTTTGTTGTAAGTGGACATGACTTTACGAGCCTGGCACCAACTTCCTAGAACAATTGATGTTCCTAGACCCAACGAAGACAGACACTGTAACTAGAACAGGACAATTCAAACAATACAATGAATCAATCGAAGATCTTCTCTAGCGTAGACCAGACTTGCGTAGGAATCTTGACCTGAGCTGTGCATGGGCATCGTGAGTCCACGGAGCTAGCCCTAACTACCCCCATCAGCCCACCCAACCACACCATTCCCATAGCAACTTGCGTTGAATCATGCAATACGTAGATCCCGTAGACAAATGCCCGACGACATTCCAGATTACTGATCAAACTCCATGTTTCACGGTACCATCCAATCGGTGTCGAAGACGGACTTGATGATTAGTGATCGCGGCCTCTGGGCTGATTCTCGGGATCTGCACACCGGCACTACACACAAACCCTACTCCACGGACGGGTATATAAAGCAACATCCATGGATACCAGATACCGCACCTCCACGTCAACGACTCGTATCTTCTTAGCATCTACATTCTCAGAAAGCAGCATAACCCGCCCTGCCCCATCGCACAACAGCAGCAATGCCAGAGACCCAACCCTACAGAAACATCCTCCTGATCGGCGTACGCCCTCCCCATCCCCATTCCACAAGTCCTCAAAAACCCTCGAGCTCCACGTCCTTCCTAACAAATCAAACCCATAGGGCGGCGGCTCCCTCGGCACAATCCTGCTCCACTCGCTCCTCTCCGAACCAACCTTCACCGTAACAGTCCTAACGCGGCACACCTCGACCTCGCTGCGCAGCATCCGCGCAACCGGCGCAAAAACCCTCACAGTAGACGCCACATACCCGGAGTCCGACCTCGTCGCCGCATTCAAGGGCCAAGACGCCATCGTCAACGCAATCACCAGCTTCTCCGTCTCGCAGCAGCGCAAGTTCATTGATGCGGCGGTGGCCGCGGGCGTCAAGCGCTACGTCCCGTCTGAGTACGGGCTTGATAATAATGATGCGCGGGCGAGGGGGCTCAGTCCCGTGTTCAAAGAGAAGGGGCAGGTGCAGGATTATTTGAGATCCAAGGAGGACAGTGGGTTGAGTTGGACGGCGGTTGCGTGTGGGATGTGGATTGGGTGGTATGTTTTCATCTCCATGTGTTCTCGTGCCGTACACTCTATGGAAGAGGAGCACTTGGTTGGTTTGAGGGTGTTGTTGTTAATTATGTGCACTTGCAGGTCCCTCCGGAACAACTTCCTGGGCCTGGACTACGCCAACCGGACGATGACGCTGACGGACGACGGGCTGGGCCTCTTTTCGACGACAACACTGGCTAACACTGCGCTGGCTCTGAACCGCATCCTTTTGAGCCCCGGTGCCACCGCAAACCAGATCGTGTTCCTGAGCGACTTTGCCACGAGCCAGGCGGAGCTCGTGGAGACGATCGAGCGGGTTACGGGCGAGAAGTGGAAGCGGAAGACCCTCAACACGACAGAGGCAATTCCTGCGCTTACGGAGGCCTGGAACAAGGGTGATGCTGCGGCTGGGTATGGGCTGATTAATCTGGGTTTTACGAAGGGGGAGTATAGTGGGCACTTTGAAGGGAGGTATGAGATTCGGAATGAGGAGCTGGGGTTGCCGGGGAAGGACCTTGAGGGGGTTGTTAGGGAGGCGTTGGCGGAGATTGGGCATCCTGGTTTCTAAATGGTTCGACAGTCGTTAAGCGCAATGCAATGAGATTTGAATCGTGATCACGGATCATGTCATGCTATTCGGGCTTGGGATTCCATCCCTTGTACAAAGCCTTCCACGTGCCCTCCCAGACTCTCGCCCTCCCCTGATCATAGAAGAAGGATTGAAGCGCAGTGTCAATATGTACCCACTCATAAGTCCCAGGCCTTGTTTCGAAAATCTTACAAAATAGTGCCCTCTGCACCGTCAACGGCGCGATCCCCAAGTTCCTCGGAGTGGTCACCACCAGCGCCATCCACACAGCAAAGTCCGCCAACGCCGGGTCTCTCCACAGCTCTGGGACGGCAAGCAGCATCTCCGCACGCTTCCGCGGTTGCCTGAAGATAATTGCTGCGGGGTGGAATCCCATACAGCTTAAATCGTCAGCAAAACAGAGCAAAGCAGCGAAGAGACACTTCTCGATCGGTGTAAGATGTGCTGGAGCTGAGTACCGCCAGACGGGTATTAGGGCAGGATCAGTAGTTCCATGTGTGCGGAGCCAGGCGGAGAAGCTTTGCAGGATTGGGACTGAGTTTGTCGAGAGATGGCCTGTGTGGGTGAGGTGTTGAAAGCCGATGGGGAGGTCTAAAGTGCTCTGAACAGATAAAGTTGGATATAAGCTAGCAGCTTCAGCGGCGGGCGTGGCATTATAAGCAAGGGAGGTCTGAATATGGGTCGATAAGAGACTCTTCGAGACAAGCAGGGATGTCTGCAGGTTCGCGTCCATTCCCGGCACGGACTGGCCGATCTGGGCGAGGCCGCCTCTAGCGTCGACGACCGTCTCGAGCCCATCAAGATGGACCTGGCTGAAGTCGACGTACCCGAGATAGTCGTCGATTGGAATCAACAGACATAATGCTTGTATGAGCACATCGTCGACGATTTGGCGGCCAAGCATGTCCGTGACGAGATCGAAGAGCTTCTTGCGGTGGTACAAGGTAGCGGCTCGGGCCCGACCGGTGTCAGTGTGCTCCTGGGGCTCAAGGGTGCATAATGTAAAGGCTGCGAGACCGTGAAGGATTGCGTCGTGGGCATTGGACCAGTGGAGGAGGACGGAGGCGTAGAACTGCGCCCGGGAATCCCCGTGGCCGAGAGCGCTCGAGTCGTGAGGAAGCAGAACGTCAAAGTCTGGGATTGTTCGGTTAGATCCGCCTCGAGGAGAAGTCTAGACCTGTCACGTACAGTAGGCCAGGGCCCTGTTGGTAGATGGACCCTTGGTATCCAGGCTGATTGGGTAGAACTTGCCGGATGCAATCGGCACGGTCATTCGGGGCGTCACCGGCTGAATACACTGAGTAACTTGGCGATCGTTGCCATGCTTGGGCTCTGAGTCCTCCGGTTGCAGCCAATACGTGTTGATCCCCTGGTCTTGCCTTGCGGGCTTCCGGCGCTTCCTGGCCGCGTGCACCGCAACAAATGCATTGATTGTCCGGCGACTGGGCTTCTTGTTCTGACTCGCAGGATCGTACGTGATAAACATGGTCCTCCTTGGTTTCAAACCCCTATTCAGGATTGCAGGCCCGCAAATCACATCTCACTGTGCTTTTCAGCTGGCATCGCGGGGTTGGGAAATTATGCAGGATCCTGCCTAGTCCAGCTCGAGTTAGCTGCACTTGCTGGCACTAAGCTGTTCTGGAAATGCGACTTCCTAATCCCGCCTAGCTTCGAGCGCATCTTCTCTGCCTCCAAGGGTCCAGTCCTGCGAGATCCATGGACCCGCCACGTGGTCTGTGCCCAAGGCCTATATCAGCACAACATTGAGGCCTCCGCCAGATGCCAGACGAGAAGGTCTTGCCTCAACTGAGAAAGCCTTGAATCATGACCGAGTCAACGTTTGGCTTCATGCCGCTGGTGTTCTTCGTCGACGACGTTCAGCACCCAAAGTCAAAGAACTCGCGGAAGCGACTAGAGTCCACCTCACGATCACACGCAGCCCGAGTGGCGCATGAGAAGCGCAAGGCAGTCAAAGCAAAGGGCAATCCGGAAGACGCTTGCGGACGAAATCAGGGCCCGGCGATACTCCGCAACGCGCGAATGGCAGCGGTTCCGACGTCAATCAAGATCTGTACGTTGAGCACCCCTGCGACGGATACACGGTCAAAAGAGTCCAAACTGACATTAATATCCAGTTTGGCACGTCGTCGTTCCAGGCGTGAGGCCGATGTGCACCATTTTCAACACTCGATGCCTGGCGACCCAGGAATGGATGGGATATATGGCGCAAGACGTATTCTTCCACGCCGCAGCAGCAGCCATGCATGCCGCTCACGATCCGCTCATCAATCGCGAGTTCCGGACCCGGCCATCGCAAGTCATCTTTGAGCATCGGGGCAAAGCAATGGCTGCACTGCGACGACACATGGCGCGTGGCGAGGATATCACCGACGCCATGTTGCTCACAGTGTGTTTCCTCGCCTTGCTGGAACGGCGCTATAACGAAATGGAGGCCCATCAACTTCACAAGCAGGCTCTCGGCAGCTTGGTGGCTTCGCGAGGCGGCCTCGATGCTCTTCCGCCATATATCAAGTGCCTGCTCATGCAGTACGAGTTTCCTTGGGCGATTGAGACGGGCTCTTCGGTCTTGCCGCGGACTCAGCGGCGCCAGCCCCTTTACCCGGGTGGATCAGGCTCAAAGACCTTGCAGAAGCAGATACGCTCGCTGCCAGAGGGGTTCGCGGCCCTTGGTCTCCAAGGCAAGATCTCGACACACCTGCTTTTGATCTTGGAGCGGTTCACAATGTATCCAACAAAGGGCCGTGAGCTTGATACAGAGAACGAGAGCTGTAAACTTCACATCGGGTATGTGTTTGATGACTTCTGGGACGCGTTTCCTCAGCTTTCGTTCGATGAGCGCGACTCCCAGGAGCCATCGTTGAACAACCTGCTCTTCCTCTGTCTGCTCGTTTACGCAGGGTTGCGGCATAGTCCCATACCGCAGGTAAACAGCATCGTTGTCTGTATGCGGGCGGCTCTACACGCCAGGTTGGTCCAATGCACCCGGCTTAGAGAGGCGGCAGAAGAAGAGTGTCTCCGCTGGATATGGGCAGTCGCGGTTTCCTCGTGGAGGCAGAGGGACGGGACCCTTGATCAGCCTGGTTTCCAGTTGCTGGAGCGCCAACGCTGGAGACTCGGCTCTTCGAGCAGTGAAGAGTTTGAAAAGACTTTGAGGAAGTTCTTCTGGGACGATGGGTTGGAGATGACGTGCAGGCAGATGTTTCAAATTCAGGGCAGGAGCGACTGTCAACCTGGGAAATAGTCCCAGTGATTGGCTATAAAACTTGGCTATGTGAACAGATAGATACTGCATTGCAGAAACATGGATGCTGTTTCAAACTTGAATTTTGTAAACCTGACACGAGTCATTCCTGATTGTTCCTCGTCCGGATATTTTCCCCACCTGCATAGGGTATTATGCCAACAATAACTTCTAAATGCATGAAACCTCTAATACAGAGTTGGCAAGACACTTAGTGTGCTTCTCTATGCAAAAAGCTCATCGGACATGGTCCGAAAGTCCCTGAAATCTGGCGAACGCATATCCCGACCCCTGGGCGCACCAAGCCCAATGCAGGCGAACAACTTCCCCCAGCGGCATAGCGGCCAGCCTCAAACTGCCGGAATGTCTTTAGGCTGTTTGGTCATGCTGACAAGCTCCACACTAACCGAATCCAGAAGTTGCCCTGACAGATTGGGGATAGCTTCAAGCTGTGACCTGCAGGGTCGATGGGGGCGAATGTGCTGGCGATAGGGCTGGGGCAGGGACTTATCGTGCACGTCTACTATATCTAGCTTGGTATCTCCTGCCCCGTCGATGGTCAGATACATGTCTTTGACAATTTGCCACTCGGGACAACCTTAACTGGACTTCGACTGCCAGATTCCCAGCACAATGCCCCAGAAAAAGACCTCCACTTCCAATCGCGGAATACCCTCCAACCTGGATCCACATATGTTCGAGTACTACACAGCCTTTGCTGATGCCTCACTCGCACTCGCAATGCCCAAATCCACACCTGACAGTCCCCAAACCACCGACGAAGAAACCCCCAGCCATACGCCCTCACCCTTACCATCACCAAGCGCTGGAGCCACCCAGCAACAACCAAAACCCAAGCCCGGAAGACGCGGTCGCCCCAAGATCCTCGACAGCAACGGCGAAGAAGTAGCGAGCAAAGAGGTGCCCAAACCACCTTTCCCTATCCAAATTACCCCAGTTCGCTAATATACCCCCAGCGCCGAAAAGCCCAAGTCCGCCAAGCCCAACGAGCCTACCGCTCAAGAAAGGAAGAGCAAACAGCAGTGTTGCTGAAACGAGTAACCGAGCTGGAGCAGAAGCTGCGTCTTGCTCGAGATCTCTATCTGAGCACGCACGATGCCGTGATGACGTCGGGCGTGAGCTTCTTACTGAACGATTCGCGCTTGAAACTGCTGCACGATAACCTGCAGCTCCTGGTTGCCAATACGGCTGTTTCTGTTGGCCAGGATCCGACGGGGTCTTTATTAGACCTAAATGCGTTGGCACTGGCGACGGCCGGCCCGGGCGGCCAGCCCTTGGCCCTCGGGCCTCACATGGATAATATCGATATGGATATGCTCCTTGGGCACGGGCATGGGCAGGATATTCAGCCGGCGTTTAACCTGGATGGGTCGTTTGATATGGTTTTCTAGATTGGGTTGCGAGTAGCATTCGAGAGCTTGGACAATTAGTGCCATAGTGACGCAGCGGATTTGGACGGGGAGTGCGTGATACATACACTTAATTCGAGCATTGGTAGGCCTTGTACCCAGGTCTATATGAATGCATATAGCGCCTTATTCATGTCATCACATTTTCTACCATTCCACCGACGGGCGCCAAATAGACGTGGACCGGGTTCACTTCCTAATTCCACCTGAGTCCCTACTGCTGCCTACAGACCAAGCAGGTGCCAAACACCACATCCTTCTTCTGGACCCATCACGTTGTCGATTCCATCGAGGATACCTCTATCGAGAAATGATATCATGGGTCGCGATTACGCCAACGCATGCGCATGGCAACGACATCTATTTCTCATCAAATCCTGCCCCGAAACGCCACATGCTTCCACTCTACTCCCCATTCGCCTCAGTCCCAGGCCCGTCCGCAGCACGCTCAGCGTCGCTATGGACGCGAACTCGCCGGGTCGCGCACGGAGTACATTCACTGGGCCCGAGACCTCAGAAAGCAGCTAGCGCCAGATCGTCGCCCAGCACTGTTAATATATCGGAGCTCGTGCCGACTACCATGTCTGTGAGGTAGAATAGTATAATGATGGAAATCGTACAATCTACGTAGATTACCTACGTATGTAAGACTCATAACGTAGGTTCAGTTCCATGAAAGGCTTTGGAGCAGCTGTTCCTTCGCATCCTTCCACGCAATGAAATTTGCACAGCACTGAGTAGGTTCTAGGGCTATGTCCCAACCTAGGACGATTGATCTCGGATGGATGTACCTATCTCTAAGCACAAGGAGGCTGCCAGGAGCGAGGCGGGGATTCCGCAGCCGGCTTGAATTGCGTCGGTGCGGTAGGTAGGGTCGACGATAATAACCCCAGGGGTATGCAATTCTTTTGTTGGCCAGGTACCCTACACCGGGATAAAGGCGTTGTATAGCGGGTAGGCCATGCCAATTAGCTTTTCAAAGCAATTCCCATTTTGTATTGGTATCATCGATACGTCAAGGTAGCCCAAAGCTGTTACATCAACACGAGACTGCCAATATTCAAGAGCATGCTGACAGCGGCAGAGCTGTGTCTCCAGGCATATATAGCCAGAACAACTCACTCAATGCCTCACCTGCATTTTCATATACCGGCAATGCCTGGTATACAAGTAAACTGCACAGTGCACGCATTGGTAAGCTCGCCGGATAGTTCTGGTCATACCCTTAGTTGGCCAAATACAGACATCAACCTAATCAGTCTGGAAACACTCAAGGCATGAGAATCCTGCATATATAAGGGAATAAGAGGATAATAGGCAGCAATAACAGCTGTAGGGGTGAGACCCCAACGCATACTACCCTAGAATCCGTCATTACCCCCCAAACCTGATACCTGTACTTGTCACCAATTGCGCGTGCGGAGCCCGCCAAGGCACTGTTGTTTTGGGAAGCCCCATTGATGTTCTGCTTAACCCCGATATTTAATGGGAGTCTTGGTAAAGCAGACTGCAAGGGTGAGGTGAGGTGATGTAGGGAGAGGCGAGGAGAGGCGAGGAGAGGAGAGGTGGGGAGAGGTGGGGAGAGGTAAGGTGAGGTGAGGTAAAGGAAGCCAAGCAGATAGTAAAGATAATCCATAGTATGAGCACAAATCAAAGTTAGATTCCCCAATAACTACGCCGCAGGAACAGGATGTTAGCTTTGGCTGCAGATGGTTCAGGCTGGGGCTTGAGTTCCATACCCTTTCAGGGTCTAATGTAAGGGGCTGCCATGCAACGGGGCTGTGGGACATAATAACTGTAAAAAATACTTGTCACAATGCCGCCCTAGCCGCCGTCGGGCCTTGATAGAATCTACAAGTTTCCAGGGACTGATGTGGCAGCACAGAATTCTCAGCTGGTCAATAAGCTCCAGGAGGTCTGAGCCCAGGGACAGACAGAGATGGAGCTGTGACGTAAAGTAAGAACATTTAAGGGTATGCCATCCCTGCTTAAAGCTCAAGCACTCTGGTTGTTATCCAAATCCAATATCATTGTCGTTAACCTCTGAACTATTTGCACTACAAGACTTGATTGATAAGGTTGTGAGCATCCGTACCTGTTGAATATCTTGATACCTACAATTGGCTACCGCAGCAATCACTTCACGTAGGTGGAAAGCCATGTGTGCCAGAATCTAGGCTGAGATGAAACAAAGCAGCTTCCTTGCTGTCAAGCCAGAACCCACCTCCGATCCCGCCATATATTGGTAGAATGTCCGCCAGCTCTGGACGAAGCGGATTCTGCCCTATTTGCTCTCATGCCAACAACGAGCACACCTACTACACTTGCACTGCGGACGGATGTCGAAAGCAGTTCAAAGTCTGCCAAACAGGCAGCCATGAGACATTGAACATTCCGAAAAGACGTTGGGTGTTATGCAGCTGGTGCCCTGACCACCCGTACAGCTGCACTCTCGATGTTACCAACATGCCTCGCCTGCCCGAGTAGAGTATGGTAGAACGTTGAAGCAATGGCAGCCTCCTGTCTCTGCAGGTGTGAAGGGACTTAAGGTTGTTACATGATTAGGGTACCTGGGTACATTGCTATAGTTCCAGACTGCTGATTGGTTGATGTGAGGCCTGGTTAGTAAGCGCTTGGCGCTGTTTATTTATAGCTTTGATTGCCTGCGTTCGATCTCTTCATTCAATCTGCAGTTCCATCTTCCCTCTCCCTCATAGCTTTGTTGAGTAGGGATGGATAAGTCTCCGGAGCGCCCCGTTCCTACCGATGAAGAGCGCCGGGCTGTCTACGCAAAAGGCTTTCGCATATGGCAGAGCCTCTACCTGCGTGCTATTCAAGGGGCAGCATTTCCCCAAAGCTGCTTTCAGTTCCAGGCAGCACTTCTAGATCAGCCTTACTTTCCAGGTGGCCTGGAACTAAAGCTAACCTATGGCTATCTCTCTGTTTCTGGCGAATCGATTTGGAAGGGGGCGCAGGGATCCTGCAACATGCCTCCGCTGGAACGTCATCTTCAGATTCCGGTCTCAATTAAAGATCCAACTCCTCTTAGGTTGTCTTCAGACCTAGACCAGAGCCGACAGGAATGGTTCGGCACTAAGGGGAACCACATATCTGTGCTGATACTTGCATGGAGCTATATACTTTCAGCGCGCTGGGCTGAGATCATGCCAGAAGCCACACTCACATACACGCACAGGAAAGCATCCAACAGCGACAACCTCCAACAGGAGGATTCTGCTGTGGTGGATATAGGTGCTGCTAGTAATGACGCCGCGAGATGGTGGGCTGCTATACTGGCTACAGGCACGGGATGGGAAGCCTTTATCCCCATCGACAAAGACAAGTTCTGGTCGCCTTGGTCAATATCTCTTCCGCCAGCACCAGGATTCGGTCTTTCCTATCACAACACCCAGTCCTCGCTGTCGGATAGAGCCATACCGGCTGCAGCGGCCTTCCGCTTCCTGTGCGACTATTGCGCGTTGCATGGAATTGTGGATCAGGGCTATGCAGCATTATCAGCGGTGGTCCTTCTTCCATTCGCGCGTGACAGCAGCACAGAGATCGTCCTGCCCAGACTGACATTAAGCCCTGTCCAAAAGTGTAGAGCGAGGCCATTACAAGGCAATGAGCACCTCGACCTTGCCTGGGTGCAGGGAGCTCATCATCTGGACAAACTCCTCACCCTAAGCTGCAATACAAGAGGGGTCCACTCCCTGCTCTCAAGTGTCCTCTACGAGCGTGATATAGCCTGCAATGCCGTAGACCCATGGCTGCAGTCCATATTTGCCGTTCTAAGCCCCGTCACCGACACGCGCATTCTGGCCAACATGCTGATGAGGCGAGTTCCGCACCTTGCCTTCCTATGGCTCGGCGGGGCAATCTTGGATATCCACAGGGATATCTTACAAGACGGCCATTTCGGGCTCATCCCCACTGACGCCCACGCGGCGGCGTGGTCGCAGACCATGCAGTCATTCATGCAGGAGCCTGTCCACCCAGCAGAGAATGGCTCCATTCTGCGCTCCGACGAATGTCGACTTCTCTATCTTACGCAGGAGGAGCGTCACACTAGGTGGCCTATATGTCAGTGGACGCCGTTCGGCACCACAGCTCTTCAAGACACCGATATTGACGTCCGCCTGCATGCCGACTGCATCGGGCATGGTCTTCGATATGCGGGCTGGAGGTGGACCTGCCGAGACGGTAGCGTGGTCCATCAAGTCTCTGAGCCAGGGCCCAGCCTTACACGGGCCTCGCCGCCGATAGAGCCAGTGATGCCGGACATCGCAGTCAACTATGAAGCTTTCGAACATGGGAAGGCCCTATCTGCGTCGGAAAATGCAACACGGAACATCTTTGGCTGGCTGCGAGTTGAAGGGTATGCTCCGGGCGAGCAAGGAATACGCGAGTGGATTGAGATTGACGAAGGGGGTGAAGCTGATGGTTCGGATGATGGCAGATCGGTTGAGGAAGGTCAAGGGAGAAGCCATGCACGTGAAGTGCAAGAATGGATGTCAAGATGTGATACATAACCATACCAAACATACAGTACCGGAGTGATCCCCGCATGGGCTGGCCAGACAAACAACTCCATTACTTTCCATGGTCAATCCCATTGGATGCTCCACCTGCTCCCACCATCGTAGCATCATTTGGAGATAGTCCTCCGATTTGAGACCCCCGAGCGCCGTTGGGTTTGTGGATGATGCGCAAGGAATGAAGACCTCTGGGCAGTATGTCCAGAATCCAGTCAGGATGGTATGTGCGCGGAGTTTGGGCCCATTCTTGCCAATACAACCCGGTTTTAAGCCTATTGATGTGCATTTTCTAATGGCCTGCGACTGCTTGGTGGTGAACGGGTAGAATCTATCCGAGTATCTCTCTCTTGTTGGCTCGCATATCGCAATTAGCTGTTGAGTGTTTGAGATGGCCATATGGGATAGGGAGCAAGGACTTGAACGGAGTATAGACAGTGGAGAGTAAGATACAACGAGGTACAGGACGATAAAGTACAGGAAAGCAGGGTAGGGTGAGCTGGGATGAGCTGGGATAAGCTGAGAAAAGCTGGGGTGAGTTGGGGTAAACTGGGTTGAGCTGGGACGAGCTGGGGTAAACTGGGTTGAGCTAAGGTGAGCTAAAAACTAATACTCCTGGTCCAGAGAAACGATTCTTCCAACGACGGTAAGATGCAGTAAGCGCCTTCCAAGCCCTGGAGGACACCAATGTACTGTGACGCCAATCCTTCAACAGTCACAGCCAGGAAAGCCGCATATACAGGTTGCAGGGACAGGACTTACTTAGTCCACACAGCTATGATAGGTACATCCAGTAAACAGCATGTGGCCAGGAGTTCATAAACATCCATGCATCTGGTTTGCAGATCCAAGTTGACTACCAGTCCTATCCATGGCCACCCTTCAAGAGCAGCATATTGCCCCAAGAAGCTCTGAAGCCACTTATATTCGGCCATAATTCCTAGTGCTGGATGGTATCAACCCTTAACCCAGCGAACTCTCAAACCGATGCACCCCAGACCCAACAGTGACCTGCTTCCTCCCACTTCTTGTCATCCCAGGGAGAGTCACAACGGCCTCACTATTCGGCGGCACTCTCACAGCCAACCTAAACAGCCCATTCTCCACCCTCCAACTACTCTCCACAACGCCATACGGACTAACAAACCTCTCGTTCGCACTGGTGAGATCCCCACCAACCCTGACATCGACCGCAAAGCGCTTCCATCCGGGCGTGAGCGGCTTCAACCCGCCGATATTCTCGTGCATCCATGCGCCCACACTTCCAACGGCGTAGTGGTTGAAGCTTGTCATCTCACCGGGGTTGACGCTCCCGTTGGCGAGGATGCTATCCCAGCGCTCCCAGGTTGTTGTCCCGTTCATGAGGACTTGGAACAGCCAGCCGGGCACGTCTTCTTGCAGGAGAGTGTTGTAGAATGTGCTTGAGGCGTTGTACTGCGATAGTGTGTGGCCGAGGAGATGCGTTCCTGCAAAGCCGGTGCCGACTTTGTAGTCGTTTTCCTCGATGATATCCACGAGGCGCGATGCAGCCGCCGTGTAGTGCGATGGCTGCGCAAATAGTTTGAAGTACAGCGGTAGTGTCAGCCCAGTCTGCGTCTCATTTGCGACTGTGCCATTATTCGAGATCCAAGCTCTCTGGAACGCCCGTGTGAGGTTCACCCGATCAGCGGCGTATTTTTCGGCCTCTTCGCTGTATTCCAGATAAGCCGAGATATTCGCCACCATTTCGGTACTGTGAATCAAGTACGCGTCTGACACAAGGTACTTGTTTGTTGTGGCATCTCCCGGGCTGTCAGGCGGCGCAAGGGGGTCGAGCCAGTCTGCAAACTGGAACGACGAGCGGTTCCAGAGCCCGGCTTCGTTGCGCAGGATGCCCTTGTCCAGCCAGAGTTGTGCCCCAGCGTACTGCTCTGCCAGCATGCCCTTGTCGCCGTAGGTTTGGAATAGCGCCCAAGGGACGCCGACTATTGCGTCGCCCCAGATGGAGGCCGCGCTGCCCCAGCCCGCCAGGACGTTGGGGATTACGAAGGGGGGTGCGTCTTGGGCTTCGTTAGTACTGAAATCCGGTGGTCTGAGGGAGGGTCGACATACAGTTATTCTCTAGCTGCTCGGAGTGTACATCCTTCAACCACCCGCGGAGAAAGCCCGCGGTATCATAGATGAAGTTGGCAGTGCGTGCGAAGGCGTTGATATCGCCCGTCCAGCCTAACCTTTCGTCACGCTGGGGACAGTCCGTTGGAATAGAGAAGAAGTTTCCGCGCATCGACCAGATGATGTTCTCGTGCAGCTTGTTGAGCAAGGGATTCGAGCAGTTGAAGAACCCGGTCTGCTCCATGTCGCTGTTTATCACGATGGCTGTTACCGAGTCGGCGTCCAGTTCGGTCTCCTCAGGCCATCCAGTGACTTGCACGAATCGGAAGCCGTGAAAGGTAAAGGAGGGCTCCCATTCCTGGTCGTCCCCGGAGAGAGTCAGGTTGTCTGTTGCTTTGGCGTTGCGGAGGGGACGCGTTGCGACTTCGCCGTTTTCCATTACTACAACCGTTAGCATCTACGGCATCGAATAGGACTTAATGGACGGTGGTTGGTATCCTACCCTCGGTATGAAGGAAGCTGACCGTGCTTCCCTGTGGGCCTTTGACTCGAACACGCAACCAGCCAACGAGGTTCTGTCCGAAGTCCAGCACTGTCTTGCCTGAAGCACTCTTGAAGACATTCTCCAGCTTGCGCTCTTCAATCCGTCGGACAGGAGGTGCATCCGGAGCAGCAAGGACGCTCTTATCAAACTCAACCTCGTGCGTACCTAGCCAGTCGGACGCATCAAAGCCCGGCTCGGACCAGCCCTCAATTTCCTGAGTCGAATCGTACGTCTCGCCGTTGTAGATCTCCGATGCAACAATAGGGCCGGTAGACGACGTCCACGTCGAGTCGCTGGGTATGTAGATTGTCTCGCCATTGGCGGTGGTTATAGAAAGTAGCGACAGAAAGCCCAGGGTGTCGCCGTATATGTTCCGTATCATGTTCCAGCTCAACGCGCCGGCATACCAGCCCTCGCCGACCGTGACTCCGATCGCATTATCGCCGGCTTGCAACAGGTCTGTGACGTCGTAGGTGTTGTACTCGTGTCGATGCGTGTATGACTGCCATCCGGGCGCGAGAACATGGTCGCCAACAGCTTGACCATTGATTTCGGCTTCATAAACACCTAACGCGGTGATGTAGAGTCTCGCAGAGAGAATCTCCTCATCAACGTCAAAGTCTTTTCTAAAGTAGATCGGTCGATGCGTCGCATTGACCTCCGTCTCGCGATCAGAGACAATAGCCACAGCACCTTGCCAGTCATCTGCACTTAGCAGACCGGGTTCCACCGTAACAGGCTCTGACCAAGACGAGCCAGGTTGGTTTGAGTGTCCGAATGCTCGAACTCGAACGGTTGCCTCTTCACCGGATTGCAGGGGGTCGGCGGGCCAAGGCACCAGGACAGAGTCGGACGAGTTGACGCGGAAGGTGCTCGCTTCGCCGGCTCTTTGTATCTCGAGCTCATAAGCAGATTGCGTCCAGTTCGAAACGGTACCATCGAACCGCCAGGAAATCCTCGGAGACGGTTCCCCAATCCCCAGGGCTGAGCGGTGGTGCTCAAAGGTTACCGAGGCAATCGACAGAGACATGGTTGTGTCGTGTCTGTCTTCACTGCTGAGAAGTAAGCTCTTCCAGCTGGTGATGCATCATTTATACCTCGCAATCAGGACGTCATACAATTCTCCAAGGCCCCCTCCCCCCACGGGCCTCCGCACCGCACAGGGCATGCAGGGAGAGTGTTTGTTTCGGACAATGATACCCCGAGCACCACATTTCGTCACACACAGGCAAGTGGGCCGAGTCAGCAAGTTGCAGGTAGCAGCAAGTTCTGGAGACAGTTGTGGAGTTTGCGGGGCAGTCTGGGGATGCCCTTCAGTCCCCCGCATTGCACTGCCGATCTCTGCACCCGGACAAGGGCCCTGTCTCGGTGTTGGCCACCCCGAGCACAGAGACGCAGTCGGGAATCCCGTACACGATCACGACCTGATTGAACAGGGCGGCGGCGAAGTGAGTCTTTCATACGTGCATCTCCACGGATGATGCACTGCAATGCCTCGGCTTGCGCCAGAGCCAAGGCTGCCCAGCCTTTCAGCTATTTTGTTACGTGATGAGTTGGAGTAATCGACCGAGGTTCTACCGTACGTCTGGGCACATCTCAGCCGCTCGAGCCTCCAGGGTTGAAGCTGTACGGTATCCCGATCATCTATGAAGAGCACGCAAATCACTAGATAGAGCTGCTGACAGCGCAGAGTCTGACACGAGTTGAGCTGACTCCGTTCGTCTCAGCGAATCGCCCTGCCGAGGATCCTTTGGCGTTGAATACGAGGGCCAGCTGTTCATTTTCTCGGCAGGCACCATATAATCTCGTGTTGTCGCCTGTGGAACTCGCTGCTTTCCACTTGCTGAGAGACAGCCACCAGGAGCCCCGAGTTCGCCATGTCGATGTCCTACCAAGGGAGCTGCCACTGCGGCACCGTCAGATTCAGCTTCAGCCTGTCAGCGCCCTTGGAAGAGTTGGAGGTGGTCAGCTGTAACTGTATGCCGACCTTAGAAGATTCAGAAACGAGATGTTGAATTTGACCGTGTCCAGGCTCGATCTGCACAAAGAACGGCTATTTGATGGTTTATCCCAACGCATCCGATACGAAATGCGACCACGAGGGAGATGCCGTGAAGGTACGCGAAGGGACACCTATCCTTCGCTCAATAGTGGCTGAAGAGTAAAGGAATACCGCTTCGCGTCAAAACAATACCCGCACTTCTTCTGCGTGACGTGCGGGACAAGTGTGTATGCAAAGGGTCCTGAAGGAAGCGATATGATGGCTGTCAATGTAGCTTCACCTTCCTTCTCTTGTTTGCATGGTAACCAGGATGACTGGCTGATATAGTTGCAGGCGCGAACAATTGAAGGCATTGATCTGGATAGGTTGAAGTTGAAAAAGATGGATGGGAGGAGTGTTTGATGATATCAGAATGACCCCATGAGGTGGAGGAGACGTTGAAGCGATACGGTAGGGCATGAGCCCTATAGAACCCAATTCGAGATTGGAAGTCAAGCATACCGTACCATAAGCTCTGATGAGCCAAAGTGGTCAAGAGGGCCCCCTTAGGTATTCCAACTGCTGAGATGAGCCTGACAAAGGAAAATCAATTCCACCATCTGGCCTTGGCCGGAGCCTTCTTTATGTCAGAGATGCCCATTCCGAAAGCGCGTCTAGATTCCCTACGATGCCTACGGTTAACTCGCTAGGCCTGGAGTCAAGCTACTGAAAAGGAGAAAAAGGGAATCAATGTCACTTCCCTAGAACATATCGTCCATTCAGTACATCCCTCGGCGGGACTAGCCTGAGTTATGCCTAGCTACGCGTAATGTTGAAAGCGCAGAAGCAACGCCCCATACGGAGCTCCGTGCTCAGAACAAAGAAAGGATGTATAGCCAACCGACTCGGGCGCGTGGTAGTCTGAGTATCAATCATGCTTCCCGTACTGTAGTCTTTGTCTCATCCAAAGATCCTTGAAGTCGATATAGCGTCCAGCCCACGCCCAACCCAAAATATCCCCCATCCGAAGGTCTTAAAAGACCTGTCTGCCCTGTCCGATGTCTGCTTGCATGCGACTCTAGCTGCGTTTCTCTTCTATCGTGTGTAGCCAGCCACTCTCAGCTCAGCCGCCTATCCAGCCACCCCTTGCCAGAGGTATCACTACCTAAGGTACCAACCATCCAATGTCATCCGACGAAGGCCATCCCTACACGGGAAGCTGCCACTGCGGCGCCGTGCAGTTCCGCTTTACACTGCCAGTGCCCGTTGACGAGCTCGAGGTGGTCAGCTGCAATTGTACGTCCGGTTCCCTTCACACCGGCCATATGGATGGATCACTCGTGGCGCTGCATGTCCTACCTGCCGCATTTCCCACCTATCTCAGCTGACCTCAGCTTCCATGGGTAGGTTCGATATGCTTCATGAACGGCTACCTGCTCGTCTTTGCGCAGTTCGCCACGCTGCAACACGAGTGGCCGCTGGCGAAGGATACGCTCAACGTAAGCAAGACCCGGTCCCTTGTCAAAGAGGAAACGGAAGCACCCTATGGTAGTATAAAAAGCGGAGCTGACCCGCGTCCCTTCAGGTCTACCACTTCACGCCCAACGCCACCCCCGTCGCGCATTACTTCTGCGAGACCTGTGGGACGAGCGTGTATGCGCTTGGCCCGGTGGAGCCGGGCATCGTCTGTATCAATGTATGCCTATGTCCAGGGCGCTACCCAAGTACCTATATTTAGTCTATTGACCGGGGGGTGGCTAATGCTGATACTGACCTCCTGCAGGCGCGAACAATCGAGGAGCTTGATATCGACAAGGTGAAAGTGAGGAACGTGGATGGGCGGGAGAAATGTGCAGGGGAGACGAGGATGGAGGGTACGAGTACCTAGCTGGAGGTGCCTAAGTCAGGGCTGCGGATTATGGTCACAGGATTCGGCTTATACCTAAGGCGCCGGGGAGGTTTCGTTAGCTGGGATGGAGTCGATAGTACAAAGCATACCATGGTATGATACCTAATTCATACGGTGCTCGTCTTGCGCGTAGCCTGTCCAAAGCCATAGAAGGTAGTAGATAGGGTTGAAGTTGGAGTTACGAGTCGCGGAAGCAGCAGAATGGGATATATCCAGATGAATGTCCACTAACTGACAGAATCCTAAAGCCCGAGCGTTCAAGGCCCATCCCAGCAGGTACCACTCACTGAATCCCTTCCTTCTCCCCACCTCTTCGAACATCCATACCTATCCATGACCTCCATACATCCCTTCCCAACCTCAAGGGCCTAATCAAAAACCGCAACGCCCACCACATCCGGCGCCCAAGAACTCGACCCGCCCAGCACCTCATTCCCAAGCACAACCTCATTAACACCCTCCTTCCAACCCCCCGTAAGCACCCCAAGCCTCCCAGAATCCCACCACCCCAGTCCCTCCGAAAAGAGCTCACTATGGCGACCGGAAAGCGGGACCTCCAGTCTCACCGGCTCACCCCCATTAACTCTGATCGTGAGATTCCGCGAATTAGACCCCCAGTTCCACGCTGTGTCGAACGCGACTTCGTTGTTTATGTAGTCGATTTCGAGGTACTTGGATCCCGAGCTTGAGGAGGTTATCGTTGCTGTTGCGGAGCTGGATGTGCTGAGGTCGATTATCTTTGACCCCGCCGGGGTGCAGAGGGAGGGGCAGGTGTAGGCTTTTGCCGGGGAGGTGAGGGTGAAGGATGAGGTGCCGGTGTAGTAGGTTGGGGATGGGGGGGTTAGGGTTATGGAGGTGATGGGTGGGGCGTTGTGGATTGTTATGGTGTTGTTGGAGGTGGCGGTTAGGCTGATACGTGTTGAGATTGAGAGGGAGCCTGCGGGGAGGGAGACGGGGATGGATCTTTTGCTGCTGCTTGTCGTGATGGATATGTTTGTTGATCGTGTAGCTGGTTCGGAGAGGGTGATGTTGAGGGTGTAGTTAGTGCTTGAGGTTATGCCGTAGATATTGGAGAATGTCGTTGTATCGCTGCCAGCACGTCAACCCAGGAAGAACCACATTTCAGAGAGGACTCACCCAGTCGTAGTAGCAAAGATATCCCCAGGATACACCCCAGCATCAACCGTCTCCCCAAGCTCAACAAGCAACACCCCATGCGCCTCAACAACAGCCGTATAGCTCGTCTTCACCCCCTCCACACTCTCCCCCCTCCAAACATTCTTCAACCCCCCGGCAAACTGCACCCCAACATCCGGCAAATCAAGCGTAATCTCCCGGCGCTCCCCCCTCCAATTCACAACCGCCGCAACAACCCGTCCCCCCTCCAACGGCCCACTCCAAACCTCATACCCCTCATCCGTATACCTCCTTTTGAGAGCCGCACTAACCCCCATCCCATCCTGATTAAACCCAATAACATCCTCATTCCGCAGGGTCTCAAGCGAACTCCCCCTCATCCCAGGAATCTTCGCCCCAATCGTCAACGGGCTCTTCAGGATCCCCCACATGCTAAAATGCGTCTGTTCCTCGGGGACGGTCAGCACGCCGTCCAGTCCGACAAGGAGCATATCGAGATCGGGCCACTGGCCTGGGCCCGCGAAGTCCGTTTGCGGCACGGCTTGGTTGAGCGTGCGGAAGATGGAGCGCCAGTGCGGTGTTATGTCGTTGCCGATGCGCCAGGAGTGTCCGATTGCTGGGGCCCAGAGGGCGGGGAAATCGATGCCCCATTCGCAGACTTGGAAGAGGATTGGGCGGTCGAGGGTTTGGAGGTAGGAGGACATGTTGGCGAAGCGGGGCTCTGGGGAGGTGGAGGGGGCGTAGTTGACGTTTGGGTAGTTTGTTGCGGCGTCGGAGTAGCAGTTGTCGTCTGGGACTGTTAGCATAGCATACCCTATTGGATGTGGTAGGGAGGGCATGGGTGGTTATGGTACATTTGAGTGAGTCGGCGCCCCATTCAGCAAACGTCTTTGCGTCGATATCCTCATAGTCTAGTAGATAGCCAGCCGTCAGTATAGCCCTCCAGTACCACTAGGTTCCAAGTAAGAAAGAAAGAACATACACAGATTCCCCGTACTATTCGGCGGACTCCCACAGAGCAAAATCCCAGAGTCCCCATAGACCCCAAACAGGAGACCCAACCCATGCAGCCACTCCCCAATGGCCGGGAACCCGCTTGGGAAGGTCTCCGGATTCCAGGTCAGCGTGCCATCGGGCAGTCTCTCGTCCACGCCCCAGCCGCAGTCGATGGTCACATACTTGTACCCGAGATCCGCGAGGCCGGTGTCGATGAGGGCCTGCGCGTTCTCGCGCACGATGCTCTCGTTCGGGAAGCAGTTGTATTGGTTGTAGGTGTTCCAGCCCATTTGGGGGGTTAGGGCGAGGCCATCGTCGAAACGGGGCGTGAGGGATGGAGGCCGGGGCTGGGCTGCTAGAGCTGGCGTGGAAAGGAGGAGTGGAAGCAGGGCTATCATGATGCCGACTGTAATGGCCACAGCAATGGTGGCTATGGTTGATGCGGAACTTTCAGTTCGATTCTGGCAGAATACATATTGAGATAGTGACATCAGGCCAGGACAATTTATAATTCTGGCCACTGGCAGCGACCGGAAAATTGCCTATTCCAGCTGCAGATCGCGCCGCTCCAAGAACTGGTTTAATATCTGCACCTCCGGATAGGTATGCGGGGTATACCCCGATGCCTGAGTAATAATGCACCTGTAGTATAGCATTGACTCAGTAATTCTCCTGCATGGTCATGGCATGACTCGGGCTGTCCGAGACACCCCGCTGTGGTGCAGATGCTTCCAAGGTTGCCGAAGAAATCAAGGCGGTTACTTGTGGGTTCTGATGGAGAAACATATTCTCAGATCATGATGATTACGCATGATGATTACGCATATCTCTTAGGATAAGTCTAAACAGTAAGTAGAAAGTCTGTATTTGGAAATAGCGACACAGCACCTACAAGGTTAATCACGACTCCTTCTCCCTCCCCGCATGGCCAACCTCCCCCTCAGCCTCCAACCTCCTCGCGAAAATCATCTGCGCCATCGCATCCTCCGTCCTCAAATACATGCTCTTTCCCTGCACCCACCAGAACCCAATCGAAACAACCAACATGACGCCGAAAACCGCAATGGCGTAGTTCATATCCGCGGGTTCGGGGTCCGGGCTCCCAGGGAAGAAGAAGAAGACTGTCGTCACAGCACAGTACACGATGCTGACCCAGTTAACCGGAGTGCCCCAGCGACCTAGTCTGAATGGGCCAGGCGGAAGCGTGTCTCGGCCGACGTAGAGGAGCGCAGCGATCGGGATACCGTAGGAAATTGTCAGGGCGATTGTGCTGACGCTTAAGATGGCGTCGAGGACAGTGCTGGCGAAGAGGTAGAGGATTCCCACCAGCGCAATGAGGAACCCTTGCATCCAGAGAGCGCGGACGGGCGCTTTCCAGGTTGGGTCGATGTGTGCGAAGTACGGGCTAAACGGGAGTCCACCGTCTCTGGCAAATCCCCAGGTAAGCCGTGAGGCTGTGGTAAGGATACTGATACCCTGGCCCAGGCCGTTGAAGATGAATAGCGCAAGCAAGACAGCAGCGCCCTGGAGTCCAACAGTCTCCTGCATGAGTTCGATAAAGGGCAGGTTCGCGTCGACGACGGTGTTGATGTCTTGGATGCAGAACAGGCAGATGAGCATGAAGATGAAGCCGGTAATGGCGCCTAATAAGACGGCGAGCCAGATAACGCGCGGGGCGTTGCGACGCGGCGATGGCATCTCCTCGACCATGTGGATTACTGCGTCGAAGGCCGTGAGGCCGTACGCGGCTTGCACAAGGCCGGTAAACCAGACGACGCCGTCGGACCAGCCGGTGCGGTTCATCCATTGTCCGAAAGCGAAAGAGGCGGGTTGGAAGGTTAGCTCTGACTTGACACCGACGGAGATGAGAAGTGCGAGAGAGAGAACCACGAATAAAGCTGTGAACCAGATTCCGACGAAGTTGTTGAGCCAAGGGAGGACCTTCTCGGACCGGCAGCTGACAACGTTGGTCAGCGTCAGGACGAAGACGACGGCTATATAGACGACAAATTGAAGCCATCCCTTGTCTGCGCCATCCCAGTCCGGATCAAACATGGTCTTCATGCCCAGCAAGAATTCTGTCATGAAAGCGACTTGCGACGCCGTCAAGGTCCACCAGCCAAAGGTGTTGATCCATGCCGTCATGTACGACAGAAAGCGGCCGCATGGTGTGTCCCACAGCCGGCACACCCAATATGCCTGCCCAAGCGCAGTCGGCATACTGCTGGTGAGTTCGCCGAGCGAGACAGCGACGCAGAGGTTGCAGACGGTCACAAGAACAAGACCCCATAAGATGGTGATGGAACCGCCATTTGTGAGGCCGCTGCTGAGGCCTTGAGCAAAGGTAGAGTAGGTGCCAAGCACGCAGAAGGCCAAGGCGAGCATGCTCCAGAGGCTGAATTTGCGCGACAGAGCCTGGACGTGGCCCATGGCGGCCAGGTCCTGCTCCTCGACGCTGTGGTCGCCCTTGACGGGCTTGGGCTGGGCTTCGTCCATGGCGTTCTGGCTGATGAAATTATTTTAGGACATGTCGGAGGCCGATGCGAAGCTGATATAAAGAGTCAAGAAAGAGGCTGGGCACATCGTCATGGAGGAGCTTCTGGCGCGGAAAAAATCAGACTTTGCGGGGAACAAGTGGGTCACGAGCGATATCTAGGTACCATGACATCCTTCAATCACTCACAGATACCTTCCTGCTTCTGATTGGAGGCAACTGCGATAATCTAAAGTTTATACTGCAGCCTAGGTCTTGGTCGCGATGCGGCGTGGAGGATCGATTCCACTTTTGGCAGGTCTATGCGTTGGAGTCCTACAGCTCTCCAACTGACAACTACCAACATTAAGCCCTCGTGGTATATCAACAAGCGTAAACACGTATATTGTCTTCATTGGCGACATGTCCAGCAAATGATTGCGGTAAATATTACCGTGCGGGAAAGCTCCGTCTAAAAGCTCGTAGCGTTGACCTTTCGCCGCGGTAAATCCTGGCTTGGGCTTCGCGAAAAAGAAGATTGTGGCAAGGGACTAGGCGAACTGATTCTTCTCGAGCCAGAGGACTTTCAACCGACCGAGCGTTTGTGTCAAGTACCAAGTGCACTGTAACCTCGTCGACGGTGTCCCGTCTTTGGTGAGCTCCTTAGGAACTGCAGCAACCTAATGCCTACAAAAGATGAGTCCAATGCACACTCAAGGTCTGCTCTTAGGGCTTCAGAAGGCTCAAGTATCATAAAAATCGTTGGCGTTGTCGGGAAGAAGCGTGCTTTCATACCGGACCCTTCGATGCTAATCCAATGAATCGAGAAGAGAACTAAGAGAGGATTAGATCCTTTCCAAGGATAAGCGCTCGAACAACCAAATGTAGGACGGCTCTTTAGCGAGAGCCAGATACCACCTTTGTTCGATGCTAATATATGCAGGATCGCCTGTCATTGTGGACAAGGGCAGTGTTATGTGAGGGTCAAATGCACAAAAGGCGAAATTTCGCCTTTTATCCAATGGTTTCGAGGATTCATTTGGAAATGCAATGGGATTGTTAGGCCAATGCTCGATCATCACGTTCATAGATTGTTTCAGCTTGCCCTGATGCGGATTCAGGCCTTTAACGTGCTGAAAGACCACCGACTGCGTTCCACAGTCTCGACGACCAGCAGCACACCGCAGGGGTTATCTAGATATTCGGCTTCTGAGGTTCATGGGATGAAGTGGAGTGCCAAGTTCCAACGATGCTGAATCACGATGATGATGATCTTGGTCTCTGTAAAGCCTATCTGTATCGACGCATCCTCAAGAAAACTTGAGAGGGTTGGACCCGATTCCCAAACAGAGCCTCGCAAGTCAGATGCATCGGTTTGTAGACGAGAATAAAGCTGCATCTGCATCATCAAGCTTTATCCGACAGGTTACTGGGTTCATCCTATGGAGCCCCGCTGCGGAAGGATTTTGCGTTATGATGCCTTTCTGGTATGCCTTTCTAGAGACGACGATTTTCTCGAATAAAAACGTGCCTCGAAAAGACAAACGGACTGACTCGCAGTGAAAGGTCGGATTGCCTAATCGCGGTCACACAATGGGAGGTCTCGTCAAACGACCGACTCCTCCCACGTACCTCCGCTGAGGCTGATCAATCCTATTCTGTCTGCGGCAATCGGCGGCTGCTGGGTCATCGAGGAGCAAGTGTGGCCCATTCGACTCATTCGCGTTTGGTTACGCATACAAGCAATGCCTTGTTGATCAGAGCATAGTCCGCCTCGTTGATGTTCTCATCGACAGCGATGGCGATCTCGATGTCATCGGATTGTCACAGTGGTTAGGCGCAGATCGGAAGATACTATCGAATTGCGCTCGCGGGGGGCTCGATCAAGCAGGATTGTTAGACGCGTGTCATTGGTGACTGCATGATCAAGATCGACAGCCGCACAGAGATCAATTCGAGGTCGAAGGCAGCAACACATAACGGAGCTGTATCCATCGTGAAATTCGGGATAGCTGATGTTGCCCGAGCATGCCGGCTGATGACGATGCAGACGTCGATAGAGGACTTTCAGTGGTCAGCCAGGAGAGAGTTGCCCGTGGAACTTGGTGAAATCCGGCCGGGTAAGCGGCAGAGGCTATCGATAAGCAACGCCAAGCCAAGCCATTGCGACACCAGCGCTTGGTAATCCCATCTCCGCCCGGATCTTATCCGTGTCCACTGTTTACGCCCATGGATTCTGGAATGACGGACGAGTTTTCGGACGCCGTGGGCCCAAGGGGGTCCGAATGCGGCCGACCTGGGCCGAGCCTTATATGTAACGAACTGCCCCCCTCATTCTTTCTTTTCCGGTGCATTTCATTCCATCGCCGCCAAAATGAGTGCTGACGCTGAGGACGGAGAAAAAGAGACCCCTGAGGCCGTCGGCTTCTGGGACCCAGCTCTCAAGTCCACTCGCAACAAGGTCTTCTTCAAATGGGGCCGCACAGGTAATCCCTGCGTTACACTGACCATGCAAGCAAAGCTGACTGTGCGACGTTCCAGCGCTGCTCCTCTGCACCTTCATTCTCTGCGTCCTCTCCCTCTACTGGGCCGTCCAGTTCCATTCCGATGACAAAGTTTCCAACCTCAAGGTGTGGGTGGTGGACTTCGACAACTCGCAAGATGCGCTCGTCGGACCCGCCGTCACCGATCTGGCAAGACAAATCGCGACGTCGAGCGAGTCAAAGCAGAACCTGGGCTACACCATAAAACCCGCCGCTGACTTCGAGGACCCCGTCGCAGTCGTCCAAGCCGTCTACGACGAGCACTGCTGGGCCGCCATCATCGTCAACCCCGACGCCACAACCCTCCTCCGCGACGCGGTATCCAGCGGCAACACCTCCTATACCCCCTCCGACGCCGCGCAATTCGTCATCATCTCCGCCCGCGACGAAACCACCTTCGCCAACTACATCACCCCCTCCCTCAACTCCTTCGAGCTGCAGCTGCGCGCCTCCTTCGGGTTCGAATGGGTGCGCAATCTCACGTCGCAGTCGACGAATCTCACGTCCGTTCCGCCGCAAGCCATCAATCCCGCCATCGCATTCAACACCCTCGACCTCCGCCCCTTCGCCCCGGCCGCCGCAACCCCCTCCGTCACAATCGGGCTCATCTACCTGATCATCCTGTCGTTCTTCAACTTCCCCTTCATGATGCCCGTGCACGGGATGTTCATGAAGCCGAACGAGAACGGGAAGACGCTCAAGATCCCGCAGTGGCTGGTCTGGCGCGTCTGCTCGAGTATCTGCACGTATTTCTTCCTCTCGCTCTTCTACTCGTTCGTCTCGCTCGCCTTCCAGATTCCGTTCTCGAATGATCCAGCCCCCGATACCGTCTCCGCGAATAACCCCAATGCATACGGCAAGGGCTCGTTCGTTGTCTTCTGGATGCTGAATTGGGTTGGTATGGGCGCGCTCGGGTTCCCGCTTGAGAATATGTCTATGATTCTGGGATTCCCGTACAGCGCGCTGTTCTTGATCTTCTGGGTCATCACGAACGTCTCGTCGGGTTTCTATGCGTTGGATGTTGCCCCCGGTTTCTTCAAATGGGGTTATGCATGGCCGTTGCATCGGATTGTTAATGCGCTGCGGACGATCCTCTTCGGCACGCATTCGAAGATCGGCCTTGATTTTGGGGTTCTCTTCGCTTGGATTGGAATCTCGCTTATCTTGTTCCCCTTCGCTGCGTTTATTCTGCGGTGGAAGATGAAGAGGGGACTATAGCGAGTCAGCGACGAGGCTTGACTAGAAAAGGAGTATGGTAGAAGGGTATATAATGGTTCATAGAATATAGATCTATAGATAGGGTGATACCACCTTAATTTAATATAATATTATTTCAAAATGGCCTGCAGAGCAAACACAGTATCACGAAGCAAACAGATAGAAAAACTGGGGTACCAACCCAAGTGTCACAGAAGTATCTCGTACTAAACAAGCTAATAAACCCATTAATTAATCCATCTCATCCATAGTACCGTAGCCATAACCATAAGCATAAGCAAAAAGCTCGACATAACCAGCCCATCCACAAGCAGGCAGTCAGAATATAATACAACGAAACCCGAAACAAATTCACAAGTCACCAACATCCCCCTATGCACCATAATCAGACGACCGCAACGTCCGGAGGTCACCTAAGCAAGCACCAAAGCTTATCGTAGCTTAAACAACAACCCCCAAAACCACCGAAGCAAACAACATCCCCAAAACCCCCAAGCCCGCCTTACTCACAGGCGCCGCAACAAGCGCGGGCGCCGCATTCCCCGTATCCGAGGGCTCCGCCGCATCCCCCGTGCTCGTCGCATTCCCATCATCACTCCCGCCCGTCGAACTCGGCACAGCAGCCGTAGCCGTCTGTGTGAGATTCCCCCCTCCGCAAAAGACATCACTGTCGCCGGCGCCGTTGTCCTGGATACATTTCAGCAGGTCGTCGCCCGATTGTTCCTGTGCCAGACAGTAGAGGCCGCAGTCGTCGTTGTAGGATTCCACGTCTGCGACGCCGCAGCATTTGTCCATTATCGAGGAGTAGTTTCCGGATGTGGAGCGCACGGCGCAGGCGATGTCTTGGACGGGGAGGACCCAGGCGTTGCCGGTGCAGGTTGCGGCTGCGGAGGTGGAGGTTGTTGTAGACATTTTCTGGTTCGGTTGGTTGGTTGGTTGGGAGAGAGTGTGGTTTGGTTGGAGTCGTAAAGCGAGCGAGAGGCGAGTGAGTGGATCGATGATTCTGATTTAAACAAGGCCTTTATACGAAATGGCTTTGATGGACGAGAGATGGAAAAGAAGGGAACAGGGATGGGGTGAGGTGAAATTTAAACACGGAGAGGTAGCTGGTGTCTCACGATCTGACCTGCCTGCCTGCCTTCCCTGTTCTATAATTATCTGAGACACTTGGCCGCTGGGCCATGACGTCCTTCCTCCCTTACCGAATCATTCAATCATATCCGATCCTCGTTGCACAGCTGCGTGGCTGGGTGTCTATGGTTCGCCTAGCTTTATGTATATCCAAGTATATATGCTCCATACTCCGTACAAAGTAGCCTAGCCTTGTAAACGGGGCATATGGGCTCTGGGGTAGTATCCACTTCGCGATAAGGAGACCCTTTCTGTATCTGCATCGTTACTCCGTACCTAGGATCAAACGATACGGTCGGAATTTAAACCCTATGCCCAAACTTAAGATGGACCCAAACGCGAGACGGCGCGCCGGCATTGGATATAGCTTCAAAGTGGATTTTGGCGATTTGTTAGACATCTAGGGCGCGTCTTGGCGGTTTAGTGGACTCGGGGCGCCAGTCCGGAATATTGAGTTTGTGCCTGGTCGGGAACTGTATTCGGCCCATGGATTCACAGGCGTGGGCTTGACCTTGTTATTTATTTAAGGATCTGATGCTCGGGAGTAGGTACGGTCACGGTGGAGCGACTTGATCTGTTTGTTTGGAAGCTAAGTGTATACCCGTGGACACCTTTTCCAAGTCTCGCTTTTATAGACAGGTGGTGAACTAGTATGTACAAGATGCAACGATTATGTACTGGTTTCTGGAGATCCAGATTCCCATAGACGGACAATGGCATACCTCCCCTGCTGACCGCATCAAAGACAACTTCCCAACCCCTTCCATCCTGAGAAGCTACCGCTTTCCCATCCTCGGCAACCCACACCAAAGGATCAAAATCCCACCCGACAACGCAATCGCAAAAGGCGGAAGCACCTCAACGCCCCTCGCCTGCGCCACAGCCCCAACAGCAAACGGCAAGACCGCCGCACCGCTGGCCCCAAACGCCGCCGCAAAGCCAATCGCACTAACATGCAGCGCCCTGGGCAACAACCTCGTAGCGACAACAACAGCCCCGGGAAACATCGGGCCAAGCCAGAACCCCTGGAACGAGACGGCGATGACGGACGCATAGAAGTTCGGCACGAGGTAGAAGATCAGCGCGAACGCAATCGACAGGAGCAGGTAGATTGCGATGCCTAGCTTCTCGCCGATTCGCGGCGTCACGAAGCCCAGCACCACCCGGCCGACTGTGATGCCCAGCCAGTACCCCGTTGAGCCCATGCCGCTGGCGAATTCTGCGCCGTCGCGCACGCGCATGAGGAAGGTTACGACCCACCCGCCGATGGCGACTTCGGCGCCGACGTACCCGAGCAGGAAGAACGAGAGGAGCCAGGTGACTCTTGCGTACTTGGGGATGAAGAGGGCGCGGCGGACGCCGCCTTGCTCGTCTGGGTCGGTTGTCTGGGTGCGTTCGGACTCAGCTTTGAAGGCCGCGGCGTCGGAGTCCCAGAAGGCCCAAAGGCAGGATGCTAGTTCGATTGCTGCGCAGGCGACCTAGTACATGCCGTTAGCAACAATCAGTGCAATATTGCTAGTAGCGGCTCACCATGATATAATAGAAATAGTACCAGCCCACTCCGGCCTCGGTAATCAAGCTCGTCGCAACAAGCGGCGCCATCACGGCGCCGAGCCCGTAAACGCCGTGCAACAGCCCTAACATCTGGTTTGAATCCTCCATGTTCCCGATCCAGGCGTTCCACGCGGAATCCGCGAGCCCGTTCCCTAGTCCGGCGAAGATGAATGACACAACGAGCACGGGGTACGGGGGGTGCACGCAGTTGACGACGTAGGCGAGGAGATGGCAGCCAGGCGAGAGCCAGGCGATGCCGCGCCGGCCGAGGTGCTGGTGGAGCGTGTTGTTTGTTACTGCTGCCAGGGTATATCCGCCTATCGGGGAGAGAAAGACGAGCGAAACGACTGTGTAGGAAAGATTGTAGTGATCTTCGAGCTGGTGGGTGGATTAGACGGAAACGTGGTGGTGAGTTGGCGGTATACTCACGTATGGGAGGAGAGGCTGGGGGAGTTAGCAGGAGTCATTTAGATTATGGAGATAGCTCACTCCATATGCTGAATCGTTTGCGCCCATGACCAGGAACGCCCAGAACGTTGCGGCTGTCTTGACTATGTTGGAGCGAGGATAATTCCAGCGCTCAACTGGGGTGCTGGTGTCATTTGCATTGCTATTATCGATAGAGCCGCTTCCCCGCAAGTCAGAGCGTGAGAACTCGGCCTTTTCAGCGTCTCCAATATCGCGGGGTTGCTGCGATTGTGGTTGTTGTTGTTCTGGCTGTATCTCTCCGCTTGCGGCCATGTTGATACCGGTAACGTCCACGATACAAGATTAATCCGTGCAGCGACAAACGAGAAGACATCTGCTTTATAAATTGGAGATTAGATCCCCAGTTGGCTATTTTGCCTAAATGGGCAAGTCTTTCAGCGCCGGAAACGGGCCCACTGAACCAGCTTCCAAGAGCCCAAGGGCCTAGTGGCTCGAGTGTTAGTCTCCGCTGTAGACTTGGTTAGACCGTGGGATGACCTGACTTAACTGGAATAGATCATGACGATGATCTCACAGCAGCGTCGGCGGGTAAACTGTATGGATATGAACGCTGTACCTGGAGGTAAGAATTTTGATCTATTAATCTAGATATACATCATAACCATAGCGCATGCTCCGGTTCGTAGGCAAATCATTTGGCGGCACAAAAAACAAATGAAATAAAACAGCAAGAAGGAAATAGAGGCAATTATTAAATATGATAGACCGCCCGCAAAGAAACGCTGGTCATTGTACATTAGTGCCTTACTCAGGCTTGCGTGCAACCATCAGGTACATCGGGGTGAAGAGCTTCTTTTCACCACCGGCAACAAGGCAGTCGGCGGCCAACGCCAGACTGTCGGCAGTCTTTTGTGTTCCCCTAGGGATGAGCTTGATCGTCTCCATGGCGCCGACGAAGCGGTGGACAAGGCCACGTCCCCACCATGTCATCCGAGCAATGGTGAAGAAATCCCACGGCGACGTCATGTGCTTGAAGGAACCAGCGAGAGGATAGTACCAGGGAATAGCATCCGGTCGGTCAGCCAGATCCTCGTTGTGAAGGAGCTCAAGGCCGGCCTTCTCGATGGCAGCCAGACCCTCGGACACCTTGACCATGTTGGAGATACCGTCTCCCTGCTCGATACCGAGACGGATCTTGCGGTGCTCCTGGTTGTCGTTGTCGTACTCGTCGGTCATGAGCCACTCGTAGACACCAAAGATACCGCCAGGCTTAAGCACTCGCCTGATCTCGCTGTAGACACCGGCGAGCTCAGGAGCGTGGACAGTAGCCTCAATGGCGTAGACAGCGTCGAATGAGTTGTCGGGGAATTGCATCTGCATGAAATCGCCCTTGACGAAGTTCAACTTGTGGCTCAGACCCTCACGCTCGGCGTAGCGGGTCGCACGCTGAATCTGGTAGTCGTTGTTGTTGAGACCGGTAACATTGGCGTCGGTGAACTTGACAATCTCGCGGGCGGGACCACCGACACCGCAGCCAACATCAAGCACCTTCATGCCGGGCTTGATGCCCATCTGGTGGGCAAGGTAGTGTTCGTGACGAGCGATGGCCTGGTAGAAAGGCTCTCCGTGGGCAAAGCGGCAGAAGTGGAAAGATGTACCCCATCCGTATTCGTAAAGATCAGTGGCAAGGTTGTAGTAGCTGTTCGAGTTAGCATTGCTTCTTCGATTCCAATGTTGTAAACGTACTGTCGTGTCAACGTGGCATATTCGGCGCGACGGGCCTATTCACACACAAGTCAGCAACCGGAGATTGATGTTGGGTAATATCAAGCAGCGTACCTCACGAGTCTCCTCGGTCTCCGCCTCAGCGGACTTGTTGTCCCAATGCTTGAAGTACTCGTCAACAGCAGCCTTCTGAGCAGCGGCACTCTTCTGGCGCATGGCGGCGAAACCTCCCTGAGCCTGAGCGGAGTTTCCGTGCATGGCCTTGTTGAAATCAGCATCGCGCTGGTGGTTCTCTTGCTCTAAAGCGGTGGGAGCCATTGTGAATTGAGGTGTTTGAAGAGAATTGAATGTTGGTCGTTAAAAAGGGGTGAGGCGGAAGAGTCTCAAAAAGCTCGGGGAGGCGGAGAAAAAGCACAAGGAATTGAAGAACACAACACCACAGAGCCCGCGTAAAAGACAGTCTTTATAACAGCGACAAGATTGAGAACAACCCGAGATGTCTTAGAGAGAGTGTGACAAGAAGAAGAGAAAGATTGGAATACGCGATGAATACGATGGCCAGAAGAAGGACCAGAAAGGAGGTGTCCGGCTTTTTTAGTCGCTCGACCAATCACGGCTGACCTTGCCGGAGAGCCTACGCACAGCGCTAACTTCATCGGGGCTAGTATGGGGTTGATCCAGAGTCCCTGACAGCTCAGGCCAAAGAGTTCAGAATGCCCAGTGCGCCAAAGGATACTCCGTAAGTACGCGATACGCATCGGCATTGTGTAGATGTAAGCTCTTGAGCCCCGCTGGTTTCGCCTATAATCAAGAATATCTTGCAGCCTGCGGTTGGAAATGATAAAAATATGCGTATTCGATACGACGATTCGGATGGAGAGCGAGCCGAGACCGAGACGATGACAAGTCACGTGCTTTGCTTACATAACTAACAGCACCAGCCACACTCACCTCCACCCATGATCCTGCTCCGTATCGATAATCTTGGAGACTCGGAGTTGAATCATTCCTCTCATCGTGTAGGTTTCCACCACAAACATGCCGCCCCAAATCAAACAGGACCTTAACCGGTCAGGATGGGAGTCCACCGACTTCCCATCGGTCTGCGAAAACTGCCTACCCGAGAATCCATACGTCCAGATGCTCAAAGAAGACCACGGCGCCGAATGCAAGATCTGCACCCGTCCCTTCACCATATTCCGATGGAAAGCCGACCGTACGGCGCGCACCAAGCGCACGAACATCTGCCTTACCTGCGCCCGGTTAAAGAACTGTTGTCAGTGCTGCATGCTCGATCTGTCGTTCGGTCTCCCGATCGTGGTTCGCGATGCGGCGCTAAAGATGGTGGCGCCCGGTCCGGAGAGCTCGATCAACCGTGAATACTACGCGCAGGGACACGAAAAGGAAATTGAGGAAGGGCGAGGCGCTGTCGAGGAATACGAGAAGACGGATGAGAAAGCACGCGAGCTGCTTCGAAGACTCGCGAACAGTGAACCGTACTACAGGAAGCCGAGGCAGCTGGAGGCGCCACAGGAGGATGGAGAGACAGAAGCCCCTACAGGAGCTCCGGTTGTCAAGAGCCGCTATGGCAACGCGCCGGGACCTGTACGAACAAGTGACAGCAGAAGAGGCACGCCACTACCTGGACGGGGTCGTGGAGGCGTACGCGGGGGTCGACCCTTCCCTGGCACCGCGCAGGTTCCACCATCGCAAGCAGATATTCTCCCACCGGCGGATCCAAACATTACATCCCTTTTCGTTACGGGTGTCGAAGACGATCTTCCCGAGCATGCTATACGATCCTTCTTTGTGCAGTTCGGTCAGCTCCGTTCTCTAATCTGTTCACATCGAGCCCATTGCGCTTTTGTCAACTACGCCACCCGCGAATCTGCCGAAGCCGCTGCCAAACATTGTCAGGGTAAAGCCGTCGTTCAGGGCTGTCCTCTCCGAGTTCGATGGGGTAAGCCCAAGGCGTTGGATAATATGGATCGGGAGGAACGGTTGAAGTACGCTCGAGAGGGTCGGCAAGCTGTAGGGTCGCCGAGGAACGCGGATCAAGGCACAAAGGCTATAACGGCCGGTACTGAAAAAGAGCAACGCACCCAGCAGATGGCTGTCGCTCCTCCGCCTGGTGCTGGAGAGGTTCAGTATTCGAGTATGTCTGGTGATTAAACATTTTCTATTGTCGATATGTTATGGGTTCGGACTTGGGGGCTTCATGTCATTCGAAGCGGGCGTTTGTATGTATGCACTTTCAATCAAGTTACTGTATGAATACCCAGAAATTCGAGAATAATAAGGATCATCATAACATTGTTCAACATAAGTTTTGTCCTGTTGTTCGGTTTCTCGGCTACATGAATACTTCAATATATATTTCGGCCCCGGACGAACCTGTGCAAGGATCTTCCAACGCAATCTTTATAGTACTATTAGATTCCGTATCTCCGTCCTTTGGATTTATGTATCCCGCTTCCCACGAAGACATTACTGTTCTTATCCAAAACCGCCCCCCCCATATTGACCAAGCCCCTTGAGCATTTCCGCATGTTGAGTCCTAAAGCCTACTTCGCGCATCTTAAGTCGGTAAACAATAATGTGATATAAATCTTCAAGTAGAATCACATCTATCGCTATCTGAATGCCCCAAACGCCAAAGGAGAGAGATCCTGAAAGTTGGGTATACTATAATACAATCACCCAATGCAATCTGCAGCCAACCCTATAATATACAACGCAAATAATGCTTCAAGATCGAGTCCGGACTACTATGACGAGCACGGCTTGTCAACCTTGACCTTCTTCCCGGCAATCTTGACCGAGTCGTTATCGCCACGCTCAATGTCGTCGTGTATGCGCAGTTCTAAAGCACGAGAAATCGTGAGCCTCAAATCCACATAGCCATAATGTATCCAATCCCAATTAACGGAGCAATACATACCCCACTGCGCATTCTCATCCTTCGCATCTCTAGCACCCTGCACGATGTTGTGGCGCAGAATGCTCGCAACTTCGATAGCGTGGTTGATCTGCATGGGTGTGTCTATGCCGAATCGGCGGTGCTTCTCGAAATTCTGGCGCGCTTCTTGACGGGCTGCAAGGAGGACTCGTGTATCATCTATTGTAAAAAGAATCAGCACTTCGTCGAGCGGACATCACTGTGCCTGGGGACATACTGTGGAATGCGATGCGGGTGGCGCGGAGGATTTGGCGGTAGGCGCTGAGTGCTGAAACGGCGGGTTGTGCGGACATTTTCAGTTGATCGATTATAAAGAAGCGCTATTCAGTAGAAAAAATACAGTTAACCAGGAATTGCGAATGTAAAAGAGCGTGGAAGTTGTCCGTTCCTCATGTCCTTTGATCCCGGCGCCTCGATGACCTCCGAAACAGGCATTCACTGATTGGTTCAAGCCAAGGCGGCGGACCGAGGCAGAAAAAATAATTGTCGCCCACTCTCGATTTTCGTTGTTGTTCCTTTGAGGCCGTCTTCTATCATCCCACCTTCACTTTATCAAAGATGTCTTCCGCACAGGTTATTGACGTTACCCTTCCGGCCCTGCCCGCCGGCTGGGCTGCCGATAAGGACTTCAAGGCTGTTGGCAAGCTCTCCGCCGCCACCCAGAGGAACCTCGAGCCCGTTGGTCCTCACTTCCTGGCTCACGCCCGCAGAGTGCGTCTCCCATCCGAATCTTGCGATTTTTTCGCCATACAGTTTCTCACGCAATCACTCTGAGCTGCGGCTAACAACTAACAGAAGCGCCACCACCGCACCTTCTCCGAGGATGAGCGCATCCAGGCTCAGCAGAACGTCAAGAAGACCGAGGAGGACGAGAACGACGAGATCTCCGAGGACGAGGACCCCATGATGCTCCAGAGAGATGCCAAGGACTGGAAGGTATGTACAAGAGTTTGCTACTGGCGTGATAAATCCTAATACACTTTTAGAGCCAAGACCACTACGCCGTCCTCGGTCTGAGCAAGCACCGCTGGCGCGCTACCCCCGACATGGTCAAGCGTGCCCACCGCAAGAAGGTCCTCCGTCACCACCCCGACAAGAAGGCTGCCCTCGGCGACCGCGACGAGAACGACAGCTTCTTCAAGTGTATCCAGAAGGCCACCGAGGTCCTGTCCGACCCCGTCAAGCGCCGCCAGTTCGACTCCGTGGATGAGGCTGCCGACGTCGAGCCCCCAAGCAAGAAGGCTAGCCAGAAGAGCCCTCAGAGCTTCTTCAAGCTGTGGCGCCCTGTTTTCGAGAGCGAGGCCCGTTTCTCTAAGATCCAGCCCGTCCCTCAACTAGGTGACGAGAACAGTACCTTCGAGGAAGTCAACAACTTCTACAACTTCTGGTACAACTTCGACAGCTGGCGTACTTTCGAGTACCTCGATGAGGATGTTCCCGATGACAACGAGAACCGTGACCAGAAGCGTCATGTCGAGAAGAAGAACGCCAACGCTCGCCGCAAGAGAAAGACCGAGGACACTGCCCGTCTCCGCCACCTTGTCGACGACTGCGCTGCCCTAGACGAGCGTATCAAGAACTTCCGCAAGGCCGCTCGTGCCGGCAAGGACAAGAAGCGTCTTGAGAAGGAGGCCGAGGCCAAGCGCATCGCCGAGGAGAAGGAGAAGGCCCGCCTCGAGGAGGAGCAGCGCAAGAAGGACGCCGAGGAGGCCGCCAAGGCTGACCGTGAGAAGGCGAAGAAGGCCAAGGAGGCCGCTAAGAACGCCGCTAAGAAGAACAAGCGTGTGCTCAAGGGATCCGTCAAGGACGTCAACTACTTTGCCGAGTCTGGCGAGCCTTCTGCCGCCCAGGTTGACTCCGTCCTGACCGACGTTGACCTTATCAACGCCAAGATCGACAACGAGGAGCTTGCTTCCCTTGCTGAGCGCCTCACTGCTGCGGGCAAGGACGCCGCCGCTGTCAAGAACGTCTACACCGAGGAGATCAAGCGCCTTGTTGCCGCTGGCAAGGCGAAGGAGGGCGAGGTCAAGTTCTTTAACTAGATTGCGCCAGCACGTGCCTTCAGTACATAGAACGATGCACAGTGGATAGACTAGAGTAGACTGACGAGTGGTATGAAATTTACGATTTATCTACCAGGTTCTTCGAAGTAGCCATGTGCCATTGTAATGCAATGCGGATAAGCGGCATGTCGATATCCGACCCGGGGACAAGCATCGCCAAAAATCTTGTCCGGTGGAGGGCTGGAAGCTTTGGAAGCTTGGTTGCGCCCTCGTGCCCCGGAGGCGTGGGTTGGAGACGATCCAGAGTCGAGTCGCAGCACCCCAGCTCCGCACGTGCTCGCCCGGGGTCTCCACTCCGCTGCCTGTTCCTTTCGGTTCTACATCCTCTCGTCCACTCACCTCCGATCGATATGCAACGTGCAGACATCCAACTTACGCGAGGTGGACACTTGACTCTCCGCGAAGACAGCTCCATGCTTGCATGCTCAATGTAACCAATCGTGATAGAGGCATTAGATGGATCTCGAGCCGCGAGCTCGACAGCGGCGATGACCGACGGAGCATCGGCGTAAGCTTTTACCAGGTGTCGAAGCCTCTGACCGTCTCTAAGAAGCTATATAAACAGAGGAGATCCCACGACGATCTCTGTCTTTTGCTCAGCACACAAGTCTCTGCCACCAATCTTCTCAGTTGTTGTGAACTCCCCGGGTGCTAGCCATGTACACCAAGACCCTCGCCGCCCTCCTCGGAGGTCTGTCTCTGGCTTTAGCCCAGACCTCCTCTGAACAGACCCCCTCAGCACCTGAGATTGCCGCGGCCCGTGCTACGATCAAGCCGTACTCCCCCGTCAGCAACGTCCAGGGCAAGTCGTTCAACCGCTTCGTGAACATCTGGCTCGAGAACACCGTATGCACCCCCTTCACCCCTCCACAACACGAGGCACTACTAACTGGACTAGGACTACGACGTCGCCGCCTCCGAGAAGCACCTGGCAAAGCTCGCAAAGAAGGGCCTCACCCTGACAAACATGTGGGCCGTCACGCACCCCTCCGAGCCAAACTACTGCGCCTCGCAAGGCGGCGACACCTTCGGCATGGACAACGACGACTTCAACCAGATCCCCGCCAACGTCTCCACCATCGCCGACATGTTCGACACCAAGAACATCAGCTGGGGCGAGTACCAAGAGCACAGCCCCTACCCAGGCTACCAGGGGTTCCGGTACCCGACGTCGGGAGACAACGACTACGTGCGCAAGCACAACCCGGCGATCCTATACAACAGCGTAACAGAGGACGCGACGCGCCTGCGCCAGATCAAGAACTTCACGGACTTCTACGAGGACCTCCGCACTCACCGTCTGCCGCAGTATAGCTTCGTCACGCCGAACATGACGAATGACGGGCATGACACTGATATCTCGTTCTCGGGCACCTGGACGTGGGAGTTTCTGATCGACCTGCTGGACAACGAGTACTTCACCAAGGACACCCTAATCCTGTTGACCTTTGATGAGAACGACACGTACGAGTTGGGCAACAAGATCTTCTCCTTCCTCCTTGGCGGCGCCGTGCCGCAGCACCTTCTCGGAAAAGAAGACGATACCTTCTACACGCACTACAGCATTATCTCGTCCCTGTCCGCGAACTTCGGCATCCCCGGTCTAGGACGCTGGGATTGCGGTGCGAACCTGCTCTCTTTCCTCGCCGAGAAGGTCGGGTACACGAACTACGAGGTCGACACGAGCAACCTGTACCTGAATGTCTCGTACAACGGGCCCATGGCTGCGGGTGAGTACTCGCAGAAGACGTATGAGTGGCCAATTCCTGCGACGGAGGGCCAGTGTTCTGGTGGTCATGGCATTCTGGACATTGTCAAGAAGACCTATGCCAACTTGACTGCTACGCATGACTACTCCTCTCCTGTGCCGTTTGATGTCGAGACTGGCAACAGTGTTGGTGTTGAGTACAGCCGCAGGCTTAAGGGTGGCAAGCGCGAGAAGTATGTTACCGGGTCTGGAAAGACTGGTAACGACACTAGCGCGTGCAAGTCGTCGTGAAACATGATGCTCAGTAGTAGGAGATAGGAAGGCGACCACGAGGTCAAAACAAAATTAATGTTATGTCTTATGTACCGATAAATGAGAAGGAATATATAATCTATGTCTAGCCGTGAGTCGTGCGAATGTGGTAGCTCTTTAGCTTGTAGAATGCGTCGAAGGCCTGAGGACCGAGAGAGCAGCCCAGGCCAGAGTTCTTCCAGCCAACCCAGGCGAGGTCCTGTATCACCGTCAGTATGGAATGCGAAATTGAAGACGTTGTCACTAACCGGAGCGGGATAGTCGCATCGGTTGATGAAGACGGTTCCTGCCTCGATGCGCTCGATCAAGTCTTCGCCAGCCTTGATGTCCTTGGTCCAGACGCTAGCAGTCAGGCCGTAGTCGCTGTCGTTCATAAGTGCTACTGCCTCGTCGTCGCTCTGAACTTTCATGATAGGGACGACCGGGCCGAACGTTTCCTCGCGCATGACGCGCATATCTTGCGATACGTTAGTGAGGACTCGGGGAGCGATAAAGCTTCCTTCAGTTGGCAGGCTCTCGAAGGTAGAGTTCTTGGGCGTCGAGTCGACAGCACCACGAGACAGGGCGTCGTCAATGTGTGACTGAATGTTCTTGACCGCTTGGTGGGAGATTACCGGACCCGTAGTAGTGGCCTTGTCGAGAGGATCGCCGAGTTTGTAGCTATAAAAGTTAGTTTGGTTCTGAGAATGGATGAGAGACGTACGTTGCCAGCTCCTTCTGAACCTCGGCGACGAAAGCGTCGTGCACATCTGCGTGCACGTAGATTCGCTCGATAGAGCAACAGCTCTGGCCGGAGTTAAAGACTGCGCCATCAACAACCTGCGCGGCAGTGTACTTGAGGTCCGCATCAGGGCGAACGTAGGCCGGGTCGTTGCCACCAAGTTCCAAGTTCAATGGTAGAATTCGGCCAGCGGTCGCCTGACGGAGACGAATACCACCCTGCGTAGAGCCAACGAAAGAAACGAGCTTAATCTGAGGGATCTTGACGATCTCATCGAGAACCTCCCACGCACCCAGATGCACCACCTGCAGAACGTTCTTGGGAAGACCAGCCTGTTCAAAGTATTCGAGGAGGCGATCGCCAAATAGCGGGGTCTGAGGAGATGGACGGAGGATCACGGTGTTTCCGGCTAGGAGTGCGGGGACAAGAGCGTTGATGGTGATCAGGTAGGGGTACTGAGCGGTTAGCTTGCTGCCGACAAGAAAGTTGAGAAGCGACTTACGTTCCACGCAGTTGCAAGGAGCACCGGACCAACTGGTCCCTTCTTAACGAATCTCTTGAAACCATCCTCCTCTTGCCCCGGAATAGTCTTGAGAGCTTCCTCTGCCTGATCGAGAAGGTAGTTGGCTCGCTTGCGCATCGTATCAATTTCACCAGCAGTGTATGAGATCGGGCGTCCCATCTGCGAGGACAGTTCTTGCGCAAGGGTCTCCTTGTTCGCGTCTATGACCTCCAGGGCCTTGACGACGATAGCTTTCCGTTGGTCGAGGGATAGTTCCCTGTAGCTGCGGAACGCATCTTCGGAGGCCTGGGCGATCTGAGTGACTTGTTCGATAGTGGCGCCAGGGTGCTCAAAGAGGACTTTTCCGGTCGAAGGCGAGAGAGTGCGGACTTGGTTCGACATTTTGAAGGGTATAGGTGTGAAGAAGAACGGCCAGTTGTCGAGTGGGTTGAATGACGACGGCGTTGATTATAAGGCGATAAGAGGTGGGGTACTGAGGCCTGAGGTATCAGTGGATCAGCAGTGGCAGACGGTGCTTGAGATTTGATCTTACTTGAATCAATTGAGTATCATGAACGGTCGAGAGATATCGGAGAGATTCCTGAAGTGATTTTCTGCGCAGGAGGCGAATGCTTGACTCGAGTCTGGTTGAGTTCCTGGATGACCTCAGTGCGAGCCCCTCCTTCCCCGCATCGCCACTCGGCCTCGCCTCAACTCTCAGCGTCGCAAAACTCCACCTGCAGCATTGGAACTCGACTTATCGAGTGCCTTTGCCCCGACCTTACGATTATACGCCTACGAAGAGAACTTCAGAATAACGATCTGTCCGTCTCTGTGCCTGCGACATGGGCGCGGCTAGGCCACGGTAGAAGGTTCTGCCGCACACGATACAGCGCGGTAAACACCATGATTCGCTGAAGATCCCAAAACTGAAAACACTATACCAAATATCTCCGCGGTGAAGAGGTATCCAGCAGTCTGCAGGCAGAAGAACCCTTGGAATGCTCCGGCCATCCCTTGCGGAGACCTCGAGAACGGAGCAGATGAGCAGGTATAAAACCCCACTGCCCCTCGCCTCGGCCTTCTCCAACTCTCCGACTCAAATTATCGCATGACAAGAATTCAACATGACTTCGTACGAACCATACATTGGAAAGCCGGTCACAGACCTCCCGACACCGGCTCTAGTCCTGAGCAAGCCGACCATCGAGCGAAATGTCAAGCAGCTTCTTCAAGATGTGGAGAAGCTGGGAATCGCATTCCGGCCGCACGTCAAGACGCTCAAGGTACGAGCCAACCTCATTGAGGTGCATTCCACAAGCTAATATAAGCAGTCTCTCGAAGTAACCAGGATGATGCTCGGTAACGGCCAGCACCGCCGCATTGTCGCCTCCACGCTTCCCGAGATCGAAGGCGCCATTCCCCTTGCGAAAGAGGGGATTCTCGATGAGGTTGGTCCTCGCTCCCACTGGCTTTGAGAGAAACGAGGAATTGACTATCGAAAAGTGTCTCTACAGCATGCCGATATACCCCACTGTCCTCCCTCGCCTTGTTAAAGTCTCTCAATCCCTCAAAGTCCTCCTGATGATCGACAACGAGCAGCACATCGACGTCCTAGAGAAGTTTACCGGGGCCTCAACACCATGGCCTGTCTTCATCAAAATCGACGTCGGGACCCGCAGAGCCGGAATCGTCAACTCCTCCTCGGCTCTCCCGGCGCTTGTCCAGCGCGTCGAGCAGTCCTCTGCTGTAGATCTTTACGGGTTTTACTGCCACGCGGGTCACTCGTATGCCTGCCGGACTGAAGAGAGCGCGGTATCCGTACTGAAGGAGGAGGTAGAGGGGGTGGTTAGCGCATCGAAGCACTTGAATACGAAGCGCAAGGTTGTTGTATCCATTGGGTCGACCCCGACGGCGCATGTTGTCAGCGAGCTGAGAGAGGTCTTGCCTGAGGGGCTGGAGTTGGAATTGCATGCTGGTACGCCTTTATTATCAGATCCCTTTAAAAGCGAGCTAACAACAACAGGAAATTATCCCTGCAACGACCTCCAACAAGTTTCAACGGGCCTCGTTCCACCCACCGCACAATCAGTCCGCGTCCTAACGGAAGTGTGTAGCGTCTATCCCGAGCGCAACGAAGCTCTTGTCAACGCCGGCACAATCGCACTCTCGAAAGAAACAAGCGAGTTCCCCGGCTACGGCCGCGTTATTGATCGTCCACAGTGGGCTGTCGTACGAACGAGCCAGGAACACGGAATTCTAGGACTATCACCGGCCCCGGCCTTATCGCATTTCGGTGTCAATGAGGTCAAGGATAGAAAGGCTGAGGAGACCTTCAAGGTTGGAGACAAGGTACTGCTTTACTGCCAGCATGCTTGTATTACTGCCGCCAACTTTCCGGTCTATTATGTTGTTGATGAGGGCGACGTTGTTAGGGAGGCTTGGGTGCCTTGGAAGGGGTGGTGAGCCATCAACAAGAGAAGAGAGAAATAAATTCGATATTAATGCAGAAAAATAACCAAAATACGAAAACCAAACAGGCCAAAGTCATGCGCAGTCATATCAAGAATAGGGTCAGAGGCATCATTAAAAGGGTATATAGAATCATAAAGGGGTCTGCAATCACAGCTCGTCCTCATCCTGCTCCTTCTCCTTGCCGTCATCCTTTTTGACTCCGTCTCCGGCTTCGGGTCCATTCTCAGTATGGCCATTCTGGGCATGACCATTCTGGACGCCATTCTGCTCCTCTTTTTCATCCTCTACTCCGGCCTGGTGCTGTTTCTCACCACCTTTTAATCCCTCTTGGATCCCATTCTCCGGCTTTTTCTCGACGCCATCCTCATCCTTCTTTCCCTCCTTCACCTCATTCTGGCCTTCCTTTTCAGGTCCCAGTTCGCCCTTGTCCTGTTCTCTGTCATTACCCTGAATCCCACTCTTCCCCCCATTCTGCTCTCCATTCTGCGGCCCCGCCTTTTTCCCCTTCTTCGGGCCCGCCCCCTCAGCCTCAGACTGCACAGCCGGAGTCTGCGGCACCTCGCTCTCCGCACCTGCACTCCTACCACCCGCACTCCCCCTCCTCTGCCTCGCCCGCCGAATCAGCCGATTATGGAACTCCGGCTCCTCAACCTCAGGATCCTCATCGAGGATGCGCCTCGCCGCCTCGCGTCCAATAACCGGAAGACGATCCACGCCCTTCTCCTGCATCTCCTTCGGGACCAGCTTCGGATCCAGCAGACCCACCTGCACAAGCACACTAGCCTGGTCCCAGTACACGTGCTCGGCGTAGAGCTGCTTCGCGCGCATGCTGACGATACTGACGATCACGATCTCGACTTTCTTGTTGGTGGCCGGGATCCCGGGGAGCATCCAGGGGATTTCGTGCGTGTGCTCGAAGGAGACGTAGAGCTCGTCGACGACGCGGTCGGCGCCGACAGTGCGGGAGAGGAGGCGCAGGTGCATTGAGGGGGGGAGCTTGTGCAGGAAGTACTGATCGTAGAAGCGCTTGAGGGCGCGGGCGCCGGTGCCGCCGCTTAGGGTTGGGACGTAGGTTGTTGTGGGCGTGAGGTTCTTGGTGTAGTGCGCCATTGTGTCGTGGAGGTTCATGGAGAAGAATTTGCCTGCAGTTTTTAGGACCTTGCGTACTGGTTTAGTTTGATTTGATCGTCGACGTACCCTGCAGATGCTCCTCTAATGGCTTCACCAGATCGCCTTCTCGTCCGTACGACCTGCGCAGAACATCGAGCGTTCGTGAAAAGGCTAGGTCTGCGTCTAGTCGGTGGTACTCGTCCAGATCGACTTCCGCGAACCCGGGCTCGGCGTCTGAGTAGGTGTACGCGCGGTGGCCGATGTCGAGGAGCTCGCCCGTTCCAATGCCGGGGTTTATCTGCCTCCTCGATACCTTCTTCTTGCCTTGCAATCCTAGAAGGGTTGGTGTGGTTACGACGTCAATGGTGTCGCCAGCCAGGTGCGTTAGCATCTGCACCGACGGCGGGTACTTCGATCGGATATCAGGGATGCTGGAGGGGTAGTAGCAGACGAGGGCGCAAAGGCGGCTGACGTTGTTCGGTTTGAGATAGTAGTCGAGACAGAATGCGGCCGCGTCGCCGAATGCTGCGATCGTCAGAGCAGTTCGCATGGTTCCGGGATATTTCTGGCTCACCAATAACACCATAGTTGTCGCCTACACCGAGGCCCTCCTTGACTGACATCAGGCGACGAACATACTCCTTCTCATCCTGCGAGAAAGGAACGTAGATAGTGTTGAAACCCTCCTTCGACCATCCCTCGACGAACTCGGTGTCGAAGTCGGGGGTTTCGGCGGTGATGATGAGACGGGCGTTTCGCGAGTTGGAATAGAGGAACCCGCTGCCGGGCGCGTTGATCGTTAGTGAAGCCATCGTGATAGCCTTTTGTCGGATCGTGGAGAGAGAAGTGTTCCTGAGAGCAAGTCTGGATGAGATCCATCCATAAAAGTATACTTACGGGAGCACTACGTCATCCCTGTCATACGTCATGTCATCTGATGCCAAACCACTGACAGGTGGAGGGCGTTAAATGGCTCTATTATAGGCGGAAACAGGGCGGTTCAGGCTTTAAATTAACTTCCTCTGTATAAATAGCACATTATTCGTTAATCGCCTAGACTGGCAATTTGCTTTTTATATAGATCGCAGCTGTCGGTGTCACCCCGCATTCCAGCCAGTTACGGCAACCATGGTCGAGCGAGTTCTCCTAAAAATTGGGCGCATTTCGAACAAACTCCGATATTAGGATTTAAGCTGCTTATCTGCCAATAATCAATTGGGGATACCAATGCCGTACGACGGTAGCACAGGGGGCCAGGAGCGGGCTGGGCTCTTCTGCTGCAGCTGCCTTGGAAGGGAGCAGTCTAGAAGAGTCTCCGCAATTATCGAGAGGAAGTTTCGAGACCCACGACACAATCTTTTTATCCATCCTCCCCTCCCGAGGCCCTCGCCATTCCCAGGCTCATCATATCCATCGGCTGCCTTGTATACCCTAGGGCTGAGTTTCCAAGTTCTATATTATGTCCCTGGTGCAGCATGTTTCTGCTCTCGAGGGCGTCGATGCCGTGCCGGTAGAACCGCGCGACGAGGAGTCGATCAGTGGCACCTACAACACCTACGGTTCTGTCAAGAGTATCAGACGGAAGATCTCCTATGACTTTTTCCCTCAGCCTGTCGCTGCAATTGAGGATATTTCGACCACCGCCCCCTACAAGGTCTCGACCGCCAAGCGACTAGGTATTTAGCATTCCCCTGCCACGCGAGAAGGTCGCGTGCTAACTTTCCCAGCGCAGGTGCTCGCTACCGTATTGGCCTGCTGGTTCGGCTCCGGAATCATCTTTGGCTATGCTGCGCTGAAGCCAGTCCTTGTCGCGCAAGGGGTTTACCGAGATCTGTGCACTCTAAGTGAGCTCAGCGATGATTTCGATACCTGCTATGATCAGGAATTGAGGTAGCTACCCAAATGCATTGCAAACTGGGCCAAGGACCATACTGACTAATTGCAGACTCAACCTGTTCTTCACCGTCGGCTCTATAACTGCCAATGTGTCGTCGCTCCCTGTCGGATCCATCCTCGACCGCTATGGTTCGCGGGTTTGCGGTTACGCCGCGTGCGTGTTTCTGGCTGCCGGCAGCTTGTTGATGTCCTATTCCTTCTCGCATCCGCAATTCGATGGATATATTGCGGCGAATTTCTTCCTCTCGCTCGGAGGCACTTTCTTGTTCGTTCCGTCTTTCCAGATAGCGAATGCGTTCCCCAAACATACTGGAACTATTGTCGCTCTTGTGACCGGCGCCTTCGACGCATCTGCGGCAGTATACCTGTTCTATCGGTTGGCGTTCGAGGCCAGTAATAGAACTTTCACTCCGGACAAGTTCTTCCTCGCTTATACCATAGTCCCGGCCTTGATTCTTCTCACCTGGATTACTCTTATGCCAGCCCGCGACTATCAGACCACACACCAGTTGGAGGTCCGGATCGAGAAGGCGGAGGATGCGACGCTGGATGTCCACGACTCAGATGACGAGATTGATAGCTTGAGCGAGCTCCGGAGAATAAGAAGTGCGAGAGCTAAGCGTCGCCAGGATAAGCTCGAGAGATTAGACAAGATTCTCGGCGATGAGGAGGAACGAAAACGGCGCGAGCAGCTTGAAGAGGAGCGCCAACAGACTAGCGCTGTCTGGGGTGTTCTGCACGGTTTACCGGCTCACCAGCAAATGGCGACTCCGTGGTTTATACTCATCACAATGATGACGGTATTGCAAATGCTCCGGATGAACTACTTCATTGCTACTATTCGAAACCAGTACGAGTATATGCTCGACGCAGAGAAGGGCATTGAGATCAACAACTTTTTCGATATCGCTCTCCCCGTCGGTGGCGTCCTTTCCACTCCGCTCATTGGACTGCTTCTTGACCATCTCAGCGTCCCGTCGACATTGGGAGTCATAGTGTTTCTCACCACGCTTATCGGCATTCTTAACTCGATTCCCGCGCTTTGGACGGGCTACCTGACTGTCATTCTCTTCGTCCTTCTGCGCCCGCTGTATTACTCCGCCATGTCGTAAGTTCATCACCACAACCTCTCTCCAAACTCCATGTCCAAACACCTAACTGTCAATGTGAATAGGGACTACGCTACCAAAGTTTTCGGTTTTGCTACATTCGGCCGCGTCTATGGGACGATCGTTTGCCTGTCAGGCCTCGTCAACTTCTCCCAAACTGGTCTGGACGCACTAACCAACGGTCCTTGTGATGGGAATCCCATCCCGATCAACATATTCCTCGCAGGCGCGGGATTTGTGGTTGGGTCTATCTTGGTGGGCTTTGTGGCGACCGCAGGGCATCGGATCAAGAAAGAGCGGGAGGAGCTGGAGCAGGCGGAAGACGGAGAACGGCAGAGGCTGATCCCTGTGCGGGAGGAGAGCTCACTCAGTTATATGTAGGTGTTCGGAGTCAGAACTGTGAGATGGGATAGCTATGGTGAGACCGAGGGAGCAAGTATACTCCTTCGGCATATGAGGGTTTACTAGGAGTTGGGTAGTGGGGTAGTAGAAGTGTATATTACTTACAGTCTTATTATATCTCCTTCAGTAGAGAGAATGATATAATCATTACGGTTTAACTTCACCGTGGTCTATCTACGATCAACCTGCCAGCCACGCTAACAACCAGATGCCGAGCACGAACAAACAACCCCGGCACTCAGCCCTGAAAGTCTTGTCCCTAGGATGCTCGAACGCGATTCCAGCGCTGATTGGAGCGGCAGTTAGCTGATACCGTAAGGTTCTCACCACCGGCCACGCAGTCAGCTGTCATACCCTGAGCCAGGTGCACCGTGCATCAGAAAGGCAAAAACCGAGCACTGACCCTCCAGTCCAATCGAGCCGGCCAGAACGCACCCGAAGGAACCGCCAAGTCCAGCCAAGATCGCATTTATTCCGAGGCATCTTTCCTGGGACGCAGTTACTCCGTACGTACCCTAGCGTCACCATGCCCCATTGACCCCGGAGAAATACCTAACACAGTGGAGCACTGGAGTCTGGACTAGCGACCCCTCCCCTCCCCCGCATTCGCACCAGCCCAGTGCCCACCCCATACTCCGGGGAAAACCGCCTCTTGCACGCTCTGGCAGGGTCGAAGCTACACGGTGGTCGAGTCGCCGAGGCATCTTCGCCTTCCAAGCCGGCTCTTGGAGATCGGCAGTTACGAGTGTCGTCGCTATTGGCTCGCTTGGGGTTGAGGCGGCTGTCTGTGCCCGGCCACTGCTTGACAGGATCCGGGGTAGGGCACCTTGCACTTGCAGGGGTGCAAACTTGTCGTGTCGGTGTAGGCCCTGGCCCAGTTTCATCTTTGCGCTGGGCGTGGGGCGGAGGTATATATAGGTACCTAGAGCTGCCCGTCGGGGTGGTAGATCAGATCTGTTCATTTCACTTCATTCCATTTCCACCCGCTTTACCGGACCCAAGTTCTACACCTGCTTACCGATTGCAGAATAAGCTACTGTATTCCCTACCTTAGTGTAGACGGACAAGAGTACGATGGCACCCCTCACCGACGAGAAGTACACCCCCACCGTCGAAAAAGTCGAGGATGCGGGCCGCGCTGCGCTCAACGACATCGACTTCGATGAGGAGTTCTCGCCCGAGGAGCAGAGGAAGATTATCCGAAGGATTGATCTGCGGCTTGTCACGATCACGGGGCTGGCGTATTGCGTTTCGCTGATGGATCGGACGAATTTGAGTATGGCTGCTGTTGCGGGGTATGCTTCTTCCTTGTTTTCTGTGATTTGTCGATTGAAGTTGGATTCGCTGACTGGAAGGGATAGAATGGTTGTTGATTTGGAGTTGTATGTGGGATTTCGATATGTGCGGCCTTCCTTTCCCCGTACCCAATTCGATATATAGTGGATGATGCTGACTGGTACTACCTAGTCGATCGTCGTCCTTATGTTCTTCGTTCCCTATATTATCTTCCAGCCGCCGATGACGGTTATAACGAGGAAGCTGGGCCCGACCTTGTTCCTGGGAAGTATTGTGATTTCTTGGGGTGCAATCTTGGTGGTATGTTTTGCATTACTGCCCCCAGTTAGTTGCTTCCTACCTACTGACGGCCACGATAGGGCATGGGTTTCACAAAGAATTGGCAGCAGATGACGGCTTGCCGAGTGCTTCTTGGCTTGCTGGAAGCAGGTAAGAGCTTATCCTTTGATTGCGCTTTCTCGCTGTAAACTGACCAGTCGCTAGGGTACTTTCCTGGCTGCGTTTACCTGCTTTCGAGTTGGTATGCTCGATGTATGTCTCTCTCCCGGACATATTTTCTTGTCTAACCTGCCCAGACGACGTCCAGAAGAGATTTTCGGTCTTCTACCTGATCGGCTGCGTAGCCTCCGCCCTGGCTGGAATCCTGGCATTCGGCCTGATGCAGCTGGATGGATCTCACGGGATCGAGGGCTGGCGATGGATCTTCATCCTCGAGGGAGTGATCACCGGAGCCATTGGCATCCTCGCAATCATCTTTCTCGTCGACTTCCCCGACAGAGCCCACAAGTCCTGGAAGTTCCTCAGCGAAAAGGAGTGCGCGTTTGTTGTGCGCCGCATCAACCGTGATCGGTCGGACGGAGATGCCGAGCCCTTCACCATGAAGCGGTTTCTCAAGCCAGCGCTTGACCTGAAGATCTGGGGCTTTGCGATGATTTTCTTGTGAGCAGGCAATTGATGATTGTGAACATCGCTAACGAGACTAGCTGCGTCACGACGGTCAGCTATGCCATCGCCTACTTCCTCCCCATAATCCTTTCCGAAGGCATGGGCTTCGACACCGGGACCTCGCAATGTCTCGTCGCGCCTCCCTACGCAGCAGCCGGATTCGTCATGTACGGCACAAGCTGGGTCGGCGACAAATACCGCACTCGAGGGCCAGTCCTCATTTTCAACGCCTTGCTTTGCATAATCGGCCTGCCGATGATGGGCTTCTCAAGCTCGAATGCGGTGCAGTACGTAGGCGTCTTCTTTACAGTCGCCGGCTCGAACTCCAACATCCCCGCGGTTATGGCCTACCAGGCGAACAATGTCCGCGGGCAGTGGACCCGGGCGCTGTCCAGCGCAACGCTGGTTGGGTTTGGAGGCATTGGCGGGATTGCGGGGAGCTTGGTGTTCCGGGAGCAGGACAAGCCGCACTATCGGCCGGGGATCTGGTGTGCGATCGCTTGTAATCTGCTCCTCATGCTGATTGTGGTGGTGCAGAGTGTTTGGTTCAGGATTGCCAATGGGCGCGCGGAGAGGGGCGAGAAGCTCATTGAGGGGGTGCCGGGGTTTCGGTATACCATCTGATTGTCTGGAAGTGTCTTGGGGCTTTGGCTAGTTAGCATTGAATGAACAGCATATCTTTGTTGGATAAGTTGAGTTGTGTTGACGGTAAGCTGTCTGAGGTAGAGTTTGCCAGTATTTCTGTTTTCAAATAATAATTGCAGCTTTAAATCGTGCATTGATGAGACTGCAATCTGATTCGCTTCGAGACTAGGATACGTACCGTGATGGACGAGGCGCCAATACATAAAATACTGCTGTGGCACCTAAGCAACGCACTGAAACCTCACAACCAACCGTAAGAACAGGACGCAGCCCACCCTTCCTCGCGCTTCCTTTGACCAGTTCACTCAGTCATCAAAGTTGTATTCCCCCGGTGCTCCTCCACAGCAATTGAAGCCTTCTTTCTTATTATGGAGACCAACGCGCTTATCGATCTCGTCCACCAGGTGCAGGGCGAGCTTTGGGTTGATAAAGTGAACGAAACGTACAGAACAGGCCGTCTCTGCCAATGGGTGTCAACTTTCCATCCTAACAAGCTTCCGTGTCAACTTGACGGTACCTTTCACCATGGCGCATTCAATGCTGGAATGAAGATGGTCTTCAGTGACAGCACTGCTTGGATGGTCCGTTTCCCTCGTGCAGGGATGGTCTGCGACAACTGCGCCGATGAGAAGGTTGCCATGGAGGTGACGGCCCTGAACCTGATCCATGACAGGACTACCATTCCTGTCCCAAAGGTACAGGCCTGGGGTTCCGCTGCCACCAACCCACTGGGTCTAGGTCCGTTTATCATGATGGATTTCATTGACGGTGTGAGCCTTAGCGACATTCTTCGGGACCCGAACGCCGAGCGTCCTAGCAGAGTTGTGCGGGAGGACATCAGCAATAGTGATATTGAATATATCTACCGGCAGTTGGCGAACTTTTTGCTTCAGCTTTTCATGCTTGATTTTGACCAGATCGGCAGCCTGCCCTCGCCACAGACTGAAGCACAAGGTCCTACACCCCCACGGCCGCTCACATTCAAGGCGCACAGCATCCTCCAAAACGGGGGAATTGACATTTTTGGTACGCCTATACCTTTTCCTCCCTGATGCTGTGATCGAGCGCGTTAACTAAGCATCTACTCAGGTGACCGAGCCAAGGGGTTTGCGACGACGACGGAGTATTTTCAATATGTTGCTAAGCAGGATTGGGAGCAGCTCGTTCATCAGCCGAACTCGACGGTTGGTTCATATGATGCTCAAAACAAATACATGGCGTTCAAGGTCCTAGAAGGCCTGGTACCTGATTTCGTCCACCCGAAATATAACCACGGCAAGTTCAAGCTGATTTGCGATGATCTTGGCCTGGCGAACCTGATTGTCCGCGGCAGGGAAGACCTGACGGTTATTGGAGTAGTGGATCTCGAGTGGTCATACATCGGTCCTACCCAACTGTTTGGCTCAGCACCGTGGTGGCTTTTACAAGACCGGCCTGTTAACAGCGCGTGGGACTGCAAGGATGATGAGCTGCCCACGATTGCCTCCCGGTACTCCAAATGCCTAGAGACATTCATACGTGTCTTAGAGGAGGAAGAGGCAAGAATACCAGAGCATCAAGAAAAAGAGCTCTCCAGTCTTGTCAAATGGTCGCAAGCGTCCGGGGCCATGTGGCTGCACATGCTCCTCTTATCTGGCTTCAACGACCACCGCAGCTTTCCTTTTACGCAGCTGCGCCGACACTTGGGAGCTACTGAGTGGGCGAGGCGTGAGAAGGAATTTGACAACGCAGCAGAGCTGGGAGCATTTGCGGCGCGAAAAGTAAGCGATCTGGATAACTATGACAAGGCCTTGGAGGAGCTGGAGGATAAAAAAGCGCTCTTGGATAGTGGGAAAATAACAAAAGAGGAATTTGTTGCCAATGCTCTAATAGACTCAGGCTTAGTCCCTGCTCCTTGACGTGCAATTGCCGCGTGCAACGAGCCTGAGCAGGGAGCATTGCGATAAAATATGGAAGGAGTGTGTACTTCCTGTCCAGGAAGGTTTCAACCATGAAAGCACTCACATTTGGGAGCCTTCCGGATTTTATCAGAACCTTTCGAGCTGGCGGAAATGATACAAGATCAGCTCTCCACAGCATCTACCGAGAATGAGGAAGCTTGGGCAAGCCAATTTACCGAAAGTAGATGGGACCTAGTCCACTGTTTGCTCGGCCGCTACGAATCCCTGGGTTGTGGTTGTGGTGCGGGATGAGATTCAGCATGCTTCACCGTTTAATCGCCATAAGCTATGTTGAAGTAAGGCACAACGCTGTTTACTGCATCTATGACAGTGATCACTGTGTCGCGCTACCCGAGTCCTTGTCCGATAAGCGCTGGAGTGCCTCAGGTTTCCCGCGGAGAGAGGCCGATAGCAGCAGAGTCGGGGCTGCTGATTGGCTGCGGCGTGACGTTATCGGGAGCTTGGGGCAGTTTCCCGTTTGGCCGCGGTCTTTCATACATCACCGTTCCGCAACTTTTTCTCAGCATTGTCTCGCCTATTGTTCTTTCTTCTTCATTCTCTCTATTCATATTCGAGTCGCACTCCCTTCCTCTCTACCATCCTAATATACCACACCAATTGCGTGTTCGCCGCTTATGCTGCCGCGATAAGAGCCACACTCATCCCTACATTGCTCCGATACTGCCGACGGCGAGGATGGCCGCGTCCTGGTGCCTGCGAGGCTCTCGCCAGCTCGCCCTGCGCTCCCAATTGCGCTCCGTCCCCTCATCGGTTGCGCGGAGTCGATTCCTTCCCACATACCGTGCGGTGCACACAACATCACAACAGTCGCATCCCGCCAAGCGGCCAATTTACACCAGCTCGGTAGCGGACCATGGCGTTCCTCACCCACGCGATGTGTTCCAACCGCTAGATACCTTCCCCCGGCGCCACATTGGCCCATCACCGGAGGCCGCCGAAGAAATGCTGGCAGTTCTCGACCCTCCGGCCAAGTCTCTGGATGACTTCGTCAAGGAGGTACTTCCCGCCGACATCCTGTCGAAGAAGAATTTGGCCGTCACACCTCCGAGCGCCGACAACGGCCTTCCTCGAAGCAGCGTACACGGTGGCCTTGGGGAGACGGATATGCTGAAGCTGTTGGACAAATACCGGGAGCAGATTGACGTCAGTGGGAAGACATACATCGGCGCTGGGTACTACCCCACAATTGTGCCGCCGGTGATCCTCCGAAACATCCTCGAGAACCCTGCGTGGTACACGAGCTACACACCCTACCAGCCGGAGATCAGTCAAGGTCGCCTCGAGTCGCTCTTGAACTTCCAGACCTTGACCGCCGACCTGACCGGCCTCCCGTTCGCCAATGCCTCGGTTCTGGACGAAGCCACTGCTGCCGCTGAGGCCATGACCATGTCCTTGGCTACGCAGCCGCTCTCAAAGCAGAAGAGGGCCGGCAAGACATACGTCGTCTCTCATCTGTGTCATCCCCAGACTATTGCCGTGATGCGATCTCGTGCGGAAGGATTTGGGATCAACCTGGTTATTGGAGACATCCTGGCGGACGACTTCAAAATCGTCAAAGACCAAGGCGAGAACCTGATCGGCGTTCTGGCCCAGTATCCTGATACCGAGGGTGGGATCTACGACTTCCAGGGTTTGAGTGATGCCATTCACACCACTGGTGGTACCTTCAGCGTCGCCACCGACCTGCTCGCTCTGACCGTCCTCAAGGCGCCCGGCGAGTTCGGTGCCGATATCGCTTTTGGTAGCGCTCAACGATTTGGAGTGCCTATGGGCTACGGTGGTCCTCACGCGGCTTTCTTTGCCTGTGCGGACAAGTACAAGCGCAAGGTCCCCGGTCGCGTTGTCGGTGTTTCCAAGGACCGTCTAGGTAACCGTGCTCTGAGACTGGCGCTTCAGACTCGGGAGCAGCACATCCGTCGCGAAAAGGCAACCAGCAACATCTGCACAGCCCAAGCGTTGCTCGCCAACATGAGCGCCATGTACGCTGTTTACCACGGACCCTCTGGATTGAAGACTATCGCCCAGCGAATCATGTCCATGACTGCCACTTTGCGGGAAAAGCTTGCGGCCTTGGGTTACAATGTTCCTGCCAAGTCGAATGTCGCGGAGGGCACTGCGGTCTTTGACACCCTTGCTGTGGAGTTGTCGACTAGCGAAGAAGCCGACGCCATTGTTGCTGCTGCTCGCGAAAACTCCATTTTCCTCCGCCGCGTGTCTGCCACCAAGGTCGGTATCTCTCTCGATGAGACTGCTGGCCGTGAAGAGGTCAAGGCTATTCTGCAGGTCTTTGCCAACCATGTCAAGGGTGAGGTTGCTCTTGACGGAGAACTGGGCCTGGCTTCCGTACCGGCCTGCTTGGAACGCACATCTGCCTACCTCACCCACCCCGTCTTCAACACCCACCACTCGGAGACGGAGATGCTGCGATACATCCGCCACTTGGAGTCGAAGGACTTGTCTCTTGCCCACTCCATGATCCCTCTCGGTTCATGCACCATGAAGCTCAACGCTACGACTGAAATGATTCCTATCTCATGGCCCGAGTTCTCTCAGATGCACCCTTTCCTCCCGGCGGACGTTGCCAAAGGATACACTCAGATGATTGACGATCTGGAGCAGCAACTCGCGGACATCACCGGTATGGCCGAGGTTACAGTTCAGCCCAACTCTGGCGCCCAGGGTGAGTTCGCAGGTCTTCGTGTTATCAAGAAGTATCAGGAAGCAACCGGCAGCTCGAAGCGCAACATTTGTCTGATCCCGGTCTCTGCCCACGGTACCAACCCTGCCAGTGCCGCCATGGCTGGTATGAAGGTCGTAACTATCAAGTGCGACACCAAGACCGGTAACCTTGATCTGGAAGACCTGAAGGCCAAGTGTGAGAAACACCAGGACGAACTGGCTGCTTTCATGATCACCTACCCGAGCACCTTTGGTGTATACGAGCCCGGTGCCAAACAGGCCTGTGATCTCGTCCACCAGTACGGTGGTCAAGTGTACATGGACGGTGCCAACATGAATGCTCAGATCGGCTTGTGCTCTCCTGGTGAGATCGGTGCTGATGTCTGCCACCTGAACCTGCACAAGACATTCTGCATTCCTCACGGCGGTGGTGGTCCCGGTGTCGGTCCTATTGGCGTTGCAGAGCATCTGCGTCCCTACCTCCCTTCTCACCCCAACAGCGAATACCTCCAGTCCAAGCGCACTGAATACTCTTCGCCCCCGATCAGTGCTGCGCCTTGGGGTAGCGCCAGCATCCTTCCTATTACCTTCAACTACATCAACATGATGGGCTCCAAGGGCTTGACCCACGCCACCAAGATCACCCTCCTCAACGCCAACTACATCCTCTCCCGCCTCAAAGAGCACTACCCTATCCTCTACACCAACGACAATGGCCGCTGTGCGCACGAGTTCATTCTCGACGTCCGCAAGTTCAAAGATACCTGCGGTATCGAAGCCATCGACATCGCCAAGCGTCTGCAGGACTACGGCTTCCACGCGCCAACCATGTCCTGGCCTGTGGCCAACACCCTAATGATCGAGCCCACGGAGTCGGAGAACAAGGCTGAGCTCGACCGGTTCTGCGATGCTCTTGTCTCCATCCGCCAGGAGATTGCCGCCGTCGAGAGCGGCGAGCAGCCCCGTGACGGCAATGTCCTCCGAATGGCACCCCACACTCAACGTGATCTCCTGGCCACCGAGTGGGATCGCCCGTACACCCGCGAGAAGGCAGCCTATCCTCTTCCCTACCTCCTTGAGAAGAAGTTCTGGCCTTCCGTGACGCGCGTGGATGATGGTAAGTTTCGACCTGAATCGTTTTGCTGTGACCGTTACTAACATTTTCAATAGCCCACGGAGACCAGAACTTGTTCTGTACCTGCCCACCAGTTGAGGACAGCGAGTAGTTATGATACCCATGTAGACTTTGACGTTTAGCACTTTCAACACGTTTGGGACGGCTGTTGTGGCATTGTGAGATTCAACATGACCATGATAGATGGCGTTGGGGTTGTTTCTAGCATTGGATGCATATAAATATCAATAAAAGTTCGATATCCATAAAGCTACCTACTCCGTATCCTGGTCCGTTTTGAGATCTTATCTTATCTCCATCCTTATCGTACCTTATCGCTATCGATACCGGCGGGCCCGACCGCAGCGAATCAGAAGCGATCGGAGGCAGCCGTGATCTGTCAGGAATGGCAGGAAGGCACTGCGGAGGTCGCCTTCCGCTCTGCTCCACCCCTTGATATAAATCCTCGGTTCCCCTTGCGAAGTTGGGAAAGCAACCGAAGTGCTGCCGGATTTTGAAGATTGTCCCAGGTAAGTTGCCCCTTGCGGCGTCCCTTCGCACGATATGCTGACTGTATGACACAGATAAGCTAGGTACTCCACCGGCACAAGCCGACGAGGAAGATGGAGATGGAGTCCAAGATCACTCTCTTCTACGGCACATTCGTCGACCTACCCCGGGTTGAATACGGCTGGAAACATGAGCTCTCAATCAGACATGGCGCGCTCTGGGTCTCGTCCTCAACCGGCCGGATTACTGGGTCTGACTGGTCCATCGCAAACGAGAGCGACTTGCAATCCCTAATCAAGAAGAACGGCTGGCACGGCATCCAGATCGTCCGAGCGCGCGAGGAGCAGAACGAGTTCTTCTTCCCGGGCTTTATCGGTACGTCGCCTCAAATGCAGCACGCAGACACAGACCCATATCCATGCGTTCACTTGCTTTCGCGTCCCGTATGCTAACAAGGCGCAGACACACACATCCACGCCCCGCAGTACCCCAACTCCGGGCTCTTCGGGTCCTCCACGCTCCTCGACTGGCTCGCGACATACACATTCCCGCTCGAAAGCGCGCTGTCCGATACGGCCTTAGCCCACACCACGTATAACACCGTCATCTCACGCACCCTTGCCAACGGCACAACCTGCGCCTCATACTATGCGACCATCCACGTGCAGAGCACGAATCTCCTCGCGAGTCTGTGCCATAGTCGGGGCCAACGAGCCCTGATCGGCCGCGTGTGCATGGATAACCCCTCCTTCTGCCCAGAATACTATCGCGACGAGTCGGCGCAGGACAGTATAACGAAGTCGCGGGAGACGATTGCGCATATCCACGCCCTGGAATCGAATGTCAAGGAGGAAGAACGCCTCGTCAAGCCGATCCTAACACCCCGGTTTGCGCCGACGTGTTCGACGCATGCGCTTAGCGAGTTGGGCCGCCTCGCGAAAGAATATACACCCCCGCTCCACATCCAAACGCACATCTCGGAGAACCTCTCCGAGCTCGACCTTGTGAAGTCCCTTTTCCCCGACCATCCTTCTTACGCCGCCGTCTACGACGCATGTGCCCTCTTAACACCGCGAACGATCCTCGCGCACGCGGTACACCTCACCCCCTCCGAGAAAAAACTCATCGCATCGCGGAAGACGAAAATCTCACACTGCCCGAGCTCGAATTCCGCTCTGGGCTCCGGCCTCGCGCCGATCTGCGATCTGCTTGATAGAGGCATCACCGTTGGGCTGGGAACGGACGTGAGCGGCGGGTATAGCCCCAGTATCCTGGAGGCCGTGCGCCAGGCGTGCCTTGTTAGCCGGTTACTGCGGCATACGAAGCGCCCGGCGAAGGCGTCGTCCGAGGAGAGTACGGCGATTGCGGGGCCGAAGCCGGGGTCTGATGATACTGAGGGGGAAATGGACGGGAGTGAGGTTCTCTCCGTCGAGGAGGCGCTATACCTTGCTACGCGCGGCGGGGCAGCGGTTGTTGATTTGCCTAACGACTTAGGCGGGTTTGAGGACGGGATGTTCTGGGATGTGCAGCTTATCCGGCTTGGCCCTGGTATTCCGTCTGAGAGTGACTGGGCTAAAGATGGCGCTAGGGCTGTTGACTCTAGCTCTGACTCCGCAGTTGATATCTTCGGCTGGGAGACTTGGAGCGAGAAGGTGCACAAGTGGGTGTGGACCGGGAATGATCGGAATGTGAGGCGGGTTTGGGTACGGGGTGTGCTTGTGCATGAGCTTGATGATGGCTGTACTGGTGAGAGGAGTTTGTTTGGATTGCGCTCCGTGCAGGATCTGGCGAGGTGGACTGTTGGCGCTTTGGGTGTTGCGGCGTTGGGGTTGATTCTGGGGAAGCGATTCCTGTGCGAGTGATGGTGAGGGCGAGGGTGCTTGAATTGTCCGGTGTTCTAACTTCTACCCCTTTTCTTTCTTTTAGCCTGGTTTGTTGGCTTCGCTGGAGTCTGGATTGGTATTGCTAGGTATAGGTAGCTCGACTACATGGCTTTGGCTTTATGATAGATAGGAATAGACTTGTATTTCTACTTGCATGCATGAGATCTGCCAATTTGTGTGAAAATGCCTGAGGAGAAATGAAGAGAGGAGGAAGAAGAAGAAAAACTCTACTACCAAAACAGGGCAGTAGGAAGACGCAAAATGATATATTCGTCCGTACGCAGAAATCGACAAGATGAACTATTTACAGCGAATAGAACCCCATACCCCACCACGAAGCTCCTGTGCTGTTCTGAGCAGCGATCTCCCAATGTAATTACGGTATGACATCAAGAGCCCAACCGCCTACTGGAAGAGCTCAATGCAATCGAAGATCTAAAGACGCAGGCAGTCAGAGTCTGAATCACGCAGCCCGGAAATGGGAGACACCCTCCCGAAGACAAATGAAAAGCAAGGTCAGTACATACCACATTAGGACTCAGGTAGGTATCCCCCGAGCTGCCGGAGATAACACTGATGGTGATCTATAAACAGAACAGGGCGAGTTAGCCAGCCATTCATACATACTCGACACCGCAACAAGACGAGGCAGGATCATGTTGAAAGGGAAACGAACCGTGTTCTGGCCCGCGACAATCGTGCCGGACGGTATAGAAACATCATAGACCTCGCCGTTCCCGCGATACGTTCCGCGCGTGACGCCGCGGGAATTGAGGTTCGTGGGCGCGGCGGGCGCAGAGCCCGTGTAACTGTTGATCTGAATCTCTTGTTAGCATTTCATTTTCAGCGAAGGTAGGTCCGGCATACCGTTGCCTGCGGCCGACCGCCAGCGAAAGAGAGCGTTGTTCCGATACGCAGAGTCGCCGCGCCGGTTTGCGCGGATGTAGCGGTGAACTTGATGGTCACTGGGTTGTTGACGCTCTTGAAGATGGCCATTGGGAAGTCGGAGAGCGAGGAGGAGCCCACGGTGTAGGTGAGGGGTCCCCAGCTGGACATTCGGGAGTCGGAGGGGTGCATGCGGAGTTGTTTGTCGGCGTTGCGGAAGCCGGTTGGTCTGGTGGCACAGTCTGTCAGTTTCTCGAGGCAAATCACGAGAAGGGGGGAAGGTGGGGAAAAGGGAGCTTACTGGCCGTCCCACGCTCCAATCTTGAAGATGGTGGTGCCTGTCTTGACGGAGCCGGAGATGTTCTTCGTTGTGGTTGAACCGGCGGTCACGGTCACGGTGTCCTGGGCAACTGCGTATTCGCCTTGGTAGTATTTCATCGTGTAGGTGCCGGGCTTCATGGCGGGGGAGGTGAATTTGCCGCCGGAGGCTGTGTAGGTCCAGTACTGGGCAGCATCGTTGTACCTGACATGATCAGCAGCTGTGGCACTCGGATCAATTGAGTTAAATACCAGTGAATAACCCAATCCATGCTCGAGTCGGCGCCGGAGGCAGTCCCGGTCACGGTTCCTCTACCACTTGCAGCAACGTATCCCTTAATACCGAGGTTGGCGAAGAAAGAAGTGTCAATGCTGGTGCCGGGCGTTCCGCTTCGGCTGAAGTACATCGAGTAAGGACCGTGCAGGCCCATGCGGTAGGATTCGGTTTGGGCGTGGCCGGAGTTCTAGCTGGTTAGCTGTGGCGGTGGACTGGGGTCGGGGTACGTACCATGTACCAGTAAAGCGCATTGTAAGAGCCACCATTGTTGGAGTTGATGTCACTAGAGAAGTCAGCAATATACCATCCTGATGGAGAAAGAGATATACCGGAAGAAAGGACCGCCGGATGAAGACTCGTATTGGTTGAGGATCATGCAGACGCGGTGGGCGCTTCCAGAGATACCTATACAGCGTTAGATAGGCTTGGTGAGACAAGCAAGTTACTCACAGTGTCTCTGGTCGTCGATGAACCGCTCGCTGGAATAGAACTTGCTACGGGTCTCGCCGTCGACGACGAACTGTGACGGTCAGAGCAAGATCTCTTCTTGTAATACGTAGAATACTGACCACGTCGGATCCTTCGACGGTGGAACTGCTGCCAGCTGTGGTTGAGACATCGCCGAAGGGCTCTTCGTTTGGCAGAAGGTCGGAATTAAGACGAGCAATAAAGCGCAGCTCACCGATCGATGGTTCTATACATGTCAGCTGCAACCAAGATCTGGGAGACATGAATATTACCTGCGGTGATATAGGTAGCCATATGGATAATGGGGTCTCCATTATGGACAACAAAGTACTGAGTCAAAGTCGACGTATCGCAAGTAACCTTGATGTAGTCGCCTGCAGCCGTCAGCGCATATCCAGTGCTTTTGTTGCTAGTACCCACCATCCTGAGTCGCAGATACCGTAGCCGAACCGAGTCCAGAACCGATATGGCTTCCTGTGCTCTGGTATTGCAGCTCCGAGCCGTAGAACGAAATGGACGTGATGTCACAGCTGGACTTGTTGACCGTAAACTTCAAGAAGTTGGCAGCGTTGGCGTCGATGGTGTAGGAGCTGCCATTGTCGGTAATACCAAACGCCGCATTCACGACTCTGGCCCCCAGAGCAATGGAGGAAAGAAGAAATGTCTTGGAGAACATGATGTGCGTGGTGGTCGCTTGAAACTGATGTCGATCTCCGAGGCAAGGCTGAGCTTAAATCATTTCACGCCGTTCTTCAGGACATAGGGAACATGAGCCCCTGCCGCTTGGAAGTCTTCATGTTCTTGTCAGGAGGTTCCACCAATCTGCATCCCACGGGTCAAAGGAGGCTGTAGCTCCGTGTCGAGATGGTTAGTTCTAACCTGTCAGGGCGACAGGATTGATAGGTGTAGCGTGCCTGACACTGCCTAGTAGGGCCTTGAGCGGAGAATTGACCGGGATTCGTGCAGAGTGCGGAGAAAGTGGGTTTATGGCCGGGATGGGCAGTTTATTTCTGACGGTTAAACCGTGTCTATATTTGGACCTCAATATAGGGCCCTTGGCGACTGATTCAGGGATCTATCGTCCTCCGCAGGAGTTCAATTTATCAACGAGCGCTCAATGGCGGACGGACATCATTACGCCGAATAGCCCTGTCGCGATACCTCCTTTCAACGCGGACGATACGGACGGTGTGAGACTGTAAACACCGGCTAGGGCCCTGTCGTGATTCCGTCCGGGGGCGGCTGACGATGAACCCTGAATAATCTATTCATCGATTGACAGCTCGTATCTCACCCCTGTTAAGACGAAAGAAAGTTCAGGCGTTGTGCAATCTGTGGGGCGGCAGGCCATCTAGATGAGACAGCTCAAACCGCCAAGAGGCCCAAGTGGTTTGACTATCAACGTCTTCCATGCGCTTTCCCGAAACTCGATGTCAAGCCAATCTCTGTGAAACAATAATGCCGGTCAGGGTTGGGCAAACAAGTCGAATAGGTAACCGGTGAGTTGTTTTCTCTCAAGCTGACAAGCATGGCCAGAGACAGCTTTGTTGGCTACCAACAATGACTTGGCGATGCTATTCCATTCAGCAACAGCAGGAACTGGATGAAGCTCTTCCCAAGCATTTGCCAGGACGCTGACTCGCCTGAACCCTGCAAAGTTTGTTAGGGCTACGGTCGGAGAGCCACAAGAGCCCGCCAACTCAGACAGCAGGAACTGGATAGTTTTCCTGATTTCACTTCGCCGTCTTCAAACACTGGAGCATGGCAAACAGAGCTCAAGAATTGTGCTCCCACAAAGTGCATGGATCAAGGGTAACAGGTGATTTGTGCGACTGAGTCGCCGCTTCTGCGCTTGTCATTGGCGGATGGGCACATTCCAATTGATACAGTTGCATTCCAACCCTTCGGGGTCGTAACGTGTTCGGAGAAATGTATGAATTACTTTCGGCCCCGGCAAGAGCCCGCTGCATTCCATTCACCGTGTTTTTGCTTCTCATGTTCTCGATTTGTTTGAGCGCTTCGGCGAATGCGGGTTTCGCCTACGTGCAGCTATCCAGATAAAATGAGAATCCGAGTTCGTGATTGACCTATGGTTGATTTGAGTTTGGATCAGGGGGAACTTTCCATGCTGACCATGTCTCTGTCCAGAGTCCCGACTGTTGGCCCCTCTGCAACAACCGCATGGCCCAGGTGAAGAATGCTAGGTCGATCTGGTTCCGGTCCTCCGGATCTTGCAGCAAATCAAGAATGTTGATATTGTTCTCGAAGGCCAAGCTGTCTTCTTCGAATTCCACGAAGGGGCTGTATCGAAGACATCTGCTGTTTCTGTCTGGCATCGATGTTTCTGGCCCGAAAGACATCAAGATCAAGTTTTAATCTCGCCTAGGACCCCCGCCCCTTGTGCCGCACACGATGAATCCGCCCCGCTGACACGCATGTCTTTGCTTTTCTTTGTGCGGCCTGGATCAGGAGAGCCAGATATGGCGATGATGAAGGCTGTTCTCGCTGCAGCCGTCGGTGTTCAATCGTGGTATAGAAATGCAGCGTCTTGCCCATGATGATTTGCCTTGAGGACAGACTTCTCGCAAGTTGTATATTCTTCAACCCGTCCATGCTTATTTCCTCTTTCGTTGTACATGAAAGTTGTCTCTTTTCTCTTACTTCATCATAACGTTCACGTACAAGATGCGGTTCCTTTCGTTGATCCCAACCGCCATCGTGGCGCTGCTAGTCAAGTCTGCCGCCGGCTTTCCATTTCGGCCCGACCTAGCCAGGGAATTGCGAACGGCTGCTGAGTTGGGAATAGATTGGGATCTTGTGCTAAAGGATCGCCAGACGTTCCGAGAGGCCGTCACGAAAGTCGGCACTCCAGCAGAATATGTTTCGGTAGGATGGCGTTGTATCCAGGGGCAAGATACACCAGACTAAGAAGTTCTGCAGCTTCCCATCGACCATGACGATCCGTCTGTCGGGACCTTCCAGAATCGGTTCTGGGTAAATGACGAGCACTATGCGCCGGGTGGGCCAGTCTTCTTTTATGATGTCGGGGAAGCCAACGGGGAAGGAAGCGCCGCTCTTCTCACAGCGAGTGCCTCGTTCTTCCCAGATGTGCTGCAGGAGTTCAATGCCATTGGGATAGTATGGGAGCATCGGTCGGTTATTTCACGTAGTCGACGTGGGATGATGGAGATCTGACAGTTGCAGATATTACGGAGACTCACTGCCATTTCCCGTTACCAATAACACCCCACCAGAACATTGGAAGTATCTTACCACGAGACAGGCGCTGGCAGATATTCCCGTCTTCGCGGAGAACTTCACTCGTCCGTCTTTCGAGAAGTATGACTTAACTCCCGAGTTGACACCTTGGATTATGGTTGGAGGCTCGTATCCTGGCGCACGAGCTGCATTCGCTCGCAAGGAGTACCCAGACACAATATTCGCCGCGTTCGCTTCCTCAGCTGTGGTCCATGCGCAGATCGATATGAGCGTGTATTATGAACAAATTTATCGATCCATGGTGGCCAACGGACTAGGCAACTGTGCCCTAGACATCCACGCGGCTCTCGAATATATCGACGACCAGCTCTCTCAGGAAGACACTGCCGTCGCAATAAAGCAGCTCTTCTTTGGTGTTGGCGCTGAGAAGAACTCAAACGAAGACTTCACTGCAGCCCTTTCAGGAATATTCGGGTATTTCCAGAGTTACGGCTTGGAAGGCCCTTCGGGGTCGCTGGGGCCGTTCTGTCGTCATCTCGAATCGGATCCGGTGACAGGGCTAGCGGCAGGACCAGAAGGCCTGGCACCTCGACTTGGAAACAAGTACCTGGCAGAACGCTGGGCCACATGGCCGACATTCACGGAGGTGATCAATCTCAACTACGAGACAAACTGCGAAGGCCTCAACAAGCGCACCGCTACGTCCTGCGAACTGAACAAGCCTGTAACCAGAGCAGACGCGATCGCTTGGACCTGGCAGTACTGCTCAGAGTGGGGATTCTACCAGAGCAACAACGAGGGAACTCATTCCCTGCTCTCTCGATACCAGACACAAGAATTCCAGCAGTTCATGTGCAACCGGCAGTTCCCCGAAGCCGTAGAAAGAGGCCTCCTTCCCCCAGAACCGCAGACCGACGCGGTGAAGGCGTTTGGCGATTGGAACGCCAGGCCATCAAACGTGTATTTCAGCGCTGGAGAGTTCGACCCCTGGAGGACGATGACGCCGCTTTCAACCGAGTCGTTCTCGCCGCAGCTCACCGTCACGTCGGACATTCCGCAATGCGGGGTGCAGACGGCGGCGGACACGGTGTTTGGGTATGTCGGAGCCAATCAGGTCCACTGCTTTGATTTCCAAGTTGGCTCGGAACTTGCCGAGGTGTCGCGAGATATCTTCCGGCGGGCGTTGAGGGAGTGGCTTCCGTGCTTCGAGAAGCAGAAGTAGGAGTCATCGCTGCAGGTAGCCTATTCTGCGAGCGTATCGGGAGCAAGAGTTCTGTAAGCAATTATCACGCACATAGTCACACATAGTACGGAGTATAGGCATCCACATAGGCTTCTCGTATTCTCGGACGGACTTTGCACCGTGGTAGATGGTAGATCTTAGAGAAGGCCGGGGGCGGAGTCGGCCAGACTGGATGGCATTCCACGCTAACCGGATTGGGGACAGCTTGCGATGCCATTCTCTAGTGAGGTCAGCGGCGATTCTCCTCCGAACTCCGTCTCCACGCGCCTTCCTCTGCACGTCGACGTTTGGGATGCTAAACCATGGTCCAATGTGCATGGAGCTGCCTGGGCTCCATGCAGTGCTCTTATAACCATGCCTCCCCCTCTGCTGTTGTCGTTTGATCCTCCGTCTCCCAGGCTCCCACCTTCATACCTGTCAAGGTCTGCATTGCGTCATGCTATCACTTCCAACTCTGCTCCTAGCTGGCTTCTGTCTCGTATTTCTAATCCTACGAGACATCCATCAGCGCTTACAGCGCCGGAAGAATGCCAGACAGTGGGGTTGTCAGTCCCCTAATATCGCTCCATCAGGCTTCTTCGGTATCCCGCCATTTCTCGACCTCGCCAAAGCAATCAGGCAGAGCCGACCGGTGGAATTCATCACTGAGAAGTACAATATCCATGGATTCACCTTCAAACAAAGTTTTCTGGGACGGACGGGAGTTTCGACCATCGAACCGGAAAACTTGAAGGCTGTCTTAGCCACCCAGTTCAATGATTTTTGTCTGGGTCTTAGAGAGCGCGAATTCGGCCCATTGCTCGGCCAAGGCATCTTCACACTTGATGGACCAGGATGGTCTCATGCCCGCGCCTTGCTTCGACCGCAGTTTACTCGGGACCAGGTAGATACACCCCGGCCTTAAGCAAATGTACTTATTGCTGACTCCGCAGGTTGCTGACCTAGACCTCATGGAAAGCCATATCTCCCGGATGATCGAGCTTATGCCTAAAGACGGGTCAACCTTTGATATCCAACGGCTCTTCTTCCTTATGACCACGGATTCGTCCACCCACTTTCTATTCGGCGAATCCGTGCACTCAATGGACGAGGATACTCTGCTAAAAAGGTCGACCGTCAACAACTCAGAGGGCTTTGCAGATGCCTTCAACACCTCCTTGCATTATCTCAACTGGCGGGCTATGGCTGGGAATTTCTATTGGATGGTAACTTCCAAAGAGTTCCGTGATGCGAACCGACGCGTCAAGGAGGTTGTTGACTACTATGTACATCAAGCAATCGAAGCTAGGAGACATCCCGAGAAGAAAGAACCAGGGAGATATATCTTCGCCGAGGCTCTTGCTGAGGACAACGATGACCCGAAGATCCTGAGAGACAACATGCTCAATATCCTACTGGCAGGCCGTGACACAACCGCCAGTCTCCTTAGCTCCGTCTTCTTTTTTCTTGCCCGGAACCCTGCTGTCTGGGACAAACTGCGGCGAATCATTGTCGAAGAATTTGGAGATGACCAGCATCCAAATGAAAAAATCACCCAGACCAAATTGAAGGATCTTCCATACTTACGCTACGTTTTGAATGAAGGTAGGTTGACAACCATCAACTTGTCGTTTTTTGACCTTGGAACTGCTTCGAGTTGCGCCAAGTGTTCCTTGGCCTCAAAGATACCTCACATTTTATCACCACCTGAGTGAACCTCCGTACAGGAGGCCACAAGCTTATCAACTAAGCTACCTTTGCTAACAAACCCACTCCAATGCAGCCCTACGCCTCCTACCCCCAGTTCCTCTGAACGCTCGCATCGCCACCAAAGACACATCCCTACCCGTCGGCGGTGGCCCTGACGGCAAGAGCCCAGTCTTCATCGCAAAAGGCCAACTGCTCCTCTACAGTGTTTACGCAATGCACCGCCGGAAGGACCTCTGGGGCCCCGACGCCGATTCCTTCCGACCTGAACGCTGGGAGGAAAATGCCAAGCGCGGCTGGGAATACCTTCCTTTCAACGGAGGCCCGCGTATTTGTCTTGGCCGTGAGTTCTCCACCTCATCTGCTCATAATGACGGATTCTGACTACGAACCGTTCAGAACAATATGCTCTGACAGAAGCAAGCTACACCATTGTTCGCTTGATGCAGCGTTTCTCGAAGATCGAAAACGGCGAGCCAGACCGCGATCAGCCTCTGATCCGAGCGAATCTGACCATGTCTCATGGAGATGGGGTGAAGATTCGATTGTACTAACCGGAGGCACTACAGCATCTAACAGTTCTTGGTGACCACAACAGCAAGCTAGGTCTTGGCTGTTTGTATGTTTGGTTTGCCATTTTGAACATTCCCCGGAAAGATAAGGTAAAAACTCAGCGGTGTCCTCCTAGCTGACTTTCCGGGCCTTGAAGGTAATGATGTCTGCCATGTTATGTTAAGTATATAGGTACAGCACCTCAACATGAATTGCATGAACTCCGCTCCGTATAGTTCTTCCTGGCCAACCAATAAGAGCCTTGCATTTCAGGTTCACCTGACAGAATTGCTCTCTTTCCAACATCGTTATGTTTGCCGACCTTCATGGCCATCGATGCTGATTACAGTACTAGTGATTGGCTCAGAGCACGTGAAGCTACTAGCTACGTCGTACCTACAGGTAACCCGTCACAACCCCATGTATCCTTTTGCAGCTTGCTATGATCTAAAATCTATTGGAATATGGCTTAGACTGTGTGAAGGATTTATCACATACGACCACAGGGTGTGGAGAACAGGGCTTCCCGTCCGCTCAGCCGTACTTAAACCACACGCCGGCTGGTTAGTAGTATGGTGGGTGACCACATGCGAATCCCAGCTGTTGTATGTTTTTTTACCGTTCAATTTTATCATTTGCTGGTACTTTCGGAGGGGAGAGAGGCTGACTCAATATAGGCTCTTGGCGCTCCTTGGCCGGCGGAATCTGCCGCTTTGCCAGTCCCCGTCCATTCAGATCATCCTGCTAGTGGCTTTGCTGGACCCCTATACCATGGTCTCTGTGCTCTGTCCATGAGTCATGCCCAGTTTCTAGCCAGTATTAGTACCTAGCGGTCCTACCCCCTTCACGCGATCTACAGAGCTTATGTCCACCTAGGAGGTTGCTCGAGACCTCCTGTTTACATATTGTCATCCATCAATCACACTTACCAACCTACCTTGATACCATTCGCACCTCACCTGCGGTGCTCGCCTCTCCATCTCAATGGCCTCCTCCGACACTCCCCCTGGATATCCCCGCATCACCCCCTCCAGTCCCATCCGCGACTTCGGCCCCGGTCGCATGGACTACGAGCGCTGTGCAGCCCTGCACAACGAGCTCCTAACACGCGTCGTGAAAGCAAAAGGCGGCTCCATGCCCCCTGCTCCTCCAAGCTGGTGGGAGGCCAGAGCCCCACCCCCGGAAGTCGCCGACGCTCTGCATCCATCCCTGATCGAGTTCCTCAAGAGGGCATGGGATGAAGACGTGCTGCTGAAGCCTCTCTTTTTCTTCATTGGGGCATTGAAGTTCCCGGAAGGATTTTTCGAGGACGATGTCAGGTACAGCTTTGGTCTTGTTGATGAGCCTGGACGGTTTCTGAAGCTGTACCAGGCGGCTGGTTTTCGGATGGGGGATGATGAGGGTCTTCTGTATGTTCATTTTCAATCCCCTACTGGCAGCAATATGATCTGACCTCATATTTTGGTAGCTTTGACCAGAAGTCCATGAAGGCAAGCTTTGTCGAGGACTATAATGACACTAAGTATATCACCAGTCATGAATGGAGCTGGATGCCCCTGGAGGTGATTCTGGATTCATATCTCCAGATGATCGACGAAGGAAAAGTGACCGCGATACCCGCAACGCTGCCAGAGCTACGCCGCGATTTCACCGTTGGAGTCGTCGAGCCCTGGATGATTCACCAGTACACGAAAACAGACCTGGAGAGGGCAACCACCGCATTCAAGCGTCTCATACACGCAATCGAGTCCCGGGTCGAGAACCAAAAGAAAGACAAGCCAATTGCTCTTCTGGACCTGCCATGGCATGATCCAGCAATATACAATAAGGATATCCTGCCCTCGTTCTCATTCGCCCACGAGTTCCTAACCGCCATCTCCGCCTGCAAAGTCTCATTCCGCTACATCGCCCCTGGGATCCGATTCCCCACGACCCCTGAATTCAACAACCAGCCCATCACCGACTTCGTGACCTCCCCACACAGAAACCTAGGCCAATTCCCAGGCAACTGCCCCCTCCGCCTCTTCCAGGTCGACACGGACACGGACACAGAGACAGCCGGAGAGCTAGTCGGACCCTGTGATTACCACAACGGGATCCACAACATAACACCCGGGTTCTACATCAACCCCGTCGTCGAGCGCTGGCCCCTTTTCTGGAGCAATGGGTGTCGACTCTTCTTACCCTTCGGCATCGGTCGGCAGGGATGGGCTCGGTTCTCTAATGGCCAGCCGTTGGGGCTCCGCGATGGCGACCTTGATTTCGAGGAAGCGAGGCTTTACGATGACCCCGGGGCTCTGTACCAGGCTGGCATAACGAATGGGATCACGAACGCTCATTTGGTGGTGATTGACAAGGTGTTGAACAATTGGGCGGAGAGGGTTGAGGGGGGCGATTGGGAGGTTGATGGGGATGGGGTTCGGGGGGGGATTGAGAAGTTTCGAGAGGCTGATACGGAGGAGCATTGGGAGAAGTATTGGATTCCGCCGTCGTGGTGAGGAGGGGATTTCGAGAATCCAAGTGAAGTAATCCATTCCGCTGGTTTGGTATTCTATACCGCATGCTTTGACGTTTCCATCAGGACAGAAAAGTACGGTAAGCGCCCACACCGAGGACTTCGCCTATGATGATTCGGGGGCAATGGTTCGTCCATCATCATGTCTACGCAGTTCCTATGGGGTAGCTATATTCTTATATTGTAGATACATATATATATTTGTGTCGGCTAGCGAGAAGCCGTACGCTACTATGCTAGCCACACTATTAATATTAACCCAAGTATAGAGCGGGTGTAGAATATTCTAGGTAGCTACGTCTATACTTCCTCCTCTTCCTCATAGGCGTTTTTCTCCCCTTTATCACGGTCCAAAATCCAAAATCAAAAGAGGGGATGCAGCTTAGGAGGGCTATAGATGTCTACAACATGAAGGCAAAGCGATGGACCGTAAGCCATTTGCATCGAAGGGCTATTCCTTAGATGTACACCTATCTAACTGATTATATACCATATATTTCAAGGCAAAATCCATTCTTCAATGTCGGAGCGTACTATACTGTACTATACTGCTCGCCCCCAGTGTAGCCATCGCTTATTAGCTTAGTCATCCACGTCGGGGATGGCCTCTCATCTCGCCCCTCTCTGTGGCCTCCAAGCTTTCATCTCCAAGAGTCAACGCCCCCAAAAACCTACCAAACGCATAGTCGCTCTCCAAGGTTACAGACTACACTCTCAAAGACCCCCTACTAGCATTATGCAACCCTCTAAACGAGCTATACTCCTTCTCCAGCAAACTCCCCGGAGAGCCCACCTCCACAACAACGCCCTCCTCCAAAACAGCCACGAGATCCGCATCCAAAATCGTCTCGATCCGATGCGCAACAGTGACAACCGTGCGGTCCGCAAAATGCGTCCTGATAATCCCCTGCACCAGCGCATCCGTCTCACCATCAACGCTCGCCGTGACCTCGTCGAGGATGAGAATGCAGCTAGTCCGCACCATCGCCCGCGCCAGACAGAGGAGCTGCTTCTGGCCGAGGCTGAGGTGGTCGTCTCGTATGGTGGCGCTGATCCCGCCGAGGGCCTGCACGGTTTCCCAGAGGTGGACTTGCTGCAGGACCTGGGTGAGGGCGGATGGGGTGGAGGTGTTGAAGGGGTCGATGTTGGTTTGGATTGTGCCTGGAAGGAGGTAGGGCGTTTGGGTGACGCAGACGAGGCGCGTCGCGAGGGTTTCGCGGGGGATGCTGGTGATGTCGTGGCCGTCGATCAGGATGCTGCCTTGTGTGATGTCTAGCATGCGGAAGAGGGCCGAGACGAGGGAGGATTTTCCACTGTAGACGTCAGATACAGACCATTGCACAAGGGGAAGAGGCATACCTTCCACTGCGCCCGCACAGCGCAATCTTCTGCCCGTGCTCGATCGTCAGATTCAAATCCCTGATGACGCTCTGAGCCGAGCCCTCGTATGACGCCGTGACATGACGGAACTCTATGTGTCCCCTTTCTGGCCACGATGGCGAAAGCTCCCCGTCGCCTCCCTGTTCCTGAGCCATGCTGTCCGTATCCCTCGCAAACGACCTAATCCTCGCCACCGCACCAATCGAAATCTCCAGCTGCGTCCAGTTCGACAGCAGCGCCTTGATACTGATACTAAACTGGACAATATTCACCAACGCAATGCCCAGAAAGCCAGCATCGACGCCATCCCTCACCCTAACCCCCACAGCAACAACCATGACCGCAATCCCCGCGACCACCAAGTCCAGCACCAGATTCAGCCACCGCTGCACACAGAACAGCAGGTAGAACGGCTTCTGCGACGCGTCAAACGCAGCCCGATTCCGGGCCTCGAAGTCCGCCTGCCACCCGAACGCGCGGATCGTGACGAGGCCCGAGAGGATCTCGAGGAAGCGGCTGAAGAGCGGAGCTTTGGCTTCGATGTCGAGGAGACGGAGTTGGCGCGCGGTGCGGAGGTAGAACTTTTGCACGAGCCAGAAGACCAGCAGCAGGGCTGGGAGGGCGATCCCGATGTACTTTGAGGCTACGGCGATGATGATCAGCTGCGCGATGCACTGGAGTAGTTCGACGGTCGTGTTGAAGAGCGCGAGAGGGAGCTCCATGTCTGCGAGCTGCAGGTCCTGCGCGAAGCGGTTGATGATGGTGCCGGTGTCGGTTGTTGAGAAGAGAGAGAGGGGGGCGCGGAGGATGGTGCTGAGCAGGGTGCTGTGGAAGTGCGTTGAGGCCCTGGCAAGCATGCGCTCTGTGAGTTGCCTGTCCTTGCATTAGTGTACTGCGATGAGCTGATTGCAGGATGGAGGTTACCAAGCGCTGACGGCAAGCGAGAGGACGGCCAGACCAGCCAGGGCAGCGTAGATGCCCAGATACTGCGCCCGGTGGGAGACGGTATACTCGTCGCTTGTCTGGAGCCACCATCTCACCACGAATTCTGCAGAGTCAGTCAGGGTTTGCTCGGTAAAGGACCAAAAGACTGGATCACTCACGAGGCAGGCTGAGTCCAATCACAAACAAGGCACAAGTCACGATGAATATCACCGCATTCCAGGGGTGGACTGCTTGGATATAGTACTTGTACACCGTCATATCGCCGGTGCGCCGTTCACTGCCCTGTGGAGTCTCGATCAGAGATGCCGGCCGAGCCCCTTCCACTGTGGCTTTGGAGACTTCGCTCTTGCCGATGGATGCATCCGTCGGACGTTCCAGCATGATCTCTTCTGCGGCCGTCTCCTCCTTGTGTATGCGCCGCCCCTCGCTGCTGAGCAGGATAATGCTGTCTGCGTACGCGATGCGGTGGACTATCCGGCTCAGTCAGTAAGAAGGCATTCTGGATAGCAAGTAGAAATACAGACCAGCATTCGTCGCCAACACAGCCGTTGTCCCCGTCTCCTTCAGCAGCCCATTCCACCCGAACAGGTTGTGGAAGACGCGCTCCTCGGTCTTCGCGTCCAGTCCGCTGAACACATCGTCCAGCAGGAGGAGCTTTTCCTTCGCGTAGACTGCTCTTGCAATGCCCTGCAGCCATTCGAGTCAGCGCGCGCATTTATAACATAGCTTAGCATTTTTGTGAATACTCACCAACCGCGCCCGCTGCCCCCCACTAAGCGAAACACCCCCGCCCCCGACAACCGTTTGGTCGCCGTGCTCAAACGCCCTGATATCCTCGCGCAGTGCGACGGCCTCAACGACGCGGTCGTACCACGCCTGCACGAAGAGATTTGTTCCGAGGATATTCGCGCGGATGGTGTCGTTGCTGATCCACGGCGTCTGCGCGCAGAACGCGATGCGCGTGATATGCGGGGATACGTGCAAAGTTCCCTCAGTATACGGCGTTTCCCGCAGAATCGCGTGGAGGAGTGTGCTCTTGCCGCTGGCAACGGGGCCGAGGATGAATGTTGTACTGTGCGGAGGGATATCGAGGGTTAGGTTCTTGAGGATAAAGGGTTTCTGGTCCACGGGGCTCCAGCCGGCGCTGAAGTTTGCGAGACGGATGATTGCGCCCGTGTCCGTCCCCGTCTCTGGAATCTTGGGCTTCTCGAGATCCATGGCGTCTACTGCCACCGTGGACGTTGATTCTGTGGACGTTGCTTGTTTGTCTTCTCCTGGCCTCACATCCGGCAGACCCGGAACATCTGACGTCGATCGAGATAGGTACTCGCCGATACGCTGCAGTGCGCCGATGGCAGTGACGACGCCCGCGATGGCATCGAGGATCAGCGCCATGGGCGTCTGGAGGAGGGCGAGCAACGACAAGGATGTATACGCCTTGTCGTAGTTCAGGACAGGCGTTCCGTTCCGGATGGCCAGGAGTGTGTACATGGTGAACGCAAGCAAAGGGCCGGAAGCAGCAGTAGTGAATGCTAACTAAAGTCAGCTTCTGAGCCTGAAAACGTCTGACCTAGTAAACAGGTAACGGCTTACACAACGTGACAATCGCAACCAACGCCTTCTTGAACGGCCGCGACTGCGAGATCTCAACCGTCCGCAGACCCTCCAGCTTCGACGCCATGGGCCCCTGCAGCCCGCCTAGCCGGATCTCCTTCATGCTCTTGAGCATGTCCGACGTCACCTGGACGCGCTCCTGGATGGCCTCGAGCCAGCGCCGCTGCCGAGCGCCCATGGTGCTCGCGACACCGAGGCCAAGGACGCTGCATACTATACCCAAAGCATTAGCACACTTGCTCCAAGTAACCAGGACCGAGACAACTTACTAACGAAAACCCCCGCCGGCGCTACAGCCGCAACGCCCAGCTGCCTCGTCAACAACCACAGCGCGAGGGCCACATCGACCGGACTCGCCCAGACCTCATGCAGATTCCGCAGCCCCGAAGCAACGCGCTCAATGTCGACGCTCATAAGCGTGAGCGCGGCCGAGTCGCGCACGAAGCTAATATCGAGGCGCAGCGTCTGGCTGTACATGAGCGGCACGAGGCTGCCTCGGGTCATGGTGATAAGGCGGTACGTCTTGTGCTGGCTAGTTGCGCGGGTGATGGCGAGGCCGAGGTAGATGAGCACCGTTGCGAGGATCAGGCCTGTCCCGTAGGATGTTGTGAGGGCCGTCGCGGGCTCGGAGATATAGGCGATTATGCGGGTGAGGAGGAAGGGCTGTGCGAAAGTGAAGCCGGTCAAGGCGAGGCGGGGGAGGACGGCGGCGAGGAAGGCGCTGCGGTGGTGCGTGAGGAGGAGGAGGATCAGCGACGGGGGAGACTTCTCCCTTACTACGGTACGCAATTCATCAGCGATCGACTGAAAGATTGGGATGCGAATGGTGGCTTGCATACCGGCATCCCACTTCCTCGCGAACCGCTCCGCATCAGACTCGCTGTTCACGCGGTCATCGATCGCAGCCAGTTTCTCGACCGCCAGCACCTCCCTGAACCCGCGCAGCAGCAGCGGGTTGAGCCACCAGTAGAAATTCCGGTTGAAGACGTTGCCCGTGGCCTCGCCGGGGAGGGGATTCGCATCGCCGGAGCCGGTCTTTTCGAGGCATTCTAGGATGAATTTGGCGGAGTCGCATGCGAGACCGACGACGAACACGATGAAGTACGTGCGGGGCTGGACTGCGTAGATTGTTCGAGCGCGGACTGCGTCCAGCGGGATGCATGAGCCTAGGAAGAGGGTTAGGAGAGTCGATGGGCGCGGCGACCGGCGGTGCTGCCGGTATGAGAGGGCGAGCGCGGCGAGGGAGGCGGCGATGGAGATGGCAGCTGCAGCGACTGTGGCTCGGGTCTTGGGGATTTCGAGACTAGGCACGACAAGGAGGATGAGGAGGGCGAGTTTGATGGCAGTGGATAGTAAATGGCTTGACTGGGATGGTTAGTTTGTGCATCTTAACTACCCCGGGGCCGCATATGACCTACCAGCTTGATGTAGAGAGAAAGCCCAGAAGATCCCTGAAACCGCTGACCTCTCAGTCTGTACAAGAGGAACGGCAGAGACAAGAGAAGGAGGCTGCAGGGAGCAATCACGAAGAAAGCCTCTTCGAACAACAGGGTGAAGTCAAACCCATTGCGACAGGTCGAGGCCACAGTCGGGCCAAAGACATCTTCGACGCCGATGGAACACATCCCAGCAGTGACAAGCTACGGTAGTCGGTTCTGCTGCACGAAAAGCGGCTTGAGGGGAGGCTGGGGGTCACTTTCTACTGCCAACGAGCTGACTCCACCAGCACAGCCTGCCAGGGTCCAACTCTCACGAGGCACAACTCTCACTCAGCTCGGGCAACGATCTGACAACATAATCCCATCGTAAATCACTCGTCTTGGCCTGCACGGGCCTGGGCTGGCGTGGTCTCGGCTCCGAGCACCAGTGACTAAACAGTAACTAAACAGTAACTAAACTAGTTGCATACTGCGGATTTAGGGCAGACAAAGAAGATGAAACTGAGCTAGACGGCGCTCATTTGCCTAGCGCCTGCAGTCCAATAGAATTAACCCATATAGATTGCATCTCGACACGCATCCTAGTCTGCTCGCTGCGACTGGTGCATTTCCCAGGTGCCTGCTGTGCTCCCCCATCCCTGCATTTGCTGCACCAAAATAGCAGCAGGCGGCGTGTATCACAACAAAGGCAACAGCAGAGAAAACAAAGGCAAGGTTAGTTAAAGATGGCTTTCTGCTGTACACCTTGAACTAAACGCCTTCTACTGCCTTCTTTATAGACCGGAACCCAACATGTTATTCCTACTCCTGTTAATCTCAGCAATCGGCGCCCTCGCCGTCCCAGCCCCAGGGCCAGCCCCAACCCCAGCGCCCACAGCGTCCCTCACCACCAACACCGCGCGCGACTACGCCCCCGATCTGACCCTCGACCTCCCCACCATCTCCATCGAGCCGTTCACCCTCTCCTCCCTCAATCTCCCCTCCACAACCTTCAGCCTCTCCCTCGACCTCCCGACAAACACCTGTACGCCCACCGTCACCCCCGACTCCAACGGCTACGTCCCACCAGGCAACTGCAATGCGCTGTATGCCTACTACCCCTCCTTCGCCGCCGCAGTGGCCTTCTCCGTGCTCTTCGGCATCCTCCTAATCGCCCACTTCATGCAAGCAACCATCTACAAAGCCGCCTTCGTCTGGGTGATCCTCCTCGGCGCAGCATGGGAATGCACCGGGTTCGTCACCCGCGCAGTCAGCACGAAGAACCAGCAGGACACGACCGTTCTCACCGTGACGCAGATGTTCATTCTGACGGCGCCGATCTGTATGTCCACCCCGTCTCCCATGCTACTGACAAATCCCGTTAACATGAATACATGCAGTGGTCAACGCCTTCGACTACATGGTCCTGGCGCGGATGATAAACTTCTTCATCCCCGAGCGGCGCATCGGGATCTTCAAGCCGTCCCTTCTAGCAGTGGTCTTCGTCTTCCTCGACATCGGCGCCTTCGTCATCCAGCTCATCGGCGGCGGAATGGCAACGCCCACCGCCGACGCCGCGACCATGAAAAAGGGCCTGGACATCTACATGGCTGGCATCGGGATCCAGCAGTTCTTCATCGTGTGCTTCACCGTCATCGCGATCCAATACCACCGCCGCATGCTGCGACTATCGCGGGAGGGACGACTGACCGGTCTAAAAGCGCAGTGGCGGATGCTGCTCTATGCGCTGTACGCGAGCCTCCTGTTCATTTCTGTGCGGATCATTTTCCGGCTGGTGGAGTTCTCGCAGGGCAACGATGAGAGTAATACGATTAGTACGACCGAGTGGTATATGTATGCGTTTGATGCGGCGCCGATGTGGGCCGCGATTGCGGTTTGGAATCTGGTGCATCCCGGCAGGGTGATTAAGGGGCCTGATGCGGTGATGCCGCCGAGTCCGCTGCGGAAGATCTTTGCGTGCGGGGCTTGTTGTGGGTGTTGTGCTAGGAGGAGGAATCGGGAGATGCAGAAGATTCCGGATGATGACCGTGACCGGTTGGGTGGGGATGAGATGGTGCCGCTGCATGTTAGGGCTGCTTCGCCTTTGCCGTATCGGTGACGCTCTGCATGCAATAGAAGGAAAGGTTTGGCATCGCGAGTTGGCTGAAAGGGGGTATTCCTGCTAGAGCATATTACATGCAGGCAGCGGAATGAACGGCTGTACTGTCTCCATTTCCAACCTTCTTTTCTATGTACGTATTATCCTGATATTTTATCTCCAACGCTCTCTAGAGACACAGTAGGTGAATCCCAACCGCCAAGCCAATGCTCCTATTAACACCATCTTCATTCTTTATCATTTCCATATCTCTAAACAGACTTAAGCCTATAGATCCGAATACCGCCCCAACACCCCAAACCTGCCAGGCTCAAACAGCCCAGGAAGCGCGTCAAGCCCATCAAACAACCCCGCACCCTTTATCTCCTCACCAAAACCCTCCGCACCCCCGTCCGCCACCCCCTCCAGCAACCCATTAAACCTCAAAACATCCACCGGCCTCACCGTAACCCTCCCATCCTTAAACACATACCGACTTAGCGACGTCGCCAGGATGTCCTTACTCCAATCCAACCCCCCATCCGATCCACGCCCAGAAACGCGGATCCCCGCCTTGACAAAGTAACTCGCAACAAAAACCCACTTCCCATCCCACCCTAGCACCCGCGACCAGATCTCAAACCGCTGGAACGGCTTGATCTCGCGCTTGAAGACGCAGGAGACGCCGCCGAGGGCGACGTTCAGCGAGCGTTCAGTTTCCTTGCTCCTGCCGCCTTTGCTAGACTGCGAGGATGTACCCGTGGGTGTAGCTGGGGCCGGTGCCCAGCGCGGAAACCCGCCGAATAGCCGGAGCAGCAGCTGCGCGCGGTTGATGTCGAGGTCCGCGAAGAAGGTGCTGTTGGACTTGTGCATGTTGTAGTCGCAGTCGATGGGGGCGTTGCGGTGCGTTGTTACGAGGTAGGAGGTGAGGCGGGGGGGATTTTTTGGGGCTGCGGGGGTGGGTTTGCTGGGGTCATTGCGAGGGCCATTGAAGTTGGTCTTTGCTTGTTGCTCGGCCTTTGAGGTTGAGGTTCTTTCTCTTGCGGCGAGGATGTACTGCGTGCATAGACCCTTGAAGAGCCGGACCTAGAGAAAAGCAGAGTGTCAAACAGCGGGAAACGCCAAGGTTGAATTGGAGTGATGGATACGTAGTGTACGTACATGCCAAACCCCAACGACGCCCTTCAAATTCACCAGAAGCAATACTATGAATGCTACCAGGACAGCAGACTCCGTATAGGAGAGACTGCCCCAGCTCCAACCGCTGTTGACGTGCATTCTGTCGATGGACATCCGACACATCGGATAGAATCCCAGGGACGAACGGACACTGCGATATTACGGGGGACAAATTGACGCCCGGCACATGAGTCTTGGGCTCAAGGCGACCTGGACTCGTCAGACTCGACAGCTGGGCAACGCCTCAGAACGACCTCTCCAGTTCCACATCCACCTGCATCAATCAATGCAACCCGACAGTCGAAATCCCTCATTAGCGAGGATGCTGTAAGCGACCTCGGCCGATCTTGGCCTCCAGTTCCACGGAGACCATCCCAATCGGACTAGACCGTCCGAGGTTCAATGGATGTAAGGTTATTTGTCGTCCGCGGCTCTGGTCCAGATTAAGATTAGACTAAATTAATCACAAGTGGATCTAGATCTGTCCCGTCGTATCATACCGTATGGCACTGTTACCCGGCTCCTGAGACCTTACCAGTCCATACCAGTAATACCGGCCGTACCAAATTACCGTACAGCAGCGTATCCGTAACCCTAACTACAGGATTCGTCAGCCCCCCATGCAAGCCCTGTAAGCCGTAAGCCGTAAGCCGTAAGCCGTAAGCCGTAAGCCCTGCAACGTATGTAGTTTATTTTAGCTTCCCGAAGCATCGTGCCCAGCTCGACTTCCGTCTAACTCTATACCATTCCGCAAAATAAAATACGCAGCGGCGCCAGCGCGACGCCACAAATGCCTTCTTTGGCCTTAGCCCCTGACGCTGGTGCCGAGCACCATGCATCCCGCGTCAGATGACGGCCCCGTTTTAAGACCAAGCCCAGCCGGGGGGTATTGCTGGGTCGAGGTCCACGTTCTGCCTCTACAGTAGAAGTATGGGTGGGTAAAGTAGACTCCAGGACGCGCGGACGTCCATCCTGCAGCTCCAGCTCCAGCTCCAGCTCGCCGTGCCCGACCTACCCTACCTAGGTACCCTACCTCCGGGGCTTTGGCATATTCGTACCGTATGCCCGGCGTATGCGCTGCGTCTCCCAAGCGTGCAGGGTAATACGGTATCCCGGGACTGACTGTTCCAGGTCGGGATTGTTAGCGCAGCTCAGATGCTGATGCAGATGCGGCATTTTACCGTCAGGACATCCATGGGCACTGCGTGCTCCACGTCTCCGCGGCTCTGCGGTAAGGTTGGCTGGTGCTGTGCCCGTGGCTGATTTGAGTGAGTGAAAGAGGGTTCATCTATTCTTAAACGGGGAAGGCGAACCGGGGGCCCGGGGGAGGGGGGTTGAAGTTGTTGCTGTCCCTGTCTACTTCATGCCCCGGAGCAGAGCAGAGGGCCATGCTCGTTTGGAGCTCGACCAGCCAGGGACGAATTGCACGTGGGTGTTTGGCGGATGCAGGCCGATAGGTTCGGTACCGACCTCAAGGTAGGCACCTACAGCGCGTTCGATGATTCCGTTGCTATGGGGAGAGAAGGCTCTTACGCAGGGCGTGGAACCTTTCCTGCGTAAACACACATACCCTAGGCTGGGGGACAAGCATGGGATTTAGAATGCAGTGTAATGCGATTCTTGATGTTTGTCGCCCTATACCTAGGTGTTCTACTCTTCCAGCGAGGAATCATGGTAGACAGTGGTGGTACGCATGTTGATACATTCCACGGCTCGGCTCGCAGGAACCAGAATGACGTTGGAGAAGGCATGCTAGACAAAAGCTGATCTGCTATTTAAAACACGAAACCAAGATTATACATATTTCTACCTAAGTAAAAGACGAGCAACTACAAAGATCAATATCAAGAAAATCTCGCCAACGGATCCAGATACACCGCGCTCTCCTTCCCCATCTTATCACCGCCGTCACCCCACGGCGGCGCGACCTTAGCCCTAAACAGCGAATTCCCATTGACCCCCTCATAAAAGTACGCATCCGCCCTTCGCTTCCTCCTCTCACAGCGCTCCATATACTCGCCATACTCCTCTTCATCAATCGTAGCAAACAAGTACCTCGGATGCACAACAAGAGCCTGCGCCCCCTTCTGGCCAAACCCAAAGCTCGTGAGTGAGATGGCCTTCAACCCAGCCTCCACGCGGATAGCTTTCTGCGTATAGACGAGCAAATCAAACTCCTTCAGCGCGGCGTCAATATTATCCGCATTCCTGTTCCCAGGAACAATGGCGGACTCCAGCATCTGCAGCGCGCCGTTGAGCATCCATGCGCCTGCCGCGCCCTTCGAGTGCCCCGTTAGCGACTTCTGGAAGACGCTGGGCAGGAGGTTTCCGGGGCGGCGGCCCAGAGAGCGGAGTTGGTCTTGCAGCACGGATGACTCGTTCTTGTCGTTTAGGACTGTTGATGTCCCGTGGAGGGACGCGGCTGAGAGATCGTTTATTGTGAGGCCCCAGGTTGCAAGGGCGCCGGATAGCGGCGCGATGTGCGGGTTGTTGTGCCAGAAGGTGTTTCCTAGGGTGTATTTGGCTTCTCGTTGTTCGCGTGAGGATTCAGCGATGATCTGCTGGCGGCGCTCGGTGATGTAGGCGTTGGTGTCTATGCTCGGGTCCTGGGATACCACTGCGTCGAGCTCAAGGGGGAGGTCTTGCAGTGCTATGTCTCGCGCTTCGTTGATCTGCCGGAGTCGGAAGTCTAGTCGCTTTCGGCGATTTGCAATGTCCATCAGCGGTGACGGCATTCGTTGTCCTTGCATTTGTTTGGCATTTGTCAAGACGCCCCTGCCTGGCGCTGGCACGGAGCGACTGGCCTTGTCACTGGAGGTATTCACGAACGCCACGACGCCTCGAATCGGCAGACCCATCTTCAAGGCCAAGGCCGCAGTCGTCAGGACCTGGATGCCGGCACCCTGGGATTCGACGAACCCGCTGCGCGTGCTGGTGGCTGGCCGGGACATCTCATGCGGAGCTCGACCTTTGGCTATCTCGTCCGCCGCGTTGGCAGTCGCCTTCATGTTGGCAAACTCCTGCGATGTCTCGGCAATAAAGTCGTCGCAGCCGCCAACAAGGCAGAACTGGGCTTTGCCACTCGAGATCGTCTCGTATCCTAGTTCGAGCGACTCGATGGCTGTTGCGCATGCGCCGACCGGGGTGCGGAGGGGCCCAGAGGCTGAGAGCAGGAGCATGTTTACCCACGCAGCTGTGGTGTTGATGAATGTCTCTTGCAGAATATCCTTCTGGATCTCAGGGTTTGTTTGGCGCCCGCTGAACATCTTGCGCAGAGAGGAGGCGCCCCCGAGCCCAGAGCCGATGCAGCTCCCTACGTCCGAAACGTGGATGTATTGGTAGAGCTCGTAGGGGTCAGTGATGCCTGAGAACAGGAGTGCCTCGACAGTGCAGACTAGGGTGTAAAGAGTGACTGGATCAACCTGCGTGATGATATCCTCGGGGATTCCGTACGTTCGTGGGTCCCAGCCTGTTGGGATGAGCCCGGCAACTGTAGGAGTGTTCTGCATTGCCCGCGGGATGTAAAGTCTTGAGCCTTTGCGCAGCTGTACTTTGAAAAGGTCTGGTGTGGTGGACTGTTGTACGTCAGCATACTCGCCATGTTCTGCTTTCATCTCGTCGGCGAGGGTCCGTGGCAGGTATAAGGGCTCCAGGTCCTCTTGTAGAATGACCTCGTGCAGGAACTTTGGCTGCTCTTCATCCGCTGGGACAAGCCGGATTCCGCTATTGCTAAGGATCCTCTCCTCGTACAATGGCTTGACATCGATATCAGCCACGGGTTTCTTTGTGGTAGCATCCACCCAGCCAGAGTATGGTGTGCCGTCTATGACCCCGGCATAGTGCTTGATGTAGCCCATCAGCCAGGCCATCTCGACCACTCCTTCGAGCGAGAACTGGCCATACGCTTCCATCTCCCATCGTGTACGGGCGTTACCTCGAGGGCCCAATTCCGAAAAGCCAGTCACAACGACTGTCCGGTGGAGATCAACCATTCCAAGGAGATTTGCAGCCAAGGGGCGAATCTCGTGGGCGTAATCAAGTGGCCTGGGAAAGTCGATGCGAACATGAGCTCGTTGTTGAAGCTTCCGCTCTGGCTTGGACTTTGACTTCGAGGTCAATGAACACTGCTGCTCTAATCGAGACTCCGCAAGCAATCCCGCTAGAATCTCGCTCCGTTCTTTGAGATCCTGGCGCATGGCCTGCAGCTTGTGAGGCAGATTCTCCGTCGTCCCCATGCCCCCTGTTAAATCCACGTACAGCGGTTGCTCCTGGCAAAGCTCATTGATAGTCTGAACGCACAGGCAAACAAGGGCATACGCCATCTCCTCTTGAGAGAACGTCCTCATGTGCCCGGAAGCTTCCACGCCCTCCGCCACAAGATCGTTCTGGTTCATCAAGCCCGTTCCCCGCGTCCAGCCGATTACCGCGCCACAGATACACAGGTAATCCCGCCAATCCTCGGCATGCCAGCGATTGAGCAGCGTCTCCAGCGCCAGCTTCGACTCGCCATACAGTCCGTCACCACCAAACGTCCCGTGATTAGGAGAGAGAGGCAAGATGACCTGCGTGGGATGCGAGCGGCAGTGATATTTCTCCTTATGGGTCTTGATCGTCCCCAGCAAGCGCAGCACATTGGTCAGCATCAGGCGGTGCGCCAGCTCGGATTTCGAGTCGATGCCGTCGAGCTTCCGCCCTGCCTCGCTGATGCCTGCAAAGGGAACAATATAGTCAAGATCCCAGCCCAGGCCGCCTGGCGCTGCTGAGTAGATGTATGAGATTAGCGAGGTGACATCTTGCACACTGGCCTGGTTGAATGGAACAACCACCAGTTGGGATCCCCTGGCGCCGTGGTCCATGTAGATGTTCTGATACTTCTGAGCAACCTCCGGGGACAGAGAAGATGTCGTGGTGACCACTTTCGCACCCCCTTGCAGGAAATGCTTGATCATGGCTGCGCCAATGGACCCGAAACCGGCGCCGGTGAGAAGCACTGTCTGGCCTCTGAAGGATTCGCCAGATGTGGCGATCTGGGTGAGGACGCCGTGGAGCTGTTCGGTCAGGCGTTGACTGTAATTCCATCCCCCGGCTTTCTCCTTCAAATGCAGATACGGTTCTCTCATTTCAGTTGGAGATACCGGCAATGCCAGATCCGCAAAGCGCATTGCGTCGTTGCGCGGCCTTTCGAGATATTGTATGACGCCCTCTTCGTCAATGATCGTGCGAGGAGCCATTTGTTTCGGCGACCCCTTAAACAGCGGTCCGACTTCCAAGCTCTGTCTGCACTGTGCCTCGAGATCGATGAAGATGCTGCGCAGAGGAGGATTATCGGATAGTGTGTTCACCATCTCGCTGAGCACAGGGAATATCGCCTCATCGGCAGCATTTGCAATAGCATAGCAGGCCTCTCTGGCTCGATCACTGTCGAGCGTCGGGACAGAGGTTACCAGATTGAAGAGCTCCAACAGCCTCTGGCGGGCCCAATTCCACGCGGAATCGTACGACCTGGCCTTCCGAGCGTCGAATCTCGGCCGGATCCCCTTTGCATACTCCTCCCCATGTTCTGCACTCCACAGATCCAGCTCGGATTGCAGTTTTGTATCGACAGTGTGGCGCAGGGCGTCAAGGGCGCGCCTATCAGCGCCTTGGTCCAGACCAGCGTGGGATGCATAGACATTGAGAAGCTTCTGCGACAAAGCTTTCTGGGACTCGGTGATTTTCCGCACTGCTTCAGGATCAACAGCTGCATTTTGCTGAACACTGGACGTAGATGCGCGGGTATCGAGGGAGATGCCTTCCTTGGCCGCGTAGCTCTTGACAACACAGTCAAAGAATATTTTGGCCTCGGCCTCGGTGAGGATCCGTGTACTGGGCTGCTCTGCCACTGCAAGGAGTAGACACGAGTCCTGTCGGCCCTGCTGGAGCCCCCATCGCGAACTGAGATGTTCCCGCGCAACGGCCGTGGTGAAGGTGCTTGGGAACTTGGAGGTGAATAGCGAGTTTACCATGCTCGTCGACACTTTGCCGAGCTGTAGTGCTTGCTTATGAACTGACTGAATGGAATTGCAGACTTCGTTCAATGGCAGGTCCTCTGCACGGTCTGGCAGAGAGCCAAACTCCGCATGGAGATCGCCCACGATCTCGTTTTCGAGTGTTGACCGTCCTGCTCTGCTTAGTGTTTGCTCAACTTACCTCACCGGGGCTAGATAATGCACATACCTCCAGCAAGAGCCTTGATCGACTTTGACCCGTCAAAGTCCCGAGGTGTCTTCTTCAGCGCACGAGAAATTATCGTCGTCACAATATCTCTCGCTTTGACGGCCTCATCCTCGAGCTCTAGCACTACCGGCCTCGGAATCGCCTCAGGCACCGCATCCGATACTACTCTTGCCACCGGGGGAGGCGCATCTTCAATGGGAGGAGTCGACTTCGCTGCAGATGGCTCCTTCCGTCTCACGGCCTGTCCTGGGGTCTCCAAAATACCAACATCTCCTTCAAAGTAAACCTCCGCCGTATCCCTCTCCGAATTTAACAGCCTGCGCGGTTTCGATCTCGTGCACTCCTGCGTCTGGTATGTCCTGCTGCCGAGCGTTCGCTGGAACATGCCCACGAGCGTCGGCGTCGGCCCGATCTCGATGACGCTGGCGCATTCCTTGTGCGACAGAATCGCGTCCTGCGTCTCGATCCATTGGACCGGCGATGCGAATTGGTAGCTACACGTAAAGCCCGGTCAGCTACTGTTGCGCCCTTTTCTGGCACCGATCGCGTCTTACGTACGCCATGAGTTCGATGAGCAGGGTGCGCGCCAGCTTGCGCTGCGCGTCTGGATTGTTTGCCATGGTCATGGCCATGGTCATGGTGGTGGTCCTGGAGAACCGCTCGATGCGAGTGAGTCGAAATTGAGGTCACCCCGACGGTTCACTGCGGCATGGGAACCCTGGAGTTGAATTTCTGGGTTCTAGCAGGGGAAGCTACGACCGAAGTGTCAGTCATAGCCCAGCTAGCCTCAGCGCCGGTACAGTCTTCCTTGACCAAGGCTCTACTGCTATACACTATGATAGCCCCGAGGCGCCCGACTCTTACCTACGGGTAGTAGTCTCAACCGGGGCGACTTTGCAAACTCGCCCGAGCAAGGCCAATTCCTTCGCCCACCCTCCATCCTGGCTCGCAAACACAAATCCTTTGTCTTTCCTTTCAGCTCAAGCATGTGAGACTATTTTCGCCGGTCCCAAGGACTAGTGAGATGGACAGTCCAGTGCTAGCGGCTCCTCATCTCATCTCATCTCAGCATCACCTCATCCCTCTGCCCCCCTTAGGGCTTGGGCCTGCTACTGCAACTGCTACTGCACCTAGAAAAATTCGACATTTAGCTTCAGCCCCCACGAGACAGTGGCACAGGCCAGCATGCTGACCAAAATTACGCCATGTGTTTATATTAAAGCGTTGTGGCTTCAGATTTGCCATTGGAGGTGTCGTCTAGGGTGGGTCAGTAGTAGTACCCGTGGACCCGTGGACGGTATACGTATGGTAAGTAATCTTCATAGAGCAGATCATTACCCTAGCTCAATACACCCCGATAGGCTATGTACCGTACCGTACCAGCCATCCCCGAGCTTCAGCCGGTCTAGACCGACAGCCGCAATATAAGCTTAGCGGCATTAGCCTTCGCTAGGCCCTTAGTGCACGCTGCTAATCTGCAGGAATACGCGAGCTGCATCTGCTTTCATCTGTAAACGTGTGCGTATTACTATTTGACGTACGCCCTGGCCATTGTAGGCAATCAACACCCCCAGAGCTGGCGTGTGGGGATAGCCTATGGTTAAGTCCTGAGAGTAGAGCGGCGCTTCCATAGAACTTTTCTTCCAGTGACTAATATCTGTCTTGGAATTGAACTAGACAGGCTTTAGCGTGGGGTATTGATGTTGATATTTCCAAGCGATGGGTGGCTGTCAGTTGAGTCTTCCAGAAGCTAGTAGGGTTCGATGACGACCTCCTCGTCTTATGCGAGAAGGTACAATCCTGATGCAATGCATAGTAATCTATCACTACTTTGCCGAAGACAGACAATGGATTCTCCTAGCGTATCTTGTTCTTGTGCAAGCGAAATTGGAAGCAACGCGTGTGCATTTGGACACAGGGATGTTTTGCATGGGCTCACAAGAGAGCATTACATATTCCAACAGGATTTAACTACTTAACTCTGCGTACTATCATAGTTCGCAAAGTAGTGAATGACAGATTCACATGTGTAACCGCACAATGGATGGATAAATGACATCATTAAGGCACGTAGTCCGGTCAGTTTACTGAACCGGTGAAACCGGCCACAACCAGTCCTCCTTCGCCGGGACTCGCCCCTTCTGCGCATCCAGAAGACCCTGCAGCAGCGCCTTGTACCCCTCGCCCGGACCATCCGTGCTAAACTGGAACGTCTCACCCGTGGACTTGCGCGTGATGGACCTAATCGGCACGAGCATCGCGGCTGTACCGGCGGCCAGGACTTCGCTGAAGTACTCGAGCTCGCGGTACGGGATCTGCAGTGTGTCAGTTGCAAGCACAACCCTATTGTAGCCATAGTCACGAATAGGGCGTCATACCGGGCGAACCTCAACGTCCCAGCCCAACGCCCTCGCAATCTCGAGACAGCTCGTGCTAGTCACACTCTTCAGAATCGACCGACTACTCGGCACGACAACCGTAACCGAATCCCCCCTCTTCTTCAGCCCAATAAACCCGCTCGTGCTGAACTCATCAATCTCGCTATTCGTCCGACTATCCAGATGCAGCGTGATGAAGAACCCCTCTTTCCGCGCAGCATCGCTCCATTTCAAGACGGGCGCGTAGTTCCCGCCGACCTTGACGTGGCCGACGCCGTTTGGCGCCGCGCGGTCCAGGTCTTCGAGGATCAGCGCGGGGATCGGCTGGCTGCCGTGGTAGGCCTTGTAGGGCTGCACGTAGATGCAGAATTTGTAGCCGGTGCCTGCGGAGACGGCGAAGAAGGCGTCCGACCCGAAGACCAGGGGGCGGATGTACAGCGCTGCGTCGGTGGAGTGCGGAGGGACGTACTCGGCGTTGGCGGCGACGGCGAGGTTGATGGCGGTTAGGAAGAGGGGTTCGGGGATTGGGGGGATGGCGATGGCGGTGCAGGAGAGGGATAGCCGGGCGCAGTGGTCTTTGGGCCGGAAGATGTGGATTTGCCCGCTGGGGGAGCGGTAGGCTGTTGTTGTGGAGGTTAGCGAGGATGGTCATGGGAAAGAATGTGGGTAGGTAGGGACGGCACCTTTCATGCCCTCGAATGCTTGTTGGCCTGGTAGGTGCGTGTTAGTGTGCATCGCAGCTTATATGCAAGGAGTAGTAGTGAGTACCATAGTTCAGGCCTGGTGCGAGACCGTGGATGCGCAAGAAGCTGTCTTCCACCAGTCGCGGCTCGGACCAGCGGCCTGTAGACACGGAGTAGTCACACTCAACATGAGCGTTGACTTCATCGACGGACTTCAGTCAGCTGAAGCAACAGGATCTGGGCTAGATGGTACTCACCATCCATGGGGGCCACCCCGAGTTTCTCCCATTCTGGATTGACTTGTTAGCAATATCCATGATGAAGTTTGTAACTTGGGCAGCCCACCTAGAGACTCGGTGGGAGGAGGCGGGAACGAGGCCATTGTGGTGTTTGCAGGGGCTCAGGGGACAAGTGTGAAAGGGGTTTGACTTGAACAGTTCGACACTTTGGAGAAAGATTCAAGCGTGGGAACTGCTCCCCTGAATATCGCGCAAGAAATGAACCAACACGCTCGAATACTCATACGCGTTTGTTGGTTGTAACTGCATTGACTAGTGAAATATTTTAGCGCACATTGACCCATTCAATATCAACTGTCATGCATCAGCAAAGAAAATAGATTAATTAGACGAGGGCGCCATCGTCCTTGGGCTGAATGTCAGCGTCGGGTTGGACACGGCGGCCGCCGTCGGAAAGTGACCATAAGACACGAGCACCATAGACTATAGACTATAGAGACGAGCCCGGGCATCCAACGGTTTTCGGTCATCAGGAGCGGCTGAGTGCAGATCCGGAATAATCCCGAGAGACGTTAGGGTTGAGAACAGATCAGCCAGTCCCATCGAGCGCAGGGACTCATCGCGAGTCTTGGGTTGGGCCGATGTCACCATGGGATCTCGATCAGACCATCCTGGAAGGATTACCGCAGTCTGACGAATCCTGAATCCTGACAGGATGCCGTACCGCAGATTCAGGCCCAATACCGGGTGTTGACACGTAAGGTGCAGTGATTGGCGGAAATCTGGCGGGGGTCGTACTGCGTGCTGGGGCCGGGTGGATCTGCAGTCGGGCCGAGCCTTGTCGAGTCATGACCTAGCGGTAACGCTGTACTTTATCAGCGCTTGTATTGTACGATTCAGCTCGTATGGTATCGGTATGGTTTGGTTTTCCCGCCGTTAGGGCATGGCACTTCCAGAGGTCCTTCAGGCTGGAATATCCATGTCTTTTCGATGCGAAACCAACGGCATGGCGGCTCAGCTGAGAGCGCTAAGAAAGAGGCAGTGCACGGTGTCTGACTCGTAGATTGCGAGGGGGTAATTGCTCGCTACGTCGGGAGAAGGAGGGTTGACATCTCCGCGGGAAGGCGTCTCAGCTGGTTGCGGTCCCCTGCGCCTGTCCCAGCCCGAGCTCCAGCTCCCAATCCTGCGTTCTTCTCGTTCCTGCACGCAAGGCTCAATTCTCGATCTAGTCTGTGCCTTTCGAAAACGTGGTTGAGCGGATCGGGCTCTAGTGCGCATGATAGATTGCATGTACCTAGGCAGGCTATACGGAGCCTCGAAGTCCATGGGACGCTGAAGAGACTCCAGGTACACCCATACGCTTCTGTTCACTATCCGCCAGGAGAAACATGGACAGTCCATGGTCGTCGGTAGGATCGCAAGTCTCGTCTTCGGTTCCTACGCCGTGGGAGGAAGTCCAGCAGCAGGCTCTTTGTGTGGATGAGGTTCTGCTGCAGGTTGGCGATGTACAGTGCTCAATTCCGGTATCTCATCCATTGACGCAAAGATGTCGGTCTCTCGGCGAGGCTTTCTTGTCTCGAAATCATCAAGAATTCTCGTCTGTCCTGGAGCTTTGCTCCTCGTTTATGCGGTTTATCCAGGATCATGTACCCGAGGGAGCCTCGAGTTCCCCTACATTGGATCTTGCAATTCTCAGAGAAGTCCTCAGCTACTTCCAAAACGACATATTACAGAATGAAAACATAAACACTGTCCTGGCGTCAACGGCCGTGAATGAAGGCCTGCATAATTCGATTCTGCGGACATACTTCCATGATTGTGCTGTGACAGGTCACAAATGCGCCGCTGGGACGAGTCAATTACTTGCAAGCGCGGAAAGAGGGGACGCCAGACTGTTCGCTTTGTTTAACGGCCAAGGCGTTGAGACTTACTTTGATGAGCTGGCTGAGACATACGAAATCTATCAAGATCACATTACGTCTCTTGTGCATACTCTGGCTGAGACCCTTTTTCGACTCGCCGCAGATAGTAGGGTCAAGGGTATCTTTCCACATGGACTTGACATCAAATCATGGCTTCGAAATCCGGATACTCAGCCGGAACGCGAGTATCTCACCACAGCCGCCGTCAGCCTTCCTCTCATTGCTGTCTGTCAATTAGTGCAATATGCAGTTGCGTGTATCAACTTGGAAGTATCGCCTGGAGACCTGCGTCAGTATCTATCCGGTGCTACTGGCCATTCTCAGGGAGTCGTTGTGGCAGCGTTTGTTGCTGCTGCGGACTCGTGGGATGGCTTCTACAGTGCCGCTCAACAAGCGGTCGAAGTCCTCTTCTGGATAGGCGCGAGGTGCCACCAGAGTACAACCTCGGTGGAAGCCGGCTGGAATCAGTCTCCCGCATCGTGCATGCTCAGCGTGAAAGGCGAATCCCAGCAAGCGTTACAGAAACAGATCGACGAGATCAACGCATGTCTTCCTCCCTCAGAAAGCGTCCGCCTGGGACTGGTGAACGGGCCTCAGCTGTTCGTCGTATCCGGACATCCAAACTCACTACGAGCACTGGAAAGACTGATCCAGTTGCAGAGTCGTACTGCATCTGACCCCAGCAAGAACTGGTCTCGCGTGCCCTTCAGCCAACGCCCACCGGCTGTCTCTACACGACATTTACCGGTCACTGTTCCCTTTCACTCACCTTACCTGCAAGAAGCTGAAAAGCTCATCATACAAGATTTGGCCTCCCTCACTCTCCGTGGGACAGATCTGGCATTTCCAGTGTATCACACTGAAACAGCCGAGAATTTGCAGACAAGCTCGAGCTCAAACCTGATTCCGGAGCTTGTGCGCATGATTTGCACGGAAAGCGTGCAGTGGGAAACTCTACTGCAAAAGGCTCTCCCCGGCTTTACGCACGTCTTGGACTTTGGACCTGGAGGGGACGCGGGGGTAGGCAGCCTTATCAGCCAGCAGCGCGAGGGAACGGGTTTGAGGACGGTCATCGTTTCTGCTTTGGACGGCCCTAATCCAACGTTGAGTTACGCAACAGACTTGTATACGCGCAATAATCCTGTCCGATACAATCCAGTCTGGTTCACGAAGTTTGCACCATCGCTCCTGCAGTCTCCGGCTTCCCAACATCCAGGCTCTGAGTCTCCTCTGGTAAACACAAAATTCACGCAGCTCCTCGGCCTCCCACCACTCATGGTCGCTGGAATGACGCCTACAACGACGGCTCCGGAGTTTGTCGCAGCGATAGTCAATGCCGGGTACCACGCCGAACTGGCATGTGGTGGGTTCCCAGACGCCGACAAAATGCGCGAGGGCATCCTCTCTCTCGCGGCGAAGATTCCCCCAGGCCGTGGGATAACCTGCAACGTCATCTACGCGAATCCAGCAGCAATGGCATGGCAGATTCCGCTTCTTGCCGAGTTGCGCCGCTCAGGAGTCCCCATAACAGGGCTCACAATAGGGGCTGGAGTTCCATCCCCGGAAATCGTGCAGGACTATATCCAAGAGCTATCACTGCACCATATCGGACTGAAGCCCGGCTCACGAGACGCAATTGACGCCGTGCTGGAAATTGCGCGCGCGAACCCCCATTTCCCTATTCTCCTGCAGTGGACGGGCGGCCGGGGCGGCGGGCACCATTCCTACGAGGACTTCCACGACCCCATCCTACAGCGGTACGGCGCCATCCGGGCTCATCCCAACGTCGTCCTTGTGGCAGGCAGTGGCTTTGGTGATGGCGAAGGCACCTACCCGTACCTGAGTGGTAGCTGGGCCGAGCGATTTGGGCGGCCTGCTATGCCATTCGACGCGATTCTCCTTGGAAGCAGGGTCATGGCAGCAAAGGAAGCGCGGACCAGTCTTGCTGTCAAACAAACCCTCTGCGAGATTCCTGGCGTTCGGGACCTAGACTGGGAGGGAACCTACCAGCAGCCCACTGGAGGCATCCTGACAGTCCGCTCGGAGATGGGCGAGCCGATCCACAAGGTTGCGACGAGGGGCGTCATGTTCTGGGCGGAACTGGATCGGGATGTCTTCGGTCTACCCCGGGAGAAGCAAAAGGAGGCTCTTCTGGCTCGCAAGGAGTATTACATTCGCCGGCTGAATGAGGATTTCCAGAAGGTCTGGTTTGGGATCGATGCCAGTGGTAACGTTGTTGATCTGCAGCAGATGACCTATGGCGAGGTGTGGACGCGCCTGTTCGAACTGCTATATCTTCCTCATCCTGGACAATGGATTGATCCCTCATTCCAAACCCTTGTGTGGGACTTTACACGGCGTATGGAAGAGAGGCTGAGTACTAGTCCCATTGCCATTCTCCACGATCTCTCTCAGCTCGACGAGCCGAAAACGCTCGAAAGAGACCTCCTTGCCCGGTATCCGCAGGCAAAGAAGGAGATCATTACAGCCGCAGACGCCGAATACTTTATTCTGCTTTCTCGCCGGCGCGGCCAGAAGCCGGTGCCGTACATCGTGGCACTGGACGAGGAGTTTGAGTACTGGTTCAAGAAGGACTCGCTGTGGCAGTCAGAGCGTCTGGAGGCAGTGCGCGCCCAGGACGTCGGCCGTGTCTGCATCCTGCATGGACCTGTTGCAGCGCAGTACACGACTCGTCCGGACGAACCGGTGAAGAGTATTCTGGATGCTATCCACGGTTACTGGGTACAGCAGATGCAGCGGGAGAACCCTGTCGTTGCACCGGTTCAGAATGCCGCTGATTTTGAGTCGTTTCGTTCGTTGGTGCTGGATGGCTTTGTCGTTGAGGACGATGTCGACACCGTGGTATTCAGGGCCACATCGGATATTTCTCCAGAGCAGTGGTTGAAAGCTCTATCCCCTGCGTCTTCTGTCCCGTGGTATCGTGCCCTGTTCTCTGAGGCGTTCATCGTACAAAACCGCAAGCTGGTTGCGAACCCCATCCATCGACTCTTCGCCTCCCAAAGGGTTCGAGTGGTTAAATTGCGAAATGTGCAATCTGCCAGAACGCTTGAGGTCCTGATTCAAGAGCTTGAAGACGATGCAGACCCTTCGCGCGTAGTGGCAAGCGCCTCTCTTCGAATGGTCTCCGAGGGAGTTCTAGCCCTAACCGTGACTGACCCTGATGCTGTGCCCTTGGAAATCCGCCTCGGGTACAGGCCACAACGGGGAGCTCCTAGCATCACAGAGATCGAAACAGAACGGGATGGGCGCATAAAGCACTACTACCAAAAGATCTGGATTGGGGGGCCTTCCTTTGCGTCATCTTCTCCTTGGGAATATGTCTCACGCGGTGAAGACGTCGTCCTGACTCGCCAGATGATCCATCGTTTCGCGAAGAGTATCTGCAATCACAACCCCAGTTACACCTCAACGGGTGAGGATCATTTGCGTGCACCCCTTGATTTAGCCATCGCGGTCGCCTGGAAGCCTCTCATGAGCTGCCTCTTCCACCTAAGCGTAACCGGGGATATGCTTCGCCTTTTGCACCTCAGCAATAGCTTCGAGTACTGTGAAGGCGTTGAACCATTGAAAGAGGGCGACCGTCTCTCTCCTGAAGGACGTTTGACCTCGATCAAGATCAAGAAAGGCGTTGGCAAGGTGGTTGAGGCTGAGGCGGTGCTTCTTCGTAATGGGACGCCCACGATGAGTCTGAAAAGTGCGTTCATCCTGCTGGGCGAGTACACCGACTATGAAACCACGTTTGGGATCGAAGAAGAGAAGATATGCTTTACCTTATCCTCGAAGAAAGAGGTTGCACTTCTCAAGGCTCGGCGGTGGCTTGTCTTACAAGAGGACGTTGATCTGCATGACTACCTCCACAAGACAATCGAGTTCCACGTTAAGAGTCGCTACAGATTTAACGAGTCAGGAGGCTACGCTTACTTGACCGTCGAGGGGTCTGTGATGGATTGCCCGGAGTCAAAGACTGCGTCAGCTCGACTGTTGGGATCGATCAACCTCAGCGGTGCCTCGTACATCAAGAATCCAGTCACCGACTTTCTGCGCAGACACGGCACTCCCTTTCATATCAAGACCGAACCATTTGCTCGCCCTCGCACCCTCATCGGGGACCTACACGTTACGGTTCCTGACCACGCAGAGCAATACGCCGCCGCATCGGGCGACTGCAACCCCATCCACGTCTCCGAGCTCTTCGCGGCCTACGCAGGGCACGACAGCCGCGTCACGCACGGGATGTTTACCAGCGGGTTTGTGCGAGCGCTGGTCGAGTCCCACGTGGCACAAGGTGACCCCTCCAGAATGCGCACGTGGTCGTGTTCTTTTGACGGCAAGGTTTCTCCTGGGGATACCCTAAGCGTAAAGGTTGAGCATGTGAGCATGGAGCGCGGAAATCTACGTCTGGCTGTGCAGGTGCATAATGTATCGACAGGCGTCAAAGTCCTCTCGGCGCAGTCTGCCCTCAAACAACCGCTGACGGCATATGTCTTCACAGGCCAGGGTAGCCAGCAGCAGGGGATGGGGATGGAGCTTGAGACGCAAAGTCCAAGTGCGCGAAAGGTGTGGGAGGCTGCGGATGGATACTTCGAGAAGACATACGGTGAGACTCTTCTACTTCACCAAGCCATGGCTTCTAACTAACAGTGAACGGACAGGATTCTCCATCTCCCACATCGTCCGATCCAACCCCCAAACCCTCACCATCCACTTCGGGGGCACGCATGGCCGCGCAATCCGACAGAACTACATGGCCCTTAATTTCCACTCCACCCACGCCGACGGCACGACGATCTCAAAGCCCGTCTTCCCCTCCATCACCCCCTCATCCCGCTCCTACACATTCCGCTCTCCAACCGGCCTCCTGCACCAGACGCAGTTCACGCAGCCGGCCCTCGCCCTCATGGAGATTGCCCGCGTGCAGGATATGCGAGACCGGGGTCTCATCCAGGAGGATTCGCTATTCGCTGGCCACTCGCTAGGCGAGTACGTTGCGCTCGCGGCAATCGGGCAGCTGTTCAGCGTGCAGGATGTTGCGGCGCTGGTGTTTTACCGCGGCCTGACGATGCAGAATGCTGTTAGGAGGGATGCGAACGGGGCGACGGACTACGGCATGTGTGCTGTTAATCCACGGAGGGTGTCGGAGACCTTCAGCGAGGAAGATCTGCGGCGCTGTGTCGAGGCCATTGCGGCCTGTACTGCAGGTGCAGGTGGCGGGTTGCTGGAGATTGTGAATCTGAATGTAAGGAATGCGCAGTATGTTTGCGCTGGTGATGTAAGTGTTCTTACTACCCCAGATGCCAGATTGATCCATGTTGCTAATTGATACTCCAGCTCCGCAGTCTCTCAACCCTAGGATCCCTAACAGACGCCATCGCCACCAAAACCCTCCCCCTCCCCCTCCCCCTATCACCCTCCTCCCTGCACCCCTTCATCAGAACAACCCTATCCACCCTCAATGCGGTAAAACCGCCCGCCCTAAAACGCACCCGCGCAACCATCCCCCTAACCGTCGACGTCCCCTTCCACAGCACGCTCCTGCGTCCGGGCGTCGATGCCTTCCGCCACCTGCTGCGGTCCCAGATCACGGAGGACATGGTGGACCCGGATCAACTAGTGGGCAAATATATACCCAACCTGGTGGGGACGCCGTTTGAGCTGACGCCGGGGTTTTTGGGGAGGGTGTGGGAGGTTACCGGGAGTGAGGTTTTGAAGGGGGTTTTGGGGGAGATGGGATAGGGATAGGGAGGGTGCAGGGGATGAGGTAGGGCTTGGATATATATCGAATTGGCTAGTTGTCCTGGAGGTGCTGGGTAATCTTTCTTTGGTATTGTATGATGTGTGCGGAGGCACATGGAGAGGATACATGAGCTAGCTAGAGTATTTAGAACATTATATATTGTTGTTTTGCTTTTATCACGTTGCAACCTTGTCCAATGGACTACTAACTTTGAACACCTAAATCCACCCGACTGGTCCGAGCACTCTTGACCAAACATACAGCCAACTAAGACGAGCAGTTATTCGGGAAACTGTCGCAAGCGTGTATAGTATCCACTATAACGAAGACAACGCCGGTGTCAGAGCCGCGGAGATAAGGATGGTCGATGTTGTGGCATTGCCCGAGATATATTTACTGGCGCGGGTCTTGATTGTTCAGTGGACCTATTGGTATAGGTGAAGTTCTTTGTCAGGAACACTTTTTTATGAATGTGAATTTTGGTCTGGTGTATAAAGTGAAAATATATATATATATGGATATATGTTTATATGTGTATATGTGATTTGAAGGGCATGATGTGTACAATCAAGCAATCCGCAGCATATATGACAAGACAAGACGAGAGAAGCGACTCCTCCTACCTAATCTACCGATCACCTGGCGATCCAACAGTCCGACCCGTCTCCGTGGCTAGTTATCAAAACAATCAATCTCAATCAACCAGTCCACAGACCCCTAAACCCGCGGCCGAAACTCAAGATACGGGCCCTCCTTCGCCGCCGTCAAATGGTCATACAGCTGATACTCATCGACCCGATGCCGCCCATACTCATTGCCCACATTCCCCTCCCCAATTCTCCCCAATGTCCCCCGCGCAACCCGCATATCAAAAGCCCAGAGCACATTCGCCAATGCCAGATGCAGCTCGACATACGCCAGGCTCTTGCCGATGCAGCTGCGCGGGCCGAGCGAGAACGGGTTGAATGCTGAGCGCGCGGCGCCCACATCTGCGTCTTTGTGTACGGTTCCGCACTCGGACGGGATCCAGCGCTCGGGTCGGAATGTGAATGGGTCGGGGTAGTAGGTTGGGTTGTGGTGGATGCTGTAGATGCAGGTTCCTACGTCCACGCCCGGCGGGATATACTGGCCGTCGACGGTGGCGCCGGGGGTTTCGGCCTCGCGCCAGAGCGAGCTTGCGGCTGAGGGGGAGAGACGCATGCTTTCGTCGATGCAGGCGCGGAGGAAAGTGCAGGTGTGCATTTGGGCGCCCATGCGGATGTCGGAGGGGGAGGAGAAGGTATTCCGGACTTCGGCGGTGGCGCGGTCGAGTGCGGCTTGGTTGTGGGAGAGGTAGAAGAAGCAGGCAGCCATTGCGGTGGATGTGGTGTCTGTGCCGGCGACGATTAGGGTGGCGCTTTCGCCGCCTAGCTCGCGGTTGCGCAGGGGAAGGCCGGTTTCGGGGTCTTTGGCGTTGGCGAGGATGGCGAAGACGCCCTTGCCTGTTTTGGCGGCGGCTTCGATGCCCTGTGTGAGCATTTCGTCGACGAATTTGATGAAGATGTCTCGCGCGCGGATGGCTTCTGGGAAGAGGTACTTGTCCAGGCGGAAGAGGGTGATTTCGGGGGACTGGGCTAGGGTGCCGACTCGAACGTTGGACTTTTCAATGACCTCTGGGACGAAGCGGTATGTGGGAGAGCGCAGGGTGGACCAAGGGACGTTGAAGATGATGTTGCTCATAACGTCGAAGGCGAAGTAGTCAGCTAGATGGATTGGGTCAGTGCGCATTCGGTAGATGGTTGGGGATATAGACGTACTCATCCTGCCCATGTTCTTGGGTGTCGACCATGTGCCGGCGGGAGTGGCCTGATTGCCCTTGCCTGCCTTTAGCTGGGTGCAGAGGTGTTTGATCTGTTCGAGGATAACAAGCTCGTGGCCTTTCAGAGCTGCGTCGGAGAAGCCCTGGCTGATAACCCGCCGCTTCTTGCCATGCTTTGTCTTGTCGATGACGGTCAACGTGTTCGGAGCGCGGTGCACCATAGCAAAGTAACGCTGAGCTTTCTTAAAATTCTTGCCATGGCCGTACACATCTATCAAGGAAACGTCGTCAGACCTCTCTGCAGTAGGGTAGGGAAACGATTTAGCATACCTTGAAGCCCAGCCGCTGTGTTGACGAGGAGACTGTTTGGACCGTATCGGACAAAGTCACCTAGAACCAGCAGTGTCAATACATATAGATCGGCCTCCGCTGGGAGGGGTGAATCACTCACCGTACTTCTCGTGGCACTTCCACATATCAAGGTGCAGATCACCCCGCCATGCATGGTAGCCAGAGTAGAGATTGCTGATCTTTGCCAACCAGGGACCAGGATACTTGGCCAGCGGATGGAAGAACACCCTATGAACGCAGAATGCAGCTGCCTGTTCCCGATCAGCAATGCAGTCGCATCAAGCAGGGAATGTGCAACATACGGCGCAGCTCAACGCAGCGAGACCCAATAAGAGTCCTTTGAAAGTGTAGGACGAGATCAGTTGAGTGTCAATCATGATTTGTTGAAATGTTTCGACTCTGGAAAATCAGGATTGACGGGAGTTCGTGATGGGAGATTTTCCAATTCCACCCTACCCTCTGGCAACTTATTACTAGAACGAACCATCAGGCAAGGCATTCAGCCTCCAGCCCCAGGGCTCACACCATCTCACGACGGACCAAAGAAGAACAAGGCTAAGCGAGCTGACATCCTCGCGTTCATTCTCGTAAATTGTTGGATGACCGTTGGCTGAGAATATCTCCTGCTGGACTAAACGTTGGCACACCCTAAGCCTAAGCCCAGACAAGGCGTTCTCCCGCTTCAGCTCATGCACCCGAGAGTATCCGTCGACGCCATGTGGTGAAAGTTCAACCGGTGCATGCACCATGCGGACGGACGCTGGACCTGCATACCAAGCTAGGCTAATGGGTTGCCTCATATTCGATAGATTGAGGTAGTATTCTGTCAGGGACAGATGGGCGCCACTGCCCCGTCGGACTGCTGCGCTTGTCTGTCCGCCAGATGGGGCTGAAACCCGAACATGAGTCACCGAGAGACAAGGACGACTGGACCCCAATCCTGTATGGCGTGACTTCAGACTAGCAAGACAGAATCTGAACTCGGGCGTGGGGCAGGCCTCTCTCAGCTTGTTGTCTCGGTGCTGACACCACGATGAATACGCAGCCATAGTCCAGAGCGGGTGCTGCTAAAATAGCGTGAAGACCGAGCGTTTCTGCAGTGAGCTGGGCGCAAAATTGTACGGTATGTATTAGAATGATACAGCGTATACAGCGTATATGATACGTTGTACTAGCGTGGATGACCATACTAGCCAATACATCGTGTACTGTAGCGCACTAATACAGTCAGCGTCACTTTGATCCACCAGAAATTCTCCGGCGCTAGGTGTAGCCTATTGCCATGTCTCCAAATTAGATCAGGGGCTGGATCTTACCAACCGCTGATGTTGCTTCTCCCAAGTGCCCGGCGTGCCTTGGCACTATCGAATCGAGGTGCGAGGAAGCGATTCGAAAACAGTCGCCCCGAGACAAATTTTGGAGGCTCAGCTCAAAGCTAGCGACTCCGGTCAAGTGGGTTGAAGAAATGTCTCTGGTGTGGTCCTTAGCGGCTGGCAAGAGGCCTCTGGCGGACAGGATTCAGAGTGTGAGAGTAAGGATGAGGCTATTTAGCATTATAATCCGCGTAATGGTCTGTAGCGCGACCTTTGCCACAGACCTCGATCATCTTTTTGTACCATAGTTATTTTCATAATTTTCGAGCCAGAATGAACGGAAGCACTGAAGGGAGAATGGACACGGAAGTGCCTGTTTGCAAGTTCCCAATCCTGCGCGACGATGGAGACGATATTGAGGTTTCGCCCACGGTCAAACGGATCGCCATCGATGTGCAATCCCAGAGCCAGTTTCAAGACCTACTCTTCAACGAACGGATTTCGATGCAGACCTTGCTTCAGGCGACTTGGGCAATCGTCTTGAAGACATTTACAGGCGATGAAAGCATTTGCGCGGTGTCGCTGCATCAGAAGGAGGGAGCGCTGCAATGTAATCTTTTCACCACGGAAGTTGACGATGAGCTGCCCTTCACGCATCTGGCAGAGAGGATTCAAATCAGTACTGAGCATATTGGAGCAAGCGGTTCCGAGTCTGAACTTCCATGCGACTCCGGTATTTGTATGATCAAATCGAATGAGAAATTTGACGGCTTAAACCATCTAGACAAGGTAAGACCGTCTCTCTGTGTGCTGACCATGATGCTGCCTAACTAACAGATCTGGACAGTTCAATGTTGTGTTGCTTGTCCTGGACAGAGAGGAACTAGTGCACCTGGACTTATTGTACAAGTCCGACCATTTGGGTGCGGCATATGCGTCGATTGTGGCTGCAACTGTTAAACAGATAATTAGGGAGGTGCGAACTAATCCTTCATTCGCGCTACGCGAGATGAACCTGCTCCATCCTCAGGTGCAAGAGCAAATGCAGTCATGGAGCAGCGTTCCACCGTCCGTGGACGAGTGCGTTGGCTCTATGTTTAAGCGAACAGTGTATGAGCGAGCACTGAACACGGCGGTGGACACCTCTGAGCTGACGCTGAACTATCGCGAACTCGATATTCTGAGTGGGAAACTTGCTGCTCATCTGCAAGGGAAGGGTGTAAAGTCCGAGTCTATTGTCGTGTTGTGCTTCCCCAAGTCCGCATGGGCAGTTGTCGCGATGCTGGCGGTGATCCGAGCTGGAGGTACCATTTTGTTCCTGGATCCGTCGCACCCTACGGCGCGCCATCAGGAGATTGGGAGCCAAGTAGACAACAAATTGATATTGACGATTGAGGAATACTCCGGACTGTGGAAGTGGTTTGACGGCGAGGTGCTGCAGATTGACCAAGCGTTTGTGGACTCACTGCCCTCGGTAACAGAGGAAATTCGAGTCGCTGTCGCTCCTTCAAATGCGCTTTACATAATTTTCACCTCCGGTAGCACAGGCAAACCAAAGGGCTGCGTTGTGGAACATCGTCAGTTCCTCACAGGGGCTCTGGCCCAGCAAAAGGCGTCCCAGATGACGCATGCTGATCGAGTCCTACAACTTGCCTCGTTCACATTCGACGTCAGTATTCTCGAAATTATCACTTCCTTGATAACCGGTGCTTGCGTGTGCATTCCCAATGACTCGGAGCGGGCCAGAGGACCTGCAGCATGTATTCAGCAATTTGGCATAACATGGGCTTTTCTGACACCGTCGCTCGTGAACCTTATGAGCCCAGAGATGGTCCCATCATTGAAGTTCCTAGTTCTTGGGGGAGAGGTCGTGCAGAAGGAAAATATTCTGACGTGGGCGTCTCATCTTCGACTCGCCAATGGATATGGGCCAAGTGAGTGTTCGATTGCAGCGACAGGAAACCCTCAACTATCTCTTACGACGAGTCCCGCGAACATCGGCCATCCACTAGGCGGGTGTTGCTGGATCGTCAGCAAGGACGACCACGACCGGCTCATGCCCATTGGGGCTCCTGGCGAACTAGTGATTCAGGGTCCCATTGTCGCCAGAGGTTACTTGAACGAACCGGAGAAAACACAGGCTGTCTTTCTGCAATCAACAAAATGGACTGGCGGCGATCTTACAGACACCTCACGACTGTACAAAACCGGAGATATCGCTCGCTTTAATGCGGATGGCAGTTTGCATTTCATTGGACGCAAGGACAACCAGGTTAAACTGCGCGGCCTCCGAATTGAACTGGGAGAGATTGAAAACCGGCTGGTCGCTCACCCGCTAGTGGAACAGGCAGTTGTGGTTTTGGCTAAGCAGGGACCCTGCAAAGCGAAGCTGACGGCCGTACTTTCATTAAAGCATTTCCGCACGGAAGGGGATTTTGTTGAGTTAGTGGAGAGAGAGGACTTCGAGGCCGCAACGACAGAGTTGAAGGTTGTTGAAGAGGCCCTCTCAAAACAACTTCCTCGTTACATGCAGCCAACCGTCTGGGCTCCTGTAAAATGCGTACCGTTGACGGTCTCCGGGAAGCAGGACAGAAAGATGGCGGACCGGTGGGTAGCAGCGCTATCCTCCGAGCAGTTCAACCTACTCACCGGGCGGCACGAAGAAATCCACGAAGATGATGCCCCAGTTTTGACAGAGAAACAACGGGAGCTCCAAATTCTCTGCAGCGCGATTCTGGGCTTCCTCAGTGCCGCAGAAGTCCGGATGGATAGATCTTTTATCCAGAACGGCGGAGACTCCATCCAGGCCATGCAGCTGTTAGACCGATTGCGTCGAAAGGGGTTGAGTGTCAGGATTGAAGATATTTTCCAGAGTCCGACGTTGAGTGACCTGGCGCTGCGATTGATTGAGAGCGAGGGAACTCAGCTGCCCGCAGAAGGACCAGCGATCGCGCTTGACGCCGAGAGAATCTCGGAGCTGGGATTCGACACCGAGGAAGTGGAAGACCTATACCCAATATCAGCTGTACAGCGAGGCATTCTCCTCACTCAGCAACAAGCGCCTGAACAGTATCAACTGCGGATCACCTGTGAGGTTGTTCGTGTCCGAGGGGAAGAAGAAGTCGAGATTGACCGGCTCCGGATGGCTTGGCAGCACGTGACCGCCCGCCATCCTGCACTGCGCTCCATCTTTGTTGACTCTGCCACCGACAACGGCCTCTGTGATCAACTGGTCCTGAAATATGGCCAGGGAACATTCCACACCTCGGACTATCCTGACGAGGAGGCTGTTTGGAGGGCGTTGGACACTTTCAGTCGCGATGACGCCCTTCGTCAACCGCCAGTCGCGTTCGTTGTCTCCACCGCGGCCAACGGCAAAACATTCTGCACAATCGACATCAGCCACGCCCTCATCGATGGCGTCTCCATTCTAATCCTGTTCCGAGACCTCAGCCGGGCATACGCAGACCTGCTGGATACACAGAAAGCCGTACGCTACAGTCCGTATATTCGCTACTTACAAACCACCCCGACCGAGGCGTCTCTAGACTACTGGGCCAGCTATCTAGAGGCTGCCTCTCCATGCCATTTTCCCATTCTTAACGACGACACGGAAGGCGAGAATAAGCTACATGAACTAACGGTTGACTTGGATGACGCCAAAGCCATCCATTCTTTCTGCGAAAGACACAATGTCACCCCCGCAATTGTCTTTCAAACCGCCTGGGCCCTCGTGCTCAAGGCGTACACTGGCCAGGATGACGTCTGCTTTGGCTACCTGACCGCTGGTCGAGATGTCCCTGTCTCAGACATTACGGATGCCGTGGGGGTCTTTATCAATATGATCACTTACCGAGCTCAATTCACGGCTGACAGCACCGTTTCGACCGCGGTGAGAAAGACGCAAGATGATTTCTTGAAGAGCCTTACCCATCAGCACTGTTCAATTGCGGAGATACAGCATAGATTGGGCATGTCCCGGCCTCTGTTCAATACGATCATGTCCCTTCAAAGCGCTGTAGGGGAGGAGATATATGGTGGGACGGCCGACGAGACGATCGGTTTCAAGGTTGTTGGCGAGCGGGATCCAACAGAGTACAACATTTCAATCAATGTACTGGTCTCCAAAGGGCGTATAGCTCTTACTCTGCGTTATTTGACCGCCTATTTGTCCGACAAGATGGCCGTGAATGTCTTTGCAACCTACCTCTCTGCTATTGACAAGCTAACCCGCAGCGACGATTCTCCATTAACTAACATCAATATTCTTAGTGAAAACGACCACTCGCAACTTGCGAGCTGGAATAGCCAGCAATGGCCGGACATCGAAGCCTGCGTCCATGATCTCGTTTACCAGCAGGTCTTCCAGCGTCCGAACGCACCTGCGATTGACGCTTGGGATGGATCGTTCACGTACCAAGAGTTGGACCGCCTCGCCACGTCCCTGTCCCACATTCTTATTACCAAAGGGGTTGGACCGGAATCGCTTGTTCCCGTTTGTTTTCCCAAGTCACGATGGACAGTCGTCGCCCAACTCGCTACGCTCAAGGCCGGAGGCGCTTGCGTTGCTTTTGACCCTGAACATCCCCCAACCCGACGAGAGGAGATGATTCGTCAATGCGACGCCAGGGTTGCAGTGGTGAGCGAAGGCAGCGAACCATTGTTCCAGAGTCTTGTCCAGCATGTCGTCGTTCTCAGACCGCAATCTATCCATGAACTGCTGGCTAGCCAGCTTGAGCCAGTCAAGCCAAATTCCATTTCACCTAGAAATCCGGCCTTCGTCGTCTTTACTTCTGGCAGCACCGGAAAGCCCAAGGGTATCGTGTTGGAACACCACGCAATTTGCAGCAGCTCCCGTGCCCACGGCCCTGCAATGAACTACGGCCCCAATGCTCGTGTTCTGCAGTTTGCTTCGTACACTTTCGACGTGAGCATCGGGGAAACTTTTACATGTTTGATGAGCGGCGGAACCCTGTGCATTCCAAACGAGGAAGAACGACTTAATGATCTTGCAGGAGTCATCAACCGATTGAACGCCAACGTCGTGTACCTGACTCCATCGGTCGCCAGCCTCCTTCATCCATCGCAAGTCCCAGGCGTACACACATTGGCGCTAGGTGGTGAAGCGGTTCGCAAAGAGAATGTCCTTATGTGGGCTGATCAGACATACCTTGTCAATATTTACGGGCCCGCTGAAGCGTCGGTATGGTCAACCGGTCTGACGCGGGTGCCGCGGTCTGCATCTCCTCGGAATATCGGGTTTGGTCTCGGCGCAAGGATGTGGATTACGCAAGCGGACGATCCCTCTCAGTTGTGTGCTGTTGGCGCCATTGGTGAGATTCTCATTGAAGGGCCCATTGTGGCACGGGGTTACTTGAAAGATGAGTCCAAGACAGCTGCCGCTTTTATATATCCTCCAAAATGGCTGGCCGAGTTCGATCAGTTGGGTTGGCAGAGGCAGAATAAGATGTACCGCACAGGCGACCTCGCGCATTATAACTCAGACGGGTCAATCAATTTTGTTGGTCGACGGGATCACCAGGTCAAACTTCACGGTCAACGAGTCGAAATGGGCGAGGTGGACCACGCCTTGCTGGCTCACAACAAGGTACACAATGCATTGGCATTAGTACCCAAGCAAGGGCCCTTGAGCGGAAAGCTGGTTGCGGTGGTGGCCCTCAAGGACCAACTGTCGGCTGAACCAGGTCCTATTGCTTTACTCGACAGTGGTAATCAGAAAGAAATCCAGCAGGTTCTTTCGGAAATCCAGCACCAGGTTTCCTTGCTTCTTGCCAGCTATATGCTGCCCTCCGCATGGCTCATTGTTCAGTCCATTCCAGTAACGAGGAATGGCAAGTCGGATCGCTCCGCTATCAATGCTTGGGTCGAAGCTATGCCGAAAGACGTCGATATTTCTCCCACAAGCGGAAATAGTCAAATTTGCAACCCCACTGAGGCCCAGCTGCAGCAGGTTATCAGCCAAGTCCTCAATATCCCTGTTGGCCAGGTTGACATGGAACAAGGCTTTCTGGCGCTTGGGGGAGACTCTATTACCGCCATGCAGGTCTCGTCCAGGTCTCGCTCGGTTGGACTCCAACTTGCCGTAAAGCACATTCTGAAGAGCAAGACCGTCCGTGAAGCTGCTACACAGGCAACTCTCAACACTAAGAATAGAGCTGCAGCCAGAGACAGCTTCGCGTCAGCTAATCAGCGATTCTCCCTTTTATCGGCTGGCGTTGAAGAAGTGGACGCGTTGGCAGTGAATATGGGATATGCTGGCGCAGGCGCCGTGGAAGACGCGTATCCTTGCTCTCCCATGCAAGAAGGCATCTTGATCAGTCAAGCAACGGCACCGGATACATACAAGTTTTTTGCCGTCTGCTCTCTGCGTGCGAAGAACCCCGCGGACCCTGTTCGCCTCGACCGTGTCCAGCTAGCGTGGAAGCGTCTTGTTACCAGGCACCCGGCTCTGAGAACGTTCTTCGTCGAGAGTTCCTTGGGAGACGGCCTTTACACCCAGATTGTACTCAATGACCATGAACCGCGGATTGAGTACACAATCGACTTGGAGAGTCTCTTCAAGTACCCTCAGGAGCACCCCCTGGATTATCGCGAAGGGACGCCGCCCCACCGTCTGACCATCTGCCAAAGTGAAGAAACGATTTTCATCAATCTAGAAATCAGTCATACTTTAATTGATGGCGGATCCATGGCAGTGATCCTGAGTGACCTAGCCAAGGCTTATGATAGCGATCTTCCCCCAAGGCCCCTATATCGCAACTACATTGCAGCATTACAGGCCCGGTCCATGGAGGAGACCCTGGCATTCTGGACGTCATACCTCCGAGATGTAAAGCCTGTCTTTTTCCCATCTCTCCTAGACGAGCATACCACGGCCACAACTGTCAGAGAGCTGCAGGTATTGAATGTTCACACTGGGCCAGCTACAATTTCAGATCTGCAAACATTCACAAAGAAGAACGAGGTCACGTTGGCCAACATCTTTCAAACTGTGTGGGCAATGGTCCTTCGCTCCTACACCGGGGAGTCGGATATCGTTTTTGGTTATCTTTCCTCCGGCCGCGACATCGACGGAGTGGACCTCGATTTGGACCATGCGGTGGGTACCTTCATTACAATGTTGGCTTGCCGGGCACAGATTGACGATTCTTTCACCCTGCTTGACATAACTCGGAAAATGCACGAAGACTTTGTCAATTCGCTTCCCCACCAGCAAACATCCCTAGCGCAAGTCCAGCACGCCTTGGGGCACTCCGGCGAAAGAGGTCTCTTCAATAGCATCCTGTCCTTGCAAAGACCAATGGTCGAATCCACTGACAATCACAGCATTGAGATCGAGTACCTGGGTGGTAGTGACCCTACCGAGTACGATATTGGGATCAGTGTTACAGTCAGTGACACGTCCATCGACGTAGCAATTAACTACTGGAATACGTTCATGGACAAGGCACAGGCCGACATGCTAGCTTCAACCTTTACAAACATCCTTTCAGCTCTGGTTGAAGTACCAACAGCAGAAATCGCCCAGGTAGATCTGCTGGGTGAAAAGCACATGCAGTTTATCCTTGACGTCAATAACCACGGTCTTGTCCCCGAGGCTGTTAATGAATGCATTCACACCAGAGTCCATGAACGCGGCATGATGCATCCTGATTCTCCAGCGATCCATTCGTGGGATGCAACTTTGACTTATGGGGAACTCGATCGATTGGCTTCCAAGTTGGCTACCCATCTCGTCAGTCTGGGTGTGAAATTAGAGGTTGCTGTACCACTGTGCTTTGACAAATCCGCGTGGGCTGTTGTCTCAATGCTGGCCGTGCTGAAGGCAGGCGGCTGCTATGTCTCCACGAGCCCTTCCCATCCGGTCCAGCATCTCGCTAGCATCATTGCGCAGACAAAGGCTCGTACCGTTCTTGTTGGCTCTGCGGAATTTGGTAATAAGGTGCGACCATTTGTCGATCAAGTCGTCCTCGTCAATACCTCGCTCCTCGCAGAGTTACCCTCCGCCGACCTACAAATCTTGCCTTGTGTTTCGCCAGACAATGCAGCCATGATCAACTTCACCTCTGGAAGCACGGGCAAACCTAAGGGTATTGTAGTCCTCCACAAGGGAATCAGCACCATGATGGATCACCACGACCTACACATCGGGCCCTTCACTCGCACTCTGCAGTTCTCTGCGTACACGTTCGACACCAGCAACAGTGAAATTTTCATCACTCTCTGCAAAGGTGGCTGTGTCTGTGTACCATCTGAACACGAGCGCCTGAATGACCTAGCCGGTGCAATGAACCGCCTCGGAATAACTCATGCCGTGTTGACACCGTCCGTCGCATTGTTCCTGTCGGCCGAAGAAGTGCCGGCGCTCGAAATGCTCGGGTTGATCGGCGAGGCGGTCCCTGATGATCTCGCGCGGAAATGGCAAGAGAAGGTGTGTTTGATCAATTCCTATGGACCCGCCGAAACCTCGGTCATGGCCTCGCGGACTGTTCTGCGTGAGGGTGTCGCGGCTGCGAATATAGGCAAGGGCGATGGATGCCTACTCTGGGTGACGGAACCAGACAACTGCGACCGTCTGGTACCGGTTGGTTGCGTCGGAGAGCTCCTGATCGAAGGGCCGCTCGTGACAAGAGGATATCTGGATCTGGAGCTGACCGCGAAAGCATTTATCCCGATGCCCAGATGGCGCAACCGGGTCGATCCAGAGGCAAGAATGTATAAAACTGGCGATCTGGTCAAGTATGTAGCCGATGGGAGTCTCGTCTACATGGGCCGCAAGGACAGCCAGATCAAGCTTAACGGGCAGCGTGTGGAAATGGGCGAGATTGAAAGCACGATAATGAACAATGCCTTGGTTAAACAATGCGTTGTTCTTCTGCCAAAAGCTGGACATTGCAAGAAGAAGCTCACCGTCGTCGCTGTGCTGGAAGAGACCGCATATGATGACCCCTTGGCGGCCATCGGCCCTCTCAGCAGCCCAGAGGATAAAGACAAGGCCACGACTTTGGTTGAACGGATTAAAGACGACTTATCCCTACTGCTGCCGCTCTATATGGTACCTTCCGTCTGGCTCGTGACTCCCAGCTTTCCCTTTACCCCGTCGCGAAAGGTGGATCGCCCGTCTATCTCACGCTGGGTCGACACCATGAATCATGAGACATACGTGCAGGCAATTGCAGAAGGGCCTGCTGAAGTTAATGAATCTACTGGTGAATTTGAAGCCCTGAGACAGATTGTGGCTCGCGTACTTAACCTCCCCGTCGGCCAAGTCTCCCTCAACCGGTCATTTCTTAGCCTGGGCGGAGACTCGATTACGGCCATGCAGCTTGTCGTACAGTGTCGGAACGAGGGTCTCCAGGTTCTGTTCAAGGACGTTATGCGCAGTCGCACCATTGGGGCATTAGCGGAATGCGCTCAGAGCATAGACTCAAGTCGGGCATCGAATGGTATCGCTGAGAAGCTCGACACTCCCTTCGGACTAACCCCAATCCAGCAGCTGTACTTCTCAGAAATCGTCAAGGGCAGTACTGGTTCGCTTTCCAGTCAGTTTAACCAGAGCTTCTTGCTCCGTTTTGTCCGCGACGTCTCCATTGAACAGATTCGATCTGCCGTCGACCAAGTCGTCCGACGTCATTCCATGCTTCGCGCCCGATTCCGCCAGTCGCATTCGGGCGAATGGTCCCAGATAATTCCAAGTCAAGCCTCTGGGTCATACCGTTTCAGAGAGCACGCCGTTGACTCAGAGGAGGAGGCTAAAGGTGTTGCATTGCGCGCTCAGGAGCAGCTGGATGTCCAGAACGGGCCCGTCTTTACCGTGGAGCTGTTTACTACAGAAGGGAAACCGGCCATGATCTTCCTTGCGGCTCACCATCTCGTGATCGACTTGGTCTCCTGGCGCATCCTCTTCCAGGAGCTCGAGGACATCCTGACCGGCAAGATCGTCAGCTTGGGCTCTGCTCCGTTCTCTTTCCAACGGTGGCAGCAACTTCAGGCTGAATATGCCTCGGAATACCTGCACCCCAGACGCTCGTTGCCTTATGAGATTCCCGCAGCGGATTACGCCTTCTGGGGAATGCAAGATGTTCCCAATTTCCACCAAGATACCGTTCAGCTTTCGGCGACTATAGGCTCAAAGGAAACAGCGCTTCTCCTAACGCATTGCCACACAGCAATGAGGACGGAACCGCTTGATGTCCTCCTTTCTGCCCTTCTTTCCTCCTTCACTCGTGCCTTCAACCGCGCGCCACCGGCTATTTTCAATGAAGGCCACGGGCGTCAACCCATCATGGACGGGCCACTTTCTGATGTGGATCTGTCGGACACGGTGGGATGGTTCACGACCATATTTCCCTTGTTTGTCCCTGCGGGTCCATGCAGCAATGCACTAGACACTGTCCGCCGGGTCAAAGATCAACGGCGGCAGCTTCCAGCTGGCGGATGGTCTTACTTCACCTCCAAATATCACAACGAAGACGGATCCAGAGCCTTCGCTGACCACCTGCCCGTGGAAGTCTTGTTTAATTACCTAGGCCTGTATCAAGGCCTCGAACGCGCAGATGGTGTCTTCCAGCGAATCCCATTCAACGAAGGCGACGTTGGGCCGGCAGTGCGACGCTACGCTCTGTTCGAGATCAACGTCTACGTAGTAGATGGATCAGCCCATATTACTGTTGCCTTCAACCAGAAAATGCACCATCGTGAAAGAATTGAAGCCTGGCTCGACTTCTACACACAGGAACTGGTTGAGGTTAGCCAACAGTTGGCCAATACTGAGGTTACTCTGACTCTAAGTGATTATCCGCTACTACCAATTTCGTATGATCGCCTGGATAGGCTTCAAAACGACGAACTTCCGCAGCTGGGTTATGCCATTGACGCCATCGAGGACATCTACCCCTGCTCACCTCTCCAAGAAGGTATTCTCCTCAGTCAGGCCCGTCTTGAAGGTGCAGGTGCTTATCTCTACCACGCCATCTTGCGCATGAACTCTGTGGACCCCGATCCTCACCGGCTGCTGTCTGCCTGGCAACAGGTCATCGATCGGCACAGCATTCTTCGCACTGTTTTCCTGAAAGGCATCTCTGATCGACCGTTCGATCAAATGGTTTTGCGACGCCATCAGGCCAAGTCGCTCGTCCTGGATAATGCCACTTCTGACACAGACGCTGTGGAGATGCTTCGCCAGCTAAGACCATTGCCGGCCGTCTCGAATGAACCACCACATCGACTCGCGGTAGTGCAAACCACCGATGGAACCGTCTTTTTCAGACTAGACATTAATCACGCCCTTATTGACGGAACCGCGATGTCAGTTCTCATCCACGATCTTGTTTCTGCTTACGTTGGTCGGGTTGCTCCGCCCCGAGCGATGAATTATAGCGAATATATTTCCTACATCCAATCCCAGGATTCAGCCGAAGCTCTCGCTTTTTGGGCTGATCACCTGAAAGACGTACAGCCGTGCAGCTTTCCACCGTTGATCGCGACCGAAGTTGAGAGCGAGGTCCAAGAGGTCCAAGAAATCCCAGTTCTAGTGCCTGATGTTGCACGGGTACGCCGTTTCTGCCAGCAACATGACGTTACTCTGGCGAATATCATGAGACTGGCTTGGGCGCTCGTTCTATCTTCTTACACAGGAGAGGAGAAAGTCTCCTTCGGCTACCTTACTGCAGGCCGGGAGATCCCGGTGCCTGGCATCGAGCACGCAGTGGGCCCATTCATCAATATGCTGGTCTGCGCAATGGATTTGACCATGGACCGGATAAGACGGAAGACGGTAGTTGAACAGCTGAGGGAACTGCAAGAAGAGTATCTCCGAATCCTTCCATACCAACATGTTGGTCTCGCTGAAATTCAGCATCATCTTGGATTTTCTAGCCAGTCGCTGTTCAACACCGTGGTGAGTTTCCAACGGCGTGACGTGGAGAACCTACAAATGGAGGACGTACGGCTCAGTTATGTTGAGGGCGAGGATCCGACTGAGGTGAGTGTACACGCATATACCTTCTGTTCAACCGTAATAACCCTCAACTAGTATGACATTACGGTAAATGTTACAGACAATGATCGCGGATTTACCATCCATCTGGGCTACTTGACATCACGGCTTTCCCCATTCCATGCGGCCAATGTCTCTGACGCACTCTCAGCAGCTCTCTCGTCAATTGTTGGATCCAACTCTGATTCTACCTTGGACACAACCAGCCTCTTCGGGTCCCATCATCAAAACCTGGTCTCAGAATGGAATACCACTCTTCCACCCACCATCAACGAATGCATTCATGCTTTGTTTGAGCGTAGCGTCTCATCCAGTCCCGGTGCGCCTGCAATTGCCTCATGGGACGGAAACATGTCCTACGCTCAACTTGACCACCATGCAAGTCAGCTTGCATGCGTGCTCTTGGACATGAGTCTCGGGCCCGAAGACCTGATACCCGTCTGTTTTGAGAAGTCCATCTGGACTGTTGTTGCCATGCTCAGTATCCTCAAGGCCGGTGCAGGGTTTGTACCACTGGACCCCGCTCATCCACCCGACCGACTAGCTGCAATTATTGCTCAGACAGGATCTCCACTAGCTCTGGCGTCTTTAACGACATCGAAGAAAATTGTGGACTTGGTTCCAAGGGTCTTAATCGTCTCGGCTTCTTCCAATATGTGGCTAAGGAAGGTTGGTGAGGAATTGATGGGTACCAGATCCGCATCGCCAGAAAATATTGCCTACACTCTGTTCACCTCCGGTAGCACAGGGGTCCCCAAAGGCGTGGTGGTGGAACATTCGGCTGTGAGCACAAGCGTAATCCACCATGGTCGAGAGATCGGGTGTAGCACCACCACGCGCATGTACCAATTTGCGGCGTACACTTTTGATGCCTGCATTCTCGAGATCTTCACAACCCTGGCCTACGGTGGCTGCATCTGCATTCCATCTGAACAGGAGAGGATGAGCGACATTGCCGGCTCCATTCGTCGTCTCCAAGCCAATACAACCTTCTTGACTCCCTCCGTCATCCGCATTCTCCGCCCAGACCAGGTCCCGACTTTATCCACTGTTATCCTTGGCGGCGAGGCCCTAGACGCAGACAACATCCGAACATGGGCTGCAAGAGACAACATGCGGTTGATGAATGGATATGGCCCTACAGAGACGTGTGTGTTCTGTGTCATGCACACCTTTGCCAGCAAAGCCCAACGTCATGATGTTCTGGGGCGAGCTGTTAGCTCGCGATCGTGGATTGTTCGTCCTACTAATCACCACCAGCTTGCCCCTGTTGGATCAATTGGAGAACTACTCGTTGAAGGTGGTACCCTAGCGCGTGGATACTTGGGCGACGTGACGAAAACTTCGCAAGTCTTCATCACCAACCCAAATTTCGCGTCCGGCGATGACGAAGAAGCCCAGCCACGGCGGTTCTACAAGACTGGAGACCTGGTTCGCTACAACGTCGATGGCACGATCACGTATCTTGGTCGAAAAGACACCCAGGTCAAGCTGCGCGGACAGCGAATTGAGCTCTCTGAGATTGAACACCAGATTCAAAGACAACTTCCTGTGAACACACAGATTGCGGCCGAGGTCATCCTTCCACATGGGGATAAGCAGCAGGCCCTTTTAGCAGCATTCATCTGTCTAGATCCGAATCCCAAGCAGGAAAGCTTGTTTGCGGACATGTCTCCCGAGACATCAAATCAACTCGGCCAGTTGAAGAGCGCGCTTGCTGGAGTTCTCCCCTCATACATGCAGCCATCCCTCTTCCTGCCTACGAACTGGATGCCGACAACGTCCGCTAAGAAGCTCGATAGGTCGTTCTTACGCAGCCAAGGAGCCTTGATTGCGGAAGTTGAGCTCAGGAAATACTCGCTGCAAGAGCAAGGCAGTCGTCGAGCCCCCGGGACGGGTATGGAACAGGAGGTGCAAAAACTGTGGAACGAGGTCCTCAAAATTCCCCTCGACCAAATCTATGCCGACGACAACTTCTTTCAGATTGGTGGGGACTCGATCGCAGCGATGAAGATGGCAGCCCTTGCAGCAGATCGTCTTGGTTTGGCGGTTGCTGATATCTTCCGCTATCCGGTTCTGTCTGATCTCGCCAGCGCCCTATCTGCCAAAGACAAGTCACGCTCCAAAGCCACGGAGGAAGGCGAGGCAACGCATGAAGTAGCACCGTTCGCTCTTTTCTCGGATCGGTCTGCCTTGGCAGATGTTGCTGCTCAGTACGGCATTGCGCTCGAAACGATAGACGATGCGTACCCTTCCACTCCGCTACAGGAGGGGATGATGACTCTATCGATGCTCAACCCAGGCGCATATGTCCTACGTCGAGTGCTCAAGCTTGGCCCCTCCATAGACATTGTTCGCCTCCAAGCTGCGTGGGAAACCGTCTCGCAACAAAACCCAATTCTCCGTACCAGGCTGGTGCCAACCTCTGACACTGGCTTGCTACAGCTGGTTATCGGCGAAAGAATCCATTGGCGGAAGACCGAAACACTGGAGCAATACCTCGTGAAGGATAGTAAAGAAGGAATGACACATGGAGCCACATTAGTGCGCTATGGAGTCACATTAGACGGCCACTTTGTCTTGACTGCTCACCATGCCGTATACGATGGATGGTCCCTTCCCATGGTCTTTGACCAGGTCAAAGCGGTATACGAACAGGGAACCTGCCCACCAACGCCCGGCTTTAATACTTTCATTAAGCACATGTTACAGACTGGCGCTGAAACAACCCGGAACTTCTGGATGAGGCAATTGGACGGTCAAACTCCCTCCAGCTTCCCTGAACTCCCTTCCCCAACCTATCGTCCCTCTGTCCGTGGTTCTACGCAGCACTCCTTCCCCCTGCCCTCTTCTTTCCCTTCTCATGTCCTCAAGACCACTATTCTTCGCGCCGCTTGGGCACTTCTCCTGTCGTTCTATGCCGACTCCCACGACGTCATATTTGGTGCGACCCTCTCCGGCCGCAATGGAAATGTCTCAGGCATTGACAAAATCATTGCTCCTCTCATTACCACCGTGCCTGTGAGGGTCCAGCTTCCTGCATCCATCACGGTAGCGGCCTTCCTCCATCAAATTCAGCAACAGGCCACAGATATGATCCCCCATGAGCATTACGGACTACAAAACATCGCCAGCATCAACAGCGCATGCTCACGCGCGATCGAGTTTCAAAATCTGTTCGTCATTCAACCTCTAAGTGATGCCGCCACTACTCAGGGTTCTTTCCTCGGGTGCGATGAAGTGGAGCTTCCTTTGAAGGATTTCGATAGCTACCCTCTTATAGTGGAATGCTACCTTGGCGATGATAGGGTGCATGTTGAAACACGATATGATGAGGCGATTCTCACGACATGGCAAGTCCGCAATATTCTGTACCATTTCGAATGTCTGGTCAATCAGCTTACTGCCCGCGACAACGAAACCCGGGTTCTCGGAGAGATCCATATGTTCGGTGACAAGGACCGAGAACAGGTGATACAATGGAACCGACAGTATCCTGAAATCGTTGAATCCACAGTTCCACGGATCTTCGCAGAGCAGGTCGTCCAGCGGCCACAGGCTCTCGCTGTCGATGCCTGGGATGGTCAACTTACCTACGACGAGCTTGATCACTATTCCACAATTCTGGCCAAGCACCTCCATTACCTTGGTGTCGGTCCTGAAGTGCTAGTCCCCATGTGCTTTGATAAATCACGTTGGGCAGTTGTTACGCAAATGGCTGTAATGAAGGCAGGCGGCGCTTGCGTCAATCTCGATCCAAAGCACCCTCTGGCTCGATTGGAGACTATCGTCAAGGATTCAAAGGCGCCGATTCTTCTTTGTGCTCCTCAGCATGCTGGGATTCTGGGGGGCGAAACTTCCATCCACCAAGTCATCGTGTCCGAGGATTTCATTCAGCAGCTCGAATCCTCTGCTGAAATGCTGAAAGTGACTCTTCCTGAGTTGCATCCACGGAATGCCGCATACGTTCTTTTCACCTCCGGTAGCACCGGCAAGCCCAAGGGCATTGTGATTGAGCATGGCTCGCTGTGCTCTAGTTCTAAAGCCCACGGCGAGCGATGGGGCATTGGTCCAGAGACACGACTGCTGCAATTCGCCGCATATACCTTCGACGTGAGCTGCGCTGACATTTTTACCACTCTCCAGCGAGGCGGTTGTATCTGCGTTCCCTCCGAGCATGACCGCCTCAATGCGCTCCCGGAAGCCATCAATCACTTTGAGTGCAACTGGGCCTTTTTGACTCCAACCGTGGCCAGTCTGCTTCCCGCGAACGACATTCCTTCCCTACGAACTCTAGTACTCGGTGGCGAGGCATCAACTCGTGACACGATTGCAAAGTGGCACAAAGTCCTTGACCTCATTGTATGTTACGGTCCCGCTGAGACGTCCGTATACTGTTCCGGAATGCCCCCGGCAACTGCAAGCAGTGATCCTGCGAACCTGGGTGCAGCCATTGGTGCGCTATACTGGATAGCAAACCCGCAAAATGTCAATCAGTTGGCCCCCATTGGTTGCGTTGGTGAATTACTCCTTGAAGGCCCAACCGTCGCGAGAGAGTATCTACAAGACCCGGAAAAGACCGCAAATGCCTTCATCAAAAATCCTTCCTGGGCCGCTGCCATGGCTCCCGCCGGTCTTAATGTCGACAGTAGTCGTGTCTTCTACCGAACCGGCGACCTGGTCCGATACAACGAGGACGGTACAATCCGATTTGCGGGCCGTAAAGATACGCAAGTCAAGGTGCGCGGTCAACGAGTGGAACTAGGCGAAATTGAGCACGCTATTCGAAGCGCATTGCCTTCCTTAGCGCATGCGACTGTAGACTCTGTGAGAGACCCTGGTACCGAGCGTCAGCAAGTGGTTGCTTTCCTGCACTATAGCAACCGCAGTGGTGAGGCTGAAATCATGGAGATGGGCCCGGAACTGCACGATGAGTTGCTCTGCTTGCAGCGAGCTCTCACCAAGTCCTTGCCATCATACATGATCCCTTCCCTGTTCATTCCGTTGGCCCGAGTGCCATTGACTATGAACGGCAAGGCGGATCGCAAGCAGTTACGTGAGCTCGTCCTGTCTTTATCACCGGACGACACTTTAAAATATGCTCTCGGAGATCAGGGCCGTATCAAGGAAGAGCCCACGACGCCGACTGAGTTCCAACTGCGCGACTTGTGGGCCAAGGTTTTGCAGATTGAGGCAGCGACCTTTGGCGCCAACGATCATTTCTTCAGGTCTGGAGGTGATTCCATAGTCGCGATGAAGCTTGTTGGCCAGGCTCGCTTGCAGGGGTTCCATCTCTCGGTTCAGGATATCTTCGAGGCCCCGATCCTTTCGGACATGGCTGCTCGCATGTACACGAAGGTACATTCCTACAACGAGGCAGCGCCCTACACGCCATTTTCACTGGTGTCCGATTCCAGTCTCGCGGTCAGATTTGCAGCAGACGTCAAAACAAGTCTCGATAACATCGAAGATGTCCTACCAGCCACAGATTTCCAGGCTTCGGCTGTTACCCATTCGATGATGTCTACGCGTGGTCTGGTCAACTATCTTTTCCTCGATGGCACAGGCAGCATACCATGGACCGCACAGCACATTCAATACGTCTGGACGCGCTTCTTGGGCGCACACCAAATCCTCCGAACCAGATTCACAGCACATGATGATCGCTTTTACCAAGTCGTGCTCAAGGAACCATCGCAAGAAATTCAATGGCACGAAACAGACAGAGAGCTTGACGTCGTGTGTGCTGAGCTTTTGCAAAGCGACATTGCCTCGGACCTTCGCCTTGGAGCTCCCTTGACGAAGCTGATTCTCGTCGGCAACCAAGAGCGCCACCGCGTCATTTTGCGAATGTCGCATGCCCAGTACGATGGCGTGTGTCTGCCACAGATCTGGGAGACATTGCAGACCGTTTTCACTAATCATCCAGTTTCCCCCGAAGTGTCTTTTGCTCATTATGCAACCGCCATTGAAAACTCCAGCAAGACTGAATCTCTATCCTACTGGAGAAAGCTGCTGGCTTATTCAAGCATGACAAACGTGGTCGCGCACACCAAACCCGACTATCGCAACGTCTATGATCTCCATTTGACCCGCACGATCCCCGTTCCCTCACACTCCAGCAAAGCCTTCACCTTTGCTACGATCCTCAAAGCCGCATGGGCAACGGTGCTGACTTCTCTCTCTGGAACAACGGACGTTGTCTTCGGCCACGTCACATCCGGCCGCAACATCCCCGGCTCAGACATGGAGCGCGTCATCGGCGCCTGCCTGAATATCATTCCTGTGCGCGCCACAATTGACGATACAACCACTATCCCCACTCTCCTCGGCGAAATTCAATCCCAGCACGTGGCCAGCATGTCCCACGAGAGCGTTGGCATGCGCCAGCTCGTCCGGGAATGCAGTCCATGGTCTCCATCAACCCGCTTCAGCAGCATCGTTCAGCACCAGAATATCGAGCAGATCGATACCGTCACTCTAGATGGCAGAGATTACGCTATTGGCGATTTCTGCCCGGCGGCTGATGAGGCAGATGTCGCGATTAAGACTACCCCGCTGGATGACGAGAACATGGAGGTCCTCCTTATTACGTCATCGCGGGCAGTAGGGAACAGCGCTGCAACGATTATGCTGGACATGCTTTGTGAGACGATCGTGAGATTCTGTTGTGATCACACGGCGCCAGGATCCAACCCACGGGTGTCGTTGGAGCGGACGCAAAGCGAGATTACACTTCCTCTACCAGCTCCCATTAGTGCAATGAATAACGGCAATGGGGTTGGAAACGGGCAGGTCGCTATGTCAACGCAGAGCCCCTATCGAGACTTGGTCGATGCCATCTATCACAGCTGGAGGATTGTTCTTGGATCCCCAGATGTTCAACTGAGTCCCGACTCGGACTTCTTTGCTGTCGGTGGCGATCTGGTCGCAGCGGGTCTTCTAGCGGCGTACTGGCAGCGGCAAGGTCATGCTATTTCGGTCGAGGAAGTAATAGATCGATCGAGCGTTTGGGAGATGGCGGAGAGCCTGACTATACTGGGTTCACACTTTTTTTAGTCTGGGCGCTTTTATACTTTGTTTTCGTTTGTGATTTGGCTGTTTAGTCTTATAATGCTTGGTGTTTATATATAGTTGCGTGGCTCAATTCTGGGTTGTGAAATAAGGAATATGCTGCACTGTACAAACAGCTACTGCTGGGTCTCCTTTTTTATTCCTTGTTAAGTAGGTATCTTTGCACTGCCTGTATTGACTTTTGACAGTTAGTATTGTATATTCCAGCCTGTTCTTTGCTTGTCTAACGTTGGCATCTCTGAACAATCTCAAGAATACGAGTAATCTCAATAAGGCGAGCAGCAGCCATGTATCCTTAGCACATATAGCCGACTCAGCCGTCCTGCGTACTGCCAAAGCATATAGCCCCATACCCACAGCAATAACCCACGATGCTAATGCAACATTCTGTAAGGCTCTCACCACCACCTTTCATATAGCAGTTAGGCTACGTAGCTTATAGGTTCAGGACATCTTGGTCAACTACAGGTCACAGTGGTTGAATTAGGGGGTTACCGACCCTAACTTCGCCAGCGAGCTGCTTTGAAGTGGGTACGTTGCTGTTCAATGTGAGCAGCGGCAAGCGATGACCGAGGCGGAGGTAATAATAAACCTAAGCCTAAACCCGAGGGGAAACAGCGATACATAGTACGGAGCCTGGTGGTCATAACTATGCGTTTAGGCGTGGGGTGCTTGGATGGATGAGAATGAGTTCTGACAAGCACCATAAGTGGACGAGCTTTAGAACTCGAGTAATACAATGTATAGGTGTTCATAGGCCCGCCACACCTGCCGCCAATCACACGATATGGCTTGCTAAATTGCCTTGTCGAACATGGAGGCGCACACAGCTGCCCAAGACAGGTAGAATTGCTAGTCAGACACGGGATGGAAAAGTCTTCAGAAGTACATGGGGAATCAATCAGGTCCATGATCTAGCTCGGGTACCAAACGGTCTGCAGAGGGCGACAGGCATATATTTCCAAGTCAACTCGCCGGGGATCATTAGTATTATTACCATATTGGCCTTTTGTGCCCCACTGCAAGTATCATCCCCAAGCATTATCTCACCCCAAGCATTCGAGGGTGCTGTTCCGGCGGAGGTGTAGATATAGCCACATCCAGTTCTCTGACCACGGAGCAAGAATCTTCGCGCTATTGTTGACGGCCTACCAGCTCAATGGCGAATTCTCCCATTGCTCTCCCCTCGGACTACGAACGACGCCCTTATTGCGCTTTCAACAATCCTAGTACCTACTGGTGCTGCGCAGCGTGACAATTGCAAACAAGGGTAGGTGGCAGTCCTCAATTGGAAGCAAGGAAATCTTGAATATCAAAGTACTCCCGCTTCAGGCTTTTGTACCAGTCGATATGCTCCTGCTTGAGCGTGAACCCCTTGTCGGATAATTTCTCAATCAACGCATCGGCCCAGGCATAGCGAGAATCCTCCGTGCAGAGTAAGAACCCGCGACTCATGTAGGGCTTTAGAGAAACCCAGAACCCCGGGTAATAGCCAGCGGACTCCCAATCCAGGATCCCCAGAACCATACCACTTTCCGAAACAATGATGTTTGTTGGGCTAAGGTCCGCGTGATAGAAGTAGAATTCATTCACTGGCGGAGGTTGAAGGTCCGATCTTCTGCGTAAATATTGGATGAAAGACTCGGCAGACATAGGTCCCAATAGTCGCGGCTCCCAAGACGGGTGCGATTCTTTGGCTGGGACATGAAGAAATGGTTCAAGAACACCACACCCTCTTGCTGATTCAAGTCTGCTAGACGTGGCTCTTGTCAAGTCAAAGCAGTATTGTGCAACTATATCCGCCACGGTGTCTTGCTGATTGGGAGTAAGAGAGCCCCAAGCATGTTGAAGTGTGCTTCCTTGTATACGCCTTAGTATAAGATATGTCCTACGCAGTTTCTTATCGAGCCACGCGTAGATTACCTCCGGAACCGGGATGTGAGAAGCTTTGGCCTTGACAAATGCGAGCGTATCACTTTCCATCTCCATACCAGGCGTCCAGGTCTTGACCTTGCAGATAGCTTCGGAGCCGATTTCCCAGACGGCAGAGGAGGTGCCGGCTTGGTAAACGAGGTCATTGCATGGTTGCTCGTTTGTCGAAATGCTGCCATCATGTTCGAATAGACCAAGCGTGCCATCCGCATCCTTCCATCTAGCAATGGTGTCCTCACTGCCATCACTGGCTACTCTTCGGCAGAGAAACCTGGTTCCCATTCGGTAGCTTGTTGTGCTCCATTTAGAAATGGATTGCTCGATTGGAGGAGACGCCGGGCTGGAGGTTGATTAGCAGGGTTCTTGTACGTGGAAGCTCAGGTGAGTGATACCAGGCCATTCCGTATTTGTCAAAGACATCTAGTGTGTCTCATGCTGTGTTTTGAGGATGAAAAGACAGTGGGTCATGTGGACTAGCTTACTCATCCGACTCTTGGTCTCCAGACTCCAGCAGATGAGTAAGCACTCAACCCTCCCCCGCATCGACCCCTCCATCTGCTCTGCCTTCCTGCACAAGTCAACTCTACAAACTCGAGCAGTCGAAATTGAAATTCCCAAACCTCAAAGCTCAAATTGCCTCAAGACTAGAAGTCGGCCAGGAATATCCATATCACGAAAGCGAATGTAGGTGGTGTCATTTAATACATTACTGGGTCTCTGCTAAATACTTCTGTCGTGCAGTATTTATCAACACTCCACACTCCAACAATCCTCCAGCCCGCCCTTTCACTTTGCCTTGAGGAACGCGGAGAAGACATCATGGATGAGCTTGTGAACTATATTCCCCACGCGAGGTGGTCAAAACGAACGGAGCATACGTCAGTCTGCATTGACTTGAAACTTGAATCTCTGTGGAAAGCCTTCGCGTCGGAATTGGCGCTGGACGGTCATGACTTGCAACTTTGGAAGTTAACGGGGACGGGCCTTAAGCAACTGACGGCTAGTTCGGCCTTGCTTATCCCAGTATCCCTGATACCAGGAATGCCTGAGCCTCGAGTCCTAAACGGTGGCCCGCTCAGTCCGGAGTCGGCGCCTATCCCTTTCGTCAATGAGATCACTATATCCGGCTCGCTGTACTGCGTCCTAGCTTTCCCTCCCAAGAATCCCGACCCCTCCCAAGCGATTTGACGTGATTTGTTCGAGTCCTATCGACCAACCAGGATACCCGGCAATTGTACTAAATTGAGGACATATTTCTAATTAACGTTTATTTCGCATACTAGCCGCCCTCTCTTCCTAATTCATATCGCGGTAACAGGGCACTGAAGGTTCGAGTTCCATTGGGATCTTGCGTCACGGTCTTGTGTGTTGGGGCGGAATGATTATCGTGATCTGTAATCATCTCTATTAAGGCCTCCATTATGAGGTCGTCATTCTGGTGGCCATCTGATGGAGGTTGAGGGACCCTAGGGTCAGTATCAACCACAAAGCCACTGTTGAATCTATAACCATTGCCATGCGCATATCGAGGTTCAGCTTCGACATTCACCACCTCTAGGGGTCGATTGTTCTGGTAACCATCTGTGCATGCAGGCTGAGGGACCCTGGGGCCAGTATCGATCGCAAAGCCACTGTTGAATCTGTAGCCGTCTATGCCTGGTGTATATCGAGGCTCAGCTTCAGCGTCAATCCCCTCTATGGCCTTGGCTATAATCTCGTCGATGTCGCAGTTACTGTCTGTTGCACTGAATTAGGAACCGGAGTCCTGTAAAGTGGAGGCATCCTGCGATATACCTGAACAGGACATACCGTTGTCTATAAAATTACTTGACTGAACCTTCTGGTTACCTCCAGGTTCCAATATTGCTAAACAATCTATCGGATGAACATCAAGACGACGTCTTTTCGCAGGGGGGCAATCATTCGCTGCCCGCTTATGGGATGTCACTGCTTCTGCGGCACTCGGAATCGGTCCCTCAGGTGTTCGGCCGTTCATTGAACTCAGAGACGGTAGACAATCGTAGATCTTCTGAAGACATTCAGAGAGCTCTGTAGCCGATGTCCCTGTAGCGGATTCCTCTCCAGCCTCCTTTATTTGATCGCGTATCGCTTTAGCATCGGGCTTCGACATATTCCGCCATCTGCAGATCATCCGTATCGAAGAAGAGAAGTTTGCCAGAATGTCGACTTACCTTGTCCAATGCGGCACCGAGATTCGGAACAAATCAATCAGTTCGAAGAATGAAAATTTCTCCCCGCGCTCGATCTTGTACAAATCGCCTCTTGTAGCAGCACGTCCTAGGGCTTTGCGCAGAGCCGCGCTTCTTCTTGACTCGCCCCTGTTCAAAATCACCTCAGTATGTGTTTCAAAGTATTCCACCTGTTCGAATAATCTTCTTTCCAGCAGCCTCTGGGCCAAGGCATCCATGGACTCGCGGTTTCTGAGAGCATTCACCAACTGAGAGATGACAGGCCCACTGTCGAGCTGGGACAGCCTATTCCAGAAATGATGATGGCGGCCTTTGCGATAGGTTTTATTGAATTCCTCCGCGCGTTCCTCAGGGACTCTACTGAAAGATTTGTAGATTGGGTGTTCTTTGATTTTTTGGTTGGTGGTTCCTTCACTGTTGGTCTTTTCACAATCAGGCCTTTTTTCAGTGCTGCACTGGGTGGCATTGGACTCGACGTTGGTGTCTTCGGGGTTGGTGTCTTCATTATTGGTGACTGCATCGTCGATATCTTCTGCATTGGTGTCTTCATTGCTGGTGTCTTCGACGTTGGTGTCTTTATCTTCGATGTGGGCTGTTTCCACATTGGCATTGGCGTCTCCGTCTTCAACAACGTTGGCGTCTTCCACACTCGGCAATCCAACTTCATCATTAGTGTCAGTCCCTTCATGATTGACCTCACTGTCGAGCTTTCGATTGGATTCCCCGTGAATGTTGGACTCCTCGTCAGGCTCTTCCTCGAGCTCTTCAGCCGTATATTCTTTGTTATTGGATCGCTTGCCAGTTGCTTGGTTATCAGCAGCTCGACCCAAACGGCCTCTAAGCTCCGTTAAGCCCTCATGGATATCACCGCGTTTGATTGGAGTGAATAAAGTGTTGACTAGGTCTGCAACTCCCATGTCATATGGACGTATCAATTGAATCAGGGTCTCTATCGCACGGCAAACATCATCAGCACCGGCCATTTCAGTAGCAAATTCAAGCAGTTGAAGAATGAAGTATATCAGACTCGAGCAATTGTGGAGAAGTACCGCACTTTGTACCCAGGAGAGGTTCTGTGGGTATCCGAGTGCCCGTCAACCTATTTTAATTTGGAGGTGAGGCGGGGGCGTGGTGGGCATCCGTGTGCTCACAGGGAGCTCTGGTCCAATCATAGATTTCTTGGTGGGTATTTCTAGAACAACTGTTCGAGAAATCCCCACCTCAAAAGCCAATGATTGGGTTCTGATTTACCTCCCAAGATTCAGTTGTCCTGTCACCGCGTGAGAGAACGACCAATAGCAGGGCCGGTCTGTCAGAGCCTATTCACGGTTAAGCCGACCGCAGACAAGTCCATGCTTCCTCTTGACTCTGTAAGTTCAGAGCTCCGACGCTACCATACTGTGTCTCTGCTAAAGTGGTCCAGATATCTGCCGGCGAGCTGACAGTTGTCCACGCGGATCTTCGAGCGCTAGAGTACCGGCTTGATAATATCCAAAGTCGCCCATCACTTCAACGCAGTTCTGCTCTTGGATAAGGCAGACGCACTTATAGAGCAGCATTCATCCTAGCTTGGTCCCATGATTGCTTTTCCACTGTTTTTCCTTGAACATTGGAGTACTACAGGGGCATTTTTTCCTGACTTTAAACCGAACCGTGAAATTTAACAACGCGATTTTAAGCCGTATCCATCTTAAAATTGAATACAAGAATCTAATAAAAGGGACAGGAAGGAAAATCTAGCCCTGTTTTCTTTCCAAAGCCTGTACTTTTGCAGGCCCGACCACCATTGAAGCCAAAAACCTTTAGCTCGTAGAGTCCCTTAACTTGAACAGACAAGAGATGAGGTACTATCTGACACACATGCAGCCTATTTTTAACAATATAAATCAGATTAGAAACCCTATTTTTATTACGCATGCACTGGTCACAGTTAATGGTGCACAAGTCAGTCCTAAGCACCTGCAATTAGGGGAAAGTCGAGCGAGAGATTCACAGGCAGATTTGGCAAGTCAGAGCATCTAGCGGACATACACACTGGATTATCAGGCTAGCATACATGTTCACAGAGTTAAAAATTATCTGTTAAGGGGATCCTGCATTGACATGATTACCAGTAATGTCTAGAAATGTTCTAGTGGCATGGAACAGATCCAATGGCTCACTTTATAATTTACCTTTTCCCTCTTACTAGATATAGACATACCCAAAACAGCTATTGCATTGCTTTTGTAGATGAGTGCTTACCCATAACCATTCCCTTGTTGAAGGGCTCCTTGCTCCTGCACAGCCTCGATAAAGCCGAGGTTATGCCTTTAGATATCGCCGTGGTTATCTCATCTGACGGGCAGTTAATTGTGGTATGTATATATCAAGAGACGGAATAGGAAGAAATTAAGCCATCAATACGCGTTGTCTGAGCCCAGCTTTATTGCGGCGACAGAAAACTATATAAAAGCCTTGAATGTCTCCTCTGATATCCTCACTCTCATCTAAGCCTTCAGATACCAGGTCTTCAACGGTTCATCTGAGTCAAACCAATTTATTGATTTTCGAGACAGAGGATCGCCTATCCCTTATTTGTCGAGAACCCAAAGCGATTGCCTCAAACTTTGCTTATCGAACTCGAGTCAATTGTCAGTTGCTTGAGAAGGGATGCCAAAACCATATACTGACAGGAGCGACTTTCTATCTAGAACCCTGGCTCCATCGAAAATGCCGGCCGAGTGTCTGAGGTGCTGCGGGACAGGAGGAAAGTACGGAGATTGTGACCGATGCAACGGCACTGGAAATATTGAAAACCCAAAGGGGAAATGTGGCCAGTGTATGGGAGACGGCATCGTGAAATACCCTTGCGCACATTGTGGTGGCAAGGGAAAGATCGGCTAGTATATGGACCTTTTGAAGAAAGTTGAGGTGGATAACATCCAGCAAGGGATTAGCCCAGTCCGTCGTGTACACTCTTTCGTCTGCGTACTGGATGGATGGCTACTATTCTTTTTGTTTTGTTGTGGACGTGTATCTACCTTGTGTTAGGTATCGAAACTCGACGCCCTCATCGGCTCGGTGTCGTTTCAGAAAGGTACTATAAGCTCTGCAATTACCAGTTGGCTTACTTGTGACCTAATGATGTCTTCAAGATCCAGCCTGTGAGAGGACTCCACACCTATCCAAGATCGCTCTGCGAATAACCTTGTAGAATATAGCAGCAATGTAAAATACCCTGGTAGCCCGCGTGCTAATTGGTGCAGCAGTTTAGTTTAATCCCTTGAAAGATAAAGGTTATTCTGTTAGATAGGTATTAAGAGAAGGTGCGAATAAAAGGGTTATAGTAGTAAGCTAAACTGTTTAAATATAAACTAGTAAAAGGTCACGTGTAAAAAGGCAAGCTATCCCAAAGCAGAAACACATGGGTTCAAATAATATTACTTTAGCTTTAAGCAGCTATTCACGGGATTAGTTAAAGGGGCGGCTAATTAAAACAGCAGAATTTACTTTATTAAAATTTACCAACCCAGTAGGTCACGGAACTGACTTTTGAATTGCAGTAAAGATAGGAACATGTACGGTAAGGGCCGGCTCAAAGGGCAGGCGGTACCGGACGGCAGTATGATCCGACAGGTTTCTGGCGCGAATCACGTGATGCTAGGCTTGTTTACCAACGCGCGCGTTCTGAGCACATCCTTCTTAATCCCTTGTATCTCCCCCCACCCTCTTCCCCACTTGTTATTGACGCGTGGGCCTTGATCCGTCTGGGCTCAATTTCAGGTAATGACTACTCGATATAAACATTCCACCCGAAGGACGGGTCAAGCATCGCAAAGTCGGAAAACTGCTCATGCAAAATACCCAACAAATTCAAACAGTGGGGAGCATGAATGTGGTGATAAGACAGCAATTCATGTGACAGTGCGTTGTCGAAGTCGCAGTGAACAGGAGACAAAGGAAGATCATGCCATTATACTTCGAACAGATGGCATCAAAGGAAAGACCGTGGAAGTATCTACAGGGTCTCTCACGAACAAGACCTACAACTTCGATCGGGTATTCTCATCGGCTGCCGACCAGCGCACGGTTTACGAAGATACTGTACTGCCAATGGTTGATGAAGTGAGATTCGAACCTGCCTTGCCTCTAGCACAGTATACACTGATGACTAGTACAGCTACTATGCGGCTACAACTGCACCGTCTTCGCCTACGGACAAACCGGGACAGGCAAAACATACACAATGTTCGGAAAAATGACAGAAGAGCTTGGGCTTTTGTCTGACGATGCAGGGATCATCCCACGCACTCTCTACACCCTATTTGACAAGCTCAAGGGCAGGGATAGCACTGTCAAGTGTTCTTTCATCGAGCTATATAACGAGGCCTTATGTGATCTTCTCTCCGATGAGGGGGATACAAAACTCCAGTTGTTTGAGAATGAACGGAATGGCGCCAACGGAAGTTTGTTGGTGAAAGGGATGCGAGAATCATACGTTGATTCTCCATCAGCTGGTGTTCGACTACTCGAAATGGGTAGTCGGAAACGACAAGTGGCAGCAACCAGATGCAATGATCTCAGTTCCCGAAGTCATACCATCTTCACGATCAACGTGCTTACCAGGACTAGCGAACAGTCCATTACGTCTGGGAAACTGAATCTGGTAGACCTGGCCGGCAGCGAGAATATTCAGCGAAGTGGTGCCGAGAACAAACGAGCTGTCGAAGCCGGTCAAATCAATAAAAGCTTGCTGACGCTTGGACGAGTCATCAATGCACTGGTTGATAAATCCTCACATGTGCCGTACAGGTATTGCATCCCTGGTTCATTTGAAGATAAGAATTCTAACATTGGATACCATAGAGAATCAAAATTGACACGTTTACTGCAAGATTCCTTGGGTGGGCAGACCAAAACTTGCATAATTGCGACTGTTTCGCCCTGCCAGTCAAGTCAGGAAGAGACTGTCTCTACACTAGACTACGCATTTCGCGCCAAAAACATTCACAATAGACCGCAGATCAACACTCCCGTCCCAAAAGATACATTACTCTCAGAACTTGCTCTGGAAATCGAGAATCTTAAACGCAACTTGAGAGCGACTAGGGATCGGAACGGCGTTTATATGACTTCCGATACGCATGAAGAGATGCTCAAAGAGATTGAGTCCCGGCGGATCGTCAACGAGGAGCAAAAGCAATGTATAGAAGCCCTAGAATCCGGCCTCCAACACAGGACAGGAGAGCTGCTCGCAGTGACACGGCAGCTCCGGGACTTGGATCTCGACAACAAGGAGGCTCATCTAAAGCTCAGGCAAATGAATGACGCTCTAAACAAGGCTCACAATATATGGGGCGGATCTATTGCAGAGGTCTCGGACATCACCGAGAAAGTGGGAGCTCGAATGAAGGATTTCCAAGCTCACCAGACGAGACTCTTACGGGACTTTTCAGCCAATCTCGGCCGATTCCTTGAAAATGAGATGACGGCTGCTCAGAGGAATCAGACCCTCCTTTATGATACTCTCCGTGCTGTCGAAGGCGCTGGGGAGGATTCTAAAACGCAACTATTGAAAGGCGAGACAGAAGAAGCTTTCCATCAGCTCAAGCAAATAAGCAAAACGGGCAGGGCGACGGTTTCCGAGGCCTTGAATGAACTCTCTCATGCAATTACCCGGATATCTGAAGGTCTTGAGGGTGAGCTATTGAAGTGCAACGACCAGGTACAACCCCTCACATGCTTTCATAAGTCCTTATCTGATCAGTTTTGTAGTTTGAAATGGCCTACGGCGCATTCGATCAAGACGTCCAGTCTACATTTCAGACAATAGTAAAACATGTTGAGGAGCAAAACGTCGAGATCAGCGAGCTACGCCATCGGCTTCAAAATGCCAATTCTCGAATGATAGAGATGAACCACAAGACGTCGCTTGACGTGGCTCGCCTTTTGGAAGAGGAGCGTGCGAATGCTGAAGTAGAGCGCAATAACTTTCTGAGCCAGATCGGTGCAATCTACGACCTTTCATCCCAGCAACGTTGGGACCGGCTTCAAGAGAACTACAATATCATCTGCAGTGACATTTCAAGTTCTGGAATTCTGATGGAAAGTCTCACTACACATAGCCGGATTGATGAGTGCATCGCAAGGCAAAAGCAACTTGCTAAAGAACTAGCTGATTCAAGCAGCTATCTCAAAGTGCGGATGTGGCAAGATAAAGAGGTATCGTTCCTATTTTCTTTTGTATTCGACCTTTTGATGACCGGAAGCAGCGTCTGGGTAAACGACACTTTTCCGCCCGACAAGCAGCAGTATCCGCGAAGAAGGACCTCCAGCAAAGTGTTGACAATCATAAGGAGACTCTTCACGAACAGCTGGAGCTCTGGGCTCGAGAATTGGAAAAGACGCAATCACAGAACAAACAGCTTAGTGATGCCTACCTTGGCCATTTGAATACATTGGAGACCACTATCAAGCAGTCATACTCAACAGTGAAGGACCAACTTGGCATGGTGCTTGAAAACTCCGGGCAATTTCAGAAAGACATGGCACGGCATTCGGACGCAATGGAGCAGCCTATTGAGGCCTTGGAGAAGGAGATCTGCGAGCCCCTCTCGCACCTGCGAACAAACATACAGAGTTATTCAATACCAACAGGTGCCTCCCTAGAACAGGACGCCTGTGATAGACCCGGGGCAACTCAGAGCAATCAAGAGGGCACTTCTCACTGGGAACATGACAATCTGGCTAAGCAGCCACGCGTGGAGATTGCATCTGACGACAGCGAAAACCCGCGACTGAAACGGCGACGCCTGTAAGAACACATTGTTGGCGACATTTAGCTTGCCCCCAATATCTCTTATGTCCATGTAACATTTCGGTTCCTGATTACTAGGTTTACGCCTGCAAATAGAGGCAGGAGAAACTCCTGTAGGAAGTTAGGGTATAATCCAGCTACTCATACTCGGAACCTGCCAGTGACCGGACAGGGTTCTTCAACAAGCACTCATATCCAACTTGACATCCATAGGCCCCTCAAGCTGTGAAGCAGTAAGATAAGACTACCCAGTGCGTCTTTTGGTGCGGGATCATGTCGCTGTAATCAAGTCAGCAATACCGTAGGTTGGGGGCTTGAAGCATGCAGCGGGGGCGCTCTACGATGACAACTCCCAGTCGTACAAAAGTAGTCAGCACCAAGAAAACTCCGACATAAATAAGTCATATCCTCCTCTCCCTAAAAGCTTCAGCTTCCAAATCAGTGCCTTATCTACTTGCTCTTATTCCACTCAGTGCACCTCCCTTAACACCCATCCATCCACCCCTAGCCCTACAACCAACATGCAGACCCATCTCTGGCAGATCCTACTCGCACTCACAGCCATCCTCCCAACCCATCTTGCATCCGCCCAATGTGTCCAAAACGGATGCACATGCGCCACAGGGACCCCGCAAGGCCAGTACTGCGGCTGGTGTGCCGCCGTGACATCTGCTGGGAGCGGCGGGTCGTGGTCCGATGTGTACGAGTGTAATGCGCAGGGAGGCTGCTGCCGCTATGGGCCGCGGGACTCGTGCCAGGATCCGGTGGCGTATAGTCCTTGTGGTTGATGTGCTTCTGTCCGTGATGATGAATTCGGTGTTGAGGTGGGTAGGTAAAGGTTTCTTGGTTTTTGGGCTGCAGGGGCGATGCTGATTTTTTTTGTCGATAGGCTGGTTTCCTTGAGTGGGGAGGGACATGAGATCATGCGGCTGACTATGGGAAGAAATTCGATGAGGTCAAGGATGGTTTCATTTGATGGGTATATTTGATGCTTTTGGACTTTCGAGTACATGATTATTGTATTACCTGCCCCCTCTTCTGACACGGTCCACTCAGCTTACAGTGCGTGTCTGATTGATACCTTATACCTAAATAGTTGCTGAAGAAGCAACGCAGTGTGGGAGTCTGACAGAGGCACTGAATTCATTTCTCGATTTTGCACGCAATAGATACGGTAAAACTCATTTGCGGAACTAGGTAGGCATGGTACTCTCCCTTCGCCTCGTCGCAATCCTCACCTCCATATCAACGCAGACCATATTCCCCCAGGTAATCGTCATATCCTTTTCTACATCCGCCAGCGTCATCTAGCCGTATCCACGTTAGCAAAGGTATAACCCATGCAACAAATCAACAACTAAGAGAGGAAGAAGGACATACCTCATACTCCTTAACCAGCACCGCCACAACCTTGTACAGCTCCAGCAGCGCCACGTCCTTCCCAAGACAAACCCTCCCCCCAAACCCAAACGCGCACAGCATCCCCTCCATCTTTTTTCTCTGCTCCGGCTCCGCCTCAACCCACCTCTCCGGCCGGAATACGTCAGGCTCGACTCCGAAGATCTCCTCGTTGTGGTGGATCACCCACGGGGACACGCTCACCAGCGTCCCTGGGGGCATATACTGACCGTCGACGACGGCGCCGCCGGGCGGCACGACGCGTTCTATCATGAAGCCGGGTGGTGGGTGGATGCGGAGGGACTCGAGGATGCAGGCTGTTAGGTAGGGGAGGTGGGTGGGGTTGCTGAGGAGGGTGTAGGGGGGGATTGTGGTGTTGGGGAGTGAGCTGTCGAGTTCGGCGCGGAGTTTAGATAGGGCGTTGGGGGATTTGAAGAGGTAGTATATTAGAACGCCGAGGGTTGTGCGGCTGGTAGGCAACATAGTGCGCGTCAGTAAATCTGGTGATAGTGTCAAGGAATGTGATAAAGAGAGAGGGTGGACGTACACTGCGTCAGGGGTGGGCGAGATTAGCATGAGTGCCAGGTCGATAATCTCGTTGCGGGTCACTACGTCTGGGTGCTTGAGGTGCGCTTCGATCCAGCTGTCTAGCAGGTCCTCGTTGGGTTTGGGTTTCTCGTCTTGGGACCGGGGGTCATCGATTTGGTGGCTGATCCTGGTGAGGGGGAGATATCTCCGCGCGAACGTCACGGGCGGGGGCACGAGGCCAAAGAAACGAACGAGAGGGTTCTTATCTAGCAGGTACTGGAAGACTGGGGCTTGTGCAAGCTGGGTACAGACTTTAGTCAGTTGCAGTTCCCAAGCCCCCTTCTCAGGAAAGACGACGACTTACTCGTGTTAAATGTGTTGACAATTTCCGCGAGAGCCGGATAATACCCTCCAGATCCGACTGGCCTTTCACAAACCCATAGGGCCGGCTAAATGCAAGAATGCCGCCGACATCGAAGACAAAATAATGGAGCTGGTCGATAAGACTAGGGCTTGGAGTGTGCGAGGCCGCGGCTTTGCCGTCTGCAGGTGCGCAAGACGCGTCGAGCTTGGCCAGCAGATCCAGCAGCAAGGCATCAATTGCTTCCTCGCGATGCAGCAGCTGCTCCATCGAGAAGCCTTGCTCAACCAGCCCTCGGTACCGCGCATGCCAGTGGTTATCTCGTGTGGAGAAGATATTTTCCTTCTTCGGGCCCTTGCCGTGCGCTTCAAAGGCGATGTACCAGTTGGACTGAGCATGTCAGAGAGCGCATCTGCTTGCGTTTGTTGTTGGAGGACTTACTTTGGGCATGTTATTTCTGGGCCCGTATATATCCTCTATGGCGGACGGCTTGCTGAAGGATAGAGCATTGGGCCCGACACGTACGACGCTGCCGTACTTTTTATGCAGGGCGAGATATGTCGGCCGCTCGTTTCCATGCAGGTAGACGTGCGCCACGCGCCAGAGGTCTGTGAATGATGCTAGAAATGGCCCTGGATAGCGGTGCAGACCGTGGCTGTAGCGGCCGTGGCCGATGACATGAACGATGTAGAGGCAAAGGCATAGCAGGAGTTGAACCCAGGTGAGAACTCGCCAGAGGTAAATGGAGCACGCGAGAAGGGAAATGTAGAGGAGCATTTTGATATGGGTTTGGGATGGTCTCTGGAGTAGGACGGGCAGTCTGGTCATGGTCAAGGGCTAAATAAGTTCACCGGGCAGTCGGAACTGCTCTTGTTCAGCTTCCATGGCCAGAACTCGAGACGTCTGCGTTGTCGAACCGTCTGTGGGAAGTCTGCTCGTGTTCGACCCGGAGTCAACCAACACGCAGAATTATCGGGTCACACATGAAACAGCGGAAACTCAATGCATCTCCGTATCCATGGATCGAGGTTACCTGGGTCAAGGGTAGGAGATTGCCAGTGTAGTCAGATCAACACTTGGCGCAGGAGCTTGGTCCAATGGACCCTGGATCTCGGAGCTATGACAGACGCCACCTGGGGCGGACTCAGAGTATGCTGGGTATAATACCTGATTATACCTCGGGAGCTATTAAACCGGGGCCCAGCTGGGGGCTGGTCTGAAAGCCGAAAGCCGAATACGAGGTCCCCGAGGGCCCGATCCATTGCTGTACCGGTATCCCATATCAGTCATGTGTGACCTGCATGCCGGGGGTACCCTGCTGAGAGGAGCCCTGGCAAAGGCGCAGACGCATTGCTGATGGTTTATCTCCTCCTTCTCATATCAGCCATGTGTGACCCGCTGTGGGGATGGCTCAAGGATCCCTAGCATACCCTACCATACCCTACCATAGCAAAGGCGCAAGGCGTGCAGACACGAAGGGCGAGATATCGTTTCATGATTCCAGGATGGCTATCCAGAGTAAACCAGGTGGCGACTGTGAAGCTGTCCTCGGCTAAGAATACCTCGAAAAATTCGAGCGATGAAGAGGTGGGCCTTGGGTATAAATTTGGGGTCGAGGAAGTGACAAGATGCAACTGATCTGTTTAGACAGCTGCGCATTGCTTTCTCTCTTGAAGATTCTGCCATCATGCCACTTCCCAGCCAGATCATAGTCTTCGGGGGGCTCGATTACGACTACAAGCAGAGCCTCCGACTCCTCGCAACCGAGACAGACAATGTAGTCCTCAAGTCGTTCTTCGACAGAGCCGCCGTTGCCCTGGCCGAGGAGGTTCGCGCACTTCCCTGCAGCCACCGCAGCCGCGGTATCCCAACCGGCAAGTCGATCCTGGAGTTAATCTCGAAGGAGGGAGGCAGTCACCAGGCGCTGGAGATGGCGCTGACCTGCATTTACCAGTTTGCTTCTTTCATCAGGTAAGTGACTCCTTGCATATGGCATATGCACCGGACTGACGACAGTAGACACTTCAGCACCACGGAGCAGCCCTACCCAACTGGAGAGTCGACGCACATCATCGGCATCTGCAGCGGACTCTTGACGGGGGCCGCGATCAGCTGCAGCGCCTCGGTCTACCAGTTGGTTGCTCTTGCCGTCCGCACGATCGTGGTTGCCTTTCGGGTCGGCCTCGTGGCGGAGGAGATGCGCCGAGGGCTCGCTCTGTCAGAGGACGACTCGGCGACTTGGTCGGTCATGGTCCCCGGGTTTAGCCGTGATGCTGCGATTGAAACTCTCTCTCGATACAATGAGGATATCGTGCGTCCCACTTTCTGTTCCATCTCGTGCAGCGGACTAATCCGTGGACTCCAGAACATCCCATCTGTCTCGCAGGTGTATGTCAGTGCAAGCACTCCATCTGGCGTGATCCTCAGCGGTCCTCCCCCAGCAATGGAGGCGCTACTCGCGGCGCCGTGCATGGCCGGCCGCAGTTACCGCAGGACCAGAATCACTGCGCTGTATCATGCACCGCACATCTACGACGTGCCGAATGTAGACCGCGTCTTGGACGGCGCATTTCCCGTAGATATTGCCAGTCAACTCAGCCGACTAGGAATGGACACGGGGGCTCAATATCATGGTCCGGGTAAGAAGGATCTGTCTGGCCTTTTTCGGAGCGCCGTCTCCGGTATACTGCTGGAGCCGGTCCGCATTGACGCGATCCTTGAGCGTATCACTCGCGATATTCCTAGCCCAGCCGATGGACCGATGAGAGTCATACCCATCGGGACAATCTCGGGCAGCGGCATTGCAAACGCCATGGCCAAAACCGCACGGTGCCAGGTCCAGGTGGACACTTCCATCCAGGACCCGTCTGCCTCGGCTCAGAGTCTGCCCTCGCCACCTGGAGGCTCTGGCAAACCGAAGCTCGCCATTATCGCCTACTCCGGACGCTACGCTGATGCCAACAGCGACGAGGACTTCTGGTCCTTGCTTTACGAAGGCCGCGATGTGGCCCGCACCGTCCCCCTTCAACGATGGGATGTAAAAACCCACGTGGACCCAACGTTGAAAAGGAAGAATACCAGCGCATCACCCTATGGATGCTGGCTCCGAGATGCGGACCTGTTCGACGCCCCCTTCTTTGGGATGAGTCCGCGCGAGGCGCCCCAGGTCGACCCGGCGCAACGGCTCGCGCTCCTGACCACATACGAGGCAATGGAGAATGCAGGCATGGTGCCTGACGCGACCCCGTCCACGCAGCGAAGCAGGGTCGGCGTCTTCTTTGGAATAACAAGCAACGACTGGAGCGAGACAAATGCCTCGCAGGATGTCGACACCTACTACATCCCCGGCTGCTGTCGCGCGTTTGTCCCTGGGCGGCAGAACTACTTCCATAAATTCAGCGGGCCAAGCTACTGCGTTGACACGGCTTGTTCGTCGAGCCTTGCGGCCATGCATCTTGCTTGCAACGCGCTCTGGCAAGGGGACATTGATACGGCCATCTGCGGCGGGACCAACGTCCTTACGAACCCGGATATCACCGCGGGATTGGACCGGGGGTTCTTCCTCTCGCGGACAGGAAACTGCAAGACCTTTGATGAGGAGGCCGATGGATATTGCCGTGGCGAAGGCGTTGTGACCATGATTATCAAGCGGCTGGAGGACGCCATCGCAGACAATGACCCCATCCAGGGCATCCTACTCGGGGCGTACACCAACCACTCTGCCGAGGCCGAAAGCATCACACGCCCGCATGTCGGCGCGCAGAGGGCTATTTTCAAGCGCGTCCTGGCGTCGTCAGCCGTCGATCCCCAGACGGTCAGTTACATTGAAATGCACGGCACGGGCACCCAGGCCGGCGATGCGCGCGAGATGGATTCGGTCCTCTCGACCTTTGCGCCGTGTGTGCCGCCGCTCCCAGACTCGCGTCAGAGCCCGCTGTACATCGGCTCAGTCAAGGCAAATGTCGGACACGGTGAAAGTGTCTCGGGAGTCACGGCCCTGGCCAAAGTTCTCATGATGATGGAGAAAGACACCATTCCGCCGCACTGCGGGATCAAGACGAAGCTCAACTCCAAGTTTCCCTCGGATCTGCACGACCGTAAGGTCCGGATTGCGCTGGAGCCGACGCCGTGGCCTCGCGAGAAGGGGAGGCCTCGACGGGCGTTCATCAACAATTTCTCGGCGGCGGGAGGCAACAGTTCGGTGCTGGTCGAGGAGGCCCCGGATCGAGGGGGCAAACATGGAGGTGAGCAGGCTGTAGATCCTCGCTCGACACACGTCGTTGCTGTCTCGGCCAAAACAGTCACCGCACTGCTGGCAAACGTCAAAGACATGGTTGCGTTCCTGGAGGAAGGGACTGCCGACCTTGCCAGTGTGTCCTACACCACCACAGCGCGGCGGACACACCACCGCTACCGTCTCATGGCGCACGGCTCGACGCGCGAGGAGGTCTCGACAGAGCTCAACAACATGCTCACGGTCGCCTCTTCGACCGGCATCAAACCTCGCTTTGCAGGTCAAGCGGCATTTACATTCACGGGCCAGGGCGCACAATACCCCGGCATGGCGCGCGATCTCCTCCACTTCACCAGTTTTGAGGCAGACCTCCGTCGTCTCGACTCGCTGGCACTGAAGCAGGGCTTCCCGTCAATCATGCCGCTCATCCAGTCCGATATTGGCCTGGCGACGATCACCGAGTTCGAGCCCCTAGTCGTGCAATTGACGTCTGTCTGCGTGCAAGTGGCTATGGCGAGACTATGGCGGTCTTGGGGTGTTAGACCAGCGCTTCTCATCGGGCATAGTCTGGGCGAGTACGCCGCGTTGAATGCCGCGGGGGTGATCTCGGACGCCGATACAATCTACTTGGTTGGAAGAAGGGCACAGATTATGGAGGAGCATTGTATGAAGGGGTCGCATAGCATGTTGGTTGTTGGAGCGCCGCTGGATGTGGTCGGGCCATGTGCGGCTTGGCTGGACGTCGGGGTGGCGTGTCGCAATGCGCCGGCGGAGACTGTTTTCAGCGGGCCAGACGACGCCATCAACCGGCTGGAGAAGGCTTGCCGTGATGCTGGTGTCCGAAAGGTGAAGAAGTTGGGTGTGCCGTACGCGTTCCACTCCTCGCAGATGGACTGCATCCTGGATGATCTGCAGACCGCTGCGGAGAGGGTCACGTACCATCCCCCGCATACCCCGGTGCTCAGTCCGCTACTGTGCGAAGTCGTGACGAGCGCCGGGGTGTTCAGCGCAGAGTATCTGGTGCGGCAGTGCCGGTCTACCGTCAACTTTGCTGGAGCTCTGGAGACGGCCAGGGCGCGCAATCTGGTCAAACACAGCACGGCATGGATTGAGATCGGGCCTCATCCAGTGACGATTGGCCTGATTAAGGCAAATCTGGAGTCTGTTATTGCCGTGCCCACCCTCCACCAGAGGCAGGATACCTGGAAGGTCCTATGCAGCAGCCTGCGAGCCCTCTATGAGGCCGGCCACGCTATCGATTGGAAGGAATACCACCGCAGTTTTGAGAAGGGACTTCGTGTTGTCCGTCTTCCGGCGTATAACTGGGATCTGAAGAGCTATTGGCTGCCCTATGCCAACGACTGGGCGCTGTATAAGGGAGATGCCCAGTTCCTAAAGGAGAGAGAGCACAACGACCAGCCATCGACGACATGCGTGCACCGAATCGTCGAGCAGACGACCGCCGAGGATAATGTTACGCTCGTCGCCGAGTGTGATCTTCAGCGGCCTGACGTCAAGGCTGTGTCGCAAGGCCATCGACTCAACGGCGTCCCGCTGTGTACGCCGTCCATCTACGCGGAGATTGCGTTCGTTTTGGGAGGCTACCTAAACCGGCGGTGGATGGACGACGAGCGCTTGGTCGAGGTCCGGGATATGGATGTGCAGCGGCCGCTGGTCCTGCAACTCCAGTCCGAAGGTCCACAGCTGTTGCGATGCCGTATGACTCTACATACAGACACGGGCGAGGCAGACGCAGAATTCTATAGCGTGACCCCAGAGGGACAATCGCAGGAGCAGCATGCCGAGTGCTCCGTGGCATTTCCACTCGCTAGCGACGCCGTGCAAGAGGCAAAAGACTTCGGTGGCCCTATGCTTGAGAATATCGCGAATCTGCGGGAACGATCCAACAGCAGTAGCTGCGTACAGAAGCTGTTTGGAAGTACGGCCTATCGGCTTGTTTCTTCACTTGCAACGTACAACAAAGAATACATGGGCGTTGCGGAGATCATCATGGACAGCGACACCTACACGGCAGCAATCAAGGTTCAGTGCTGCCCAGAGGCAAACGAAGGGGTCTATGATGTGAACCCGTTCCTCATCGACAGCTGTGGACAGCCGGCCATGTTTGTGATGAACGGCCATGAGCATGCTGACTTGGAGAAGGAGGTCTGCGTCAATCATGGCTGGAGCTCGATGCTGTTCCACCGCAGCCTCGATGCGAGCAAGGCTTATGAGGTTTATGTGGATATGTCGGAGGCTTTGCCCGAGGGGATCCAGACCGGCAATGTGTTCGTCTTTGATGGAGAGGAGATCGTTGCTTTGATTCGTGGTATCAAGGCGCAAAGGGTTCCCCGGCGGTTGCTGAACTATATCATCCACATGCGAGGGGATGCGAAGGAGGCCCATGTGAGTTCATCGGCTGATGTATTGGTCAATGGAGGGCATGCTGCACCTGCAACTGTGGGAAGTTCTGTCCCTTCACTTCCCAACGGAGGACTGCAAAACGCTACAGCCGGTCCCACCTGGAACGCAGCTCTGACCATCATCATGGAGGAGAGTGGGTGCTCGATGTCCGACCTGGCAGACGATACGTGTTTCGCCGACCTCGGGGTCGACTCGATGCTCTCCCTGCTCTGCGCCAGCCGGTTCCGCGAGGAGCTCGGGGTGAGGCATGAGGCTATTATCTTCGACGAGCACCCAACCGTCAAGGAGCTGCGGCGGTTCTGGGAGGGACAATTCGGACCCGTCCAGCACGAGGAGGGCAACAGTGTAAGTCCTCCAAGATCCGGCACAGCCTCCAGTACACCCCCGAGCACAAACGGGACACCCAGCACACCCCAAAACACGGTGCAAGCAAACGGCAGTCCACCTGACGACTACAATATCACGCTTAACGGACAAATCTCTCCACCCGCAACATCTCTCCTCCTCCAAGGAACACCCACCTCGCCAGCAACGCGCAAGACCCTCTTCCTGCTCCCCGACGGCTCCGGCTCGGCCTCCGCGTACCGCCACATCCCCTTCATCTCCGACTCCCTCGCCATCGTCGGCGTCAACTGTCCGTACCAGAAACAGCCGGCTAGTTACACCGGCGGGGTTGAAAACGTCTCGCACGCCTACGTCCGCGAGATCCGCCACCGACAGCCCCGCGGCCCATACATCCTCGGCGGGTGGTCGGTGGGCGGGATATTCACGTACCGGGTCGCGCAGATTCTCGCCGAGCAGGGCGAGAAGGTCTCGGATCTGGTCCTGATCGATTGCCCCGTCCCTCGCGGGCTGGACTATCTTCCGAAGCGGTACTTTGAGTACTGTGACCGGATCGGGTTGTTTGGGACGGTGCACGTTCAGCATATCAATGGTACCGGTAATCTGAAGGACGACAACCTTAAGAAGAGAAAGATCCCTCCACCGAGCTGGCTAATCCCACACTTCGAGGCCTGCATCGAGAACCTGCATGAGTACTTCGCTGAGCCTTGGCAATCGCAGCCGCAAGGTATACCCACCCCAACAACGCACATCATCTGGGCCAGCGAGCCCATCGACTACGCCGTCACCGAGAAATTCGAGCATCGGCCCGACGACCCCGACGGCCTGGCCTTCCTCACCCGCGCCCGAAGGGATTTCGGGCCCTGCGGGTGGGAGAGTCTCCTACCGGAGGAGGAAATGCGGTTCTGGTGCGTAAGGGGGGCGTCGCATTTTAGTATGATGCGAGGGGAGGATGCTAGGGTTCTAGCTGGCATTATTGGGGAGGCGTTGGGGTGTCGGTAGATTGGGTACTGCTGGTGAACTACCTGGGTAGGGTGTAAGGTACGAAGGGAGCTTGTGTGGGTAATCCTAAAAGTCTGAACAGTTCTTGAAGTTCCTTGTTGATACAGTCCGATATTGGGATTGGAATCGAGACTGAGACTGAGATTGTCTGTGGTTTCCCTGCGGCTGCGAACCATGTTGACTTTCAAAAGTTTGATCAAACCATTCGCATCCCCCAATATTGATATTTTGTCGCTTCGCCCATCGACGTCCTTGAACAAGGGCTTGCATTCAGAGACAAAAGTTAGAACTTGCCAAGTCAGCAATCACAGCGGCCATTACAGATTAGCAGACCAAAATGAACAGACTTTTGCCTGTGACGGACTAGGACTCGCTGCGATGTATCGCGAGGAACCACTAATTGTATTTCCGGTCAGAAACGTTCTCTCTTCCCTTAGCTAGGGTAGGGTACCATAGGATTTCCGGGACTTACATTGCCAATCAGGTCTAAAGTAAGCTAGATTTTGCTAGCGGAGGCCTCCAATGGTCGAAATGTCTGCTGTGGCAGACACGATAGGCCAATGAATCCGTGTCCTTGCGCAGTAGCCCCAGCCAATTCAATTCATACCCGACGTGGTGTAGCGGCTGATTTCGTTCTGACAGCCCTCCGCGTCCGTCAAGAAGTTCATCATAAGCACCGCGCCTCGAGTCATACTCGTTAGCCCGTTCTCTCTGCGAGTCGGTGTGCGGAAGTATGCATAATGATCTTTCGCTTCAGTCGCCCTGACTCGCCCATATTCTGGACGATCAAATGATCCTTTCTCGTAGTGGAGTTGATCACGTAGTTCGGCGGACGGACAGCCCTTCTACCAGAATCTTATGGATTGCCTTACGGCCGCAGAGGACAACCATTGTTGCAGGTCCGATCTTCAGAGAAGGCCTTGACGTACTTTTCGATCCATTCGGAGAAGCTGCATGACAGTCATCATCAGTTGCTGCTTTTGGATACTTCCGCGGAGAGAACGTGTATATGTGAAGATCGACCTTCGCATCAGATGGACATTCCCGAGTAGTGGCAGCGTCGGGGGTCCGGGGGAATAAGTAGACTGGGGTCTCTACTGCCAATTCTGGATACTCTCTAGACCACCGTGAGCAGGGCGGCAATGAGGGCCATCAATGTAGGTGGGACCGGGAATCCTTACCCTTGCGAGACGGCCATCAGAAGCAGTGGGAATATGAAGGTGCAAGGCAAGCAGCCCCCAAGTGATCCAGTGTCTTCTGCTTTGCTTTCAGTGCGAAAACAGTGACTGATAGTGATAGGTAATGGAGCGGCAGGGGCGATAGCAAGGATGGCCAAGGAAGTCAGCGGATTCGAGTCGACAAGTTAATCGAATCGGCGATTGACGGTTCCAGTCGCGGAGGTACCTAGGCCGGCTTCATGGGCGAGGAAAGCCTGTTTGGACGTTGGAACGATAATCAGCAATGGGGCGGTGACTTGGGGAGACGGTGCAGACTGTACCTAACCCCCTCGGCTCTGCTTCTCTTGCGGTCCCTCTAGTACAGAGCCGAGTGTGTACGGAGTACTTGGCCCCGAGAACCGCGCTGTTTTCCGGGCGTATCTTGTCGAGGGCGCTATCGAGTGCACCACCTCTAGCTGTAAATCCGCTCGCGCATGAAGCTCCGTAGTCACTGTCAAAGGTTCAGCGATGGAGCTGGGTGGTGGGTGAAGAAAAGCAAAATGAGGCTGAGGAGGAGTCTTGGGAGATGGGAAGGCGCTAAGCCCGATTGGGATCAACTGTACTGTCCAGATAGCCACATTTGTGTCTTTCTCTCTCCTGGCTGGACACAATAACCTTGGAATAATGGTCCTATTAGTCCATCCTCGAGGGAGGGTCTCAAAGGAATTCTCCATGGCTCAATTGTATGGTCCAAGTTACTTCCGGTTCATCTGCGGAGGACAAAGTACCTCTATTTTACTTGAAAGCCACCCTGTACTCTTAGCACTTAAGGCATCTGTAGATTGAAGGATTAGGTTTCACGGTTTCACCTCATGTTAGGGCTTAGTGCTTGTAAGCAGGCGAATGTTCATACTTGTATATACATGCTGGGGCAAGTGCATAATTAGGGGCAAAAGTAGACCAGGTACACTCATTCAGTATGCAGTCCTAACCTTGTCGAATAGTCGGTAGCACCCCGCAGTACTCAGTGTATGTTCTCTCCTCGCTTTCAAGTACTCCTTGGAACCCCGGCCGCTGCGCACGGAAGTAGGCTTGAGTCCTGCCTCTACGCTTGGATGATGGGAATCCTCCTGAGGATAGTGTTTCTTCACCGTTCGTGCTGGGATGGCTCTGGCATGGTTTGAGGATATGTTATTGTGAGCACATACGGCTTTCTAAGGACGGATAGGATACAGCGTCGAGTTCGTGCTGATATGGGAAGATCATGGAAGTCAGCGTGCATTCCTTCATCTCTAGAATTGAATATCACTTGCCTGCTTTAGCTCAATAAAGCGTAGCTCAATAAACCTGCTAGGACCACTGCCAGTTCTCACTGCAGCGGGAGGGTGCTCTTCAGGAATCACGGAAAGAATACCTACCATAGCTTTCCGTTGGGTTTCCAAGTTTCTGAGTTCTCCAAACAGATTTATTGCCCAGGAGGAGCCGAGACTTGCTATTGTCCTGCGGCTGATAGCGTAATACCGGTATGTACCCTAAGACATGCACTTGAAGTTCGCTCGGGACTGGCCAGGTAGGCTTCTCAGACCTTGCCTGGCTCGAACTGTACGGGTTTCAGCCTCTCAGGCTTTCCTTGGGTAATATCTCGCTCCTCGCACTTTCACTTGCATTATAGCTGGCCTCGTAGTGTCTTCAAACCGATCGTGAGTTGGGTGGTATGGATGTTTCCCGTCTGGAAAGAAAGACCTTACAGCGGTGTTTTCCGCGTAGGTGCAAGCAAGCGGGTTCCTTGAGGATATAGCGGCTCATCGTTACCGTTCTTTCCAGCGGAAACTTAGGATGGCTTATCTCGAGGGGCGTGTCTAGCGCGACTCTAGAAGCTCTCTATGTCAGCGGTTGGTGAAGCCATCACCGCTGCAACGCAGGGCTTCAAAGGGGCAATCAATCATCAAGGACATCATCCTTCAAGCCCAGCGGTTTTTCCTTCGCCTTTGTAGGCATAACCTCAACCTTTGCTTCCGGTACTTTGCTCACGATTGCGGCCAGAGACGACGGGGTCGTGGCGGGCTGCAGTTATCCTGCTGGAATCGAGATTGTGATCTCGTCGACGTGGTGGGAAGCATATTGGGATGTCTATGGGATAAGCGAGGCTCGGTCGCGCAGTTAGGATGGCTTTTCTCTTACTGGAATCGTAGGCGCATTCGTCTTCTTCGCTCGTGGCTTCGGTTTCCCGAGAGGTCAGCGATGGTAGACGGGATTGCAGAGGCTGGAATCAGTTCTCTCGAAGACCGGTGGAGTCGGCGCCTTTACCAGAGGCTTGAGGTTCCGGCTTCTTCGCTGCGCTGCGCTGCTAGGGATTTCAATCGACGCCAGGAATCGCAGAGTAAGGTGGGCAGGAGACGGTCGCGATCGCGATCGGTGGGATTCAGGTATACGGTTCAAGTTCCTGCTGCGCTAGTTAAGAGACGCTCGGAGCAGAGTGCACCTGGGAGGCTTTCTCATCGGCCACCTTTGCGCTGGGGGGTATCGATGGATTGATTAGGTAGTATCGTGAAAGAGACGGGTTGCTGCAGAGGGGGACAGAAAGCTGAAGGGCCTTCATCGGCTTCGAATTTGCTCGACAGGTGCCATGGCGAGCAGATGGTTGCAACGCGCTTCGAAGCAGCGGCATCTACACTCTTCCTTCCTCTGCGTTGCGATTTCTAGCTGCCTTGGTGCCTGGATCCCTCCTCCAGTTGAGATCTACGCGTCTGGGCCTGGTGTTGCGTTTCGAGATCCAGCCCTAAGCTACCGCGCTACGTCCCCGACTACGACTTTGAAGGCTCGATACAGAACGATAAAGGGCTTGTTATATTCCCCTTTCCAAGGCCAGTTATCCTAGACACAGGATGTGTGTCTTCTCCTTTGTGGTGGTGTTCCTCGCATCACGTAATGCGGGCGGGCACGGGGCCGTCACTGAGCAACCAGTGCAAACTCCTGCTTGCCCCTCCAATTCAAAGATCCAATTCATTCACTGCCCAGATTTCAAAGACCAGGAGTGTCAGAAAAAGCTTGGTCTCCATTCCGCTAGTCTGCTTTGAGATATCCAGTGTAGGAGTGGTGCAAAGAAGCACATCGAACACACCCCTTGCTGCTTCTGGCGTCCAATCACTGGTCAGAGTGGATCGATTTGATTGGTTTGCGCAGAGTAAGATGGCTGTCAAGGCCTCTTGGCTTTGCTGGTGTTTATTCACTGCGATGGTGAAGGAGTCGAAGAGTTCTGGAGGAAGTGCTGGCGGGCTGCTATATCAGCCTTCTCCTCGCCTCATTCTTTCCCTCTTTCTCTTCCCAACTCGCTCCCTCTTTTTCTTCTCTCTCACCTCCTTCTCCGTCTCCAATCCTTCGAGACTGTTTGATAGCTGTGTGTTACTGCTGTTGTGCTGTTTCGATCCTCCTCTTCCCATTTCGTCGTTCCGATATCCCTCTTCTATCTTGAACCTCAACTCTCTTTTACCGTCGTCCTCGAGGGCCATACCAGCTCTTGGGGAACCTCCTCTTCTTCTCCTGCATCTCCGTGGCTACAAGCTTTTGAAAAGTGCTTGTAGCTGCGGTGTTACTGCTACTGTACTCTTTTGTCATCATCATCCGTCATCCCTCTCACCCACCTCGACATCTACCAACCATCTTCATGGTATTCCCACACAAGGTCTTATCTCCTAGAGTAAATCGTTTCAGCAAACCACTCTATTGATTTGACTTCGTGTCATTGCCCGCCAGATGCTGGACCTCGCCAAGGAGGCAAAAGCCCAGAAACGCAAAATCGAGTATAGGTTGGTCTCACCCTCATCCTACTTCGCTCCATCTTGAACCTCAGCTGATATCTCAAAGACTCAATACAAGCCACCACCGCGGCCGGCTTGGAGCACTGTTCTACCGAGCCTTGCAGCCCGACCTTGCGCGTATAGCAGCGCATCTCCAACAGCTTCCCGAGACTCCCAACGAATACCTGGACATGATGCAAGAGGTGTCCGGGGCAAAGGAACCACCTATCGGCGAGTCTACCGCAAAGGCCCGTAAGTCCCAAGGGGTCAAGCATACGACGCTCGAGGCACTCGAATGGACAATCACCTCCTTCTTTGACAATGGGCAGGAGCAGGCAGCTCTCCGTACCTTTGCGCTCTTCTGGGGTGCCTTTACGAGTGAGACAAAGATCTATAGAACGGAGCCCGTCCCTGAATATATGACAAAGGAGGAATCGGAAAAGAAAGCCATGAGCGATTGGGAGTCTAAGAGGGCTTATTTGGCGGCAACGTTGGTCCTCGTGCTTGCGTGTCCAGCAGGCAAGGCAGACTTGTACAACGCCTTCGCATTCCTCACAGACAGCCTTGAGACCAAGCAAAGCCTTGACGAGATCGAGCACAACATCCAGACCAAGAACCTGGTGGACTTGACCAAGCGCTTCAACGTAGCCAAATCCGCCGCCATCAACGGCAAAGTCGGCAAGGTGACTGTCCTGGGTGTGAACATCAAAGACGTCCACATGACCCGTTGGGCCCATGGCAAGACTGGAGATGGCATGCACGGGGGTGAGTTGTTTTCGAGCTTCCAACACCCGTTTGTCATTGCAGTCGGGCGTGAAGGCTGGCGGCTCTACCAGGGCTACGGCGGCTCCGAGAACGGTATGTCACTTGACGAGTGGATCATGCTGGGAGGGACGAGGGTTCGCGGCTGGGACGAGGCGAAGAAGTGGCTGCGGCTCTTTGAGCGCTTCGTCAAGAAGTCTGGAACATGGACCGAGGAGATCAACGGCTGGTACAACGATCTCTTCCTGATCGATCTCGAGGTGTGTGCTCATCTCAAGGAGACCGAGCGCGCCGTCAACCTCGTTGGGAAGGTCGAAGATTTCCAGCCCTATGTTCAAGTTCACGAGCTCGGGGATGTCCAGCTTGGGGACCTCACGAAGTTCGAGTTCATCGACGAAGACCCGCCGGCGTGGGAAGATCTGGATTGGTCGGATCCTCAGGATCCTCAGGATCCTCAGGATCAAGATGGCCAATGTGATTCGGACGTTCATGTCTCCTGTAAATGCAACTTCAAGGTGGAGATCCCAATTCCCGCTGAATTGAAGGCCCAGGTGGATAAGGAAGAGGGCAGACTGTCCCCTGGCTTGCAGGGCATAATGGATGGATGTCGAGAACGATACACTTCAAAATACATTGTTCCTGGCCAGACTGCATCCCGGGCACAGAACGAGCGAGCCGACAATGCTGAGGCAGAGGGTGGAGATGACCAGCACTCTGAAGCGTCGACCGTTATTCTAACTGGCGGAGAGGAAGACGTTGCGCAGAAGCCCAAGCAGAAGTCCACCAAGAAGAAGAAGAACAAAGGTGGGAAGAAGGCTGCTGCAAAGAAGGCGGCCCAGCTGCGCCGAAGGCAGGAAAAGGCTGCAAAGGATGGAGCAAACGAGAAGCCTGCCAAAGAGGATGGACAATCTCCTGAGGATGAGAAACCCCATGGGTCGACTGCTAAACGCGACGATTCCATCCACGCAAAGGATTCAGGCGCCATGGGCAACAAGTGTTCGCCTAGCATGCCTAAGTCGGAGGCTCCTGAGCAGTCCCAGCTCTCTCCTGCCATCACTAAAGAGTCCGTTTCCTCTACGCAGTCAAAGGTATCTGGGCAGATGAAAGCCTCTGATCAGCCTGCTGTCGAACAGCCCAAAGCCTCTGAGCAACCTGAAGCCTCTGCACAGTCTGCGGCCACTGAACAGTCCAGCCCCTCGAAGTATTCCAAGCCCTCTAGGTTGTCCCGGTCTATCAAACGCAAGCTCGGCGGGTCTCCCCATCCTGAGGAAGGCGATGCTATCGTCGAGGAGCAGCCAGAGGTCATTGAACAACCCAAGTTCACCAAGCAGACGGCAGAACAACGCAAGGAGACCGCTGTCTCAGGCTTCCCAACAGCGGCTTCTGACTTTTTGTTCAGCTTTAGATCCCAGGTTGCTGGAGAGACCAAGTTCCCCGAACAGCCGGAGGTCTCTCAGCAGCCAGAGTCTCCCGAGCAGCCCAAGTATTCGATCTCAGAGCAGAAAGCAACACAGAAGGAGGACTCTGAAGAGACTACCACTTCTAAGCAGCCTCAGACTATTGAACAGCTCAAGTCAATTGAGACGAAGAGTGACAAACAGCCTCAATCTATCCCACAGCTGAAGGCTCCTGAACGGCCCAAGACTCCTGAACAGCCAAAGCACACTGAGAAGTCCGAGAGCCCAGAACATCCTATATTCTCCAAGAAGGCTTTGGCTCAAAAGGAAGCCACGGTGTATTCCAAGAAGACCGACGCAAATACCATCAAGCCCGAGGACATTCAAGAAGAGCCCAAGGCAGTCCAGCAGTCTGAAGTCACTCCACAGCTCAAAACTCCTGAGAACCCCAAGGCGAGCTCGCGATCAGAAGTATCTCGACAGTCAAAAGCCACTCAAGGTTCTCTGTCTCCCAAAGAGACCACGGATCAGCCAGAGGCCTCGGAAAAGCCCGCGGTCGCCAATCGGCCTACGGTCAAGCAGCATTCCAAGACGGTTCTATCGACTATCAAACAGTCTGAAGTCACTCAACAGCTAAAGACTCCTGAGCAGTCAAATGTCGTTGAACAGCCCAAGCAGACTCTGACTCAACCAAAACAGTCGGAGAAAGCTACGGCCACTAAGCAGCCTGCGGTCAAGCAACAACCCAAGACGGTGGCACAAAAGACCACACAGCCTGAAGTCACTCAACAGCTAAAGACCCCTGAACAGCCCAAGCAGGCCGTGACCCATCAAAAAGCCTCTGAGAAGCCTGCGACTAACAAACAGATCACGGAGCAGCTCAAGGTCAACGAACCAAAAACAGCGCAGAAGCCTCCAGCTGTAGTCGCCGAGCAGTCAAAGACACCTGGACAGTCTCAAGCCACGAACCGGCCTGCCATCACCGGACTGACTATGGTACAGCCTAATACCACTGAGCCGTCCACAACCAACGAGCCATCCAAGGTCATTGGAAAGCCTAGAGACGCCGAGCAGCCGAAGATCCCAAAACAGCCCAAGGCCATGGAGCTCAGACAGCAGCTCACCGCGTATACTATGCAGCGCCGTAACTCCAAAGGAAAAGCCAAGCTGGAAAGCATTCACGAAATGTCCATCTGGCATCCGAATATCGAGAACGAAGCTGGCCCCGACATGCCCTCTACTCTCCGCGAGCTTGTCATGAGCTCATGGCCAGATACACCCGGCAATCTCCCCTCTCAGCGCCCAATCGGTTACGAACGGTCTCTTCGCAGCGCGGCAAACGTCGCTGCTGCTAATGCTGCCCATCGTGCTACCGGCACCGACCCAAACCAGGAAGACCGCCGCTCTGCGCTCCTCCACTCCTTTGCCCTCTCAAACCCCTGGGAAGACGTGCTCAACAAATACCGCGGCTCGCTGTATCTGCGTCCAGAAGAACTAGCCTTGCGTTCCGAACTCGCAAACCTGCACTCCACCGTCGCCCTAGAGGATTGGCGCACCTCAGCGAACAACCCCTGGCCACACATCACCGGTCGAGCCGCCACCCCAGCTGGAGCTGATCCTAAGACCCAATCTGCGGCATGGAACGAGAACCTCGACGCCTTTCGAGCGGGCTTGCGGCCCAAATGGACCTTCCGGCGCTCCGACTCCATTCCCAACGTCCCCGTCGACGCCACCAAGATCGGTTTCGCGCATACCGATCTCGCGCGCCCGAAGCCCTGGGAAGCAGCCGCGCAGAGCTTTAGGGTCCAGACAGCTCGTCCCCAGTATCCCTCGCACCAGTCGCGGTACCTTGACCCCAACGCCGTCCCCTTCGACTACCTCAACCCGTCGCGCTCCGCTGTGTCTGCCATGCACGCTGGAGTCCGACGCACTGGTGCAAGCGACGTCTACGCGCGGACTTCCGACGGCATCGCAGTCCCGGACAACCGGTATCTAGCCTGGGGATCTGAGATCAGCGAGTTCAGCATGGCTGTTAATGGGCGTCGTGCTCGGCGCACCGCGGACCGTGGTCCTTCGGCTCATGAGCTGCAACGGTTTCGGGCGCGTCTGAAGCCGAATCTTGGGGCTGGGGGGTTCCGGTTTGATTCTCGGTAATTGTCTTTGCAGAATGAAGAACGCATGGGGGTGTTTGGTCAGATGATCGGTGAGGTTGTCTGGAATGGTCTGAGTCTGGTGAGAGATGAGGACTGAAGATTCGCATGACGAAGAGAAAAAGAAAGAAAGAAAACAAAAAAGACCAAAAAAAAGGCGGAAAAGGGAAAAAACGGACGGAAAAAAAAACTCAACTCATGTATTACAATATTAGCATTATATGAATATCATGTATATCTTATCATTTCTTTATCCAAAAGCGTAGATATCTAACAGTGCCTAGGTCAACGTACACGGATATACCTCTTCTAGAAAGCTATATATCTCGGCTGCGGTGACATTTCATATTATACCACCGCCATTACAATACACGTAGGTAAAGCCCATCACCATCTGAACGAGTTAGCAAGCTATCCAAGGAAATTTAGGGAAGTGCAACTTACGAAAAACTCTCCGAATGCAAATAAACCTCCCCAGCACCACTACCCTTCAGAATCCCCTCCTGCGCAGCCGCAGCCGCATTCCGTACATCATGCAGCATGGACGCCGGACCGCACGCGTAGATCACAACACGTTTCCTGGAGTTAGCAGCGTCGGCGATAATAGAGGGGAGATCCGGTCGGCCTTGGTGGAAGGTCGTTGGTGTGCTGAGCGATTTCCCTTTCTCATATGTAGATGAGGAGGAGGATGAAGAGATAGGGATGATCGCGTCTTCTGCCGCCGCCGCGGTTTTCGATTCCAGATGGGCTTCTGTGGACGAGACTGGCATTGATGGGAGGGGCTTATTTTCGACGTCAGCTTCTGTGTCGATGGCGGCGATGGCTTGCTTTGATGCAGGTGGTTGAGATGCGGAGGTAACGTGGATAGAGACGTCAACGTTCACATCATCGACACCGTAGATTCCTGCCAGCGCCTCGATCTCATCGCGGTACCAGGCCGCAACGTCGGCGGTCTGTGTTGCGAAGATTACCTGGATACTCTTTCTTCCTGGATCTTTGTCATCGGCGCATCCGCATGTTTGGTTGATTGTGCGCAAAGCGCTCTCGAAAACACCCAGTGAGAATCCACCACCCGAGCCGCCGGAGATGATGAGCACGTCCTCTGAGCGATCGAGGACAGATGGTTCAATGCCACCGTATGGACCCTCCAGGAGAACCGATAGCCTCTTTCCAGGGGCCTTGGATGCGATCTTCGCAAGACGCCCGGTGATCCCGTTCTTCGGCTTAAGATAGAACATCATCTCATTCGCTCTCTTTGATTGCGCGATATCGTGGGATACAGAGCAGATGGTGAAAGGGTGCGAGGTGAGAGCGTGGAGTCCGACATTGCTAACGCTCGTGAAGCGGATGAAGACGTGCTGCCCGGGAGTCCAGGTGAGGATCGTCGGGATTCTGATCTGGAGGAGGCCGCTTGGGAGGAGCGTGAGTGTTGCGCTGTGTCGGCCGTTGATGAGGTGTGTGCGGATTAGGGAGGCGCTGAGGGAGAAGATGTAGAGGGAGCCGGCGGCAATGAAGTAGTCCCTGGAGTAGGTTGGTTAGGGTGGATTCGAGGGAAATAGGTAGGACATACCAAGACGTCAACCGAAAGTCACAGTGGAAGAAAAAGAACAGGATGAAGATCAGCGCGACGAAAAAGTGCGTTGCTTTGAAGAACTCGTAGAACCGGTTTCTGCTCCTATCAGCTTCGATCACCCTGAGGAGAGTAAAGGGTACGCACCGTATACTCGGCAAACTCATAAACGTCAAATAAGCCTGCGCAACCAGTGCTATCACGCCCGTCCAGTAGACAACGCTGCTCTTCCACTCGGATACCATCTGGCCCTTGGAAATATTGTACACTATGAACGGGAAGGTATGCACAAGGGCCAACACGAACATCGCATAGCTGGTCCAGTGGTGGAAGACCTGCAACTTCTCGTGAGGTACGCCCGTTAAGGCGGAGATAAGGTTTGCTTTGGCGCCAAGGGCTCTATCATTTATGAGTATGTGCTTTCGTGATGACAGGATAAGACGTACAGTACAAACGGCAGCAGGGCGACGGCCATCCATCCGGCCCTGGTCGCGATAGGCGGACTTCCGCCGTATGAGACTTCGTCGGTGTTGGGCCAGTAGTATGGGCGAGGGCCGAGGGTCATTGCTACGGCAGTTAGCATTTCCCTCCAGTCGACCTTATGGTGTAGAAAGAATAAGTGGTAGACATACCAAAAAAGAAAACCGCCCCAATCGCAATCAAGCCCGCAACCCCAGCACTGGCAGCCCAATATCCCAACCCAGGGATCCGGAAGCCCCTATACGACAGAAAGCGCCCGACGGCAGTGGCCTTCTGCCATAGCGGGCTCCTCCGTACCCGGGCAGGAGCATACCTCGACACGAAGTGGGCGACCGCGAAGACGACGACCGTCGCACAGAGGAAATACACAGTGTTGAGTGCGTAGACGTGGTCGGCTTCGTACCTGCATACTGTCAGCAATCCCCAATTCTTTAGGCTAATGGGAAAGAGGATAAATCGTACCAGTACCGCCAGTGCCCCCTCCGATAAGCGCACTGCTCGGGCGTCAACTTGCACGTATCCGCGCGGGAGGAATGCAGCATGACCGGACTATCGAGCCAGGGAATGCCACTTGGCTCATCCATGTCCATTTCCATGGAGTTGTGTCTGGGCGTCTTCACATTCATATGGTCCATGATGGCGGGCCTTTACCTGAACCACCAGGTCCGATGAGTACGACTTGAACGAGCTGTGCGACAGCAACAGCACCAGCAACAGCGACATGCCGATCAGAGCACGAGCACCGACTTATAGGAGCCGAGCAAAGGTCATCAACCACGTTTTTGGCAGACATGATGCAGCAGATGGCAGGCCGGGTCCATGGGCTGGCTGGAATGGACGCTGATTGGTGCGGGCCCGATGGGGTGAGGGCAATTGAGCACATTTTCGTTAGTGTCGGGCCAGTGCGTTGCTTGCAGACTGCTTTCTTTTTTGGTGTAATCATGAACTGATTCTGAATGCTCTGGACGTCTAGTTCCAGGTCGATGTTTCTTCGAGGGCGGGCTGGAGATTGAGATTGGATGGATTGTGTGTGTGGTGGCCTCGGGGATGGTTGCAGGGACGGACGGAGGACCGGGAGACAGCGGAACCGGATTAATGAGGTTCCTTCTTGAAGCAGATTCCTTTTCGTCGTCTCTTGTCTCCTTGTCCAGTTTCATTGGCTTGACATTACAGCCCTCTGGCGTCTGGACTTGCCAACTGCCACGCTAGGGCTGGCGCTTCTCTAGACATACGGTAGCAAAAACGACACAACTTCACTCTTCCACTTCGTCCACGAGAAAAGCTACAGACAGGTGCTACATCCGCCAGGAGTGGTGGGGAGTGCACGTAGGAATGCGTCCGACACAGTCCGGAAGAATGCACGCTCTTAGAAAGGCTTGATTAAACGTCCCAGCAACCATACAATTAATCAATTCGCCAGCTCAATCGGCACAGCCGGAACCGCTGCCTCAAGCTTCTTTGCATGGTGTTTCCCAACCTCTTCGACCCCTCTGTCCCCCCAGAGCCCCTGGTCCTTCAGCGCCTGGTATCCCCCGCGGAGACTATCGGCTTGGATACCCTGTGCTCTAAGCACACTCGTCGCTACGCGCGCCGTGTCTCCATGGTAGCAGATAACCAGGACATGCTGGGTTCCGAGTGAAGAGAGGACACTTTGCTCTTTCAGTAGAGACTCAAGCTCTAGCCACTGTGCTTCTAGCACGGAGGGGCTGGAGAAGGTTTTAGGTGTGTGGCTGGTAAGAGACTTCAGCGGGATGTTGACGGAGCCGGGGAGATGCCAGTGTGCGAAATCTGGCGCGGTGCGGAGGTCGAGGACGCAGGTATCCGGGCGGAGGGTGAGGTTGTCGAGAAGATTGTGCGAGGTCGGGGAGGTGTAGAAGTGCGTGAATAGGACGATGGGCGATCTTTCCCAGCTCTCGTCGTATCGGTGGAGGTCGACTTTCGTTAGGTTCTGGAAGGTCAGTAGAGCGAGGATAGAAAGAAGATGGGACCGACCTCATTCTTGATGGGATGGAACTTCTCGTCTCCCAGTCTGCTGAAGTACTCGCCGATATACTGATACGGCAAGTCACAGCAGAGGAAGACAGCATGAATCACACCATCCGGCCCAGCAATTTCAGCCAAGGTACCCTCCTTCTTCCGCTTCTCCAGCATCTGGAAGAGACCCTGCAGATTGAACCCCGACGACGGCCCACAAACAATCCCCTCCCGACACAAGTCCAGCGAAAGCGAAAACGAGTCATACGAGTTCACCTCCTCAATAACATCAACCGCCTCCTTCCACGGAAACTCCACGGGCCTCATAAGCGCAAACGACCGCGGCCCCGGAACCCGATCCCCAGGCGCCGTACAAACTCCCAACCGCAGAACCTCCGGCTTAAGCTGCTTAAAGTACGTCCCTAAGCCGGTCATAGTCCCCGACGTCCCCATTCCCGCGCAGAGAACAGTGATGGCCGGAAGCTGCTTGTATATCTGCGGCCCCGTCCAGCGGATATGGCTCTGCCAGTTCTTGTCGTTCTCGTACTGGTTGGGGTTGAGGATAGCGTCTGAGTCCGTGGCCATGCGGCGCGCACTCTGGATCCCGCCTCGCTCGTCGTATGGTTCTGGCTGCGAGGGCCCGCCGAAGAGGCTGATGTTAAGCCCGAAGAACTGCATGAGTTTCAGCTTTGCGTCGCTGGTCTTGTTGCTGAGGTAGGCGCGCGTGTCGGTGATGCCGTGCATTACGCGGGCGATCATGGACATGGAGATGACGGTTGAGCCGGAGCTGTATTCGATGATTGTCTTGGTTTTGCCGGGGGTGACGCTGGACTCGAGCATGTTCATTGCTGGTTCGGTTAGCTTATTCCTTAGGGGCTATGGGGAGACGCACCGGGCATAGCCTTGACGTTGTTGGCAGGATGCATCGTCATCATCTTTGCGTAGATCCGGACGCCATCGTTGTAGTAGGGGTTCAGGTACTCAGGGAGTTCGACCAGGGGCAGTGGTGGCTGCGAGTCCGGGTCAAAGTACTTCTTGAGCGAGTCCTGACCCAAGTAGACATTGAGTTCGTTAGAGTTGGGCATGCTGCACAGCGTCTGCAAATGCGCGAGATGCGTCAAAAAGCACTTGCAGGCAGGATGACCACGAGGGCACGGCCATATATACCACCACTCAGTGCAACCCCACGTCCACCCTCCAAGTCTGCAGGTCTCCTTCTCAACCTCGCCGTCCTCTTCCTCAACAAGCAAACCAGCCAAGCCGATCCACTGCCACCGTTGCATCAAATTGGAGATGGAAATACGTACGCTCGTTTATCCCAGCGGCAAGTGGCCTAACGTGATGAGCACTGCTGCAAAAAGTCATCCCGCGTGCTAGCCAGCAGAGGTGGATGACCGGAAGATCAAACTCAGTCCACAGGGTCCGAGGCCGATCCGAGACGCAAGGTCCTTGATTGACAGGGATTGAGACGGTGGTGAGGACCTTTGAGTCTGTTTGAGCACATTTGCGCCCGTCGATCCGCGGGACTGCCAAGGTTGGCCCAGCTGGAGGGTGTCGGACTGCAGTGCCGGATGGATTTATGAGCCAGTTCCAGATCAGGAGTCTAGGCGTCCTATAACTGTCATTCTGCTTCTTAGGTCCTTCCTGAGATCGAATCAGACAGTCCAGGTGTTGAAGATGGGTGCCTCTCGCCATGACTCCAACGAGCCCAGCACAGTCTCCGACCTCGAGGCATCTCCCTCCCATGTCTTCAACGAGCAGACCAACTACGTCCCTAGGAGGACAATCATCACCGTACTCTCCCTCCCCTCAGCCAGCCATCCCAGCTAACGCCACCAGATATTCCTCGCCTGCTCAACAGTCGACCTCATAGCCCTAATGGACCAGACAACCCTCGCAGCAAGCCTCTCCATCATATCCAACGCCCTGCACGCCAACGACAAAGCCGCCTGGATCTCAGGCGCGTACTTCGTGTACGCCTTCCCCCCTTCCTCCCTCCTCCCTCCTCCCTTCTATCCCCACTGCTAACAAGAGACCTCCCGGTGCGCACGGTAGAACATCAACAGCCTTCCAGCTCCTCTACGGCCGCCTCTCCGACATCTGGTCCCGCAAATCCGTCCTCTTCACCGGGCTGGCAATCTTCCTCCTCGGCTCGCTGGCATCCTCCCTCGCATCCACCGCGCCCCAACTCATCGTCTTCCGCGCCTTCACGGGCATCGGCGGCGGCGGGCTCATGACACTCGCACAGATGATCGTCAGCGACGTCGTGCCCCTGCGCGAGCGCGGCAAGTACCAAGGCATCCTGGGCGCTGTTGTCGCCATCGCGAACGGAATAGGCCCGGTCATCGGTGGTGCGCTGTCGTCTAGCTCACCCACTGGCTGGCGGTGGATATTCCGGCTGAACCTCCCGCTTACGGCGCTTGCGACGGCCGCTGTGTTCTTCTTCATGCCGTTGCGGAAGGTGCAGGGGGGTTGGAGGGATAAGGTCAAGGCTGTTGATTTCGTTGGTGGTGCTTTAGCGCTCGCGGGGACGGCGGTGCTCCTGCTCGGTCTGACGTGGGGAGGCGGGGAGTATGCGTGGGACTCGGCGCATGTAGTGTGCACGATTGCCATCGGCTTTGCGGTTTGCGTTTTCTTCGTGCTGTGGGAGTGGAGGGGGGCCAGGGTCCCGCTTGTGCCGATGGGGATCTTCAAGAGCGGGATTGTGGATGGGGCGTGTCTGACGATGTTCATTAACGGGTGGAACTTTTTAGTCCAGGTTTACTATATCCCGAGCTTCTATCAGGTGGTCTTTGGGTATGGGGCTGTTAGGGCGGGCGCTATGCTTTTGCCTGTTACTTTGATGCAGAGTATGTTTCTTGTCCTTCCTACTTTCGAGTCTTCGGTTGTGCTGCTGACACTGATGACTGGCAGCCGTTAGCAGCACGCTCTCCGGCCTCGTCGTGCACCGGGTCGGCCGGTACAGAGAGTGCATCCTGTTCGGATGGATGGTCTGGGCTGTTGGGCTGGGCCTGTTCTCAACGCTGGACGAGAACTCCGGCGTGGGAAAGCAGATCGGGTATGGGATCCTGACGGGCGTCGGTGTAGGGAATACATTGCAGCCGTACGCCATTTATCCATCCATTCAACATGCTCGCGAAGAATCGGATACTGATGATTGTTTAGGGCGCTGATTGCCATCCAAGCCGGCGTCTCAAGGCGCGACATGGCTGTCGTGACGTCTTTCCGGAAGTACGCCCCATTCCTGCATGTTCACTACTACCTAAAAACATCCTGCTAACCAAAATCCGCACGGATAGCTTCATCCGCAATCTAGGCGGAACCCTCGGCCTAGCAGTCGCGCAAACAATCATAAACAATCTCCTCGTCGCCTCGCTAACACCCCTCCATCTCCCACCAGCAGCGCAAAAGTCCTTCCTCTCCAGCCCAACAGCATACCTTAGCACCCTCTCCGACACCGAAGCGCAGCACGTCCGGAGCCTGCTGATACCAGCGTACAAGCGCGGGTTCCGGATCATCTTCATGATCGGGGCTGCCCTTGCGGCTGTTGCATTCTGCATCGCGGGCGCGCTGATTAGGCAGGTTTGTTTGGAGAAGGGGGATGAAGAGGTACTGAAGGAGGAGGGGAGGAAAAGGGTTCAGAGTGAAAGGGGGAGGAAGGGGGAGGGCGAGAAGGCCGCGGAGAAGAGCGCGGGGGCCGATGTACATGTGAAAGATAGGAAAGAGGTGCAGGGGGGTCGGGAGCAGATACCCTGAATGAAACTCGTTAGGGTACTACCCTTCCACTCCATCGACCTAGGTATGATTGCAGTGCTATTCAGGAGGCATTGCCACCAGCAGTCCACTCATCACGCATGGCGCCCGCAGTGGATGTCGGGACGGGTTGAAAGGGGGCATCTGCGAATGCCACTCGGGGCAATGTTTTGAAGGACATGGATGGAACGATTTCCACATATTGTTGCCAGGGAAGCAGGCCACTCACGGGGAACCAGACATGGGGGTCTGCATACCATTCTAAGCATGAACTACCCGCCTAAAGAAGAAACAAGAGCAAAATGTATAGAACAGAAATTGCTAATCATTTATATACAACCTTGGAACCCATATCATCATCCATAGTTTACAATTTAGCCTTGGCACCCTCCAGCAGCTCCGCACCGGCGCCTGAAATAGCCGGCTTGCCCGTCTCAACAACGGTAGTCTGGAAAAGAACGGTATTGCCCTCCTTCCACATCTCAGTCTTGAGAGTCTGGCCGGGTAGAACAACACCCGCAAAGCGAACCTTCAGGTTCTTGATGGGTCCGAACCTCTGGAAGACGTGCTTACCCGAGACACCGAGCGAGCAGAGGCCGTGCAGAATGGGAGTCTTGAAGCCGCCGACCTTGCTGAACTCGGGGTCGATATGAAGCGGGTTGCGGTCACCGTTCAGACGGTACAGCGCGGCCTGGTCTTCCGAAGTCTTCTCCTCGACGACGACGTCGGCCTTGCGCTGGGGAGGCTTGTATGCCGCGACAGCGCCCTTGGGGCGCTTGGCAGTAGGCTTAGGCGAGCCACCAAAGCCACCGCTGCCGCGGATGAAGACGGTGGATTCGTTGTAAAAGAGATCCTCGCCGGTGGCAACATCCTTGGTAGTGAAGCCAGCAACAACCAGGGCGGCGGCACCCTTGTCGATCACGTCAATGAGCTTGGGGTAGGTCTTGGTCTTGGCATCGGTGGGGATGGGGAATTTGCGGATCTCCATGTACTGCTCGCCGTGGAGGAGCATCATGGGAGAAAAGTCCTTGACGATCTCGTTCATGTCCCACGGGGTGGCAGTGTTGAACCAGGGGATGACACCAAAGGTGGGAAGGGCTTGGAAGTGCTCGTTGTTCTCGTAGACCAGAGGCAGGTCAGTGCGCTTGGCACCCAAGCTCAGGTTGTAGAGGATGATATCGCGTTCGGTGTAGTCGAAGGGGGTGCCCTCAGTAGTTGCCTTCTTGGCACTCTCAATCGCGGTCAGGATCTCGTTGCCACTGCCACTGCCCTCCTTGCTGCCGCCGCTTCGGTTGTTGAAGTTGGACATGACCTTTTCGTTGGCGGCCTGGATGTCCGTGGGGTGGTCCGCACGGCCGTCGTCGAAGTTGATGATCTTTGCTAGTTCGCTAGCAACAGCCTCGGGAGTCAACTTGACGTCAACAGGGAAACCGTGGCCACCGCTGCGCTGCCAGCGAGTGCTGCCGAACCAACCGCTACCACATTCGAACAGACCTTTGCTGGAGTAGGGCTCAGGGGTCATGTCGGAGCAGAGCAGAACCACCAGAGGAGCGACGTAGTCGGGCTTGAATGCCTGAACCATCTCCTCGGGCATAATCGTTCTGGTCATGTTGGTACCGGCGTTGGGGGCAATGGTGTTCACCTTGATGTTGTACTTGGCGCCCTCAATTGCCAAAGCACGGGAGAATCCGAGGATACCAAGTTTCTAATTTGTCAGCTCACATGCAAAATACAACATATAGAGGAACATACCGCTGCGGCGTAGTTGGCCTGGCCGAAGTTGCCATAGATACCGCTTGTGCTAGCAGTGTTGACGATGCGGCCATACTTCTTCTTGAGCATGTGAGGCCAAGCAGCCTGGGTGACCTTGTATGTTCCACGAAGGTGGATGTTGAGAACTGGGTTCCAGAGGTCATCGTTCATGTTGGTAAAGGCCTTGTCGCGCAGGATTCCAGCGTTGTTGACCAGAATATCGATACGTCCGTAGGTGTCGATGGCGGTCTTGACAACAGCTGGGCCATCTTCGCAAGAGGCCTTGTTTCCAACGGCCTCTCCGCCCGCCTTCTTGATCTCCTGAACAACGGGCTCAGGGTCAACAAGATCGTTAACAACAACCTTGGCACCGAGTTTGGCGAACAAAAGGCAGTAAGCACGGCCAAGACTAACGCGGTTAGCTTAGGCATAAATCTGGATTTAATGAACGTACCCGTTACCGCCACCAGTAACAAGAGCAACCTTGCCCTTGAACTCTGGCTCCGGCCCTGAAGGAGCAGGAGGGAGCTTCAAGCCATCCTCTAGGAGTCCCATAAAGTCGGCGGGTCCAGTGGGGTAGTCGGGCTTCGAAAAGTCGTTGACCTCATTCCACTTTCTTGCGATAGCGCCAGGCGTCAAAGATGCATCGGTCTTCAGCAGAGCACCCTTGGCACGCTCCCAGCGGAGCTTAGCCACATGGCCGCCGCCAATCTCGAAAATCGAACCGGACTCGGTGGTGTTGGATGAGTGGACCAGAGTGGCGACGACGGGAACAACCCACTCGGGCCTGAGGAGCTCCAGGACCTCTGGGGGCATCACGGTAGCAGTCATACGACTCGCGGCTGCTAACGTTAGCAATGCCCAGAACGAGAGAATGCTGACATACCAATAGGAGCAATGACGTTGGCAATGATGTTGTACTTGGCGCCCTCCTTTGCGAGGGTCTCGGTGAATCCGACCTGACCGAGTTTGGCAGCTGATTTGTTAGCTATTTGCTTTGCTTCTCGAGTCGGTATGCGGCGTACCAGCATAGTTTGCTTGTCCGAAGTTACCGAATAGACCAGCAGCCGAGGCGGTGTTGATAATACGGCCGTACTTTTGTTTCCGGAAATGCGGCCAAGCAGCTCTCGCGCACTGGAAGATCAGCCTACCAATCCCAAAACGCGAGAAGAACCAGTTCCCACCTTGTATGCACCGTATGTGTGTACTTTGTAGATCAGATCCCAATCCTGATCCTTCATGTTCTTGAAGCTGACATCCCGCAGGATACCGGCGTTGTTGATGAGGACATCGACTCGGCCAAAGTTCTTGATAGCTGTGTCGATAATTCCCTCGCCGTTCTCGACGCTGTCGTAGTTGGCCACAGCCTTGCCGCCAGCAGCTTTGATTTCGTTGACGACCACATCGGCGGCCTACAAAGAGCGCGAGTTAGAACCGAGAGATTATCGGCAAGCCGGATTGCATGTGACGGACTCACCTTGTTCGACGCGCCCTCGCCCTTGTGAGAGCCACCTAGGTCGTTGACCACGACATTTGCACCTCTTGAGGCGAAGAAAAGAGCATATGCCTTGCCCAAGCCACCACCAGCGCCTGTAACGACGACGGTCTGGTTGTCAAAGCGCAGCTCGGACATGTTGGTGACTGAAAGAAATGAGGGGACGAAAGAGTGGGTGGAGGATGAGCGGAAGAAGAGAATAGAGAAGTAAGGGAGGACTGAAATATAATAAACTATTCAAGGAAAGGTTGAAGGAGAAGAGTGGTCTGGGGAGAAGCGGGATCAAGAATCATGGAGAGGAAAGAGAATCTGGGGAGAAGAAGTGATGACGGTCGCCGTGCTCGGCAAGCTGAGTCGCTTGAGCCGAGGTATCTGGCTGACCCCAAGCTCGGTGCTTCTGAGCCCACGCGCTGCCGCCGAGCATGGCAGATGTCGCGGCTTCACATGCCGAGCGTCAGCTCTTACTGTCGACTCTTCTCTCCTTCTCCAATATTTGGCAAACTGGATCATACGCGTTCCTCCGCGGTCGCCGTCTCTTTGCTGTGATCCCGAAACGGTTAGCGTCGTTCATGTGATCCGAGCACCGAGTCGTCTTATGTAACCGGCCTGAGTCAGGTGACGCAGTGTGGGGTATCTGTCAGTGTCAGTTGGTCAACTTGGTCAAAGCTTCCCATCTTCTACTCACTGAACAGCTGTCCGTGCTACATAGATCAGTTGCTATGCCCCTATCGGCCTCGATTAAGGCCATGTCCCAAGCCGGCAATCACCCCGTGATCCCTTGCTAAAATTGGGTTTCCACGTCGTCTCTTCTACCCTGGAATCGACTGGCCAGGCGCTGTATGATGGATCTCAGAATGTTCTCGTGTACCGCGTTGTGCGCCCTTACTCTCTGATCTGTACTTAATAAGACGCAAGAATCGCCAAATCTCGCAGTTCAGAGGCGGCGTCAATGTCAATGTGGAGTTCGCGCAGACGCTCCGTTCGCTCGCCGGCAGCGAAAGCAGAAATCATGAAGGGCCTCGCTCCTGGGGCTGCTTCAGTCTCTTGCTGAGCACAGCAATCTACGGCTGTCCCCATCTGACCTGACTCAAGCCAACTTGATGGAGAATATGCGCGTCGCGATATTGGAAACCAGTCACCGCCGGCCAACACTGTGTTTCATGGTCAATTTGTGCTGGTACGCTGATGTCAACTCAAGTTACTCAACTGCGGAGACCCGCTACTTGATTATGAGCAACTTGGCCACGGATGCTCTCAGACGCGGGTCGGCAGGGGATTATCTGAATGTTCTAGCTGCTCACTTTCCCGAGGGTCGGAAATATTGGCCAATACAGGTGTGAGAAGGCTTTAAAAGCAGACGCCATAGTCTTCGTATGCTACGGGTATGTGACTCCCCTACATCTCCTATTAGACTATGATCCTGGCTCCTCAAAATCTTGGTCTGACTTTGAGGTAGGGAATGATTGGCAATGGTTTGCTCTTCATGTTGGGTATACTCGTTTCTGAACCAAGAGCACCTCACAACCCTGAATGGGGCTCAGCTGAGGTCCACAGCACGTAGTTAAGGGGAAACGTTCTCGAACCAAACTCCGGGGTACCACCAACGGATCTTTCCGGACCCTTATTCTGGGGCTGCAGAACAGATGAGCTTTCGTGGCTTCTCCGGATCGAAATACGTGTCTCCAACCCAGAAATCCGGGACGCCCCAACGGATCCTTCCGGGTCCTTATCCCCGGGCTTGGAGGATCCTGGACAGATGAACTCTTGGAGGCGCCTTCCTGCACTAGCTCGACAGGGGTCAATGGATGGTGATGGATCCGGACGCTCAGGGCACCGCGGGCACGGCCTCCACTACTGCTAGGTGCACTGCACTAGTGAATAGTGCCAAGGGCCAAAGCTTAGCATTCGGCAATGCTTAGCATCAACGGCTTCATTAATCGTTAACTTATATACACCAATAGGTCATACCCTCCGTCCAACCTCGAACTGCCCCAGACCTCCGCGTGCCTAGTAACAACCCCGCTGCTGGCAGCGACATTTTGCTGTGAAACATCACAATGCGAAACTTCTTTGCTGCTCTGGCAAAGGTGATCCGTGTAACGACTCAAGATCCTCCATATGGGATAGAACACTTGGACTCGCTACCTGTTATCAAATGCGCCTTTGCTCTGGGCTGCGGCCAATTAAGACCGGCCTGAGCGGTGCCCAGCGCATAAAGGTCTCTTCTACTGATTTTAGGTTGGATTTCGTTGGGGTAATACGCTGAATATAGCCTGTGTCACACGCTCGAGCAGAGCATCATCACGGCCAAGGCCCCAGCAAGGGCGAGCCCTCATCCAAAGGCTCGTCAGAAACTGCTTCTTCGGCCTCCCGCTGCTGTTGTTGCCGCCATCTCTCAAACCACTCCGCATATTCGTCCGGCGAGGCCTCACTCGGCTCACCGCGATTGTATTTATCAATGTCAACCACAAGAACAAGCTTCCGGATCCCGTTCATCTCTACCATGTGTTGCTGAATGCTTCCGTACCGCGTCGTCGGTCGGGATGGCGTCTCGTAAGAGTATTCGGATTCAGGTCCAAGTTCGCGGTGCGGTTCCCGGTCAGAGTATCGGTGTCGGGGCCGGGGTCGGGATCGGCGGGGCGCGCCAGTTTCAGCCTCGAGTTCGGACATTCTGTGGTTGAGTGCGGTTTGGCCGAGGCCTTGCTCGAGATCGAGATCATCGTCTTCTTCGTACCAGTATTGCTTCCTTCTGATGAAGAACAGGATCGGGACTTCGCAGAGCTGACGCAGATTCTTAGCTTATCGCGCAAGCGTCCATTAACAAGCGAAACCTACCTGCGACATCATACCAAGGGCGAAGGTCAAGAAGACGACCGCCCCCAGCATCAAGATGATGGCACCGTCCGAGTCCGGCACATGGAAGTGCCCGGGGTGTGTGGAGTTTGAACTTGACATCTCTTATCTACCCGTTAACTACGGCTTCCGGTTTCTGAGTGCGATATACATAAGCGTCAAGATGAAGGAAGGAACGAGAAAGATAATTTCGATAGAGAAAGTCACTACGAGGATGCCGACACCATGAAGGCCCGGAATTTTGACGATCAGAATTCCGAACCCTTTTTTGGGTTTTTTTTTTCTGTTTTCTCTTCCGACCAACTATCGACAAGAATGATGCACGTGGAGGCTTAGCACTGTAGTGGCAGCAGCTATCGTTTAGTTCTGCTTTAGTGGCATCACCCGCGTCGTATACTCCGTACCAGTCACCAATCCAGGCTAGTGGCTGTGCTGCTGAATCATATACAACTGTCATGTCCTCAAATAGGTTAAAAGAGCCCAACCCGGATTGACCCGGGCCCAGTCGTAGGAGATGCTTCGATTGTTGTGGCCTATCAACGCATCGCAAAGACGAAGCAAGGAGTTTCTCCGATTAGATAATCCCCTCTACCAACTCGTTACTCAGCCCGCTTAGCCACGGATTCTAGAGGGTCGTTTCTACTGATCAGTGGATCTCAAAGAAGCTTCGCGGGCCGGATCTTTACGGAAATGGGCGAGTTCTCCGGAATTCCCCCGCTGTCAGTGTCAGGCTGTCAGCATCACCGTGTCAGAAACTCGCAGTAGGAGTGGTTGCAGACTAGATAGACTCGCTCTAGCGCATGTCTGCATCTGGTTCGGAACCGTCTCTGGGGGCCGGCCGAGTCTCTCCAGGGTGGGGATTCTGCCTGACTCGAGTCGAGGGCGCCGTGCGGGTGGCCAACTACGGCAACTGGTCGAGTGACTCTGCTGAGACTACTCCCTACTCTGGCGTAGCATGAAGCTATATCCTCAGCGCTAGCAGACACTGGCCGGGATTGCGACACAGCCAGCCGGACGGAGGAAGATAAGACCAATCGGCCTCCCTCGCCGAAACCCAAATTCTCTGACTTGATTCTGACTCTGCCTGCCGACGCCGTCCTCCATCCATCCTCACCTGCCATCTTCCATCTTCACCAATTCATCTCCTCATCACCCTCTACATCACCTCTACATCATGACCGACCTCCAACTCACCTTCCTCCTCGCCGCCGCAACAGGCAACACCCTCGCCCTCGAGCAAGCCTACCGCACCAACACCTCCATCCTAACAGCCAGCAACCCAGAAGGCCGCTCGGCCCTGCACCTCGCCGCCCTCCACGGCCACACCGCCGTCGTCCACCAACTCCTCTCCTACGGCACCAGCGCCTTCACAAAGGACTCCGCAGGCCAGACCCCCCTGCACCTCGCCGCGCAAGGCTCCGCCCCCGAGATCGTCGAGCTCCTGCTCCAGAACGACTGCGGCTCCGGCTGCTCCGTCCGCGACAACACCTGCAAAACCGCCATCTTCTACGCCTACCAGAACCCCAACGAGGAGATCCTCGCCCGCTTCCAGAAATACGCACCCAGCTGTGGCTCCGGGTGCGCCCTTACCCCGTCGATTATCCTGGGTGGCGGCGGCGGCGTGGGCGCAACGCAATCGGATTACTTTGGGTCGGTGTCGGTGTCGGTGTCAGCGTCGGCCTCCTCCTGCGGGCGGGGGCGGGCACCCACGGAACGAACCGCCATCAGGTCGTGAACATGATTCGTGCTCATTCGTGGTTCGGCTTGAGTCTCGACCCCCTCCGTTCCCGATTTCGAATGTCCTTGACGTGTTGAACTTGATTTGTCTGGCCTGGCCCTCCGCCCGCCAAGCCCACCGCCGACCGACGCCTACGAGTGAGTCTGACAAGTCGGTCCGATCTACCAGCCTAATAATGCGCCATCCACCCATTACTATTCGCCCCGCCCCGGCCTGCATCCATGCAAATTGCGAGTCGCGAAATGGGAATTCTGAGAATGGTGCCCGCGGAACCCGCGACGCCGGGCCGACCGCACTTTTTATTTTTTGAGGGTCTTCTTATTTTCCAGCTGCGTCTCCCTATGAGAGACGGAATGAATCGAATGATAGCCATGGCTGCGACGAGAGGTCGCAACTTGCAATGTATCGCTTACCTCGCCTGACAGGACGGGGCTGTCAGGCTGTGAAGGGCTCATCTGGAGAACCATTGGGGCCCCCTTGTGTCGCGGGAGGTGTCCCAGCGGCAGCGACCGGCATTTTCTATGGCGTTATGGGCTGGCAGGGCTTTCGTTTTTAGATTTGGGGTTTATTTGTACTGGTTACAGCGCTTATTTGACGGAATCACTGATGTTTATGTAGCCTTTTCATGTATCAAAATCAGTCGGTCGTTTCCGTTCTATGCGTTCTCTGTTGAGCCAAAGTCTAATAGAAAGCAGGGCAGCATGTCGAGATTCTCCGGTTACTGCATGCTCGATCTAAGTCTATACTTTTGTGCTTTCAAAGAGAGATCCGAGCTTTTTGTTTTCATACACTCTTTTTCCTCAATATCTTGTCTACGGAGTATTCCAGGGCAAAGAAACCTCAGTCCAATAGCGCCGCGGAGGTATTCATGGCCGTTGTCATATGTGCTGTGTGCCTGTGATTGCAAATCCCTCCCAAATCCCAATGCTACATACCTTTACGACGTCAATATAACGATGTCTCATCTGAAACCGCCGTTGAAGTTTGCAAAAAGTACCAAGAACTACTCGGCAGAGAGTAGACCGACAAAGGCCCACCAGACGCCATGACCATCTGGCGTTTTGCATCCTCCGTCTTGGACAGTTGGACTCGACCCATCGCATCGGCGCCCAGCCCGTCGGAAATTACCCGAAAGTCTTGTTTCTTCCCGACCCCGAGTGCCAAAGCCAAACGAGCTCTTCGTATCCGGATAATCTCAAACGTGATAATATCCCTTTGTGACACACTGACACGTGTGCCTCACATTTTTCTACCCAACCTGCATACCCGGCGACGCGGTTTTCCGTAATCATCATTTCTTGCCTACTTAACGCAGCCCAATCGTGTCGAGCAGCCTAGCCGCCTGTTGTTCGATTCGTCCAAAGTAGCGACGTTGCGGGCGCGCCGCAGCAACGAAAAGGTGCATGCGGCCGGCCAGCCGCACACGGGCTATTTTGGACACTGACGAGTCTCTATTCAGACTCTAGAACCCCGCGGTATTATTGCAGGATTGTCTTGGTCCATCGGAACGCTTTCCGAGCTCTCGGGTTCCCAAAGTGCCCGCGCGGTTTAGAATTCGACGACGACAGGATACCATGCCGTGCCGTGCCGTGTGCTGCGCTGTCGGTGTCGGTGTCGGTGTCACTGCAGAAGATCCCGCGTCGTCGAGAATTGCGCGTTATCACTTGTCCCGTCCTCTATAGTAGCATTAGTAGACTAGACGACTCAGTCGATATGGTCAATATCCTTCTCCTTGCCGAGCGTTGTTTCGAGCAGGCCAGTGTGACTCGACGAGACGCCAGTACCCCCTCATTGCCGGCCACTCTTTTATCTTTGGGCTGTCGTCCTTGCAGAGGAGACGTGGGATCTTCTGTTATAGGCTCGATAGCTTTGGCGACAATGACTGCGATGCCGTCTTCAGGCAATACAGCCTAGTCCGAACGGGAGGAGTCGAGCAAAGGCATCTGGCCTCGTGAGGCTAGCAACGTGGACCTGGTCGGTGGGCTTCTCGTATGGGCCGTGCGCATCAAAGCAGTGACGGTTGGTCTGAGAAGAAAATATTATGAGTGGGGGACACAGACACAGTTCGTCCATGGTGCCGTGCAGGCCTGTAGTCTACCCCGCACACAAACAGATTGCCAGATCAAGTACCTATCTCAGCACAGGCCATCACCAGCAGACAAGTGCAAAAGAGCTGACTTGCCATTCAACAATACAGCGTCCAGATCTTCTTAAATCCCGGCAGATGTATACAGCAGGGTGAAGATTTCTCGGGCGAAACCCAGCCCATCCCCACACCAGTTCCCCAGCCCGGACAAACAAAGTCCGCCCGGTCGGACTTCCCCCGACGAGACACACTGGTATATCAACTTTCATCCCCACACGAACCTTTTCTTCTAGAACAGTTTCTGTACATTCTAGCCAAGATGCCCGAGATCTTCGACGACAAATCCGAACACTGCATCCCGTTCCTCCTCGAGCGCCTGAAAGCGCACCAGGCGCAGCACGGCGACGACCCCGCCAATACCCCGCCGTTTTTCCTCGGCCTGAATGGTGTCCAGGGTGCTGGGAAGACTGTTCTGGTATGACTACTCTTAATCTCTTCCCTCAATAGAAAGCGGAAGGTCAGTTCCTAACAACAATCGCAGGTCTCAACCCTCAACGCAACCCTCCGCTCCCCGCCATACTCACTGGCAGTCGTAACCCTCTCCCTCGACGACCTCTACCTCACACACGAAGACCAAGTGTCCCTTGCAAAGAACAACCCAACGAACCCGCTTCTCCAACATCGCGGCCAACCAGGCACACACGACCTCCCGCTCGCGCAATCGGTCTTCGCGTCCCTGCGCGCCGGCCGGCAGACGCAGATCCCGCAGTACGATAAGTCGGCGTTCAGCGGGCAGGGCGATCGTGTCCCCGTCGCGAAATGGGAGACCGTTAATGGTGAGGGTCAGGAGCAGATCAAGGTTCTGATATTCGAGGGGTGGAGTGTGGGCTTCCGGGCGTGGGATGAGGATGTGCTGCGGCGGAAATGGGAAGATGCGGTTAGGCGGAAGGAGAGCGATCCGGGGTATAGGGGGAGGCTGGGGCATGTGCGGTTTGAGGATGTGAGGAAGGTCAATGAGGCGTTGAAGGGGTACGATGTTTTGACCGAGTGAGTGTCTTGCATTCGAATTGAGTTTGGTGGGCGCGAGCTAATCACTTTCTACAGCCAGCTGGATGCGTTAATACATATGTATGCTTCCTTTTCTCAACCCGACCCAGGATTGTCCTGATACTGACTAGAATATCGCAGCGACGCCCAAGATAATTACTTCGTCTACGACTGGCGGCAAGAGCAGGAGCGGACACTCCGAGCCACGAAAGGAATCGGAATGACCGAGGAACAAGTCAACCACTTTGTTGATGGCTGTATGTCTTCCACATATTGATTCATGACCGATGAAGCGAGACTAACTGCACAGATTACCCTTCATATGAACTCTACAGCGAGACGCTCCGCGCAGGGGCATTCAAGCCGGTTCCGCACTCAACGACTGCAGATGCATCACCGGAGGGGTGGGAGGGAAAACAGCTTAGGTTGATTGTGAACAAGAATAGGCGGGTGCAGGAGGTTGTCAAGATATAGGGTAGAGGTGTGTGCGTCGTGCCATAGGTATATATATAATTGCCGATCTCCGGAGTACATATGCGAACATATATAGAGTCCTCAGTCTCTTCCGCTAGGTCTACGAGTTCAAGACATTGATATACTTTGATGGAGAGAATAATCAGCAGCAAGAAGTAAGACCATGAGTTCCTGTTCGCTTGGTTTCGAAGTTCATGACGCGTGTTCAAAGCGTAGTTCATGCGATGAGTCTCGAACTTAGATACCAGGAAAGAGGTAGGTTGAGCAGTTTAGGATGAAAAACGCATAAAGGGCACAATGCCTACAAGGACAGGGAACGAGAGATGTGAGCAACCTAAATGACTACAAGCTACGAGACTACGCGGATCAAGGGCGAATGTAAGTAAAAATGACTACAATTCAAACGCTGAAGGGTATAACGTGGACAATCATAACTGCTAGAAGCTTTTATATTTTCAACTCGGACTTCAGACCGTTAAGGCATAAATCCAGACCGCGACGCCTATCCCCGAGAAGAACAAATCTAGTTCATCTGGCGGATGAGGGCGTTGATGTTCTCCTCACGGTTACCAGTGTCACCACCCTGGATGAAGTGCTTGAACTTGCGGGTGCGGAAGCCACCGGTGGGGTTGGAGAGCTTGAAGGGCCACAGGAAGTTGTTGGCCTGCTTGAAGTTGGGGCCGACAGTGTAGATCTCGTGGATCAGATCCTCCATGCAGACGATGCCGTACTTGCCGAGGTGCTCCTCGATGATCTGGTTGTCGGTAAGAGCAACACGCTGCTTGTTGATCTTTCCGTAACCGCGCTTGTAGACGAGCTCACGGATGGACTTCAGGTTGGGGTAGCCGTAGGCAACGTAGGGGTTGATGATGGTAAGCATCTCCTGGGTAGCCTTGGTGAGCTTGACGAAGGTACCGTTGTTGATCTGGAGGAGACGGAGGAGCTGGAGGATCTTGCGGGGCTGAGGAGCGATCTTGTTGATACTGCGAATGGTTAGCACTGAGCTGCATGGTCTTGCCAGGTGAAATGCTTACCCCTTGATACGGACAACGAAGATCAGCTTGGGCTCCTCGGGAACGTAGAAGTTACCCTCCTGGCGAGCGACGCGGGCAAGGCGGATCTTCTCGCGCTCAGCGTTGCGGTAGTCCTGGACGTAGGACTCGGCGCGCTTGAAGATGACGGCGCGCTTCTCCTTGTTGGCCTGGAATTTCTGAGTTAGCGAATGCCAGTACAGAAAGTCAAGATAAAAAAAGCATGAAGCAATATTCTCAGCCCCGAAAGATGGTTAACAAAGCGACAGCATCGACTGGTAATCTAGTCGCGTGATGGTTGGTGTCATCACCGTATTGCAAAGGAAGGAAGAAAAAGAAAGCAAAAGGTGTACTCACGGCCTTCTTCTTCTGGGCCTCCTCACGGGCAACAGCGCGAGCCTGCTCCTGGCTCTTGCGCTTCTTGAGGAGGGTCTCAGGGACGAGGACCTGGTCCTGGGTGGGGACGGTGCTGCGAAGGTCAGTATAGTCCGTCACAAGTTTGAGCAATTCCGCCGAGTGAAAGAATTGCGGCTACAGCGCCACATTCTCAGACTGAAGGCTAAAGACAGTAGAACACCCGACAGAATTTTTTTAATCGGTGAGGTTGGTGGTTCAACAGACTTTGCTACTAATCACCCATTTTCAGCAGTGACCTTCGCAGTCATGTATGAACGTAGCAAGCCTCATCCGACAAGACCCCAAGCATAACGCTCAGGAAGGTAATGTTGACGCTGCTGTTAGACCTCCCAGACCCGCGAGGGCAGAGATGGCCAACGATAGCTCTCAACAATGGTTTTCAAGGAGAAGGCATTGCGCTTTCAACCTCAACACCCCATCCCAATTCTCAGTCCCATGTACCGCCTCCAACGTTTCCATTGATGCGTGCGCCAGGCGAGAAAAGGTCGCGGGAACGATCGAGCTGGTGCCTCCCGACCATTTCTGATCGGAGCATCTCCAGCGAGAAGGACGACTATAAACCGAACCTTGCAGGCTCATTGGATGAATCAACCCATAAGGAAGAGTTCAATAGCAACATACGTAGCGGTAGAGGCCATTGCGACGGTCCGTTGAGTTCGCGAGTTGGGCGGTTGGCGAAAGCTGTCGATGGGAAGAAGTCGAGGAGCGGAAATTTCAGAAGAAGAAGTCGTTGTGGGTTACCGAGAGCGCACTAGCCGTAGGCGGTTAGGTCCGCGCTAATGCCGCCTAGTCCCAACTCGGATGCTCTGCCCTTATCAGTAGGGCTGCTCTTATCAGCTGATACCCTCCGATAAGGCTCAACGGCATCATCACGGCCTCCGGACCCCGCAACGCCGCTCTCTCCGTACTACAGACGATCATCATGGCTTCTCGTAGGGGTGTTGGACTCGGCGCCTTTGCAAACCGCTCCCAAGCCACACAATCCTACGCAAACCATGGCGCAAACCTACGCTCAACGCATACTTCCTCGCTGCAGACCCAGCTCTCCGTATTCCAGACCCTCCTTCACAACTTCGCCCTAGAACATAGCTCAACGATCAAGTCCAACCCAACGTTCCGCGCAGAGTTCGCCCGTATGTGTAATGCCATCGGCGTCGACCCCCTTGCTGCTAGCAACGTAAAAGGCAAAAATGGACGCAAGGCCCTGGGCGACAGCGCATCCTTCTGGACGCAGATTATGGGCGGTGACATGAATGATTTCTACTTCGAGGTTGCTGTCCGTGTGGTTGAGCTATGCCGTGAGACGCGAAGTGAGAATGGCGGTTTGCTTGGTGTTGAGGAGTGCCGGAAGCGCGTCGGCAAGGGCAAGGCCATTGGAAGTGGACTTGAGGTTACGGAGTATGCAGCCCAAATCGGAATCTTCAAGCTACAAACATACATCAGCTAACGACGACTTTTTAACTCCAGCGATGACGTCCTCCGTGCTGTTAAGTCACTTGAACCACTAGGCTCAGGCTTCTCTATCATCCTCGTCGGCAACAAGCAATATATCCGCTCGATACCCAAGGAGTTGAATACCGACCAATCCACTGTACTCGAAGTCATACAGGTTCTGGGCTACGTCAGTGTCTCAATGTTACAAATCAATCTAAAGTGGGAAAAGGCTCGCGCACAAACTGTCATGGATGATCTTCTGGCAGATGGACTAGTTTGGGTCGATCTACAATGTGCAGAGAAGGAATACTGGTCGCCCCAGGGCCTCCTTGAAGATGCTGATGAGGGCTGATGCTCTTAAGGCCTATTGTTTTTTTCCAACTAATACCCGCTCCGATCTCTGCTGCGATATATCATTACTTGAGTGGTGATACCTGGTTCGTTGTCTCAAGACGTGACCTCACCCCTCAAACAACCTCTAAGCGGCGTCACTAGTCTCACGGCGAGAGGTATGCGGCGCCATAGGCGGCTGACGAACTCCAACATCTCGCCGTGCTGGAGGAAATCCACGCCCAACGAGGTTCTTCGTGATCCAGTGCCAGATAGAAGTCTGCATCAAACCTGGCTCGAATTCACTGCCAACCAACAGACGGCCTAGAAGGAGCATATCCACAACATATAAATAATTATGAAACTTTCAAGCTCCTGTTTTCTATTGGATTAGAAAAGGCCGGTTTTTACTTCGCTGCTACGGATATTGTAATTTCGGGTGTATGAAATGAGAGATTCAGTTAACTCCTCTAGCAGACATCACGCGTAAGAGCAAAGAATGATCGTACGTGTCATATTCCAATAAGAACATTACCATGAGTAAAGAAAAAAGAAAAGACATGCCATTATAAAACAACCTTATTTTATTTATGCCTTGATCGCTCCACCCAATGCACCACCACCGAATTGCTGACCACCGGGCCGGCGCTGGCCTCCACCAGGGAATCGGGGTCCACCACGACCCTGGCCACCACCTCGGCCACCGCGGCCGCCACGGCCACCAGCACCTTGGTCGCGCTGGAAGGCATTGGCCATGCCCTGTGTCCGTTGCTCGAGGGTCTTCTCGTTGGCCTCGAGGAGGTTCATGGACTTGTCGGCGAGGGTGACGATCTGGGACTGCAGGCGGGAGAGCTCGACGCCCTTGCGGAAGATGATAGCGTCGTTGACCTGGTCGAGGGCGGCGCCGAGTTCCTCGTGGGAGATCATGCGGCTGATGATAGCGGCGATCTTCTTCTCAGAGAGCTCGAACATCGTTGACAGGGTGGAGATGGAGAGGCTGTCGTAGAAGGGGGCGTAGGTGAAGAGGTATGTGCGGAGACCTTCCTCCTGGATCTGCTGGGAGAGCATCTCCTTGATCTTCTCTGGTTGCGGCATAAGGTCCCAAATCTTGATGGAGTTGAGCATCTCGGCGGCCTTCTTCCAGTCGCCGGCGGCAAGGAACTTGGCGCTCATGATGACGCCGTCACGGGTGTTCTCAGCGGGACCTGTGAAGACCTGTCGCTCGTTGTAGTCGAGCATGCGGCGGAAAGTCTTGGAGATGACGCGGCGCTTCATCTCGGGGGAAGAGGAGGTCTGGGCCATCAGAGGAACCTCAAGGAACATGCTGGAAGTAAGGTAGATGCACTCGAGCAGTTCAAGGTTGATGTGCATGTGGAATGGGAGTTGGCGTTGACGCTCGAGACGCTCCTGTTCGGGGGAGACGGTGGAGAAACGCTGGAGAATGATACCCTGGGCGAGAAGCTCCTTTTGACGTCCGCTACCGCAGATCTCGGAGAGGGTGTTCTGGGCCTCGTAAATAAGGCCAGCGCGGAAGGCACACAGACCAATCTGGACCAGGGTCCTGTTGAAGAGGATCTGGGAGCTGACGTCGAAGTTGGCGATGCTCTCGGACAAATGGGACATGAGCATGAGGTCACGAGCACGGTAGTACTGGTCGTGAAGAGCGAGGAAATAGATCTGAGCCAGCATAGCACGCGCCCGGAGGATACCGTCGCTGTTCTTGAAAAGGTAGTTGCATAGCGTCTGGACCAGGGTCAGGGCGTCCGTGTTACCACGGGTTGTGATGGAAGTCTCCAGCTCGGAAGGAAGGGCCTTCTCTGTGCCCTCCTCCAAAATTGTGACAACCTGAGAAGGCTTGAAGTAGACGTGCTCAAGTCTCCTCATAACAACCCGGTTCAGGCTGTCCTGGCGCTGATCCGTCTTCTCCATCCTTGTGAGAGCCTCGACGTAGATCTGAGTTCGCACAAGGTTAGCGTACAACTGCTTCTCATCACTCAGACGTTCAATGTATTCGGCAGTGTGAGGATCGATGTGTTGCAGAGACCGTGTGAGCTCATCATCCAATCTCTCGACGTATGAAACGATGCTTCCAGGGATGTAGAAAGTCTCGCCAGTGGCAACCTGAGGCTGCTTCTCGTCGTCCTCCCACTCCTCGGCACCTTCGCTAACGATGTAGTTGCGCTCCGTCTCAAGAACGGAAAGCAGGGTAGCCAGTTCTTGCTCGGCGGCCTTCCATTGGTCGACGCTCATGTAAGCAGCGGTGGATGTGGTAGTAAGGTCGAAACGGGTGGAGATGAGGGTGAGGTAGACACGGATGCGCTGGTAAGGGGTCTGGGCCACCTCCAGGAGCTTCTCCATGGTCTTGATCTGCTCGAGACGGTCGGTGTTCTTCTTTCCTCGTGACTCGACGATAACGCGGAGGTGCTTCAGGATACTCTCGGGGGTGTACTGGAGGGTCTTTCCGCCACGGCCAACGGTCGCGAAACCATCGTCGTCTCCGGCGAAGGCAGCGGGGGCCTCAACGCGCTCAAGCTTGCTCAGGCGAGGGGCAGCAGGGGCGGGCTTCTTCTTCTCTTCCTCATCCTCGCTCTCCATGTAGCCATCCTTGTTCGCCCGGTACTTCTCGACCTGCGCAGCATACTCCTTGTTGTTCTTCTTGATCTTCTGCTTGATGGCGTTGAAACCCTTGGCGTTGCTAGCGTTCATCTTCTTGTTCGACGACTTCTGCTTGGTGACGGCCTCGTTGACGAAATCCTCGAGGTCCGCAACGGTCTTGACGTAAATCTTGGGAACGGGGCCGGACTGGAGGACCTTGACGATCTGACGGTTCATCTTATCGAACTCTAAGCATCTCATTAGTACCAAAACTCATTTCCCCGCTCCATCTCACGGCTCAAAAAGCGCAAGTCATCCAAAATCCGAATCCACGCACCTGCTGAGATAACCGCCCAGTCGTTGATCTTTTGGGCATTATCGATCAACTTGATCGTGCTCTCGAGTTCCTCCAGTCGCTTGTTCTTCGCACTCTTGACGACCTTGACCACATCTTCCTCCTCGCTTTCTTCGCTGTCGCTCACATCCTTCATGAAACGGTTGACACCGGTTTTTCCAGCGTCCTCATCCTCAGAGGACTCCTCCTCCGAAGAGGCGTCCTCCTCCTCGCTAGATTCCTCCTCGGACTTCTCGACCTCGTCATCGCTGTAGAGCTCCTCCTCGTCGGAGCCGCTGGTGTCGCTGTCGCTGTCGTTGCCGTAGAAAAAGCGCGACATGATTGCGGTTGGCCAGGTGAAACGGCGTGTCGACTTTTCGCGGGGTATAAGAACGTCGGTATCGCCGGCCGTAAAAGGGTGCCTGGTTGGAAAATCCCGTTGTGAGGATTCGTAGCCGCAGCGGCGTTGGGAATCGGCGGCGAGCCACACAAATTTAAGCGAGCCCGCGCCTAACCGCTTTAGGCAATTGGGATCCCCGGCCCCGGGGGAGCCCGCCATATAACAAAGACTATAGCAGTCTAGATGCCATGGAATAATCAGTCCTTGGGTAATCGATTTGGAAGCTTGCTCAAGACGTGACTGTTGTTTTGCCGCTCAGCATTTTGTGGAGACTGTGCTCGAGTTAGAGCGGCTTGTTCAAGTCGGATTGCTCCCCCATCGGAAGCTGTTTCCTAGAGTATACTCAATGTACTCACAGTCAATGATAGAATGACCTTTTGTCCGCAGTCATCATGTCTGGTATACTTTATGTGAGAGAGATAAGAGTGGAGTTCTCCGGTTGTCCTGTCAATCGATCCAACTACTGTGGTTGGTGGTCCAAGCTACTAACTATATATTCCTACACTTACCGATAGGATCGGAAATCGCAGAGCCATGCGATCAGCTACTTCGCTAGGCAAATAGTAGAAACATGTATAATCCCAGTTCTAATTATATACATTGCGCGTGAAATTCTCGCTGAACTCAATCTATGCAAATCACCGAAGTCAAAATGTTCCATCTGCTACAAAAGGCAGGAAGGATACTTTTCAAGACACCGATGGACTGCGTACCCAGTTGAACCACAGTTTCTGGGTCAAGCTGAAGTCTGATCGGGGTGGCCCTGGTCACTGATTGGAATATCCTTACCAGCAGGGCGTTCCCTCAGCCGCATATCCAAGGAAACCAGTAGACAGAAGTGAGCTTCGGCACAACTGGCATTCTGGACTTGTATCCAAGCTAGGTATAGTACTGCTGTCCCCTTACCCACGGGGAAGAACACGAGGGAAGCAATAGTAAGCAATGCATGGAATAAAACACGTAAACGCATACATGAGCAGCTAAATCGCTGTTCGAATGGCAAGGATGCAAAAAGAAAATAAAGAAAGGAGCATAAATGTAACACAGCAGGATAACGAATTGCGGTCTTCCCAAGTCCTGATTATGCCGGAAAACCAGCGTACATGAACCTGAGGCGGATGGTGATAATGATGCCGGGATAAGAACCCGGGTACAAGGCCTCCAGTGATTGAAGAGCCTGAATACACCGCCGTAAAGAAATGCTTGAGACTCGCCAAGACCCAGTTGGCAGTGGTCTGCGGATTGTCACGGTTGTTGGAAGACGTAGATCCTCCTTCCCCACGTTGCTGGCCCCAAGTCTCCCTGAAAATTCTTCGGCCACAACGAATGCGCAGCAATAATTGATACGGCACCAATCCTGGGAGCGTCTAGAGCGAGGTCAACGACTAAGGAACCCTGTGAAACTGGCCGAGTTCCATGTGGCCACGTATTCATGGCAGCAATCGGAGCGACACTGCGTCCACATCATCTGTGGCTAACGCATATGGAGCATGCTCGTGCCCGACGAAAAGAGAAAACGCCTAATATACGACTCTTGCGCAACCTTCATCTCGTGCTCGACAGCATGCAATTTTAATGCCATTGGTTCTGACCCATGTAGCCATCTCCCAAGACGCCGTCCTCAAGAGTACGTATAAAATCTCGGTTTCGCGTTCCACCAACACGGCTTCCTCGCCGCCTTTGATTTGCAGCATTGGGGTCAGCATATCCATCTGCTGGCGGAGGGTAGTAGGCCGGGCTTGGCTGCAGCCGAATAGGCGCGTTAGGGTCAAGGTGGCTTGCAACTCGTTGTATAGTAGGTGGGACCCCTTGGGGATCCATCGTTGACGCACGTTGACGGCCAGCCCTCGTAGTCGCTTGCGCATAAAGACTTTGAGAAGGCCCGTACTGATTTTGCGGCATTTGACCCGGCATAAGGTTCATTTGGTGGCCGTACGCTGGTGGCTGTGTGGGATAAGGCGGAGGAGGTTGCTGGTGCCCCGCATACATCCCTGTATACATTGGTGGTGGTTGTTGCGCATGCGTCGGAGGATGATACTGGTTCATTTGCATGGTGTATGCGCTTTGTGCGGCAGATTGAGCATGCGCCGCCCTTTGCTTACTTGCGGCTTCCGCTTGCTGCTGCTGTTGGATACCGGGCGGGAGAGTCTTGTTAAGCGATGAGTACTTCAAATTCATCGGGGGCACAAACGGTCCTGTGAATTTCTGTTGCGTGATAAATGGATGCAGCTTGGCTTGTTGCGGCGACCAGCGTTCTAGGGGGTTGATTGATAGCAGGCCGCGGACAAAGTCAATGAAAGCAACACGGTTGTTGACCTCTTTAGACGCTGTTAGTACCGAACCAGAAATGCAAAGTGTGACCCTTACCTCTCTCGATCTCTGCCTGTTTCATGTTTTTTCGAGGCATTGGGTAGCTTCGAATGATCTCTTCCAATGTCGATGCCTGGAAGTACTTCTTGCTGGGTTGCTCTTTCGTGTTGTGCTCTCGGGAATATTGTTCCAAGCTCTTCAGGCGGTAGCTCTTTCGCCCAAACTCGTCCTGAGTCTTCTCGAAGAATTCACCGGATTGTTTGCCCATTTCTAACATCCAGGTTGGTGGTAAACCTAACATCTCCACAATACGGCACACTTGATTGTATTCGGAAGAACCAGGGAACAACGGCAGACCCAGGAAAAGCTCAACGACGATACAACCGAGAGACCACATGTCGATTGCAGAAGAATACCTGGAAAGGAGTTAGCTGAGAACCGTTGACAGAGAATGGCTATTCTTAGTCGCGTACGGTAATCCGAGAAGTACCTCAGGCGAGCGGTAAAACCTGGACTGGATATACGTGTAAACAGTTTGTCGTTCATCACAGGCAGATCCGAAGTCGATAACTTTGATGATGGGGCTTTCAAGACTGTAGGACCTTTGTTAGCCTCCATCTTGCAATATTCAGAGGGTGGACTGACTTTTTCAGTAAAATATTCTCCGGCTTAAGATCGCAGTGAATCAGGTGTGCCTTATTCAGAAGGCTCAGTGCGTTGAGCAACTGCTGTGCGAAAACGCGTACAAGGGTGGTGCTTAAGCCGCGGAACTGATTCTGCTTGATTAATTCGTACAGGTTAACGCTGAGCAACTCGAATACCAAGCACAGATGCTGGCGATGGATGAAAGTATCTTTTAGCCGGAGGAGGTGGTGATCGTCATTTTTGTCGTATCTGCTGTTGAGCTACGGTGAAGAGAGTGAGCAGATACCCAGAGCCATGATTTCATGATTACTCACCAGATCCAACACCGATACCTCCATCATACTCTGATTGAAATAGGCAGTCTTGTTCTTGATGACCTTAACGGCGACGACCTCCTGCGTCTTGAGGTTCTGGCACTTGACGACTTGCCCGAAGGTACCCTGACCGAGTACATCGAGAATAAGATAGCGATTCCTAGAAAGCTTGTTAGACTGGGAACGGAATCCTGAATTAACGAATAGAGTGGCTCACTTATGCCCTGCCTCTTCACTTCCCAAAATGTCGTTGACATACAGAATGTAGTCGCTGTCCTCATTATCGTAGCCGTCATTCTTCACCCCTTTACTCGGTTTAGTGAGAACTCGGCGAGGGTTTCTTGATGACTCGTAATGAAAATTCGGGTTGCAGATCCGATAAGTAGCCGGAAGATAGTTTGTCAATGCTTGAAGTGGCTACAGAGTGTCAGGGTCAGAGCGTTTAGATTGATCGGATGAACTTACGCTGATGAAGCCTCCCTCTGGATTAGCACGCCGGTACGCAGGTTGAGCGTTGATACGGGGCTGAAGGTCCTGTATCGACTTGAATTTCTGAAACTTTGGCACAGGGCCTCGTCCTGGTTGCTGAACGGCTCCAGATCCCGTGCGCGCTTGTCGGCCATCTTGTGCGAACGGCGAGCTGAGCTGGGGCCCTGATGATGGCCCGAAGAACTGATCGGGGCTCATGTCGGTGGGCTGCAGTGGGGGTAGCCTCGGTGGACGCGAACCAGCTGCTGCATATTCAACATTAGCCGCTGTGGACAATAAGACATGTTTCCTCACTAGGAAACATTATACTCACAAGACGGTGACTGAAACGGCTGGGGAGGCGATGAGTAATTTGGTGCACGAGTTGGGGATTGTCGAGAGGGATGCGCTGCGGGCGGGAAAGCGTAGGAATTGCCAGCCTTTCCAGGGCTTGAGTTGTAGGGCAGAGTCGGCGACAGAACGTTCATTGGAGAGTACCTGCGGGCAGCGGAAGACCCTTCGGTAGGAAAGTACTGCGAAGACGGTCGGCTCTGCTGATTAGATCGCGTAGGATATTTAGCCCGGTTATATGGATCCGCATCTTCCATGATGGCATCCTGATCAGTGACATAATCTCGGGTATGTGGTGTAGCAGTCGGAGACGAGGCCATCGAGGCCGATTTGGTCGAGGGCGCTTTCGCAACGATGCCGGGGCTCTGAAAAGGCTCGTAGGTGTAACCAGCCGGGGCCTGCGCTGATTGTGGCTGGCCGTTATAGGTTGAGGGCAGCTGTTGGGTGTTCGGATTCGACGTCAACCCGTTGTTGTACTGCGCAGGACGACCCACCAAGGGATCCTTATATGGCTGCCACTGAGAGTCCATTGTCTGCTATATTCTTCCACAAGCGCCGGCAATCGTGAGATTTGAGCCAAAATTAGGACGATCGCCTGGGAGTGTCGATAGCGCGCATGCACTGCGATCGGGAAGGATACGTAGCAGCGGGGTGGTGACTTGACGACGAACGCAGCGCAATCGGGCGGAGACGACGTGGGACGCGGGACACGGGCGAATCTAGGTACACTCCGAGATGTCGTAAGGCAGAGCGAAGGAATTGGCGATATTTCTAGACTGTGCCGTGTTTCATTATCTTCGAAGGATCGAGAGATGACAATCTGAAGTTAGGACGACCGCCGAGCATGTGAGGTGGTGAGGGACACGAGATGGGCGGTCGCAATCCACAATCGTCAGGCCTCAGAAGGGGCTGGGAGATCAAGTCAAGTGGAGAGTGTCGACTGCTGGAAGTCCCGGAGAGAACGGGAAGCCCAGCCAGACGCTCACACACAGGATGACGGCACTTCTGAGATGCTGCCGGAATAGAGTCGACGAGGAGGGGAACGAGAGGGAGGAGAGAGATCAAGAAGACGTTCGTGGAGGCGGAGCGATGCGTGATTGTGAAGTTGGAATCTGGAGGCCTCAGGCCGCCACCGACAGTGGTTCCTTTTGCCAGCTCACGGCCAGACTCGCTGCAATAGGCTGTTTCTCCGACGGAGTCGTCGTCGTAGTCGTCGTTGCTGGTCTCACAACTCTCGGTACATATACAGAATATAGTGGATGGAATTGAATAGTGGCGTGAAGAGAATGCGGTGTTAATCAGAAGGGAGAGCAAGAAGGCAGGGACACAATGATATCAACATCAGGCGTCCAGCGAAACTGTTTTGATTGCAACTGCCCGGAGCAAAGCTACAGCCTACGCAGATACGTAGACTAGGCTATGGAGTAGACTACAAATAAAATTGATCAAATACCAGTCTGCTTGTCCGTCGCTTGGCCCGTCTCTACCCAGCCTCTTGGACGATCTCGCCGCCGTATACTTTCAGCTGCCCCTTGAGTCGCGTAAATTGCTACCCAATTCACGTCTGAGTTCACCACTTGAATCTGTCCAAGACTCAGGTTCAAAGTCATCTATCCCTGAGCAGGTCCGGCATATTTTCAGTCCACACAACGCTGGAGGTGGCGCTAAACAGAGGTCTGGCCATTCTGCTAGCCACAATTCCGTCACTCTGCAGTGCGGCGCAGATGCTTCTTGCCCTCGAGATCTCCCAAAGTGATCCCAAAAGCTTCACAGACTTCGTGGCAATCCGAGGGGCATGCATCGCCCATCGTGCGTAATCCTTCCTGGCCGCAATTTGCTGCTCTAAGAATAATAGTGAAGTCGGGTGTGACGTGGGCGGCAGGCCGCTCAACGCGTGGGGCGATGACTAATGTTATTCTGCCAGTCTCCGAAGGCGGTGGGCAGCAGGCTACACTCCGGATGGTCAGGTAACAGTGACGAATGACGATACGCATCGGGGAGGAGTCATTCAAGTCCATAGCAAGCTATCTCAACACAATGTTCGTTCTTCAGGACTTCTCTCAAACGGTAGCCTGTGAAGTGCGCATACTGTGGTGATCAAGGCCGGGTCCCTCGAGAACCGATATCTCTGCCAAGGACTACGGTACCTATTCACTGCTTTGTTACAACGGTCTTACCGGTACTATAGCTCAGTATTCATGCCATCATCGGACACACTCACTATTGGCCCTTTCCCATTCATAACACAACCTATCGATCATGGAACAGAATGTAAAGAACGAGTCAGAAGACTCTTCGGAGACACTTGGTTCGGAGAATAAGATGCAAGAAGCTTCCCTCGAGGCTACTTCTCCGCCTGCGGACGGGTCAGCATCGACCCAGGATGCCTCGGGGCCTGCAGATGAAGCAAGCCGGTTAAAAGAGCTTCAGGCCGATATCCGCGATCAGGATGCTTTGGAGAGAGACATAACGCGTCAGGTATATTCATCCCATCTCAGTGCCCATTATGCATTAACAATGACTGTAGGCCGATCGACTGCTCATGGAACAGGCTGATGAGCGCGATAGCAAGAGACTAGATAGGACGCGGCAGGAAAAAGAGTAATCGCCTCACCCGTCTTGTTTGTAGCCTGTGCTTATTCTGCTCGCTTCAGGAAACTTGAATCGCAAATCCTGAGACTACACCAACGACTAGCACAACCAGTTGGGACATCAGCTCGGGTGCGTCTTCAACATGATATAGCAAAACTGGAGGAGCGCAATGCAGCTCTTGCAAATGATCTCAAAGAGATCCAACAGCGTATCGATGAACGGCGTCAAGAGCAGGAGACTAACATGGAAGCAAGTGGGACAGGGAGAATGCCCAACGAGTCTCGCAGAGACTATCTTATAAGAACCGGAAAGATCACGCCATTTTCACGTATGGGAACTGGTTCGAGTGCAGGCCCTTTGGCTAGTCTCCAGGATGCGCTCATTGATGCCGAGGATGAGCGTGATGAGTTGGAAGCCCTCGAACAGGTGAAAGCGCGGTCAGCCGTCTCCCACCGCAACCTACTGCGCCCCGATTTTGGCTTCGATGAGACGAGCGAATCAAGCGTTGCCGAAGAACCCTCTGCCGAGCGCCCTGTAAAGAAAAGGAAGCTAGAAAAGAGGCGTCAACCGAAAAAGGTTTCCATCAAAGCGGAAGACTCAGATCTCGACATGGAAGCGCCTTCGGATGGCCATGTATCCGAAGATCAGGATGATTCGGCCAGTTATGTTGAATACAAGGAGGAGGAATCCTCTTCCGAAGACGATAACGATTTTTTGACTGCAGAGAAGCCAGTCCATGCTAAGAAGACGAAAAGCAGCGATGACGTGGAGGATCTCAGCGGGCTGGATGACGGTAATGAAAAGTTATATCAATCTAGGCTCCAAACTTGGGTCACCCGACGAAGCGCTGCTCGGAAACGCGCCCAAAAGTCCCGTCAGCCAGACACGACTCAGGGTCCTGACGTAGATGAAGCAGACACCGAGATCCCCGAAGACGAAGAGTGGTTTATGCCCCATCCGACTGAGCCAGACCTGCACCTAGACAATCGCTACCGCGTCCCCGGTGATATACATCCACTCTTATTTGACTACCAGAAGACTGGGGTCCAATGGATGTGGGAGTTACATCAGCAGCAAGTGGGAGGTATCATTGGTGACGAGATGGGCCTGGGGAAAACAATTCAAGCAATTTCATTCCTGGCCGGCCTCCATTATAGCAAGAGACTGACGAAACCCATCATCGTCGTCTGTCCGGCCACTGTCATGAAACAATGGGTCAATGAGTTCCATCGCTGGTGGCCGCCATTCCGTGTTTCTATTCTGCATACCTCTGGTAGTGGAATGGTAAACATAAAGAGTGAAAGCAGCCGCGAGGATGCACTTATGTCTGGGACTTACAAATCAGGTGGTTCTAGCAGTGGCTTGAAGGCGGCGAGAAAGGTTGTCAAACGGGTAGTCGAGGAAGGGCATGTGCTTGTTACGACATATTCTGGCTTGCAGAGTTATGCCTCTCTTCTGATACCCGTCGAATGGGGTGGCACGATCCTTGACGAGGGCCACAAGATTCGCAATCCCAATACTTCTATTACCATGCACGCTAAAGAGCTTAGAACGCCTCATCGGATTATCCTTTCAGGAACGCCAATGCAAAACAACTTGACAGAGCTATGGTCGTTGTTCGATTTTGTCTTCCCAATGCGTCTCGGCACATTGGTAAACTTTCGAAATCAGTTCGAGTTCCCGATCAGGCAGGGTGGTTATGCGAACGCCTCTAATCTACAGGTCCAGACGGCTGCTAAGTGTGCAGAAACCCTTAAGGACGCCATTAGTCCGTACCTCCTGCAACGGTTCAAGATGGACGTAGCAGCTGATCTGCCCAAAAAGAGCGAGCAGGTCCTCTTTTGCCGGCTTACCAAACCGCAGCGGCAAGCATACGAGGCATTTCTGGGCTCTGAAGAAATGCAATCTATTCTAAGAGGCCGAAGACAGGTGCTCTACGGGGTTGATATTCTGCGAAAAATATGCAATCACCCGGACTTGCAGAACCATAAGCTGCTTTACGCAAAGCCGAACTACGGAAACCCTACGAAGTCGGGTAAGATGCAAGTAGTGAAGTCGCTGCTTGAACTGTGGAAAGACACGGGCCACAAAACCCTTTTGTTCGCACAACATCGGATCATGTTGGATATTTTGGAGAAATTCGTCAATTCTCTTTCTGGGTTCAATTACCGTCGTATGGACGGCACTACACCCATTCAGCACCGGCAAACTATGGTTGACGAGTTCAACAAAGACCCTGATTTGCATGTTTTTCTACTGACCACTAAGGTCGGCGGCTTAGGCGTCAACCTCACCGGCGCGGACCGAGTCATTATCTACGACCCTGACTGGAATCCTTCGACTGATGTACAAGCCCGGGAGCGTGCGTGGCGACTGGGACAGAAGCGAGATGTGACCATTTACCGGTTGATGACTGCTGGAACAATCGAGGAGAAGATATATCACCGCCAAATCTTCAAGCAATTTCTGACCAACAAGATTCTAAAAGACCCCAAGCAACGGCAGACCTTCCAAATGAGTGACCTGCACGACCTCTTTGCGCTAGGTGAAGAAAACCAAGGCCCAACAGAGACTAGCAAAATCTTCAAGGAAGCTGAAGTCACTTACGAAGAGGAGAATGGCAATGCTTCCTCAACAGCACACCAGGATAGCCACCAGCGCGATGTGCAGGCTGAGAAACAAGACATTAGCAAAGTTACAGGAGTCGCTTCAATAGAGCAGTTTCAAGGTGGACCCGAGCAACAAGCGAAGACGGAGCCAGGAGAACCTGGCACAAACTCCGAGTCACGCTTGATGGAAGGTATATTCGCCCGATCAGGCGTCCACTCAGCTGTTGAGCACGACCAAATCGTCAACGGCAAGCGTGTGGTCAAAGCAGACCCCAAGATAATCGAAGCAGAAGCAAAACGAGTAGCTGCCGAAGCCGCAGAGCAACTTCGCCGCGCAGGCGAAGCCGCCAAATCCGTCCCCATCGGAACGCCTACATGGACCGGTCAATTTGGCGTCGCCGGAAAGCCCGAGGAATCGCCCATGCCCATGCGGGGACCATTCGGCGGACGTAGCAGCACAGCCAGACGCGCCTTGGCCGGTCCGTCGTCGGCAAGTATCCTCGCTAACCTTTCATCTCGTACGCCGCCATCTCGAAGCGCCACGAATAGCCCTGCCCCGGGGAATGAGCCCAGTGGGAAGGACTTCATCACGATGATTCGGGATTTCATCACAACTCATGGCGGATCGGTTTATACGCAGAATCTGATCGACCACTTCAACCGGTATTGTACCACTCCTCAGAAGTCGGCCGAGTTCAAGGAGATGCTGAAGCAGATTGCTGTGCTGGATAAGGGAAGAAACGGTCGGGGAAAGTGGCAACTCAAGCCTGAGTATGTCAAGGGGAGGTGATTTCTCTTCTTTCTCTAGGTTGGCTTTATGATTTCTATACCATAATGGGTGCCTACTGGGGTTGTATACTAGCTCAAGGCATTTTTCATAGACACTAGGTAATAGATTGTCTTATTTGGCATGCCGACACGTCACTCGGTTTCAAAATATATCATGGCTTCGGGACTCGATCCGATGTTGTAGTGGAACCCCTGGGCCGCAAGTCAACAGAAATAGAAAAACAGGTACCAATGATGTATCGGGAAGTTAGCCAAAACACGAATGATGTCAACGGATTGCCTGATCATCATTCATCAGACCATCTGTTTCAGTCTAGCACTTGTATACTCGGGGGAATAAAGAGAAACAAAAGCAAAAAAAGGTCTCCCCGACTGGGAGTCGAACCCAGGTCTCCCGCGCTTGTTCTTGCAAGAAGTGACAAGCGGAAATCATGACCGTTAGACCATCGAGGAATTGTTGTTTGGAAAGGCCAAATTATTAATATGTGTCCGTTTGTTCACATACTAAAGGTTCTCCTTTGCTTCGCATGGGTCTGCCGATCATCGACCAATTGCCCCGATCTAATGCGGGATGTCTCAAGCTAAGGCCGACTAAAAAAACACATTTCTCACATGGCCAATGGTCAATTGAACTGTTCATGAGCCCATGATCAGGGTGAGCTATGATGTCTCTCCATCTATGCATGGCGCACGCCTGTCTCTCATCGGATACTCTATCTCGCACCAATCACTTTGTGATCGCCCATAGGTACCCTGGAGTAGATGACGATGAAGCTTGCCCATCTTTATCAAACAATCCATATTCCATAGCAACCAGTGTGGACCTTGTGATCATCCCACTCACCTCTGCTCCAGTTTTCCTCCTCACGGTCCAGTAACAATGTCTGAGCTTGGGCCGGTTGTCAACGATCAAAACAACACTGTCGTTTGATGCGGAAAATGATCGCCCTTCGTGGTTGTTTCGTTGCTTGATGCCAGGATCAGTGCAGGGCATGTCTCAGTTTGCCCCTCTACTCCACAAATCATTGTGATGCCACTGGAACATCGAGCACGAACCTCTGGATAAGTCCAGGATTAAGATTTCGGCCTCGTTATTCCTCCACTCCAAGCTTTGGGCTGCTCTGATGCGGACCGAGAGCTTGATTTGCCACTTCCCGTTGATAAAGCTGGTGACTTCCCGCCTTGTCACACTGTCTACTCAGAAGCCGAACCAGCACATTCTTTGGGTATTCCTTGATTCCCAACGCCTTGTTTTGTTTTTATTCCCAGCCCTTTCGTTAAGATGAAGTTCTTCAGCACACTCTCGCTATTGATCGGCGCAGCCTCCGCCGCCGCGATCGCCGGTCGCCAGGACAGCAAGACCCCCGATACATTCCACCTCAAGACCTCAGACTCCGAGAACTCCGCCCACAACGACCTCTACGTTTACGGATACCATACTGGCGCTGGTCTCAACGATGCGGTCCTTACGTCGGATATCGAGACAGCAAGCAAGGCCTACCTGAACGGCACCACTGTCCTGTTTGACTACAACACGAACTTCCCCTGGGGCTTGGCTCCTGTGGGCGTTACCAACTATGCCGGTGAGTCTGGCAAGCACACCAGTAATTTCATGCGTACTGACAACGTCTCCAGCATGGCAATTTGTCCAGATCAACGTCGGACCCGGCCAGGAGGGCTTCTCCATCAACGGCACTGGCTTGCAATGGTCGGAACAGAAGGGATTCGGTGGATGGCTAGGTAAACCAGTCACGATCTCCCGGATGCCGTATAGCTGCTAATTCGATATCTTCTAGTATGCGACTGGTGGCACAACGAACCGCAGCTTTTCTACATCTACCGATACTACGATGCGAAGTACCCCGCCTCCTGCAGCGAGGTGAAGCTTGTGACGGAACCCACTGCGTGAACCACGTTATGACTCTTGCCACCCGTCAGAATTTCGTGGATCGCAGAGATTCGAGATTTGGGAGGCTTATGACGCGCGTGGCGGGTTGATGATTCATAAAGTTTGAGCAAAGCTTGTCCGCGGTGACTGGTGAAGCGTGGCCGTGGTTGCCATATGCCCCGGCCGTGGATGTCTGGCCCTGAGACGAGTGTTTCGATCCACCATGTTTCATGATTTTCTGAACCTCATACAGGTGAGATGTTTTTCTTTATGTTGGGAATCAGCTTTACCGCATATTTTTACCATTGTCTTGTATTTGTATTGAGAAATGGGATAAGCGTGCATAATGGATGCGAATTATTGGCAATAGTACTCCGTACTCCGTACTCCGTATATAGTTAGGGGTAGCTGACAGGTTCGAATCAACTGTTTCGAACGCGGCCCTGGGTGATAGGGACGTGAAGCATGCAAGTAGGACCCTGGACAGATACAAGCATATTTCAAGCAGCTATGAAAAAAGGCACAGCCCCGATCTAACGCTCTATCCGATCGGATCCTCGATGAAGAGTTGGGTGCCTGAGGCGGCGGATCAGACAAAAATAGACGATGTCTCACAAGTTGGCCCAAAAGGGTTAAGCCACATGATCGGCCGCCTGGTCGTTTCGATTCTTCTCGCCATCGCTTCTCGCATTCTTTTCTCTCACCCTCTCTGCTGCGTCTGATTCACTCTTCCTCTCCTCATCCTTCTCTCGCGACCTCTCTGTTTCCTCTCCGTCCCGATTTCCGCTGCCGTTCGAACGAATCGTTCAGTCGCTCGCTTGTTTACGCTCGTTTCGCCGGCGCTCCACTCGCTTTCGGAGACCCCTAAGACCCTGAAGATTGTCGAGCCACCTCTCCGTTTCACAGCCAAGCAGCTGCCCGGCATCTCATACCTCTCCGGTCGCCTTCCCCAACGGCCTCCGGTACTCGATTAGATAACATCGTTTTATTGAGATTCCTCTGTTTGATACATTGGACATCGTTGCTGTGGACACCAGTTTGATAAGAGACTGAGGCACGGGGATTGACGAGACCCCGCTTCTCCGACAACGCGAGACAGGCAATCGAATCGACCATTCTCTATACATAATGCGGTTCACTTCTTTTTTTCCGATTGCGTGCCTGCTCCTGTTAGCGGTGCTGTCAACCGCATGGCAGCTTGACGGACTGAACCATGGTCAACTTCTGCCGAGGCAAGATGGTGAGCTTGATCCATCGCGTCGACCTGCACACGTACTAACTATAGCAGACTCATCGTCGGATTCAGACACGACGACTGCGGCCGAAAGTGCGACTACCGGCGCAACCCCCACAGCGGACGACCAGGCGGAGGAAACAACCACGTCCACATCATCCTCTGACAGCAACGATGAGGAAACAACAACTGCCACCACAACTGCCAAGGCAACTCACACCGGCGGTTCCTCGTCCAATTCAACGACGACACGCCACTCTTCCAATACCACATCCATTGACGCTCGCCTTCCTGCCGGAGGTACCTCCATGTTAACCCCAAATGCCTATTCAACGACGTACTACAAGGTCATGGATACACTCACCTTTGTTTGGAACTACACATCGCTGTCGATCACGCCCACGGCAGTCAATGTTGTCGCGATCTGCACTCAGAACAGTGCTACCTACACGATTGCCAGCAACATAAGCGTTGAACAAACTCAAACTGTGACCTGGGACACGGGAAAAGTAGATGCCAATGCCACGGCCCCGTTGCTTACCGCGACTTATACCTTGTTTGTGTATGATGACACCAAAGAGGTTGGCGACACTGCTTCTGCCGGAGAGCTCGGCTCCCAGAACGGGTACATGTTCGGAATGTACACCCCACAGCCTTACACGCCTCTAAATGGTATGTTCAAACTCACCCGTCATGCGTCCAGCGGATAACTAACCTGCTGTAGAGTACGTCTGTGCTACGTGCAGTGACGCCCTCTCGGCCACCGATCTCCTTGGTCTGAAAATGGCCGTGGGAATGGGTTTGCTCACAGTCGCGTCCTTCACCTGGTTCGCCGGCAACTTCGGCGCCTTCTCTACTTGAGGACAGCGAGTCCGGTACATGAATATTTACACCTACATATTATGCATTCTGAAAATGTTGCATGCAGCTGAGCGGTTTCCATTTCGTCATGATACTACTATAGCGATTATCTGATAACTAGGGTCGGACGGCGTTCTTGCTTGTTTACTTTGACACCCATACAACTTAGTTTTTGATGAATTACATAGCTTAATATCAGGACCTCTTCGCGTCGACTTGATGCTCCGTTTGGTTCGTACTGGGATGCTTTCTCTTATTCTAAGCTGGCCACATATGATACCCAGGTTCTCATGATAATTACTGGCTTTAGTAAGTTTTCGACAGGTAACAGCCCCCCAGCCCAAGCTCTAGGGAAATTCTATGTAGACCTAGTTAGACTGCGTAACCGGCACAATCCTCCCATCTGTTTACCGCGACCGGCTTTATCGACGCCGTGGTTACACATCAACTATCTAAGTAAACCTTACATACAGAACGTACCTGCATGCTAGGAACAAGCTACAACCTAACTACACGTACCTGAGTCCTGAGCTGCATTGCCCACTCCCATGTGGTATGATGTATCCCCGCCGCCAGGGACGCCGACACTCCCTGCAGGTGTATAGCAGAACTCCCCCCAACACAAATCACAACAGGTCAGAACAGGTCAGAATTGATGAGGATGCCAACCAAGCAGCCCAGCCCAGAGCACGTCTCAGAACCAGCGCTCTCTCCATCCTAGCTTTCCTGCAGAGAACATTCCAGATGACCGGTGTCTCAGGCACATAAAGAAAAGCTTAAGCAGCTTGGCTGGTGGCTTGCTTGCTTGGTGGCTGGGAGCTTTGTGCATGTCTGTGTTTGTGTTTGGGTGGTATACGTATACAATGGGTACCAAGATACAGGCTCAGCTGGAGCTTGGAAGGAAGCTGGAGGGTAGAGATGAATGAATGAAAGGAAGAGCTTTGATGCGCCTGCGCCTGCGGGTGAGGGAGCGGGAGCTGGAGCTGGAGTAAGTGGTTCTGTCTGGCATGATAAATAATGTAGATTTTCTCGCTTTTCTCGCCTTGTTTCTGTTTCTGGTGCTGTCTGCTACCATAGGTATCGCGACTTGCCCTGTCTACTTCGACGTACCCTACAATAGTAGTAATCACAGCGCCGTCTTTTCCTTGCATCGTCCTATTGTCACTGTCTCTGTTCTTGTTCCTGTTTACCTCTACCTGAAGTCACCTCCTCCGATACCGAACCGAAACCGAACTGAAGTCTACACTCTACAAGTGTACCGCACATGTCGCGAGAAATGCACCCATCCGCCTCCGCCTCCGCCTCCGCTTCGTACTCGCCCAATGTCGTAACCATAATCGAACGACGACCCAAAACAATACTGAAGCCGAGACCCAAGAGCGATTTCAGCTCTCGACTCGTGCAAATTTGGCCGAAAGACCCGCAGCCAGGGAACCCGGAGCACTGGTCGGCATGGCGGCGCTGGAAGGATGTCTTCACGGGCAAGGGGCCGGATATCTATGTTGAGCGGGAGCGGCGCACGCAGACGAGGACCCGACGATGTAGCTATAGCTACAGCGAGAGCCAAAGGCACGGCGACCGCGACAACGGGCCGTACAGCGATAACTATGTGCACAAGGAGGTGCGCTTCGACTTGGATGAGAGGTCGCCGAGGAGCAGCAGGTCGCCGTCGCCCGGCGGTTTCCACATCGGACGGCCCGGCGGAATTCGTGGTGGCCCTTCTGGTGGAAATGCAGGCGAGCTGACTCCGAGCCGGGGAGACGGATACGCGAACACGGGTTGGTCGTTGTGGCACAAGGATCATTTGAAATGGTGCAGGGTCCGAAATTGCGATGTGTGCGAGCAGATACTAGAGCAGGAGCGGAAGGACAACGCGTTCTTTTGGGCACGCCGACCCAGCGACGACCGCTACGACCATCGGACGCGGACGTATGGAATTCCGGATTTGGGGACTTGGTCAGGGAAGGTGTACTGTGATGATCCGTCGCATGTGGTTCCTAGACAATACTGGGATAAGGATAGGCGGGCGTTGCCGGAGAATCTGTATCATGATATAGTACACGGCGCTCATGAGGACCGGAGGCAAAGGCGGCGGCGTGTCAGTCGGTATGATCTTTTCCGCTAGGGCTGCTCCAACTCCAGCTCCAGCTCAGACGCATGTTGCGTGGTAGGCTTCGAATGTCGGGAGCTGTTCGGGTTGTGGTGTTGTTGGGTTGAGGCGACGGAGTGTCGGGAGGTTGGCTGCTTGGTCTTGCATTTTGCCGCATTTCGCACAGGTTGTTTGAAATAGATTAGAATATGATAGAATCATTCCCTAGATCGCAATGAGCATTTGTTGGTTTCAATTGACATCGTACCTGTGACTTACGAAGAGATAGTTCAGGTCCCATTTTCTAGGACGAGCGTTGAGACAGCCCAATACCGTGCTCTCAACCTTTGACGCGGGCTCTGCTGACGACGACTTGCTAGTGACGTTGAACTCAGGGACATCCTCCTGACCCGTACCAATGGCATTGACCTTGAACGACAGCCCAACCTTCGGAAGCAGGACAACAAATGACGAATCTCTCCTTGGCGGCAGCACGCGCATTCCAGGAAAGCCCGTCTGGGAATACTCCTCGACAAGTGCCCGCCAGCCACCTTCCGCTGACTGCAACTGCGAGCGCTCCTCTTCCTCCTTGGCCCTCTGCTGCTTCTCCTTTCTGGCGGCATCGTGCTTCGCGATCTCTTCAAGTATCTTGTCGTAGTCCTCTTGCCACATGCCATTGGACTGCAGGAGCTGGCCCGCATTCTCATAGATCAGAGTGTCGACCCGCTCCCAGACGGCTTTCATTTCTCGCCCGCGCCACAGAGATTTGAAGGTTTCGACCTCGCGCACACCATCAGAGGCGGATTGCGAGAGCCGTTGGTACAATGCCTGAGGGGAGTTCGGGACGGAGACAGCAGTAGCAGCCTTGAGGTTGATGATTAGTGCGAGCGGCTCTAGTAAGCGCTCAGGTAGCAGAGTCCGAAGTTGATGGATCATCTCTTCCAGTTTCTGGAGTTTTGCAAGCGAGGATACCAGCTGCAACTCCTGGTCGAGAAGTTCAGGGTCGAGGGCGGGCTCGGCATCATCTTCTGGGGCGGTATTCAGAGCCACAGTTGAAGCCGACTCTGGCATGGTCGTGTAAGTTTTGTTCTTAAGCTCGCTGGTCTTGAAAGAGGGCGATTGTTCCATTTTGGGGATCACAACAGCTAGTCTTGAGCCAGCAGCCATTTCCCGCGCGTTGCTGGGCGGACGGAGTGGGTGGCTGCAAGGCTTTGTCGCGACCGGTATATTATATAGCTTAAGCTTAGGACAGGATTTTAATGAGGCGGATCTTCCAGTCAACCCGCCGTGGTATGCGTGATGGAGTCGGAGAGATGGCTGGGATGGGAGGAAGGAGAAGTTGGACGTTGATCATTCGTCACTCGCGACACCAGGATTGTGGGGTCGCGCCACACTCAGCCACTCAGTGGCTAGTGAACTTCTATGACAGTGTTTTATTGGCTACTCGTCAAGAGGCGGCGCTAAGCCGAATGGGGTAGTCCGTAGCCAGGCCTGGGCGGGGCCCGACTGAGTATTATCCGCTGGGATGATTCTACATACAAGTGGCATAGATGAGGCTTTGGAATCCAAATTACTGTCATTGCTTCGGTTACTATCATCGTGAGAACATTTCGAACTGCTTATCACTGAGACGGCTGCTGCCTAGCATCTGAGTTCAAACATGTAAGTCTATGACTGATGTTGACCACAACATTAACCAACATCAATGTAGATTGTTGGCGCCGAGCGGGAAGACAATGTGCGACTGAATGAGACGAGAAGGGCGGCGTGATAGAATTCAAGCGGCGGAGCGCTTTTTGCATACAAAGACGTGGTCTTATCGGGATTCAGACAGAATGGGAGAGATGCAATATCATCCCATGTATTCCTGTCTTCGACGATGCCCTAGAAACCTGCTGCAGGGGCACGGACAGGGACACCGGACGGGATTATCCATTGTGTAAGGTGAGACCTTTTCAGGACTTGAATGCGCGCGTTCATACTTCATTTGCAACGCGCACCATGTCGGGAAGGGAAGAGAGGTTGTCGCGGTGGAAAAGAAGTCCCCATTGTCAATGTGCGGTTCAGCGCGAAGATACTCCTTCAGGTCTATGAGAAGGATTCTCCACGAGACGAGATCCATTACCAGATGGTGCGCCACGCGAAAGAGATATTGCCCGCCGGATCATGTGCTGATGAGATCTGCGCGGAGGAGCAGACCATTGAGGATATCTAGCAAGCGCTGGGCTTCCGAGACAACTCTGAAAGCATCCTTGTCCTCAACGGTCTCGACCATGTGGCAGTGTAGGATATAAGATTCATTCACGCCATTTTGGACCCTCTGTCTCCGGGTCCCGTTTTCATCGCGGTGGAATTGAGCGCTCAGGATGCATCGTGCTTGACTACTCCATGTAGGGCTGCGTCGGCCCTCTCTGTTCTGATGCTTTTGGAAAAGTCGCAGGAAAGAACTCTGGTTGAAGTAGTTGAGGCCTGTCTCAATCGTGTCGAAGAAGAGATTCTGGATAGGGGATGGCGGTAATGGTTCGGTGATGTCTGTTTTCACCCCTGTTGCCTTGGCTGTCTGTGTCTTGGTACTTGCAGATACGATACCAACTATTGCCTTTCCAGCGACGATAGCTGTGATACTTAGACCGGCAGCCTTCGCCTTTGCCGCCGACTGTATGGCTGTGATACAGTCTCCACTGAGATGGAAGGAGTCGTCGTCTATGCCAAAGACATCCCCACCGACATTGAGACCTGCACCCATATAGAATGCAGCGCCTGCTCGACCGAAGTTTTGAACTGTTGCTTCAGTGACGCATGAGCAGTTCCGGCATCGCTGATATACGAGGTGATCTGGAACAGACCTAGGCTGGCCGCAACCTGGCGAAGTTCGCGTCTATTGATCTTCCCGGTTCCTGTCAATGGGACCTTCGACAAGAGAAAAACAACTGCAGGGACAATGTAAACGGGGACACGGCGGTGCAGCTGCCCGAGGATAGCGGCTGAAGTGCGCTTGGATGCCTCCGTTGGAGTTTCCAAGCAACAACCACGAGGCAGCCCCCTCGGTACCTCTTCTTCCCCTTGGTGGGCGCCTGGCGTGTAAGCAAGCGAGACAAGCATCGCGCGAACCTCGGCGTTCGACGGAACAATGACTTCCGCAACGGCCTCCTCACAGTCAGGAAAGCAGCTTTGCAGATGGTACTCGATCTCGCCGAGTCCACGCGCTGCCAGCAGCTTCACCCGCGTGTCCCGCCGGCCTATCAATCGGATGATCCCGTCATCGCCGCATTGGACTAGATCGCCCGTGCGGTAGAGACGGTCGACGTGGCCATCGGCTCGCCGCTGAAGGAGTCAAGGTGGAGGCTCGATGAATTCAGCGAGTGAGATACTCGTTGCACAAGTACCCTCGTGCAACAGCCGGTCCTTCGACCACAAGCTCGCTGACTGCACCGATAGCTCCAGGTGGGCTGGATACCCCATCACAGTGATGCAGGCAAAGCCGCCGAACATGGCGCCGACATCGCCGGTTCCCAAGTCGCAGCGTCGACTACGCCCGCCGTGCAGAAACAAGTCTCTGCGGAATCGTAGCTGTTGGTGAACCGCACGTTGTCCGCCCACGCATCGACGTGAGTTTGCGTTAGGGATTTCCCGCCAAGACAAAATGTCTTCAAGTCGGGGACGTCTTCGGGCCGGAAAAGACGCAGCGACGAGGGTGTGAGACAGGTCCAGTTGCCGCGGTACTGGCGCATGCCGCCGGCCAGGTCAGTAAGGCACTGGTCCTCGGAGGGGACGCACACGCAGCCGCCGAACACGAGGGTTATGACTGTCAACCATCTCATGGGAACACTTATTACACGAAGCTGGAATATCTGCGTTCCATGAGCGGATGTCTCCAAGGTTTTCAGGGCCAATGCAGTCAACCTGAGCGAGGAAATCACTACGGCATTCGCAGCTGCTGGATGACATGTCCAAACTGCTGCGTAAAGCGTTGGACGTGCACCGACGCGAATAATGCGGCCTCCCCATCATCGTAGCAACGGCCAAGTTCGAGAACCAAGATCTCCTGCGAGACTTGCACGGTGGAAGGTTGCACGACAAGGTGCGTCTGGAACTAGCAAGCCATTGCGATGTCCTTGTTTACCTTGCCGGTAGATTACAGCCCGGCTTGCTTAAATACCCCAATGCCCGTTGCTTCAACTTACTAGCGCCTTGAATACGTCCTATTCTGGATTGACTGTGAAGCGGAATGGGACGGTAGCAATACTCGGGCTTGTCATTTGATAAATGCCCGGAATAGCAGTGGCGCGGCCGCTAACAGTGACCCCGAAGACGGCATCTTCGCTGTTTGTGTAATGTGACATCGAAAGTGCTAGAGTTAGCCGGATGGTGATGGAGGTCGTGATGCCGTTGCTCTGGAAGATGCCTAGCACACGATGTTTGAAGTGCGCGCTTGCATTGGATACGAACCCAGCCGTTGGAAAAGCTGGAAAGATCGGTGCATTGCAATTGGCGAGGTTAGATTGCCAGGACTGCTGGCTATTGTCCTGCTGTTGGATGTGGGTGATGAAGGACGACTGACGGAGGGGCTTGCACAGAACTGCCACGGTATAGGGCGTTGAAATGGTCGACGACAAGTCGGACGGAGACGCCATCGTACACGGTATGATGCAATGTCACAACGCAATACGATGAGGGAACTAGACAAAGACGAACAAGAGGCTGTCCAAGTCCCATGGGCCTCTTTCGATCGTCTACCAGATACAGCTGGAGCTCGGCGGCTGCGGAAAAGTCAACACACTTTAGAAACACACTTTAGAAGAACAACCTGCAGGGTCCTGTTGTCACTGGCAGCAGTAACCATCCGAGTCCAGAGGATTGGGTTCGCTTCGATCGTTTTCTGCCAGACGTGTTCCACCAGTTTGAGGCCCAACCCCGCGTGCAAGAAGGGAGACATGCTGGGATACATACAGCCCTGGGCTCTATACTCCAGACCCGGCAGACCGGACATCAACCCTGCCACGAACCGTGCCGTTGGCCGTCGGCCGCCGCTAGAAAGTGGAGACAGTGCGGTCCGAACGGATGTAACCCTAACATTCGAACTATACCTACACCTTCCCTTCAGTCTGCTAACTGAACTTCCATCAGCAAAACCACACAAGCAAGCACGCCATCTCGCCTATCAGCAATCTCCCCGATTCAGCTTAAACTATACTGGCCTAGAGAAAACCAGCCGTCTGAACCGCCAGCCAACACCTCTCCAACGGCATACAGTCTTTGTGTACGGACAACCCATGACATGGATACATTCGGTACATACAGAAACTGCATCTCATCCCTAGTAAGTACCAGTCATAACAGACAAGCGTCCGCCGTCCGTAATAAGGATCGACCCGTTCGAGTAACTGCCCGCCCGACTAGACAGATACAGAATAGCCCCAGCCATCTCCTCATCGCCCCCGAACCGGCGAGCCGGAATGAATCGCTGATCGTCAGACGCTTCCTCCTCCGGCTTGCGGCTCTGAATCAGAACGGACGCCAGATCCGAGGGGTAGACTATACGAGCCAATTAGCACCACCTCATGACACAAGAAACTTAAGCGCGAGGCAAGGCATACTCCCAGGGGCAATCGCATTCACCCGAATCCCAAACCTAGCGAGCTGCGTACTCGCATGCTTCGTCACCTGCATGATAGCCACTTTACTAGCCAAGTACGGCGGTGACGATGTCCAGTGCCGACTGAACGTCGAGATACTCGTCGTGAAAACCACCTGGCTTTGGATGGACGGCACATCGCCCCCCTGCGCCAGGGGTCTTCCAGACCCACCGCGAAGCGCATTCTGCGTCCCTGCATAAAGCAATTCCAGGAACGCGGTCATGGTGAAGAACGCAGCGGTGACATTCAGATTCAGCGCCTCGGTCATGCCCTCCATCGAGAAATTGGTGAAGAGGGTTTCGCGCACCTCGGGCAGAGATGCCGAGGGGTTGAAGCGCACGGGGTCCGATGCTGCCTGAGTTCGCGACGACGAGGTTCACGTACCCGACCTCGGCCTTGAACCGGTCGACGGCCGCCGGCAGGTCTGTTTTGGAGGTTACGTCGGTCTGGTGCGGGATGACCACTTAGTAGAACACACATAACCAGACCACACAGCAATAACTACGCATGGAGTAGATTAATATGCAGGTTCTGTCGGGCAACCAGATTGTGCCTCACCAGCGGCCGCCAGTAGGGAAAGCCCTACATATGGTGAGCAATCCATCAGGGATATCAGTCCTGGTCTAGCAGACATCCCTGTGACATCTGATCCTGTTCCATCTGTTCCTGTTCCATCTGACCCTGTCGCCCTAACTCCGTCTCGGACTCCGCTCTAACTCCGCCCCTATTTGGCTCTATCTTGCTCCCGGCCATCTGACAACAGCCTCCCAACAACCGGTCGCTGAGGCACCCTATTGATCTGCCGAATCCAACACACCCTCAGCTCCCTTTCATCCCCTCGTCTCCCTCCAATCCAATCATAATAGCAACCCAGCTGAAGTCCGCATCCGCCCATGCCGCCGCTCGACCACCAGCGCAATGCGCAATGCGCAACTGACAACAGCCCCGAAGGTGCCATGGCCTACGATGATGCCACGGGAACGGGCGAGTGGGTGGCTGTGTTGGGCTAGAGCCTGCTCTATATCCGGCTCTGTGAGCTTTTGTTCCTTTATCAAGTTCAAGATAAAGCAATCTAGCACATACGACCACAGGGTGTGGAGAACAGGGCTTCCCGTCCGCTCAGCCGTACTTAAACCACACGCCGGCTGGTTAGTAGTATGGTGGGTGACCACATGCGAATCCCAGCTGTTGTATGTTTTTGTTTTTGACGCGGCGAGGCTTCTTTTTAGAAGGGTTGTGGTGGTGGTGGATGCGTTCTGTCAACTGGGTCAGGGGGTTGTTCCGTAGCGCTCATCTCGCTTTACGATAACGGCTTACCTATAATGTAATACAGATGTGGCAGTTACGCATGCTCGCAAGATGCTGAATAGACGGGGCCCGGTGCAGTGCAAGGGCGCGGAGTACTGCAGCAAGGAAACGGATTAGGGCTGTTTCTCTACGTAAGCGCCTATACGAGGGATCTCGGGACCTCCGGGGTCAAGAGTACCTAACGTAGGGACAAACAACCCAGGAACCTGAATAGACAGATACCAAGCAATAAAAAGCCGCAAGGTGGAGAACAAATAAGCTTCCCTTACCAGAACCCGAGGCGGCCTTGATCCGTCAATGATTTAGATCCAGACTCCGAGATTCAATCGACCGCAATCTATAGCGTAAAACAGCTGAGAGCTCTACTGCTATCTAGTTTCAGGCCCCGTCTCCTCAGGCCCCGTTGCCTTCTTCTCAGTAATTCTCTCCCACTCGACTCCGAACGCAAGGAAGAATGCCGTAGCCGTCGTAGCAACAGCAACAAACTACGGTAGTAGACGCACCAGGCCATCCAATTAGTCCCAACTCAACCCGAGTAATAGAGATAAGACCACCTACAAAAGTCGCCGTAATAGCCTCATTATAAGCCTCAAGCACCAAGTCCAATCTCTCGGGAAACTCCCCCTCCGCAGTGCGCCTCACCCCCGCCGTCCCGGCCCCCTGCAAGAGCGCAATCTGGGCGTCGTCCAAACCCGCATGCCTCGCCAGCTCAGGGCCAAGGATCGAGCGGAACACAATACCCCCCAGGACCTGCGTGACCGTTGCACCGAGGTACTGGAAGAAGAGATTCAGCGAGACTGCGACGGGCATGAGCTCGGCTTTGTCGCGCACGGCGTGCTGCACGATCAGCGCGGGCATCTGCTGCGCCATGCCCACGCCTAGACCTTGTATTACCTGGAATCCGATCCAGTGGCTGGCGGGCGTGGAGAAGGTGCTGAATTGCGTGTAGAGGGCGGCGGCGGTGCACATGAGGGCTGGGCCGATGTAGAGCCAGGGGTTGTAGTAGTGGATTTTGCGGGCTATGTTAGTTTTAAGCTGTTAGCTATCCTCTATCCGAGGAAGTTTGCAGTCCGTTTAGATGAGGCCTTACCTAGGAAACCAGCACCCAGCGTCCCAAGAATCTGCGCCAGCACCGACGCCAATACCCTCGTCCCACTCTGCAACGGACTCGCCCCCTGCACGGCCTGGAACCACTCGGGCAGATAGTAATTCAAGATGCCCAGGGAGCCAAAGTGGCAGAACGAGAAGAGGACGGCGAACGCAACGCTCCGACGGGCGATGGCTTCACCAGGGATCATCGCGCCCTCGCCTTGATAACCCTCCCAGGCAACGAAGAGGATGAGGAGTACGCCAGCGCCGACGAAAAGCCCGATGATCGTCGCTGAGTCCCAGTCCTTCTCCGTCCCACCCCACATCATCGCAAGTAGGAGCATGAAGATCGCGGGTATGAAGACCGCACAGCCTACGAGATCCAGGCTCCCAAGTCGCTGGAGAACAGTCTGCTCGCGCTGTACAGACATAGCCGGCGGCTTGAAGAAACACAGCATCGACAGCAAAGCGAGACCACCAGGCGGAAGATTCACCCAGAAACACCAGCGCCAGCTCGCTTTCTCCGTAAACGCGCCGCCAATAACAGGTGCAAGAACAAGACCCAGCGCAAAGCAACTACTGCAGATTCCCAGGAGCAGCGGCTTCGATTTCTCGGGGGACACAGTGAGGACGATGACGAAGCCGCCGCTTGCGACGCCGGACGCGCCGATCCCTGCGATTGCGCGCCCCGCGATGAACGTGTTGCTGTTTGGCGCGAAGCCGCAGACGAGACTGCCGAGGAGGAAGACGGAGAAGAAGGAGATGTAGATCCAGCGGAGGGGGAATGTAGAGCTTAGCTTGCCGGCTAGGGGCGTTAGGGCGCAGGTTGTTAGGGTGTAGGCTGCTGGGTACCAGGCTAGTTGGGAGGTGTCTTTGAAGGTGGAGGTTATGGATGGGATGGCCTGGTTTAGTTAGAGCTGGATAGGAGGGTTAGGGGGTGGGGTGGTACGGTTGCGATGACGAAGATGTCCAGGGACATGAGGAACGCGCCGACGCAGATGCCGATGAAGATGGCGACGAGCTTGAGCCCGTGCATTGCGTTCGCGTTTGTCTCCTCTGAACCGGCCGCGAACTGGGTCTGGGCTTGGGCATGAGCATGGTTGTTGGCATCATCTTCTGGCTTGGTGGGTGAAGAGGCAGCCATGTTCGAGGTGTGGCGGTTGGAAAATGGAATAAGAAGGGCAGATTCTGGTGCAAGGCATCTGATTAGTACTCAGCTCATGACACATCGGTGACTGCGCCGCACGGAGATCAGATCGAGCTCGGAAATCGGGTCAGTGAAGGATCAAGACTAGCCTGAACAAGCAGTGTTGACGGAGCTCACGGCCTAGTCATGTATGACACCTGCGCCGCCGGAGTGCGACCCGTAAACCGCCGGTTTAGGCACATGTATATCCCTGTTCAGAGCCTCTAAACAATCGTTGGTATGTCCAGTTACTATGCACGTAGGAATGTAGGGGTTCAATGCCCGGGAGCCAGGCGGGAGACCAGTGACAAGCGACAGCCTATGGTACCATGCGAACGATGAAGTATGACTGTTGAGAAAAGGCCTGATTCGATAATAGCATTGCACTACCTACTCTTGTATCCAAGACCATGAGACCTCCCAATATTAGCAGCGAACACGTAGGGCCGCAGTCTCAACCCCTGATAATATCGTCCGCAATCTTCTCCGCCAACATATCTAACACCCTTCATTAGCAATCTCTTCCTTAAGTCCACGAGCTAACAGGGGAATGACTTACAAACAGTACTCTGCGGATGCCCCGGCGGCAAAAACGGAAACGCACTCGCATCCACAACCCTCAACCCACTAACCCCAAACACCCTCGCCCTACTATCAACAACAGCATCCGCGTCCTGCCTCGTACCCATCTTACACGTAGCCGAGGGATGCCACAGAGTCATTACATTCTGCCTCACAAACTGCAAAATCTCCTCATCGCTTTGCGTGCCATTGCCTGGGTAATACTCGTCCCCAATAACAACAGGCTGCATGCCCTCGCTGGCGAAGATCTGCCGAATGCGCTTGAAGATGGCGAGTGCGGCTTGTTGGTCGGATTGCGTGGTGAGCCAGTTTGGGTTGATCACGGGTGGATCGGAGGTATCTGCGGAGCTGAGGGTGATATTTCCTCGGGAGGTGGGTGTTATTAGGATACCGAGGATTGAGCCGTACTGGTAGCCGTCCTTGGGTTGTGTGTTCAGGAGTCCGCTGAAGGAGCCGACGTAGCCTGCGCCGGACATGTACTGTGTTGAGGTGGGTTAGCTATCCTGTGCTGTAGATGCAAGGGAATGGTAGTATGGGATATACCTCGACTTCAGGCCAATCTCCCGGAAACTGCGCAAGGCTCTTGTCCGTCTCCGCTGAGAATCCCCCGCGGTGAGAGTCCGGAATCTTCTCGAACGCAATGAAATCAGCCACCGGGTTTGTGAGCGGCCCCGTATGTTTTGTCGTATAGTCAAGGAATGTGGTAGCGAGGTAAAGCAGGTCATTGGCGAGTCTCGTGAACGTTTCCACATTGACGCGGTAGGTTAGTGCAAAGAACGGATGATCCCACATATTCTGGCCGACTCCCTGCAGGTCAGAGATGACCTCAATACCATGCTCCGCTAGCTGATCTGCAGGCCCAATTCCCGAGACCATAAGAAGCTGGGGCGACTGGAAGGCCCCAGCCGAAACAATGACCTCCTTTGAAGCCGTGATATTCGACCTGAATCCGAACCCATCTGCTACTTCGACACCAACAGCATTCTTCTGCTCATCGAAGAGGATTCGCTTCGCGAGGTGCTGAGTGCGTATAGTCAGGTTGTCAGGTACTTTCTTTCCCTTCGGGATAAAAGCGGCCTGCGAGCTACTGCGTGTTTTATCATCCGGCTTGATAGTCGACGCGCAGTACTGGTAGCCCGATAGCTCTCCGCTGTTGAAGTCTGTTTCAGAGAGCCCGATGGCTTTCAAACCCCGCGCCATCCAGGTGGAGAAAGCCTGCACGAAGCTGGAGTATGAAACTTGGAGCGGTCCGCCTGTTGCGTCGAAGGAGTTGGCATTGTATTGGACACTCGCATTTTCTGTTCGTAAGGTAGTATCGGGCGCAGTGAGGTTGGCGGTGCGTTTGTAGAAGGGCAGGGTATTTTCGAATGAGTAGCTGCTATCGTTCACTGCCTCTGCCCAAAGTTCCATTGATTCTTTGGTTGGCCTGCTTGCATGTTAATCGACCCCTCATTAAAAGCCGTGGATCTATATTGTGGACTGACCTTTGATAAACCATAAAATTCGACGCGGAGCTACGCATCATGACATTAGCATCGTCAGCGCATCCTGTTTAACAACTAGGTAAACTCACGAGCCACCTAAACATTTCCCCCTCGCGAAATGTATCTCCCGCCCATCGGCGCCTTCCTGCGGCGTCGTCACAAACCCCCAGTCCGCACCAAACTTCGCATCAGGATCAGAACCAACGGGGATCACATCTGCGCCAGGGATGGCGGCGAGCGACCAGCTGTCTTCGTAGTATGTACCGGCTTCGATCAGCGCGACGCTATGCGAGGCTTCTGCTAATCGCACTGCAAGAGTCACGCCTGCTGTTCCTCCGCCGACGACGACGTAGTCGAATGTCTCTTGTTTGGCTTGGACGGTGGAGGTGAGTAGGGTGGAGCTTATCAAGAGGGAGGAAGTGAGGATGGGTATCCTAGGAATCATGGTGAAGGGTTGGGGACGGGGCAATTAACGCGAGTGCCGGATTGCTGAGTACAATCTGTCGAAGATAAAGCAGACTGGGACTGTCTCGGTATATATCGCACAAACCGGACGATATTCCATCGAACCCTGGATTAAGGTTCAATGTTTAGTTGTCAGGGGCCTCGTCTCCACCAAACTTTGTAGTCTGACACATGGACGCTCCATGATGAGGTCCAAATGGTAGATTTGCCGACGACACCACGTTGCTATTTCTCTGGATGACAACTTGACCAAGATAGGCTGCTGAAGCTTAGAGCAAATCCAAGCCATACTTTCAGGCTTGCGATCCTGGACGGTAGGGAGCCCAAAGCCGAGTTGTACAGACAGTGAGTTAGGGCTCAACGAGTCGACGGTGGAGAATGACAGGCGAGGAACGATCGACAACGCATCACAGAACCTGAAGCATGAACCCAAAAATTAGTCGGCATCAGCTGTCTCTCGGTACTCGGGACTCGGGAGTCGGGACCCGGTCGACATTCCAATTATAGGCCATCTCCGAGCCCTAAAAAATTGGAAACCGCTTGACGTAAAGCGCGTGGTATGATAAAGGTGTCCCATTGCATTTCCAGTGAAACGCTGTTATCAGTTCATGGTGGCTATATAAAACAGAGTCAACGTAATGGGTCATCTCGATTGTGTCAAATACTCAGCTGAATCCAGCCAGTGAGCTTATGTCCACGCTCCATGTAAGTTTTGCCCACTGCTCGTATCCGAACCGACCGCGGTACGGGCCGAAGCCCTATGCACGGCGTAAGCTCACTCTGATAAGAGACCTCGGGGAGCAGAGAAGAGGCCCGAACATGGTAAGTGTATGCGGGAAAAGATATTTTAAGAACAAAACATATTGCATTTCACCTTGGCCTATTCTATGTTCGCAGAGTCAAAAGTCGATCTCAAAGAAACCACACCATAACGCCGCACGGTGGTACAGGGCTAGGAAGCTTAGCTGTACCACCCATTGTTGGTCCATTTGACCTACAGACTGGTTAGTCAAATATCAAAATAAGTAGTAGATGAATGGTCCCTTACATAAGAGGCATCAATCTCCTTCAGATCCGGCACACCCAGATTGCCAGCATCAATGGCAATCTCCCGCTTCAGCACCTGAATTGCTTTCTGAACACCCTCAAAGCCGTAAGCATTGGCGTACATAAAGCTCCTGCCGAGGCCAACAGCCTTCACGCCCAAGGCAAGCAGCTTAAGCACATCAGCACCATAGCGAACGCCTCCGTCTGCGAAGATCTCAATCTGGTTGAACAAATCAGGATCTTCCTGATAAACCTCGAGTGCGACCTCTAGCGGGGACGGCGAGCTATCGAGCTGACGCCCGCCATGGTTGGAAATAATAACAGCAGGAGCGCCGTGCTCAATCGCCAACTTGATGTCCTCAACAGCCTGCAGTCCCTTGAGGATGATAGGCAGGGAGGTCATATTGCGGAGCTTGGCGTAAAGCTCCCAGGTCGAGAGCGTGTAATCCGCGTCCGCGGATCCAACGCCGTATCGGTCCGCACGGAGTCGGTTGCCGTCTGCGGCGCTGTCAATTGTCCACACAATGGCCTTGGCGCCTAGACGCTCAGCATCGTCGAAAAGTTCCTGCGTCGCGGTGTCGTTGCTGTTGAGGTACGCTTGCTGGAAGAGAACCTGCGAACTGTTCGCTGGCTTGGCGGCCGCGATCTCGTCCATGGACAGAGTTGCGTAGAGAGCCGGGATGTACAAGATGTTCTCTTCGTGCGCGGCCTTGACAAAGTTTGTCTCTGCGTCGGGGTGCGCGAGTCCCGCGCTCGCGCAGGGGCTGATGAAGAAGGGCGCAGAGAAGTTGTGGCCGAGGATAGTGGTTGGGAGGGTCGACTCGATGTCGGTGATGTCGACCATCACGCGTGGGCGGAAGCGGAACCGGCCGTAGACCTCGAGGTTGTTGCGGTACGACCACTCGCCAGCTGCGCCGTTGCGGTAGTACGTGTATGAAGAGGCGTTGAGATATCGCCTGGCTGCCCATTCAAAGTCAGGCAGTCCCAAGATATTCTCTAAGTCGGGAAGTGTGCCTTCGGGAGTGTCCCCGAGGACGTCTTCAATGCTGCGGAGTATGGTCAGCGGACATTTTTGCGCCATAGAGCTGAGATCAAATTACATACGCAGTATCAGGCTCATTGAGAAAAGGCCGCGTCGCAAGAGCGGCGGAAAATAGAGAAAGGAAAGCTAACGAGAGACGCATGGTGAACCGTAAACTGTAAAGACTGTCTGTTGTGATCAGCAAGTTATTCCGGGTTTAGGGCCTTCATATACAGCCTCCAGCTGGTATACCCGTCTGTCCGTGGCCTCAAATTCAACGCTTGCTAATCATGACCAAGCCGACCTGCCACTCCAAGCTGTAACATACCAATCTTGTGGATGCCATACTCGACACAGGCCAAGGCGCGAAGATCAGATAAGGGTCCACTAACGCCGGAGAAGACGCCATGATAAGCCACTGACAGCCTGCAGGAGGCTCGGCATGATATGAACAGCGCTTGGCAGGGGTCTCGGCTCGGGTTCTTCCCTAGTCTTCGGATTTGCGCCATTGTTAGTGCTCCGTATGTTGTAGTATTCGCGGCCCCCGCGGTCGGAGGATAATTGTCTTTGCAACGGTACGCGGAGGTGTCTATACGGAGAACACCACTTCTGGCTTAGAACGTGTCGCCATGATATCGGAATAGCGATAACCAACTGCTGAAAGGTGGAAGTCCGAAAAAGAGGTCGCTCCGCAGGATTGCCACTAATCAGTTAGGTAGGTAGTAGAATCCCTCTTCCGCTTGGCGACTTCCTTTGCAGTTTTTAACGGACCACAAACTCTGCCAGACAAAGTCGCTCATTGACTTTGACTGTCACTTGCACTGAACAGGAATATGTTGGCTGCCACCATCGAAAGGTCCGATCTTCGATAACGTAGATACGGCTCCGTCAAACGGGCCCTCCAATAGACATGGAAAATCAGCCGAGGTATCGCTTGTCCTGGTCAATTCTCGATTATACCAGGGGGAATGTTGGAGACAAGTGGCAAATTGCACGGGCAGAGTTCCACTATCAACAATAACAATAGAGCTTTGAATCGGAGCGAGGTCATTTCAAAAGCTCAAATAGCTGCATCTGGAAGAAAGACGTGACAATGGCGTTGCTCAGGTCACGGCAAATGACATGCTTGCCTGGATGTTGCCTGAATATTAATGGAATTATTAGCGATGCCCGGTTTGAGAAATGATGGTGTTGACGCTTGAGGAGTCGCGATCCCTACTTCTCTCGCAATAATCTCCGTGTTTTCTCATGGAGCTATTCTAAATAATGTCCATTGTCGGGCATTGTGCTCGAGGCCGGCTCTTCGAAAGTTGAATGATGGCAGCCTGTGGAAAAATCATGGTGCCACTCATAGTGTGTTGACTGACGAGAGGGGATGCTTTAGATTTAAGTCTCACTGAAACCAATCTGACGATTGCATAATCGGAAGCCAAAGCAAAGAACAGAAGGGACTGAAGCAGACGATGGATGCTGGTGGGAGTGATGCAGAAGTTGAGGTTGCCGCAGAGGAGAAAACAAGCTCTCTGGGATCAGGCCACTCTCCCAGCCCACGTGCGGACTCAAATTATCAGGAGACACTGCTCCCCGCATCCGCATCTTCAATCGCCATTCAAACGCACTTCGTCTATTCTATATCGAGTTGCCTCCCTACAGTGTTGCCCTCTTCCAACCGCGGTTCTGCCAGTGGCAAGGCCTGACAATCTGGATTCTTCGAAACCCACCATGATTTATCGGTATGGGCGTCATAGCAACCTCACAAAAGGTTTCTAGGCCCCCTCTGGTCTTCTGACTCTCGATGCCGAGCAGGCTGGCCAGCTTTCGATTCGAAGAAGCATCATAGAGACGCATATCACCGGCGCTGTCGCCTCTGTGATGGCCGAGGGATAGAGCATAAGAATAGCCAGGCTGCTGCGCTTCGTCAAGGACATCCTGCATGCTTTCAATCAGATAATAGCCTTAGTCTTCAGGGCCAACCTAAACATTGCATCAGTGCACCTAGATTTATTCCCTCAAAATGAAGCTGATCCTTATCCTCAGCACCCTCACATCCCTCCTCACCCTCGCCGTATCTCTACCATCTTGGGACCAGGACCAGGACCACGGCGACAAATGGGATGAAACCAAAACCGACTTTGAAGACCATTTCAACGAGCGTACGTCTTATCTGCCCCTCCTTACCCTCTTAACTCTAACCAGTCCAACCCTTCCAGATAACCTCTCCGCCCGCCAATCCTACGCCTGCGACAAATACAGCGCCGGGCTCTGCGCCTGCTTCTGCCACTACACCCAATACCAGTACTACAAGTGCACCCCAGGCAACTGCCAGTGCTACCGCGACTACGCGCCCGACTGCTACTACGCCTACAACTACTACTCATCCGGCGGCTATCCCGCCCCCAACGACTACCACCCGCCGCAGCACCAAAGCTGCAAGGACTACCCGTATTGCAGCGAGCGACCCTACAAGGACGAGGGTCAGTCGGGGCCGACGTCAACGTACGAGGAAGATACGACTAGCGCGTACTCGACTACCACCAGTGCGGGCTCCGCATCCGATTCGTATACTCGTCCTACGGCTGCCGAGGGATCCTCGCATGGCGGATACCCCTCGTCCCCGTCGAATGAACATCCGCCATCTGAGTCTGCGGGCGGCGTTGGCTCGTCGTCACCCAGTGGCGGTACTGGTACCGGCGGTGGTGGAAACTCCGCAGGAGGTGGAGGGGGCAGTTCTTCTTCTGGAGCCTCTGGATCGTCGTCACCCGCTGGCGGTACTGGTGCCGGCGGTGGTGCCGGCGGTGGTGGAAACTCCGCAGGGGGCGGAGGGGGCAGTTCTTCGTCTGGAGGGTCTGGCTCCGGCTCTGGCTCCGGTTCCGCTGCTGGGGGGTCTGGATCTAATCCTGGATCTAATCCCGGATCTGGATCAGGATCAGGGAGCTCTGGCAGTCGACCTCCACCCTGAGAGCCTCGGCTGCGCTCGCCTTCCCAGGGTTGCGTAAAAGTTGATAATTTAGGGTTGTTGATGATTAAATTATGCAGATAGGTTCCAGACTGCGTCATTAGTCTTTTCGTTATAGGTGAGTAAGCAGTTGGATTGACGGGAAGGCAAGGAAAAGAAAGGGTACAGAAGTTCAGGCACGGCGCGTCTTGCGTTTGTCTTGTGGCTTTAGTATAGGTAACTCGCTGTGCCATCTACGCAGGTCTACCTTATTCGGCTTGGCGCCGTACTCCGTGTAGATAGGGCTATTTGCACGGATGAAACCGTTTTCGCAGACAGGTTACAGTGACGCTATGGACTGGAATCGTCTCTAGGTGGCTAGTCTGGCTGATCCTGGCCACTTATTTATGTACATATGGCCTGGCTCCTGCTACTGCTTCTTACCAATCATGTGTCCCTGAGCACAAGCCACAAGGTGGACGAACCAATGACACCAACAGGATAACCTGAGAGAAGTATAACACGCCATCTATTGATGCGGCATAAGAATTTGTAAGCCCTTATCAAAGCGACCGCGATGTATTTATATTTTGTCAACGGAAGTATTGTCCGACGTTAGCAATATTTTGTTTTCCACCTCAGAATCGAAGGAAATACCACCAACATGGGTTCCACGACCTCCCCGCTCCAGACCCCCTACACATCCCCAAACACCCCCACGGGCACGGCCCTCTCCCTCTCCCTCTCCCACCGCATCGTCCTCGCCCCCATGACCCGCATGCGCGCCTCCAACACCACAGCAGCAATCAACCCCTCCGCCGCAACATACTACGCCGAGCGCACAACGCCCGGATCCCTCCTCATCTCCGAGGGGACCATCGTCTCAGCGCGGGGAAAAGGCTTCCCCTGCACACCCGGCATCTGGACCTCGACACAAGCGCGCGCCTGGAAACCAATCACCGACGCCGTGCACGCAAAAGGTGGCACATTCTTCATGCAGCTGTGGCACGTCGGCCGCGTCTCGGTCCCCAGCGTGATCGGCGGCGCGCGGCCCTTCAGCTCGACGAGCGCTCATCTCCCGGGATCCCATGTCCTCTTCGGGGGCGGGGCGGGGGTTGAGGCGTACGTTGACTCGCACGCGATGACGACCGACGATATCCGCGACGTGGTCGCGCAATTCGCGCACGCGGCCAAGCTCGCGGTCGAAGTCGCGGGGTTCGACGGGGTCGAGATCCACGGCGCGAACGGGTACCTGCTCGACAGCTTTGTGCACGACAACATCAACACGCGCACGGACGGGTACGGCGGGAGTCTCGCGAACCGGCTGCGGTTTCCGCTGGAGGTGGTGGACGCGGTTATTGGGGCGGTTGGAGCGCGCAGGACGGCGATCCGGCTTGCGCCGTATCATGTGCTGCAGGAGACGGGGGATAGTAATCGCATTGCGACGTTCTCGGCGTTCGCGGCGGAGCTGGAGAGGCGCGGGCTTGCGTATGTGCATATTGTTGAGCCGAGGTATGATCAGGGGAGTGGGGAGGGGGCCTTCTCGGGGGATATCAAACGAGATGGGACGAGCCAAGCCCAAGAAGGGGGGGATGGGAAGGTGAATGGGGAGAAGACGGGGTCGATCTGGCCGTTTCGCAGGATCTTGAAGAACACCACTGTTATTGGGGCTGGCGGGTATGATGCGGCTTCCGCTGCAAAGGCGATTGAGGAAGGTGAGCCGCGCCCCCTTCCACCCAATATGTGTCTGGTGAAGAACTAACAATCGTAGGCCGTATTGATCTTGCTGCATTTGGTCGCTATTTCACATCCAACCCGGATCTACCGGAGCGCCTTTTCAGGAGTCTTCCGCTGACAAAGTACCATCGGCCTACGTTCTATACTCCTGGTGAAGAGGGCTATTTGGGGTGGGCGCGGTGGAGCGAGACGTCAGAGTAACCTTGGAAGAGCGGTAGTGTTATCTATCAAGCACATCACAATGAGAGACAGGGGTGATTTTAGTCATCTTAAGTAAGATTATAAACTGAGCATGTATAACAATGTTCTGGGGTGCAGGAATACCAGAACAGAGGACTTTGATGTGCTGAGATGATGCGTAGGAGGCATGAGGCGCTGCTGTATCCAAAGGATTACGAGAGCAAGTTCAGAAGTCAACAAGAGTCCCGGCTATGGTTCCTCAAATCTTTTTTCCAGTGATGTGATCAACCCTGCGTCCCTGAAGCGAGGGCGTGCTCCCTCATCTTGCGCGGATATACGCGCGCTTCATAACTTGCGTCTATCTCCTCAGTCGTCAAGCCCGTGATATCCAGGACATATAGCCAAGCCGGGACGAGGATAACCAGAGAAGAAGCTGCATAGACAAAGCCCGGTTTTCTGTTCCCTCTGCAGGCCGGGGCTCAGTTGATGAATATCCAGTACTCAGCCGGAGGAACGACCGCCCATTGAATAGCGAGGACGGTGCGAAAATCTTGTTCATTCGACCGTGGAACGAAGCTTCGTATGACACCCAATGCCACGGCCTGCGTCAAGAACACAAAGACCACCAGCACAGTTTGCACAGGCGCACGAGGATTAAGCGCTGCAACCTTGCCCATATATGTTGTTGCATTGGCTATAGAAACACCTATTCCGAGCCTGTAACCATCTTACCACCCATCAGAGCAGGTCGAGTTTCTGCGGTATACTGAACCGCAATCCCGACAAGCGTCCAACAGGCAGCTGCAAACGAGGGCAATTGAGCCAAGAGCTTGCATTAGAACCGACATGGCTGCCCACAGCGAAGTCCAGATTGAAGGAGGATAGGGGCCGTTCTCGCCCACCGAGCCAAAATATAGTTGAAACGAAGGCATTGAGACCGACGCCCCGCTGACGACAGTGTCATAACCGAAGACCAGGCCCGATGTGAACCCAACCGTAGCTGTACATGATGATGTTGCGAGTAAGCAGTACGTCCTTCCAAAGGTTTACTATGGCACGTCTTACCGATAAGAGGGGCAGGCCACTGATGCCTGGCTCGGTCACCGCGAGGTCTTTGCCATGCTCGAGAAGTCTATTCGCCCCTGCATCGCCAGGTGCTCCAACGTGGTCGACGTTCGACTTGGTTGCAATATCCGCGGCCAGATAGGAGGCTGCCATGGTGTGTTCTCACTGGCAACCCGAGACACGCAAAACCAGGGCTTAAGACTATGGTAGTATATTGCTCGCCCCACTGCAGCCCTTGCTTAGTAGCTTAGCCAGCCTTGTTGGCAACAGCTTCACCCCTGACGCCTAGCTAGATCCAACCTCCAAGCTTTCATCACCGAGAGATGATCAATGCAACGTGATACTTCAGATCCCGCACCTGTAACCTCTACGCTACCCCCTCTGCTCTAAACCAGCTGCACGGACTGGTAGCTGCATAGGTTGCACGGGCTCACTGAGTATAACGCGCGTCAAGAGCTCAAACGGGGCTGAGCTGAATTCCGCGAAGCTGAGGAGCAAGGACTGACGGACCACAAGCTCCATCTCGCAACCGGCCGATAAACAAGCATAGTTGATTCTGACCCAAGATCGCTACAAGGAGAACAGGAAAGTGCTGCTTGTCCTTGAAGAGCAATTGGTCCAGTGGCCGGTTCTTCCGCTGCTGTTCGATATTGTACTCGGTATCGTTTTTATATGTCTCGACGTCGAAAAACGCAGGGGCAGGCTGCCGAGCGCGGTTTCGCATAGCTGTCACGATTGCAGTGAGCTCACCGTGGCTTATCGATGATTCGTGTCCGTAAAAGAAAGGGCAGTAATCATCAACAGGCGCGGCAGGGGCCGGTTGTCACCAGTGGTCTTGGTGTACTCGTATACGTAGGAGCTCCAGTGGTTGGACGGGGTGTTGGGACCAGCAGCCGGGCTGCACAGATCAAATCCTTCGGTTGTTAGACCGAGAGCGTGAGGCTGACTATGGCGTGGTTAAATAGGATCCCGGGAAACCGAATTCTGATTCATACATCACAGGTGAGATGACGTCGTGGCTTCTGCTGGTTGGAGCTATCGTTTTTGAAGATAACCTCGTGCCTGTTTGGGTTTGCTGGATCATAGTAAAGTATGCCATGTTAACAGGGTGCTGGACAGTCACGAAGTCGGTAGATCTAGGCCGGAAGAGCACCGGCACATCAAGCCTTGTCCCTGCGGTGAGATTGTTGTAGTCCTGAAGCAAAAGCTTGATGTCGTGTTGAGTGACGAAGTCTGGTGGGATCGTGTTATTCGACAAGAGGTCACGCTCCGTCTCCGGAAGGAGAAGAACTTTCCAGAGCGAATCCAGGTAGTTCTGAATCTTTATCTTGAACTCAGAGAGTCGGAAATCTTGATAAATAGTCGTTGAAGAGGAGCCAGAGTTGATTGAGTGGTGGGGAGATGAGCCGGAAGAGAGCGCCGCCGGAGAAGATTTCCTTTCCATTCCAACGAGCTCAGCGACCACTTGATCCAGTTGGCTTCTTCCCTTTATGCCCATGTGGCGAGCTAACCGATGAAAACAACCTCCATGTTCAAAGAGCTCCTACAAAAATCAAGGGATCTTATCAGAAATTCCAGCGACCTCATCTGACGACCTATTGCGAAACTTGGAAGAGACGCAACCGAAGAGCGCCAAATACCTGAAGGCCTTTCAATGAGAACAAAGCATTGAAGACAGAAAATAACTGGACTTCAGGTGTTTAGAAAGTAGTACGATGTGTGCTCTCAGAAGCCCCGTCAGGAAGCCAGTGTGGGCACGAAGAAGATGGGCAATTTCCTCTCAGCCATCTCAACACTCTGTCTGCTTGCAAGCAGCTCGATCAACAACGCTCCCTTACCGATGTGCATCCAATATTCGAGACTTTCAATGAATATTTACGGCATGACTGCGGAACAACACGAGAGACGGATTGGGAGGTACGGCTCACGCCAAAGACCAGACTTCCAAGATTGGTCAAAAATGGCAAACGATCACACAGAAAAGCGATTCTGTCCTTGAAAGCCATGTGCTTGCGATCTTTCCAAGAGGCTCTTCACCAGCCATGCCGTCCGGGACTGCAATATGATGCAGTAGAGTCCAGAGGGCTCTCTAGATCAGAGGGCTTGCTGCAACCGGAGGACTACTGGTAGGTATACTCAGTGGACTGTGGGAACAACCGAGCGCCCTGTCCATCAATCAATCTACACAGGCATTAGCCGCATTGGAAGGTATAAAGCCCTGCCACGCCAAATACTCGGAGGGGAAGCAATCTTGAACGCCAACAGTTCCTCCGCCCGGACCAACTCCAAGCCGATCAAGATCCGACAGACGGCGTCAAACGTGCTGACGGCCCCGATCAATCCGCGTCCAGTCAGAGCTCAGCAGGGAGGCTGTGCCCTAACTAAGCAAAGACTAGACACAGCGCGGAGCAATATTCTGGCCGAGCCTTGAGCATCAGCAAATCAGACGCTGCCAATACTGCAGATCAGGCTTGTCGCGAGCTTGCGTGGGTTAAGCCGTTTTGGGTGCGATTCCGCGCTGGCTGAATTGTTTACATTTGATGGGTATAAGAAGGTGCGATGCCTCTTGGAATGGGAATCATGCTTGCTCCGTCGACTCAGTACCAAGTTTGAATCCAACCTACTCGACAATACCTACCGGTCCAAACAAAATGACTACAACCAAACCAACCCTCAGCTTCTTCGGCGCAACGGGCGGCTGCACGCTCGCATGCCTCGCTCCCGCCCTCGAGGCAGGATACAACTGCGTCGCTCGTACGCCACCCCATTTCAACCCTCAGCTTAGCAAAATAATTACCTGTTAACAATGAACAGTCGTCCGCAACCCCCAAAAACTCACCTCCGCCCTCAAAGCCCGCAACATCGCCGCCTCCACGCTCTCAACGCACCTAACCCTAATCGAAGGGTCCACGTCCGACCTCCCCGCGATCAAGGCAACGCTGTTCCCAACACACCTCGCACCCCCCTCAATGATCCTCTCGGGCGTCGGCGGACGCCCCGACTTCTCGAACCCGCTGAAACCGAAATTCATCGGCGCCACCGTGTGCCAGGATACAGTGCGCAATATCCTGAGGGTGCTGCGCGAGAACACGAAGCCCGAGACGCCGCGGGAGTTCAAGCCGGTCCTCGTGTGTATTTCGACGACGGGGATTGCGGCGGAGCGCGATATCCCGCTTGCTATGGTGCCGCTGTATATGGCGCTTAAGACGCCGCATGCGGATAAGAGGGTTATGGAGGGCTTGGTGTTTGAGGAGATGGGGAGGGCGGAGGGGGAGAGGGTTCTTGGGGACTATGTGCTTATTCGGCCGAGTTATTTGACGGATGGGGAGAGTAGGCGTGATAAGGTGAGGGTGCTGAAGGGGCAGGGGGAGGGGCAGAATACGGCGTTGGGTATGGCTTGTCCGTTTGTCGGGTATACGATCTGTCGGGAGGACGTTGGGGGGTTCATGTTTGGGTTAGTGGAGGGGTTGGATGGAGAGTGGTATGGGGATAATGTTGAGGCGAAGGGGAGGGAGTATTTTGGGAGTGTTGTTTCGATTTCGCATTAGCTTTTGTTGGATTATGGACTTTTTGCTTACTGTCGTTTCTGATATGGTAAGGCAGCTTTATGAACAGACTACTACGCGGCGAAAAGAATATATCCGATACCAGAATCACTCACGATTCATCACTACCTACGGCCCAAGAGCGCCGCCCGACTGCGGCGGCCATGCTGCCTCTGTCTCTGCCTCGGCGTCGCCAGGGTCTCCATACACAATCCCTATCGTCGTCGTCTTCTCAATCCCTTTCCTCTGACACTTACTCCCACCTTGCTCTAGCGGCCGGAACGAGCGCCTACTATCCGTGGAGCTTCCCGACAGAAGCTGCAAGCTACCAGTTCCATTTTCCCCAGCGGTCCCTTGGTAACCGCGCCGGAAGGCCGAAGTCAGCCGCCCCCACCAGGATAGAACATGCCGGCCGCCGGACAATGGGGCAGACCGGCAGTGGGAGCGGGGGTGGACGATAGGCCGCAGGGTCGGGATCGAGGCGGCGAGGATGACGATGTTTGCCTCGAGCGTCCACCAGATGGCGAGGGGGGCCATGGCATGGGTGAGGTCGTCTGTTGCGGTGACGGCGCGCAGCTGGACGGTTTTCATGATCGAAGCGATCATGGCGCTGGCTTCATTACCCATTGTCCGTGTCCCAGGACATTGCATGGACGAAAGGCAGACGCAAGCAAACTCACAAGAGACCCAGCCCCATCAAGCACGAAAGCGACGCCTTCTTCTTCCGCTCCATGTTCATGCTCCAGAACATGCTCGCGGGGAATACGGCGAGGGCGAGGTCTACCGCGCAACTGACGGCTTTCCCCAATGCCTCAAGTCAGCCGTTCAATACGGTCCAGACATATGCAACATCACGCGAGCTTACAGCCCTGAAAATACCCCATATGCTGCTGCACCTCCGGCGGCCAGCAGCTCCCAGGCACCTGGGGATCCCAGTACTTGTTTAGCGGCCTGCACTGTGCGAAAATTACCGCAACGGTGCTACAGTCTGCAACGACCTGGATGCAAATGACGCACCACAGGAGGCGCGAGCGCCACCGGATGGACGGGAGAAGGCCCAGCAGCAGCGAGGCGTAGGCGACGCGGCCGACGCACGGCGACAGGATCGAGAAGAACTGGCATAGGTACACCCATTTCACGGCGTACATGCGCTGGGTTTCCGAGAGGGCGTGCATGTGCGAGTCTAGGCCCCAGTGTGTGGAGTAGTAGTAGTAGTGATATTTAACGCCCCGGGGATCGCTAGGCGTACGCCTAATATTCTAGACCTTTCTTAGGGTATGGGGGCGTGCCGCTGCTAGGCAAGTAGCCTATTTAAATAGTTTATATATAAAAAGGCTTTTTATTTTAAAAGGTAACTTTTACTAATACTTATAGGCTTGTTATTTATTTTTTATTTATTATTTTAATATATAGCTACTAGTAGGTATTATTTATTATATATATAATAATTTAAATACTATAAAATATAGGGGCTAGCTTTATTTATAAAAAAAATATATAAGCTAAAGCTAGTTATATTAAAAAAAAATATTTAAAAAAAAATATGGTAAAATAAAAAAAAATAAAACTACCTAATATTAAATTAAATAATTTTTATAAAGCTAGGGCGCGAGGAGCCCTAGCAAGGGTAAATAAATTTATAAAAGTTTATAATTTTTAGTAAAAATATAAAGTTTTTAAGTTTTAATTTATAAAGGTATTTTAAGGCCTTGGCTTTAATTATTAATAATATTATAAGGTACTATAGCTATTACTAAAAATAATATTAAAAGTATAAATAAAAAACTAGGTATTTAGGGCTTTTACTCCTTCTATAAAAATAAGTAACCTTTATATTTTTATATTAAAAGTACTTATAATATTACTTAAAGTTACTATATAATAACTTTAATATTAACTAGTAATATAAAATTAAGTACTTTAATATAAGCTTAGGCTATAATTTAACCTAGTATAATTTTAATTTTATAATAAGCTATTATTTATACTAGGTAAATAGTTTTATAAAGGTATTTTTTTATTATTTAACTTAGGTAATATAGTATATTTACTTATATAGGCTATGTACTTTACTTATTATAAGTTATATTTTTAAAAAATTAATATTTAAAAATTATGCCTTTATAAAGGCTATTTTATTAGCTAGTTTATTAGCTAGCTTATTTCCCTTAATATTTATATAATTAAGGGATTATTATAAGTAAACTATATACTAGTTTATAAGCTAGTATAATATTTAAAAGGCCTAATTTAAAAATAGTAAGGGTTATTTACGCGTGTACTAAATTATTAAGGTATTATTAATATAAAGCTAATAATAAGGCACTCCTAAAAGCTCCCTAATTATAGCCTTTAATTTTTAAAATATATTAATAACTTTAATATTATATATATAAAATTAGGTACTAATTATTAATAGTTCCTGCGCCTAAAGGTATTATTTATAATAAATTATATAGCTATAGCTTATATAATATACTTTTTAGTATATTTATTTTAAGCTATTACTAAAAATTACTATTTTTACTAAGGGTAGTGCTTGCTATTATTACCTAAATTTTTTTATAGCTAGTTTTTTAGCCTTACCCCTAGTAAAATTTTTTAAATATTTTTAAAAATAATAAGGGTGCGCTAAAATTAGCCTAGGTATTTTTTTTAAAAAAAAAGCCCTTATTATTTATATTTTTATTTTAAGTTTTTACTACAAGCTAGTACCCTGGCCTTGTAAAATTTTTAGTAATATTATATATTTTATTAGTAAGTTTTAGCTATCAACCAGCCTTAGCCTTAGGGTAAAATATAATTATACTTTTTTTAATACTACCACCGCGGAGGAAAGCCTAGTATTTTTAAAAAAGGTTATTATAAGTATTATTTAAAAAATTTAAAGTATACTATAAGTAACTAGTACTAGGGTTTTTTTAATTATTTTAATATATTAGCCTAGTTAAGTACTAACTTTTAAATTTTGTGTATATTTCCTAGGCTTAGTTTTACTTTTATATTATATTTTTATATTATATAAAAAACTAAAAATAATATAAATAATAATTACTTTATAAAAAAAGTTTGCGGGTAAACCATGTGCTATATATATTAAATTATAAATATATTAAGTTATTACACGGGCTTTAACTACCTGCTTAGTAATATACTAACACTAGGAAAGCTATTTATTAAAAAAATACTTAACTAGCATAGCATGGGCTATTTTTAGCCTAGTACCATAATAATAAAAATAATTATTAATTAATTATTAATTACTAGCAAGGGTAATTTATTATACTATTTTTAAGTAATATATAGTATTTTTAGTTTTTTTAATATAAAGGTTATTTTATTTTATTTTTCCTAGGCTAGCATGCTATAAATATTTTTTATTAAAAGCTTATAATTTATATAAAAAAAGTTACTTATATAATTAAAATAAAAGTTATTTATATAGCTAAAGCGTAGGATTAAATCTACTAGTAGTAATTTAGTAATATATAATAAAAATAATACTAGAAAAAGAGGCAAGCCTTATAATATGTTATAATATACTAGGTATATTATTATTATAATAAATTTTAAGTATATTTTTATATTTTATTTATTAAAAAAACTTATAATTAAAGCTAGGAGCACGCAAGGCTAGCCTTGCTTTATTATTTATTAAAATAAGTATTATAATAAAATAATATTAAAGGCACCTAAAATATTTATAATAATTATAATAACCTTTTAGTTTTATAAAAGTGTTATTTTTATATTATAAATAAAAAAAGCTATTAAGTTTATAGTTAAGCACTTGGGTAAAGTATTATATTATTATAAGTTTAATACCTTTTATACTAGTATAATAAAAGTAATATAGTATATTATTATTTATTTAAGTTTTTTTTTAATATTAAAAGTAGCGCTATAAGGCGCTAAAATTAAGATAAAAACTTATTTTTTTTATTATTTTTTAAAAGTATTACCACCTTTATAAGCTTTTATAATAAGAAAAAGTATTTTAATTATAAATAATAATTATATAGCTTATAAATAGCCTATTTAACATGCTTTTAGCAGGCCTTTAAAATATAAATAATTACTTAATTTACTTTAAAAAAGGTACTACTTATGCTAATAATATTTTTTTTAACTTTTTTTAGTAAGATTTTTTTTAATTAATAAAGGTACTTATTACCCTACTAGTGCTTTAATACTAGGAGATTAAAGTTTAGGTTATTATTTATATTAAAATACTTTAATATAATTTTTTATAAAATATTAGCCTTTTCCCGCGTGTTTTTAATTATTTTATTATTTATTAATAATAAAAAAGCCTTAAGCCTAGGCTTTAGCTTATACTATATTATTATTTAATATAATTTTTAATTATTTTTAATATTATTAATTATTTTAATTTAATATATATGTTTAATTTTATAAACCATAGCTAGGAATTATTTTTTTTATTTTAAAGTAAGGTTTACTACCCAGGCATAATAATTTTTTATATATTTATTTAACTATTAAAAAGTACTATAGCTTTTTAAGTTAGGGTGTTTACTTATAGCCTGCATGGCTTTTATAATAATATTACTAAAAAATTTAATATATTAATTTAGTACTTTTACGCCTTTAAGCTCCCCAGGCTAGGGTAAAAATATTATTTTATTTTTAATAAGTTTAGCTAAGTACTTTAGTTTATGGTTTAGTATATTATAATAATATTATTTTAATATTTTTTTCCCGCGCCCTGGCACTATAATAATTAAAGTTTAATAATTAAAGTTATTATATAACTTAGGTATTACTAGCATGCAAGTAAAAAAAATATTTAAAAAAATTAAGTTAAAAATATAACTAGCTTTATATATAACCACGTGTTAACGTGGCGGCCCGGCCACAACAGCATACTGCTGTTAGCCACCGCCCGCGATAACCCCTTTCTTAAACTAAGAACTTAGCTAGCCTTTAAGAAGAATAATAATATTATAAATCTCTAAATATTATTATACAAATAATAATAGTAGCATATCCAAGGATATAACTAGTTAAGTAAATAACTTAATAACTTAATTAGGCACGCTAATTAAAATTAGGCTAAAAAACACTAATTAAGCAATTTTTAGTGTTTAAAAAGCCTGTAAATCTTTTTTTTTGCTTATTTATTAAATAACTAATTAAACTCCTAAACTCCTAAAAGTTAACTGTAAGACCGACAAGTCTTGAAGATCTTTACTAATAATAAAGATATTAATAAAGAAATCTAATTAATAAAAATAAAGTATTTTAAACCTTGTTAAATAATATTAAAAAAGTTACTTAAAAATTTAAAAAAAAGGCTAGCCTTAAGGCTATTTTTATAAATTTTTAAGCTATGCTTAAGCTATTTTTAATTAAAAAGTAAATATAAGTTTAAATACTTTACGCACGGGTTTTTATTTTAGCTTATACTTAAGGCCTACCTTAGCCTTACCTAACTAGTAGCTAAAACTTATAATATTAATAACTTAATTAAGTTATATAACCTAATATAATAATAAGGTATATTAAGCCTTAATAGCTTAAGGCTAAAGCTTAGGTTACTTAAAATACTAACTTTAAATTAATAGTAAATTAGCTTTAATAATATTAAATAAAAAAATATTAGCCTTAATAWTTTTTTTTTTAATTAAAGGGTTGTCCGCGACCCGCCACTAAATTAAAAAAAAATAATAATAAAATACTATTATTATTATTAATATTRATATTAAATATAGCTTTATTATTACTATTCTTAATTTTATTAAAGTATTATTTAATATATTAAATTTAGTATTTTATTCTTATTATTTATAGCACTTTAAATAAAATATAATATTTATTTATAATTAAAAGGGGAAAGGTGGTGCTTTAATAATACCTAGTATAAAAGTATAAATTATAATATAGTTTATAGTTTTATAAATTTTTAAACTTATTAAATTTTTTACTAAATAAAAAATTGCTTTTTTTTATTATAACTAAAAAAAAGCCCTTTTAGGCACTACCCTGGCTTTTTAATAAGTAAAAAAAAGCACCTTATTATAATTATAGTAATTTAAAATACCCCTACCTTTATTTTTTATACTTTTATAATAGTATGGTTATAAAACCCCTTTAGTATAAT